TGGCCACGAGGAATATGAACTGGAACAGATTGTAGCAGAATGCACAAAAGAAAAAGGCACTAAAGCACAAAAAGAATACTTAGTGCAGTGAAAGGGCTACAGACCTCAAGAAGACTTCTGGTTAAAAGAATTGAAACTAGCCAATGCCAAAGAACTATTGCATGAATACAAATATGCAGGCAAGCTTATATAAGTTATATACAACAACAACAACACAAACAACCCATGAATGCTAAGTGAACATATAATATTTCACTTCTTCTAAACATTCTTCATTCTACAACTTCATCTAACATAACATATTTTCTCTGACATTCTTCACTCAGCAAGCTTCACAGACACAGCTCTATCACAGATCACATTAACTGAATTCTCTTTGTATTCAAGCAACTGTCCACTCACTTTGTATCCAACTGCTCATTTCTTACTACCCAAGCTTACCCATTCCCTTCTACTCAAATTCTCTTTGTATCCAAGCAACTGATCATTCTCTAATTCCCAAACATCTGCCCAGCATGAACACCCCACCAAATACTAATGCATTTCCAAAAATCTCTATTAGGGCATCAAAGCTCACAATCCTATCTGCACAAAAGACTCTCTCTTGTGCCAAAGAACAACATAAACTCCAAGATCAATGTGAAGTCCCAGAAGACAAGACAGATTTTCAAGCAGGCTATATCTTATAATTTGTATCTGAAAATGCTTGAGTCAGACTCCATCCTGCTAATGAATGGAATTTCCAGGGCCCTTCATCATGCAATTCTCTGCCAGCTGCATCAGAACCATGGCATCTTACTCAAATTAAGATAGAAATGATGATGGACACATGAAAGAACAAAATTATGACAAACAAGTGTACAGAAAACAAAATCATCACACAAAATCATAATGAATGGGTTTATATTCATCTATCTGCTAGAGCATCTTTTTTTGAGCAGTGTGATTCAGTGGAATGCAATATTGATGACAATCATGTTCAATATGATGAATCTTTCATAATCTTGCAACAATGAACAGCAGCCACTTTAGCCCTGCAAACTTGAGCTGAACTGATCAGAGCAGAAATCAACAGAAAACATGAAGAAGAGATGATTCAGTGGAGAGAAAGCCAGATCATATGGGAGCAGAAATTTCTTCAATGTGAATGGTTCAAAAATCATAATATCATAATTTGGGCACCAGAAACAACAGACACAATAATCAATGAAGCAATCAATCATCTAGAGAACCTCTCTGAGGAGAACTCCCAAAAGAAATTGTCAGTTGAATATATTGGCTGACCAGAGAGACAAGAAATCCAAACAAAGAAATACAACATGGAAGCTCTGAAAGACATCTTCAACTCTTCTGAATCAGAGAATAACATTCTTGCATTTCTTGACAATGAATTGCCAACTAGCCCATGAACTGTCCAAACAAATGACAATTCCACCACACCCACGCCAAAGCAAAACCGCAACAAATGTAAAGTGCCAAGCAATAAAGTCACACCATGCAAGAAAAAGACCCCAGTCAAACAAAAATTAACTTAAAAAAGTAAACAATTGCTCAAATCTGCTGAAAAGATTAACCCACAGAATGATATCTTGGAATGCAATACTATTTCATTCTCAATGGATGATAACATACCATCTCCTACATTCTCTGACTACCATGCTAACAGTTCACTTGATTGGGGAACACCTAGAAGCCATCTATCATCAGAACCAGATGAAATGGAAGTGTCAATCTTAAATGCAGGAACAACATTAGCAATAGAAATACCAATACATAATGAATCAATATCTCAACCACTACTGAACTCACCAAAAAACATCAATAGTGATCTCTCTGGTTTTAACAATCTCCCCTTCTGGGAGCAAGAGCTGATATCACAACACTCTCAAGAAGAACAAGTACTTTATCTGCAAAACAGACAGTTCCCCATCTTTTATCTTCCCACAGACTTTTCAGCACTAAATGCTGATGACATTCTTATCACAGATGAACTAGACACAATAATCAAACAATTAGCAATACCAAGTGGACAAACAGCAACACTCACTAAGTACAAAAATGCTCAATATGCCATGATCACAGATCAATGTCTCAAATTCTTTCAATTCTTCCCTGAACAGCAAAAATTCAACATGCCAAAGCCAGAGGAATGACATCTAGTACTTCAAGCTCTCATTACATCAGTTGTTGATACCTACTTTAAAGAACTGTTAGACAAAGTTCAAAAAGATCACCAACAGCTATTATTGAGATCTACAAAATATGAACTCATTCACTTTCTCTGTTGATTCTCTGGAGAATCCATCCAAATACAACCACCTACAGCAATAAAAACAGAAATCTGAATGGCTTTGAATGAAGATGATGTTATAACAATGGAAGAAATTCAAGAATGGCTCAAACTAAGCACAGATGAAAAAAGAGACTCATACATGGAATGTCAATTCATTTTAAATGATTTCATCAGACACAAAGTTCTATGACTTTCTAACCATCAATGGAAAGCCCATTCAGCTCATCTACAAGCACTAGAAGCAATAGCTGAAGATTATCCACATCTAACATGAATTGATGACACTGGCATGCTAGAACAGGATCCAAAAGACACTCTACAACTATGGGAAAACTTTGCATTAGATGAAGGATGGTACCCCCAACATCAAATTAAAATATATGCACTAATGCAACTGATCATGTTCATCCTGGCTTGAAAAAAGTTCCTATATCCAATGACACATACTAAATTGATCAACAAAGCTGTCATTGAGAAGATGTCATTCTTTTTTGACTTTCCCTACTATGATTACCAATTCTAACTAGCAACAGGGCACTGACTTTCAGTGAGGACACTGATCATTAAAAGATATTCTCTGGCAACTGACATGAAACCTCCTGTACATACTTACTGAAGTAGATTAGTTAGTAATTAGTCATCCTTGAGCTTATCATCAAAGCTTGAGGGAACAAGAACAAGACATCTTCTACTACTCAACCAAAATTGCACGGACATTCTGTAGCTCTTATAGACCAGGTAACATACACCCTGCATACTTATAAAGTAAACTGTGGTAGCACTGTTGCTTTTTGACTAGCAGCACCCCAGCAATATTTCCTTCTTAGTAAGCAGCCATGTGGTCTTAAAATATTCTTTGCAGGCTCAGAACATTCATGCACCGGCATAATTTACTTGTTCACTTGCTTCAGTGCTCCACAACCATAGGAGTCATGAACATTCTTTTGCTAAGAGGTTGCTGGTTGCTGCATTTATGATGGCTACCTGTGTTGCCTGTGGTATTTCAATCACTGTATCGTGAACTCAAAGCCATTCTTCACTTGGGAATTGAGTCTCCCACTTGATTTGACTGTCAGTCAATCATATTAGTCTTTCTCTCTTGCCAGCATCATTGCAGACTGATGGACCTGCACAATTTGAGCTTCTGCTCTATCTTCATTAATTTGCCATAGTGCTATTTCCTTTCTTGAAATTCCAACTGACCAAGTCATACTACCTCGGATCCTCACTGCCTATCTTGATGAAAGAAGTCTATTCTGCAAAATAGGCTACCTTATCAATCTGAATATTTGATATTCTTGTGGGCTTGCATCAGAACTTATTGTTGAGGCCATGAATAATATTTTTCAAAAAGTATTTAGTGCCTTATCATGATGAGCTTTTGGATGAGTATAGGAAATAATTTGAAGAGGGGCAGATTACACTGTATATGATTTCTGCCTTCATTGTGACATCTGGGAAATGCCTTGTAATCAAGCAATCTCCTCAGGATGGGTGGGACTGATATCAGTGGCAATAGACGTTCGGAGGTTGCTTTCTTTAGAATACAAGTAGGCATGAAAAGAAGAGGTGTGAGACTCTTGAGACCATTTACAGTGCTCTCCAATGTATATAGATATACTTCAAAAGGTACTAGTAAAATAAGTCAGAAGCTTGATTTACTGTGATAACTATACCATTTGTTCCCTTGCTGAGTATGACATTTTCTGGTGTTGATGAAGCCAGAGGTGGTGCATCATAACTGGGATTGAGAGAGATAGTGAACTGCCTTCCCTGTAATGGAGACTGAATCAAGATTGAAGAAGTGGAAGAGCACTATTGCTTCAAAGTAGAACAGTTCAGCAGAGATTTGGAAATGAGATTCCCATTCTCAAGGTAACAATAAAGGGGATTGTTCTCACAGGTGAATTAGGCAACTACTCCTTATTTGATAGGCGTAAGATGCTGTGCTGAAAAGGCATTGTCGGTACTAGTAAAATAAGTCAGAAGCTTGATTTACTGTGATAACTATACCATTTGTTCCCTTGCCAAGTATGACGTTTTCTGGTGTTGATGAAGCCAGAGGTGGTGCATTGTAACTGGGATTGAGAGAGATAGTGAACTGTCTTCCCTGTAACAGAGACTGAATCAAGGTTGAAGGAGTGGAAGAGCACTATCACTTCAAAGTAGGACAGTCCAGCAGGGATTTGGAAATGAGATTCCTGTTCTCAAGGTAACAATAAAGAGGATTGTTCTCACAGGTGAATTAGGCAACTACTCCTTATTTGATAGGCGTAAGATGCTGTGCTGAAAAGGCATTGTCTTTTGAATAAGAGCCTCAGTTCCAGCACGCACAATGTTAAGGATATATGGACGCCCGCGAATAGCGTAGTGTAGTAACCTTAGGAGTATGAAGTAGTGGCGTGAAAGGCATGAAGTTGTTACTTCAAAATTAGAGTTGAAACAATCACGATTCGGAGTAACTATAAGCCGCAGCCCAGTCTGCCGTCAAAAGCCGAATTATAGCTTCATTTTTCTCTAAGCTGACGACCTGTTTAATTTGGAGCATTGTCCACAGCAGCAAGCCTCAATGCCTATTTTCCAATCAAAGCGGTTCCGGCCTTCGGGGTCTACGGGCTCCACTCTTGGTGACAGAATCGGCCAGCTATACCGAGCGCGGTTGTCGAAACACCCGTTTTTATTATTTGGCCTCCCTTTCCTAAGCCTAATGGTTGCGGGTTCCTTTGTTCTAACACCGGCTACGGCTATCCGGTATGAACGACACGACAGAAGAGTGCAGCAAGTCAGCCAACAGGAGGCATTGTCTTTGGGAATCAAAAGTACAGATGATAATCCGGAGAACCTCAGATTGAACCCTCGGAGAAGGATCCTGGGAGACGAAAAAGAAGAATACTATGTAGGTGGCATATGCCGGGCATTAACTGGAAACCAGATTTGCTGATAGGTGATTGCAGAGGCTAATGGCCAAGGACTTGGATGACTGGGAGCAGAAGCGAGTGAAACGATGGAAAGGAGAACCAGATGGAAGAATCGGCTAGCTTTAAACAAGGACATGAAAAAAGAGAAAAAAAAGAAAAATCTCCAAATGCATATTGCATAGCACTACAAGTAGCATTCCTAGTTCCCTGGTTACTGGAGACCTTGATTGCCAGCATGGACCAACGGCCCATTGCCAGCACTATCAAAGCTTCGTCGATTTCGACGCCTAAGCAGATATTTGAAATGAGGTGCCTGTCGGTTACGGACCCAGAGCTGGTCCAAGTTTGGAAGGAGACGGCATTTGGCGGACACCCCGAGCGAAATGATTAAGATACACAAGCGGAGGTTGACGCGTATGGACCAAGGGCGTGCCTTTTTGTGGCATAGTTACATGCCTGGCTCCCAGGCATTTGAGATTGTGGGATGCTGGCACTTTAAACAGTCAAAGTCAGCAGTGAGGACCTGATGCATTGGGCGTCTTCATTTCCTCATCTGGGTTGCGCACGGGTTATTTGCATCCTGTAAGCTATATAGTTTCGTTTTGTTTCATTAATGGGATATTCTGTGACTGACCACGGCGAATGTTTCAAGACAGCGCTCCAGGACCCCGCGTGCGTTGACACCCATACGCGGGGAATGGCAGGCCTGGTTGGTGAAGCAAAAAAAAAAAAGACCACGTAGACCAACCGGGATTCGAACCCGGGACCCGTCCATGGCATGAGTATCGTGCCACGAAAGTAAACTTATCGGCAAGAGACACATAAGTGGACAACGCTAACCACTGCGCCACTGGTCTAAGAACGACCGAAATTGTCCGCCTTGCGCTTTATGACCGAACTGTGGGGGGAGGGCGGCATGGAACTACAATATTCCGGAGATCACGGGGCTGTTTTCTTTAAGGCAACGAGGCAGCAGCGCGACACGCGCCCCAAGCGGGCTGGACCCGACTAGAACACTCCAGCTGCGGGCCAACGTAGGATGGGCGTGACGGCCAGCGATGTGTGTACTACGGGGCATGGGTAGGGGGGATGGGTAGTGGTGATGGTGGTGGTACGGGCTGGCCGCTGTCACGGCTGTATAGACGGGAGGGGGCAGGGAGGGGCCATATCGAGCAGCTAGAGTTAGCTCACCCGCCTGAGCCAACAACGGGGGAGGGGGGGGGCTTAACGGGCAGGCTGAACGGCGGGTGCGGTGAGAGGCAGCGTCGTCAAGGCGCGCGCAGACCAAGAAAAGGGGGGGAGGGTCAGCCTTGAGGCGCCGCGCAGCCCCGTTCGCGGCCGGCGGCCGGCGTCGTGCAGCACCACCAGGGCCTGCGCCGCTCCAGCCAAGCCCGCGTCGACTGGCATGCGATCCAGTTGGTGATTTTTTTTTTTTTTGTTTGTCTCTCCCATATCTCGTTTCTCCGGAAGCGGGCGAACCTTGCGCGATGCCGGGCCAATCAGCAGCAGGGCGCAGACAGCTAGGGGGCGGGCGCCAGCAGATACAGGAAACAGAGCACGCAGACGGGAGGCAGGCGGGCTACTGCTGACTGCTGCTGCTGCTGCTGCTGCTACTGCCCTGCCAGGCAGCGGAGGCGCCAGCGGGCCCGCCAGGCCGCTGGCCGGGCACTTCCCAGTTGGCGCGCCGCGGCGCCCGCCAGGCCTGGCACGCGTGCCAACTTCCAGGCGTCACGAGCCGGGCGGCATGCGGGCGGTGGCGACGGTGGCCAGACCGGGCGCCCCCCCGGCTGACTAACCGCCCATAACGTCATGGGCTCTGCCCCCGGCGCTGTAACTGCCACGCCCGCCACCAGCCTTTGCCGCCGTCACTCCTTCGCCCGCCGCGCTTCGCTCGCTCGCTCGTCTGCCCGTCTGCTGTGCCCCCCGGCCTTTTCGTCATCGCGCCGCCACCTTTTTCGCCGCGCTCTTATATCTTCGGTCTTCGCTCGCTGCATAGCTGCTTGCTGTCTGCATATTGACCCGCCCGCCTTGCTCCCGTCGTCCAGTCGCCTCCGGCCCTCGCTCGAACTTTTCCCAGTCCGTCGTCCGCCGGAACACCTTCCAAGACGCAAAGCAAAAAAAAAAAAAAGGGGGGGCGAGGGGCCTCTATAGATACATATCGGATTAGCTCGATTGGCGTGACGAGGAACGGCTCTCGCCGCAAATCACGGGTGATTGGCTGCGTTGTGGCCTCTGAGCAGGCTCCCTGTGCTCGCTTGATCTGTTCCATTTGAATTCTAGGCCCCCCTTTGTTCTGGGAGTTCAGACGTCACAGCGCGCCGTGTTGTCATGAGTAATAATAATGGCGAGTGTGTTGACGTTGGCATTTTTCTTTGATATTTAACCATCAGCTTTTGCAACCGCCTCTTCAGTGCCTTTATCCTGCGAGGGATTCATCTCAACCGAAATGTCGACCACCACTCTTTCAAACCCTTCGCCGTCAGAGTCCTGGAGCCCAGGAGCTTTTCCCTCGATTAATACTACGGCCAAACCCTCCGAGATTGCAACACCTCCGTTATCGAACGACCGGATCACAACTCCTTTCCCCGGCAGAGCAAACCCGGACAGCCAGCCCGGACAAACTCCTAGTCCAAGCTACTTTAATATTATTGGAGATCGCACCTCCCTGCACCTTCATTTCACGCCTCAGCTTCCTACAGACGGCGGCCCGTCGCCGCATTGCTCCTTCGCAAAAACACAAAGGCACCTGCCGTCCACGCCGGCACGAGACATCTCGCGCACAAGCGATGGCCCTCCCGCTGTCGCGTCCACCCCATGGCACAATACACCCACTGTCGCCCAGCAACAGGATTCCTGCCTAAATGATAAACAGCTAGGAACGTTGACGCCCTGGGCATGGGCACCGTCTGATGCCAGTAGCCAGACTATATCCACAATGCACCTCTCCCGCTCCAGTAGCCAAAGCCATCATACCTCGTCGTCGTCGGCACCTTCTTTATCCTCCATCACCGGGACTCCAGGCCTTAGACGATCCGAAACCTCACCGCCGTCGATTGATTCTGGCGGTATCAAAATAATTTCTGGTGACTGCTGTAAGGACTTAGTCACTTCTCATTCAGACACCACTCTCTTTTTGGATATCCGCCCCTACCCCCAGTATTGTCGAGGCTGGATCAAAGGGGCGTTAAACTTATGCATTCCGACTACCTTACTTAAAAGGCCATCATTTAATCTGCAAAAACTCCAGGATACTCTCGCTGGCGATGCTGAGAGAACAAGGTTTTCTAATTGGCGAAATAGCACACGGATCGTGGCATACGACGCGTCCACTTCGCTCTTAAAAGACGCGACCTCACTAATCAATGTTTTGAAAAAATTTACGAACGAAGGTTGGATGGGCGAACCTCTGATTCTACGGGGCGGCTTCTCGCAATTCTCAGAACAAAACCCTACTCTGGTGGATCGGAAACAGGATACGCCTGCCATCGTAACTAGGCAACCCCTCTCTATCAGCTTGTCACTGCCCGGAATATCCGGAGGCTGTCTGCTGCCCCAGCCCAACCCCTCGATTAACCCCATGTATAATAGTATCCGCCTGTGTACAGACCTGAACGATGGTGTTGGCCAAATCCCGCTCAAACTACCCAAGCACTTGTCAGAACATGTGAGGAAATCATTCCCCTCCTGGCTTGTCCAAGCATCCGAGACTCGAGATTCCGGGAAGCTAGTATCCTCTAGGTTCCTCCAGATAGAACGGTCGGAGAAGGCTCGAATGGAAGAAGCCCTATCGGATTCTGGGACATATAGCAGGCCATCGATGAAAACCCCGCGGTCTTCATATCGCATTGCGGGCATTGAAATGGGCAGCAAAAATCGATATAGCAACATTTACCCTTACGAACACTCACGCGTCAAGTTGGGGAACGCCGTGCAATGCAACTGTGATTACGTAAACGCAAGCAATGTCAAGGCCAGCCGGTCGAACAAACTATACATTGCGACGCAGGCTCCTCTTCCATCGACCTTTAAAGTGAGGGCCACCAAGCCTTGAATTTGCACGGGAAAATGCTAATCCAACTTTATAGGACTTTTGGCATGTCGTTTGGGAGCAAGATGCACGAGTCATTGTTATGCTCACTGCCGAGTCGGAGGGCCCCCAGCTCAAATGCGACCCATACTGGCGCTCTTCAAACTATGGGCCACTGCGTGTTGAGCTTATTAATGAATCAAAAGTCCCACTGAATATCGGGCGTTCGCCCGGCTCTCCAAACAAACGAACACACAGTCGACGGGAATCTACCGCTCCAGCAGGAGCAGAAGAGCCCTATATGACAGTTCGGCATATCACATTGATCCACAGCTCTCTGCCATTCGAGCCCATGCGCGAAATTACTCAGCTGCAGTATTCAAATTGGCCCGATTTCGGCGCCCCCGCTCAGCCATCACACCTCTTACGGGTGATTGAAGAGACCAACAGACTGTCGCATATTAACAGCGGGCGACCTGCCGTCTCTGTATTAAACGATCCGGAGCCTCCATCCCCGCGGAAAATCATCGTACATTGTAGTGCAGGGTGCGGGCGCACCGGCACCTTTTGCACCGTAGACAGCGTCATGGACATGCTCCGGCGCCAAAAGCGACAGGGGGAAAACGAAGACGAGTGGGTCTACGGCAACGACACGGATCTCGTTGCGAGCACGGTGGAGGATTTCCGTCGCCAGCGACCGTCCATGGTGCAAAGCCTGCGGCAGTTTGTGCTGTGCTATGAAACTATTCTAGAATGGCTGGCGTCTCAGCCGGAATACAAAAATAAATAACCTCCATTGTGGGCAGCTCTGCCCGCCGCGGCAGAAGGTGTCCAGCCGGGTCTCCAGACGGGTAACATTAGACTGGAGACGAAAGAATGTGTCGGAATCATATCAGTTTTATGGATCGCCGTTAGGGCTAATGTACTGCCAAAAATTGATAGTGATTTGAAACTACGACATGGAAACAAAACGGGCCTTTCACAGCACTAGCTACATGTTGACTAACCAGTTCACTAGGTGGCTTTTACAGGCGCACAGGACCAGCGTATTTTTCCTTCTTAATGATTAGCAACTTGATTGTTGCGAGGGACTTGGATCGTGTGTGTGTGTACATATGTTAGATCACACCCCTTTTTTATCTTTATTCCTTCTGTAGTAGCGTTGTTGCGCAGAATGTTTTCCTTTTTTGTTTCCTTGTGGTTTTTGGGCGGCTTGAGATGAAACTAATAAACAGCACGCCAGACGCTAGAAAAATGAAACAGGATTAACCAGATACTATGATGAGCCCAGGTCCTTTCGACTAAGTCATATTATCAAATACTATTTCTGAGAGAGCTGCATGAGGCTAAGCTGGCTGAGATCCAACAACTCTCATCAGCAGTACAACCTGTTCAGCAGAACTGATACCATAGACGATAACCATGTATTCTAGATATTTCGAACCCAGCCCGCGAAAAACAGCAGAAACGACGCCTGCTTGACACATAAACGTCAAATGAGCGCATAATTCAGCCCCAGCCCGTTAGTCAGCTGCTGCCTAGTTACTCAGCCGCCTCGAGGTTGGGCTTGGGCATGCTGCACGTCATTCTCTAGCCAGCAAAAACTGTACTAGGCAGCGTGTCTGCCTGCCAGCCTGCTGGCAGCTGCGACGAAGCATAAATATCCCGATGGTTCCTGGAAGTCGCAAAAAGTGGCCGACGTGAGAGTTGACTGCTTGACTGCGCCTGCACCCTCGTGTCTCGTCGCATCGTTACTCCTTGATATTTCCTCTGCTGAGGACCCCCTTTCCACGCTATATGGTGAATTGGACTTGTCTGTGAATTGGACTTGTCTGTGAGGTCGACTTCTCGCTCGACGAACGGAATACATTTTATCCCTCTGGTTCATTATGAATTTGACTACTGTGGACATCAACGAGCCCTGCCCAAACGGGCCGGGCCTCGTTAGTCTCCCCCCAGAGCTTCTACAGCTTATCTTGATGTCATGCAGTACTCCAAGCTTCCTCCAGCTATCCGTAACCTGCCGTTGGATATACGACATCGCGTCTTCTTCGCGCCCAGTCATACTACACCACCTACTACGCACCCCAGGCCTCAAGTCCTCCATTGACACGAGCCTGCCAAACAGCGAACTGTTTCGCCTTTTAAAATCAAGAACAGCTGAGCATCTATATGGCGCCAATTTCCACTCTAATTTGACCAGCTATATTTTCCGCACAGGCCTAATTGATACTCCCGCGTCTGCCGTGGATCCAACCGGCTCGTATGCTGCGCTTGTTGAGAAAGGCGTCGGCCGTATCTTCCTCTACCGCATTGAGCGTCAAACGGTACACCTTCGGAAGATCCTGGAGCCTCCCTGTAATCCCCCAGGGCGTGTCGAAGTGGTCAAGGTGATATTTTGCACCGACGGCTCGCTTGCCGTGCTACAAAAATTTGAACCTGCCGAAGAGGCTGAGCAGCCTCATGCTTATCCATTTATGCAGACTGCAATACACTATTTTGCCAATTCCAGCGCCCGTCTTATGTTTTATTCTTGGGAACATATGGGTGAAGGAACGCCTCAAATAACGCTAGGCGCTTTCCACGATATTGGTGCGTGGGTTCCGGTGACTCTTGATGCGAGCGGCCGTTCGAAAGTCGTGATAGTGTGGAAGACAGAAACTGTCCCGGAAAAGAGAAAGGTGACGCTGCATACGCCAGACTCGCATAACAATCTTCCAAGTAGCGCGGAGCTAAACGCTTGTATGTATCACCCTTCTCCCTCGTCACAAGTGATCGTGTGTGCTCAAGTTTGGTCAAATGCTAAAGCTAAATTTAGATGTATTGTATGATTCTGTGACTATTGTGGATGAAGACGGGCAGAACCCCGATATCCCTGCGGCCGTCGCGACACGGCCTCCTGTCCAGCCTATCGTCAAGCTTAACCTGAACGACTTCGCGAAACAGGTTAATATGTACCACCCTGCCTCCCCAATTTACAACAGATATATGAATTTACCAGAGCCCAATACGCAAAGCTCCTCCCGGCATACTGTAATGTTCAATTCGTGCCGGGTCAACTTCGGCTCCCATCGTCTTTCCTTCTCCATCAGCATTCCTTTCTACTGTACCCACGAAACAGACTATTCTCAACCAAACCGTCCAGTCTGTCACTGGAAATATCTTGCTCTTGGTGTTACGACCCACCCAATCCAGAACTGGACCATCGCCTGCCTGCTACGGTCTGAGGCTCGCTGCCGCTCTTCTAACTGTGAGCATATACCCAACCTCGAGCGCGGCCGCCGCTTGGATATATGGAAAGTAGTGGCTCGCCTTTGGGGCTATCAGGCGCGGAGCAATGCTCTTTCTGGGCTCATAGCCTCGTCTCCCAAGGGAAAGCGCTTGGCCATTGCCGATTGGAATACCGTCTACGTCTGGGCCTTAGAACCGGGAGTCATCATGGAGGCTGATGAGGAAAGTTCTTCGAGCTACTACCCAGACACAATGAAGGTAGATGGTAAACTTGAACTGAGACCAATCACCCTCAAGCCTCAGGCTGTCTGCCACAGTTTAAATTTTTCTAGTGAGGATGAGCTGATCGCATTAACAGATAAGGGGCTGATGAGGTGGAGTTTGGGGCCGAGAGGGACGGGGTTCAGGGTCAAGAAATTCTTGGATATGGAAGAGAATACAAAATCGGGAAACTCTAGCGTTGATACTTGGATATTGAGCTGATTTGAGCGGAGGATGCGAAGTTCTATCCAAGGGTGACGGGGCTGTGATGGACAGTCAAGTGCTCTGCAGTCATTTTGTGATGGGTAATCCTCCATTATTCGTATTAATTACCCGTAGACTATTCGTTATCATTACAGATATGTATGTACGGAGTAGACACATGTTATTTCGTTTTTTTTTTCTTTTTTTCCTATGGGGTGTAGCATGGAATTTTTCACTCTCGTTAAGGGGCTACGATAAGCTTGGCATAGAGCCCTAGTCGTCGTTGACACCCCCAACATTGAACCATCTTCCAACTCACACTTCCACCCGCAACATGTCTCTGTCCAAGTGCCATTCTCCCCACCCTTTTATAGGAATCGTCACCTCCTATGAGGATCGAATCCAGTATATATCAACCATTTCCCCCTAAAACCTTCTCCACGTAAAAAATGTCGGGGCTTAATGACCCCGCAACAGGCCAACCTCTCCCCGCCGATGCCATCCAGCGTGTCCTCTACGTGTGCCATCCCGTTCACGTCTACGCGATCCCGCCTTTAATGTCCATGAAAGGCTACACGGCCGCTGACTGGACTGTGCCCGACCCCCAGAACGAAGGCAAAACAAAAGAGATATTTGCCGCACGGCTTCGCATTCTGGAGACTGCTTACCCGATTCCTGCTCCTAGGTCCCGGGTAAGACCCGGAAGCCCCCTTTCTGCAAGCCCGAGTGAGGACTCGCAGGAGAAGGTGAAAACGGATATCCTGCTGGAAGATTCGAATACGGGTGATTTGTTCGCCGCCGCGCCGTATACCGACGCCAGCGTTGTGGAGCACACGATCGACTCATCGCGCTTTTTCGCTCTCCGAGTGGTTGGCGATGGGCGAAAGGCTGTTCTAGGGATTGGATTCGAGGATCGAAGTGAGGCGTTCGACTTTGGTGTTGCGCTGCAGGAGGCGAGAAAAGTCCTGGGCTTCCCGGCAGCTGGTGACGATAATAAGAATGCTACTGCTCGTTCGCAAAGACCTGCCCTGCTGCCTCCGTCAGGAGCGGGCAGGAGGCTTGGGATGACACCCATGAGAGGTAGGATGGGCAAGAGTTCTCCCAGGGCGAGTCAACAAGCTGTCCCGCAAGAACCTTCCGAGAAGCCTGATAACAAGCCGAAGGACTATAGTCTGAAGCCGGGACAGACTATTACCGTGAATATCGGCAATCGAGCAAACATCGATACAGGATCTCCGTCGGCTTCGGCTACGGAGCAGGAGGATCAGAAGGCACTATTCTCAATCCCTCCGCCTCCAGGGGTAAGCTCCTTGGGTGGTACCTCCGGTGACAATACGATCCCCTTTCTCCCCCCACCTCCTAGCTCAAAAGATAGCCGAGTGGACCGGCGACGAAGACCCCCATCAACACAGGGTGTTGGCCCCAGCGGGTTTGCCGAGGAGAAGGCTGGCTCGACAGTAACAGTTCCTCATGAGGATGACGATTTTGGAGAGTTCCAATGATCTAGACTCAGTGTCTTGGTTTATTATCTAATTCATATTTAGAAAATTACGAGTGCTATTTTTGGTCATAAATGCCATTAGGATCCTAAAATAAAAGTGGCGTTAACGTCCTAGTATAACCTATACCCCAGTTTCGCCTTGTGATATTTGGAGGTTGGTAGGGTTGACCGTAGCTGTCATATCCCTTACGCAGTGATCTCGAGCATAGCGTTTTGCAGTATGGCCACTGGCGGTTCCTGCAAGATATACGTACAATCATTTCGCCGAAATTTCTAAGCGAAAGATGGGTCACAATATCTCGAAAGTAGTAGAATTGCGGATATTCCTCATCAAAACCAAATTTGAATAAGTTCTTCACTGACGGCACTTGGTGTAAGAACGCCTCCCTCCGTGATCAAGGCGGTAATTAGATGTGGAGGAGTAAAGTCAACCGCATCACGCTTGCGTAAGCTTTTCGAGCCTTCTTTCGACTCCTTCGGCCCAACTGTGGCTGAACTGTCATTCGATATGAAATCAATAACGTGCTGGGTGATCGGCAGATCGTATTGGCCTAGTGGGTATAATCTCACAAACTTGTGGCTCTCTGCCACAACGTAAAACGGTTTCCCCACCGATTTTGCAAGGAGGCCCATCTGATATGTTCCTATTCGAGATATTATACCTCCATTCTCAACCACGCCTTCAGCGCCAACGATAACCATATCAACCATTCCCATCGAGTAAGCCACGGCAGACTCTGGAATTGTTGCTACAGGTACACCTTTTGACCTAAGTGCCAAAACAGTGTCCATGCCTTCCGTGGCACGGTCGGATTGGGAATTATCGCTGTCATCTCCATTATTATGAACCACATATATGACACGAAACCGCACGGGAGAGGAGCTGAACTCGTGTCCCTCCGAGGCAACTTTTTTCAGAAGGGCACCAACTACTCGTGAGCCACCATTTGTTAGTATGGTGGTTCCGTCCCGCACAAAGCCGCTTCCAAACGTAGCTATTTTATCCCTGCTCTCTTTCGCTCGTTTGATAAAGAGTCGGCCATTCGACAGCAAATGGGCTCTTATAGCATTAAAATCGCCTGCAGGTCCAAGTTTTCCCGGTCTTTGGAGGGTGCTAATTATATATCTTTGGAAAAGATCTGTGCCGGCTGAAAGGCCTATGGGATTTGGAATGGCTTGTTTTAGGAGTTCTGTGTGTGTTTTCAAGAGGTCAAGGGTTTCGGAAATCGTTGATGAGGGGGAGTGCGTTAGTAGTAGAACTAGAGCTTCTATTGCGGCAATGGGCATTGTCAGGTCTGGATCCGAGTTTAGAAGCTCATGGTATGTTGAGACGATGCTGAAAAGTGATCTGAGTTAGCCCACCAGCAGATTTAAGACGAATGGCACAATGCTACTCACTCAAAAGGTTTTGACGTATGTCCAGATCGATCCGCCTCGTTCCCCATCATGGAACACATGGAATATTGCTATAGTTCACAAAATGCTGGTTCCTGAGGTATCGTAGGGCCTTTGGCGGGGTGGCTCGGGTGCTTAGGTGAGTTTCTTTGCTGTAAAATAGAACTCTAATCACCAACCGAAGATTAGCCGTATAGAGGTAAATCTATAGCCTATTGTTTTGAATAGGAAAAGGTAGGCAAGCCTCAATTTAATACTGAAAGGTGTTGAGCGATGAAATGATTTACAGTACGGAGTACCCAGAAGTAATTGAGAGTCATAGTAATTAGTGTTTGCAGTGTTTGCTTGCGGCGGTTATTCTGGATTATATAATTCAAACTCTATTTTAGCGCGTTTTCCCTTCGGCCTCAATGTAAACAAACCAAACAGAGGGGCCTCAAGAGTGTGCTTGGGACATCAAACGGTGATTTCAGAGCGAAATGGCTTACAATTCTCGAGCAAGTCAGCAGTTCCATCATGGTAGTCAACAGCAACATAACCGCGGCCGGAAACCTAAAGAAGACGACACAGATGCCTTCCTGCGCCTGGTAAGTGGTAGCCCACCAGTCCTCGGAGCACTGGCCTAACAACTCCGCCCTTTGCTTAGCCCGACAAAGTCATCGCTGGATGTATCAATGATATTGGAATTCCATTTGCAGTAGCGGATCTATTGAAACCCAATCCACAGCAGATACAGATAGTGTTCGAGTGGTTTGCGGAGCTCTTCATGAATATAACACGGGAAACTGTTGAACCAGCAATGCAAGCGGCAGCAGAAGACATCTGCGCTGATTATGTTGGTATTATTCCGCCTGACTCCCGCAACTTGATGGCGTTCTTCGTGTCTTTGCGCAAGTTGATGATGCAGGTATGGATATCTGAGGCTACATCATTTCTTGTCATTTTTCTGCTCACACTGTTACTGAAACCAGTGTGGTGTCCACGACTTCACCTTCACGGATCTCACAAAACCTACTTATGACCGTGTGGCCAAAATATTCTCTTACTTGATTAACTTCGTCCGATTTCGGGAATCCCAAACTGCCGTTATCGACGAACATTTTAACAAATCCGAGAACACGAAATCTTACATTGAATCACTACAGGTCGAAAATCAGGAAATGGAACGGCGTTTGCAACAAATGAAAAGCCAACAAAAGGAAATGGAAGGGACTGTGAGGGAAAAGATCAAGAGAAATGATGAATTGAAAGCAAGGTTGCTAGAATTGAGGCGCAACCAGGAGCGTGTGGCAGAAACATTCGAGAAGGTGAAAGGAGACAAGGCAAGGACGCAATCAGTTTTGGAAGAAAAAACCGAGAAATTATTAAAGACCCGCCAAGAAAGCGAGAAGCTACGCCCTTACGTTTCACAAAGTCCAGCAATTCTCCAAGCTGCCCTTACGGAGCTATCGGAAAACCTGAATCGAGATAAAATCCAAATCGATAATATGGAAAGACGGATGCGGGCGTTGCAGATGTCGATGGATACTTTTGGTGTAATAAGTAACGATGTACAAAGTTGTATCAAAGTTCTGGAGGACGTTTCTGCGGAGTTACAAAAGGAGGAGGAGGAAGATGCAAGAGCCATTCGAAATAGAGATGCTTTAGCTGAGAGAGGGAACACTGTCAGGGAGGTTGCGCAGACAGAAAAACTTCTCCAACGACAACTGGCACGCTGGCATGAGCGAACCGAGGCACTTCGAAAAAGTGCACGAGAAAAGGCAGAACAAGCCCAAGCAAGAATGGAAGAATTACACAGCATACAGAAACAACTTCGAGAAGAGAGAGGCGAAAAGCAGCGAGATATGGAGCGCCGAAAGATTAGGATTGAACAAACAGAAAAAAAGGTATGATCATACCTGATTTGATACCTGGTTTCTAACTAAGATTCTACAGATGGTCGACCTGAAGGAGAACATTGAAAATGAAATCCATCGGGCTCATGATGAGTATTTGAAGATGGAGTCGCATATAAAGCTTTATATTACGGAAATGGAGAAATGCTTATGAACTATTGAACTGGACGGCGTTCAAGTGGTTGCTTTGGTTTTTCAAGATAATTATAGCCTGTGGGATTGGAGTCTTTGGCGTGCGTACAAAACGACTTTGAAGCAAAAGGCGCCTTTCTTTCTTTTTCGATTATACATTTAGCATGACCAATTCTTCTGCTTCTGTTGTGTCAAAGCGGAACCATTTCCGTACCACCATCTTTATTTCCACAGTTTGACCTGCCGCTACTTCGTGTCGCTTCATTTTATCTGCGATATTCAATACTGGGACTCTGGTATTCCAGATACTGCCCGAAGACACAATGTCCCCATTTTCTGTCATATCCTGACACTCGCACAAGACTAGCCTTAGCCTCTCCCTCGCAGCGGTCTCGACAACCAGGGCAAGGCTTCTTGATATCCCCTGGGCTGAGAATTCACAGGTATTGAGATGTAGAGCGGCAAGGCCAACGATGGCGAGCACTGGGGGCCTGTTACGGAGTTCACTTTGGTCAGATTCCGTTGTTGATCTTGGGCATGTAGTATATGTTCCTAAAAACGCTCGAAAACTCTCCAGAGTTGGACAAAATGACAATGTAATCTTCTGGGATTTGTCAATTATGTCAATTGTGTTTGAAAGAAGAGTGCGACAGAAAGGTGAGGCGGAATTCTCAGCTCCATCCCCCCCAGCTTCCAACTCAGGCAGATGCGCGTGAGACTGCTGCTGAATTGAGAGGCAGAGTTGCTGAAGGAACTTTTCTTTGCTCCAGCAAACAACCAGTTTAACGCCTGAAGAGCTCTCTTGCAAGATGTTCTCTAGAAAGTCACTAATGAAATCAAATAACTTGATAGTTGGGCAAGGTAAAGAATTCATGAAAGACAGCAGTTGGAGCTTGTTGCAAGACAGCGATGCTATCGGATGTATTCCATTTCCCTCGGTTTATTCGAAGTTATTATAACACACCCTTCGGAGTCTTGATGGCATATGAGGATGGATCATTATTTATCCTGGTCCGGGACGTTAAACCTTTTACAGTTAACTAGATAGTGACGCCACAGGTTGAGTCCTCACCGAGTGCCAAGATCTGCCATCAGCGTATAATTAATTGTAAGGGCAAACCACTGTCCAGGTGCAAACAACCCCCAACCTTGTCGTTCAAACCTCCGGGCGTTAGCCCGGTCTTGTTAGCAATGGAAACAGTATCGCGAATTTCTTCTATGCTTGAAACAGGTATATATACATGCCCTCTCCCCCGATGTTTAAGCTAATGCTTCATACCCTCAGCGCGCGAGCTCACTCTTGAAGCCGCTCAGTCCGCCAGCAACAGCAAATTATATCGATCTGGTGGCTCTCCCCGGAATTCAGCACAAATTAAAAAGCTTTTAGATAGTAGAGTTGATCGGGAAATCCTCGATGGGCTGCGGAAAGTCGTTTCGGTGAATTCTAGATGCCCTGATTTCCCCCCCCCCAACTTTAGGATAGGAAGCTGATATGAAGGAACTCTAGTTGATGTATAGATCTGAGTCATGCGCCCCATTCTTTTCCTCCGTCGTCAAAAATGTCGCAAGCCCAAACGTGGAAATCAAGAAACTCGTATATATATATCTTCTCAAATACGCAGAAGAGGAGCCGGACCTTGCGCTTCTTTCCATAAATGCGATCCAGAAGTCATTAACAGACCAAAACCCTCAAGTTCGCGCGATGGCTCTGCGAACTATGTCCGGTATTCGGGTACCTGTGATAAGCCAAATCGTCTCGTTAGCGATCAAGCGTGGGTGCGGGGATATGAGCCCCCATGTCCGCAAAGCTGCTGCTCTAGCTATTCCAAAATGCTATCGATTAGACCCCAACACGATGCCTCAACTCACAGATTATCTTTCGACTCTTTTGGGTGATACTCAGTATTTTGTTGTTGGGCCAGCTGTCGCGTCATTCACGGAAGTCTGTCCAGACAGACTGGATCTTATACATAAACACTATCGCAGTATCGTGAGAAAGTTGGTTGATATGGACGAGTGGGGGCAATTGGCAACCTTGCGACTTATGACGATATATGCGCGAAAATGCTTTCCGAGAAGGACTGAAAGAGTCAAGAAATCAGCTTCTAAAGGCTTTTACGATGAAGTAGAAAGCAGTGATGATGAGGATAATGACGAAGTGCTCGATATTCTAGTCATGGACTCTGATCTCGACCTTCTGTTAAAAGCATGCAAGCTACTGCTTCAAAGCCGAAACTCGGCTGTGATTGTTGACACTGTTCGCTGTTTTCGATATTTAGGCACCATTGAGCAGTTACAATTGACAGTAGGTCCATTAATTGCACTACTTCGTTGCTCACAAGATATTCAGCATGTTGCATTATACAATATCATTGCTGTGGCGTTGTTGATACCCAAAACTTTCACTAAATACGCATCTCATTTCCTTGTGCGCTCGACAGACCAGGAACAAATAAAAATTTTGAAAATGGAAATTTTAACCATTCTATATCCCTACTTTGGACTGCATATGAAAGGAGTTATCCTAAGCGAACTTGAGCATTTCTCGAATGGATTCGATCTGGCTCTAGTTAGAGAGAGTGTGCGAGCTATTGGCAGATGTGCTGAGAGCGACCCCAGTGTCTCAGATAAATGTCTGCAGATCCTTCTTCGGCAACTGTCTAGTGCTCACGACAATCTGGTGTCCGAGGCTTTGACTGTTGTACGCCACCTCGTTCAACAAAACCCGGCTTCACACACAAGTACCGTCGTCATGCTGGCAAAGCGTCTTGGAATCACATCAAGTCCGGAGGCAAGGGCTACGATAATATGGCTAGTTGGCGAGTTTGCGGGAATTGATTTTGAGAACAACATAGCCCCTGACGTGCTCAGGATCTTGGCTCAAGGTTTTGCGGATGAATCTGAGACGGCGAAGCAACAGATTGTGCTTTTAGGTGCCAAAGTTTATCTCCACCACCTTCTCAACAAACCTCAGGAAAGCGCAGAAAGCCATGTACAAGAAGATCCCTCCGACAACGCGGATCCACAGCCACCAAAAGAAGACACTATCACCACGCTTTGGCGGTACATTCTTCTCCTAGCCCGGTATGACACTTCTTATGACCTTCGCGATCGAGCTCGTCTATATAAAGCGCTACTTGTCGACCCCACATCAACACAACTTGCTAGCTTGATTCTTCTTGCACCCAAGCCAGTTCCTCATGCCCCTTCGCCGTCTGAGTTGAGAAAAGGCCTCCTATTGGGAACTTCTACGCTGGTTATTGGTCCTGATGCCGGCATGCATGGACTCCGGGGGTACCAAGCCCTACCAGACTGGGTGGCTGCAGGCGAAGAACCGGATCCTACACTAAGGGATGAAGAAGTGACAGATGCTGGAGTTGGGAAAGGCTTTGTTACAGCTGGTGAACGTTTGGATAAGGCATTAAAGGATCATGATGCCGCGGCCGCTGCAGGTGCTGGTGCTAGTTCGAGTAGTGCTGTTGCAGCTGGTCGAAATAAGTATCTCTCGTTGGATGAATGGCTGGATGAAAGCGAAGAGGGCGAAGAAACTACAGAAGAAGAGAGCACTGAGGAAGAGAGTTCGGAAGAAGATGGGGATGAATACGAAACTGACGAAGTGGACGACGATGATAGCGGCCAAGCTCAGGCCGGGAGTTCTCGTGAGAAGGTTGCATTAATGGCATAAATTTGGGATCTAGCATTTGGTATTTAGTTCTTGGGGCATAGACCACCGTGGAGCATTAGAGATAGATTTCGCCCGGTGCCGTATTGCCTCTCTGCTCTCAGGACCCGCAAAGCTCCCGAATAGTTACATGACGTCATTCCGGCTATCGCCTGCAGTAGCGTCGTCTTGGATTGCATCGCGGTTGGGGTGAAAAACGATCACTTATATTAAAGTTGTGAGCGGCAGAGCCAACACGGTACGACAGGAGCGCCTTCACACGGGTATAACTAGCCCAATTGTCCTGCTGATACCGGCTCGCTGCTCCTATGGACAAAACCACCCCGCGATGTCGAGTTCTGCCCACCCGAGATTAGGACCAGATAGACCGTCCCTAATTTCACCCATATTCCATGCTTCCGAGCTTGACACGAAGGATCGCATTTGTGCCGCTTTTACCGGGCGGGGATCATCGCTGGGACAAAACAGCCGATTTTCTTTCCATACGCCGCCCAAGCCTGACCCTGTCAAACATAGCGAGACGGGCTCGCAACCCAGCCCGTCGTCGCTGCATTTCACGCAGAATCTCCAATATCTTGCCGCAGAGCTTGGGTTCAAACCCGAGTTCTTGACATGGCCAAACGGCGCTTGGCCGCATTCCGGCAAGGTGATTATTGCAGAAGACGTTGAATGGGATGTGAGCCCGCGAACGGGCGGCATCGTACCTGTGAAGATACAGGGCAATGAGCGAAACGCCGTGGCATACGATGGCATTGTGACTCGATCTCCCCGTTTTGTGCTTGGAGTGCAGGGTGCGGACTGCCCTTCAATATTCATGTACGCGCCTGAATCCGGGGTGATTGGCCTGGCGCATTCTGGCTGGAGGCCACTGGTACGAGGCGTTGCGGGCAATATGGTTCATGCAATGATCGGATGTGGGGCACAAAAAAGTGATATAAAAGCGTATATCAGCCCTGGAGCAGGCGATCATTACAACCAGTTCCACTGGGGTGCTGAGATGGAGCCACATATCCGCGATGTATTTGTTCAAGCTGGGCGTGAGGATCTCCTCCAGGCATCTGACCTGAGGCATGAAATGACTGAAGAGGATAGACAACAATTGGAGATGGCTCTAGGCAAGGAAGTTTTGCCTGGGGCATCGTTCAAGCTCACGGAATTTGCCTCTTCTGAGCTCCAGCGCTATGGTGTGAGTTCTAAAAATATCATACAGAATGATGATTCAACCATTGTGACTCGACAATATCTACCAGATGCCGTGGCAGACAGCATGTTCCGATATCACTCATATCGCCGAGAGTGGCCTAATCATGGGCTTAGCATGAGCGTCCTATTCCTGAAACCTGGCGGGCGAAGCGAAGGGGAGACATAATATTCAAATATAACAACCCATGTTATCCATCAACGCTGGATTTGGTCGTGCTGGCCTTAGACTGCTTTACTGGTTACTTGGGGCCGTTTCGCCTCCCAGACACTTGAGCAGGCGGGAGATGATTCCTTTTCGGCGAAGAAACAAACATTGATCGCCTCGAAGCTGCCTCCATCCGTGTGAACCTGGTGCTTAGTCGTGGCCTCTGTGGTCAGCAGTACTTTCTTGTCTCTCACAGAGGCAAAAAACTCGAACTCAGCGCCCGCAGATTGTCTGAAATGGTCCTCTTCTCCAGGTAGGAGTCCATAGGCTGGTCCAAACACTAGCAACGCCCACAGTTTCGTGAACTTGGCCAATTCAATGAAACCCACTCTTCCCATCTGTACCGTGTTATGTGTGAACCCAACAACGTTCTTCTTTTTTGCTCGTTTCTGTACATGTGCTGTAGCTTGTCCGTTGATCATGAGTTCCTTGTAAAAAAGGACATTGCGGAACGATGTGTCCATTACACTAAGCTCGACTGCGCTGCTGAACATTGCTCCCGAGCCAATTGTCAGAGATGCCAACAGAGCCAGCGAACCTAGTTGTGTTGTACTATCTCCGGCGCTGGCAATCGATGTCCAGGCCGCAAACCCTGTAGTAATAGTGATGCCCACAATTGTCACAACATTTGTTATTACTCTTTCAAGCGCAATACTTCCTGCTTGAACGGTAGATGATATTTCTTGCTTCTGCCAGCCACTAACCGTGTTTATAGCGCCCTGGTCTTCCTCGGGCAGCGAGTCCTTGGTGACATCCGAAGCCTTTGGAGCGATGCCCCCTTTTAGAACACAATTCTCGTATGGAGGAAAGGTCGCACTTGTAGCAGGTTTCCCAATCTTTCGAAACACAGGGGCCGAACCACCTGCTCCACAGGCTTTCAGCTGCCCCAAGTCGACCGAAGCAAAGGAAGCTTTGTTCAGTAAGCTCCATGCTGCACCGGCTCCAAGCAAAGTAAAGAAGCTTGTGCAAGATTTCCACACATACCAGGCATGGACGAAGAACGCGGTCAAGTAGATCAATACGACAACAAGCCGCGGATATGCATCCGGCAGCTTCTGACCTGTGAGAAAACCATTGAAAATTAATGTCGAGATGACCATGGCCAGGACCATCCACAAACACACCCATTCCCAAATAGCCAACTGGACCATGCTCTTTGTTAACGATGAACCCGTTGTCAGCCAGACCGGTGGCGTTGGGATTCTTCGCTTTGGAAGCGCCTCACACTGTGCTACTCCTCTCGCTGTCCGGCTATCACTGCTGTCGCCATCTAGCTTGCCTACATAGTAGAGTCTGATAGCGTCTTCCTCGGTGACCTTCGCTAACGCTGACCCAGCTATATGCTCTGAGGTACTTGTATCTGGCCACGCTTTGGAGAGAAGATTGCCGATATTCGCCTTGATCGCCGCCAACGGAAGCTTGCTGGTGCTAGACAATCTTGTCCCTGGGCCGATCAGCACGGCATAAGTTACTGTCATCAGCATGGCACTCAGCACTGCGAGTGACGTATTCACACCCCGGTGTACACCTTGGTGCGGGTTTCTTTGTGCCTTGGGGTTATCTCCAGAGTCTCCTCCATTTCCCACCGGAATAGGGCCCGTTGGGCCACCAGGAGATGCACCCAAGGGTCCATTTCCTCCAGTGCCTGGTGTCCCTGCAACAGGGGTTCCATAAGCCACCGCAACTAGGAAGAGGAGACACAAACAAATAATGACCGTAGAAGATCGTGCCATGGCTTGTTTTGGCGTCCTGTATTCTTCCTCTCAGATAAGCTAGTTTTATACCTTTATCTGCTACTCTCAAAGACTGAGACTCACGGGCGCAACTTTTCACGATATGCAGCCAAAAAGCAAGGCACCAGGGCCGTTATCATCACCTCGAAACTCCTTGCGCGTGGTGCTCATACACCGGAGATTGCGCGCAAACAAAAAATGGAGAGCAGCATCCGTTGACTAAGTCTCTTGTCACTCTATCTTTAAAGAAATTTATCAGTGCCACCTGACTGTCAACATTACTCCCCTGAAATACGGAGTACTGGGCTCGTCCCGCAATGGGCCTGTAAGCACTAAGGTAAGATTGGACCCTCGTGGGCGGCTCCAAAAATAGTCGAACACGAGGCAAAAGGAGCACGCAAGGCTGCATTTTCGCCTTGCAATTTTCAAAGGCTCGTAAATACGGGGTAACTACGTACGGAGTAGAATGGAACATGCCTTCAGCCATGCCATTGTGATGAAGCTGACGTCCAAGGCGGAAGTGGGATTTTGAGCAAAACTTAGAAAGGGGAAGTATATTTTGGGATTCTAATGCTAGCTAACTAGTCCAGTTCCACAGCATCAACCAACTCCTCATCGACGGGACAACAAAGTGCTATTTGCCCGGCGGATTGCAAACTTTTTACCTCATTGTGGCACAGTCGTTCTTCGAGTGGATACAAGAGCTGCTTTGCGAAAGTACTCACTGCTCAGTAAGCTTCGATGCAGGTCAAAGTGGTTGCTTTGCAAAGGTGGACACCAAAAGCTTATTCTCCGTCATAGAACGGGCCAAACGAGTATGATTTAATGGACCTAGGAGCGGCTGGAAATATGAAAGCAATTTTGATCATTGAGCGCAGTCATACCAACCGGGCTCCGTTGACGATTACGTGACATAAGCTCCCCAAAACAAGGAACCCAGAGGTTTCAGACAGGTTTTTCTGAGCCTCTCAGCCACGAGATTAGACCGTCGAGCACAGCGGGTATATATATATTTATATCTCTCTCTACAAATGATGGCTGCCTTACCCGAGAGATAACATCAGTTACTTTATAAATCTCGTAGAGACAATTTCCGCCTTCAGATAGCGGCACTTCTTCTGGATATTCGATATTGCAAAGAAACTCGGCAAGAGAGTGAAAACACAGTATATGGTATCTCCATATCTTGAAGATGACGGGCACTGACATGTGCAGAGTAATCATGAACCTCGAATTGTTAAAAAAAAAAACCTGAGTAGGAGGGACAAAGCAAAGCGATTAGAAACGTATCTGAATGGAAGTTTAATAAAGTATCTTCCCGCTCGTAGATGAATGAAATAAGGTTCACTTTGCTTCCTGGTTCATATTTGTAGTGTTGAAAACAGTAGCAAAGCTATAGTGTCTACGTCTGGTGATTATTGCCGCTATGACGCAGAGAGTTTTGTCCAAAAGGACTTTTGGATATATGTGAGCTTCTGGAAGCGAAAATCCTGAGAATCTCATAAAGAGACTAGCACTGGTAGAGCCTTAGGCTTCAAGTTAAGACACGCGGAGAATTAATAATGCCAAGGGTATGGGTTATGGAAGGAAAAGGGAAGATGGATAGTACAAGACTGTCACTGAAGATTTGGACACGTTTTACCATCGACGACTGAGCGGAATTAGCATTGCATAGACATTGTAGATGAATAAGACGAATGATACGTACCTATAAGCTTCGGCAACTTGGGGCTGGCGTCGCTTTATTCTTGGAGTCACGTCGTCAATTTGCCGACGTGGTTCGTCACCGTCACTATCAGCGGAATCCGTGGGCTTGGTTCGCTTATGGTGGGTTTGAGCATCCCAATTTTCATTGAAATCATTGGCAGGTGTCGGCTTGTTGTTTATTATAGTTCTGTGCTGGTAAGAATTTTCACCGGTATTATCACCGACAGTATTAAAAGAGTCATCCGGGGTGCCGATGTTATATTCCACCGACTCTTGCTGTGGCTCAATAGGCTCCTCATTTGGAGGGGGGGGAGGGGGGGGTAAAAAATGATGCTGCCGACCTCCGCGCCGTCGAAATTGGCCTCTGAAGTTGTTTGGCCGACGTTCATAAACATTTCGCTGGTAACCAGAGTAATGGCCGTTGTTAGCCCACCGGTTATCCCCGCGCATATCTTGATCACGGTCGTATTGATTTTGCGGTCCTGCCCACTCCGCCGGGTTCTGGTGGGAATAGCTGTCCTAAGTTAAATTGGGCATCATCTGAAGGAATAATGCTCTTTGACTCACAGTTCCAGCTGGTCGGTTTGGCTATCTTTCTCATGAGATTCTTGGTAATCATCTGGCTCAATAGTGCCGTCAACATGTGGCGAAACAGGTACGTCTTGCCGTTGAGGTGAGGAAATAGGCGAAGAGGCCTTGGGCGCATCATCATTGACTTCAGAATGACCACTGTGCGTGTCTGTTTCATTAATCTCCTCTTCATTGGCGTCCACAATATCATCTTCTATATTTACTTCCTCCTCACTTACGCCTTCCTCACTGTTCACTTCTGGTATGGGTATAGGTGACGTCTCAACTCGGTGAGTCTCATAAACTTTGTTCCGGATCTCAATAAGTTCTTTGACCGAAATAAGGTCACTATTCATCGGTATTTCGAGGAAAATCGGGTCATCCATCATAAATGGCCAATCCTCGGTTTCTCTGATATTGGAACCAAATTCATCGGGCTTCTTGTCTAGAATATATTTTGATATTGACATACCACGCGGTAAGGAAGACAAAGGTGGTGGGATCATTGCGTCATCTCGATCAGTCCAAGTGGAGGGCAAAGGGCGTGCCACAGCTTGCGGCGGCCTCCAAACTGCAGATATTGTGAGTATTGAATGGCCGTCAATCCATACATGCTATTTGTGCTTACCAATATGGCTTGGATTGCCTCGGTTATCAGGTATGTCCAAACAATCTAAATCATCCATCCACGGTTCAACTACGGGTGCGACCGAGCGGACATTATCAAAGCGTTGCCAATAGTCTCGAGGTGGCCCGCGACGAGAATCCCTGGGAGGTGGACGGCGCTCCGGGTGGTAGGGATAATCTCTCTCATTAGCATGGGGATATGGTGAGGCGATGTAGTCATGGCGGGTGTGCATAGAGCCATGAGATCGGTGATTATGATATTGTGGTCTAGATCCGTAGGTAGGTCCAGCATAGGGAGGCTCGTGGCGACCATACGGAGGGTATCCGTAGGGTTGAGAGTATTCGGGATGCCAGGGCTCGTGATGGTCTGTATACGCGCCGGGCGGCTCGTGCGGCCCATCGTTCGACATGTACTGATAGTCTTGCGAATGATGAGGGTACGTATACCCTCGCTGAGGGCGCGATCGTCGTCCTTGTGAAGGTCCCCCCCGATGGTGTGACTCTGCGGAACCCGTCATTTTCTGTCGTTTTGAAGGGTGTGGATGTCTGTGGGGCCCGCTAAGATTGGCACAATCAGTTGGCCAGGTACCATCAGAGGTACAGTGTTAATCAAGAGTCGGCACTTACCCATGGCTGTCCTGGCGCCGTTCTGGGCAATGTTGAACAAAATGATCCGGAGAGCCACAGTTGTAACATGCATGAGCTGAAGGGCGTGGGCCTAGGGTATCAGGCGGGCCATTTTGCGGGTATTGGTGTTTTCTCTGTCTTTTCAAGTGGCCTTTGTTTCCTCGCTGCGGGGCATGAAATGAAGAATCAAAAGGCGGGCGCGGATCCAGGCCGCTATCAGGTATACTTGAATTCGACATTCTTGCTCGTTAACCCACAGCACAGTGTGGATCAGGCAATGAACATGAAGAAACAGTTATCACTGGATGTAACACGATGGTATCATGTACACAGAGCACACTGAGGGTGAGGTGAGGGCAAAATATATAGACTACCCAAGAGCGCAACTGCAGCAATCACCGCGAGCCTGTTGGGAAAGAAGGATACAGACGCTTAAAAAATACCGTAAAGACACCAAGCAGCAAGGAGATCCAACCAAAAAATAATGACTAAATGATATTCAAAATCCAGAAATATGCAACAGGCGCATAGGTAGTCACGCAGCTTTGGTCAAAGTTCTTCTAAAAGAAGAGAGCTACCTATGCAAGAAGCTGCTCCCTCGCACATTCATGGCGCAGAACAGAGCCTGGGAAAGGAATGAATGATTCCAAGAGGCAAAACAAGGCAACCTGGAAGGAATTCCAAACCCTTCTAAACATCTGTGATGAAGGGTGGGCGGGGTGGTTGGGAGAGCTGAGAGCGACTGTGGAGGAAGAGGACAGGAAGCCAGGAAGAAGTCAATGATCCTCATCGCATGGTGGATTTCCCCTGCAATCACGTGCAGGCTAACGTGGTTGGGAAAGGTGGAAAACCTTGAGATCTTGGGTGTGCCCTATTGGCCAATGAGGACAACATCACGCCTGGCAATTCACAGGACTGATGGAAGCAGTGCACATTGGAGTGAATGCACATAGCACATAGAAGCCCATAGTTATTGGAGTGTGCTCATGTGTGTACACACCTGGCACATTAGTTAACTAGTTAGTTAGTTGTTCACTTGGTTATTAGGGAGCCATGTTTCGGAACGCCTCAAGAACTACAGAAGAAGCGAATGCAGACTCTGCGTGTAACCAATGCGACCTCACTTTGGGCCGTCAGCAGCGGGCCAAGCGAGCACCTTGCTGTCTCCGAGATCGATCCTGATACTCCCTCTCCGCCGGCGCGCTCTTGATTCGCGTGCTAGAAGACCCAACGCCTGCGTTTGGATTAGCGGCGAGTTTATTTCCAACTCTCTTTCAACCTTCGGCTTAGTCATCACCACGCCGATGCTTTCGCGCGGTTCCGAGTGTGCATCGCTCAGAGGCAGACAGAAGCCCGTTCTGGCTGCTTCGTCCCCAGTGCTTGGAGCGCAAGCGTTGCAGCGGCCTACTTTTTGAAGCGCGCTTTTTATCATGGGCCTTATGCCCTGAACTCTTTTCCCCACCCACTCCCGAAGCAGCATAAACAGCACCATGCTAGAGTGTTGCCCTACTGATCCTGCTCCTGATTTCCTAAGGAGTGCTCTGTTTCGTGGATATTCATGTTCTAGCACATATTTGATAGGCATATAAAAGGTTTTTGCGTGACTTCGTACAGCCATGCCTGGCCTTCCAGGTTAGTAAAGTGACTACCCCGTTCCTTCTGTTGGCTTTTTGGCGTACGCTAATTTATGCCCCCCCGCGCAGCGAGCATCGATCTGGATGAATGTATTGAGCGGCTGTACAAAAAGGAATTGCTGGCCGAGTCCGTTATAGAGGCGATATGCGCCAAGGCAAAAGAGCTATTGATGAAAGAAAGCAATGTCGTGCACATTGCCGCTCCGGTCACGGTCGTCGGCGACATACACGGTCAGTTCTACGACTTAATTGAGATTTTCAAAATCGGCGGCTTCTGCCCAAACACTAATTATTTGTTCCTTGGTAAGAACTTTCACTTATAACCCCTTTTCTTTTAATATTTGAGGGGTCGCATTTTAATTATTGCGCTTGTCTGGATTAGGAGACTACGTCGACCGCGGTCTTTTCAGTATTGAAACCATTTCCTTACTCATATGTCTTAAACTGCGATATCCACAACGCGTCCATCTTATTCGAGGGAACCACGAATCTCGCGGCGTCACACAGTCCTATGGCTTCTATACCGAATGTGCCCGGAAATACGGAAACGCCAATGTCTGGCACTATTTTACAGATATGTTTGACTTTCTCACTCTTAGCGTGGTGATTAACGATCAAATATTTTGCGTACATGGTGGGCTATCTCCCTCCATCCACTCTATTGACCAGATCAAGATTATCGATCGATTTCGAGAAATTCCACATGAGGGCCCCATGGCAGACTTAGTCTGGTCGGACCCTGATACAGAACGCGATGAATTCTCTCTATCTCCTCGTGGGGCGGGATATACATTTGGAGCGCAAGTAGTAAAGAAATTCCTCGAGATCAACAGTATGTCTCACATACTACGAGCACACCAATTATGCCAGGAAGGGTACCAGATATTATACGAGGATAGATTGAGCACTGTATGGAGCGCGCCAAACTATTGCTATCGATGTGGAAATCTGGCGAGTGTTCTGGAAGTGAGTGATACAGGAGGGCGATACTTCAATATCTTCGACGCGGCACCAGAGAATAATGACATCCATCGGAATGAGCAACAAGCTCAGCAGGGAAAACATGCACCGAACCCAGCTTCCGAATATTTCTTGTGATGTCTTACTTCTCTTTATATGTGGCAACACCTAGTGACCTTAATGCGGGCGTTTCTTTTGCTTACGAAATAGATCCCTCTTTCCCCGAAAAGGTTAGAGGAAAGAACACCAGTTTCAGTGACAGAAAATGGACTCCTCTTTGACACCTTTTGCAAGCTTTAAGATGAAAAGACAAAATAAAAAAAGTGTGAAAGTAGCAACTTTGAAGGCTGCCTGTTTATCAATAGCTACCATGATGTTACGATATATCGACAGGAAAAATTCAAACGCTATTAAGAAAATTCACCAGTCCTTGGAAATATCGAACGACCATTCGAATTGCAAATAGGTGTGATCATCGTCGTCCACGAACCTCGAAAGCGCAGTATAGTGCCCACGGGCCAGCATACCAGATGGTGCCTGCTCTTCGTTGACTAACGATAAGATCAGTATGGAGTACAAATCCACGGAAATTTTTCGAAGGACCTACATTTCTTCTCGTGGACCGGCTTGTCGGTGGTATTTGGCGCATAGCTTCCCTATACATGACTGTTAGTCATCTAACAAGCGCGTAGGGCTTGGTTTAAGGAATAACAGTCTTACAAGCATTTCTTGGTCCTTGCTCACCCTCATTCCCTTCCTTTTAACTACTTGAACGTATTTCAACCCGCTCAGCACTTCATGCTGAACCTGGAAAGTCGCCTTCATTCGAAACTTGGAACCTTCTTTGATTGTGAAGGGTTTATTTTTAAGCTGTTCAACGGAGCCCGGGGCAGATAGATCAACCGAGATATCCCTTCTTCCTTCAACTTCCAATGCGAGGGCTTTGATGATACATTTGCGGGGGTCATTGGGATCGGAGATCGGAGTGCCACTTCCTAAGCCCAGTGAGGCTTTCCATCGGTTGAGAGATTCATCGTTTGCATCTAGACGGAACGTTGGTCAAGTTAGCATAACAATAAATATGTTTTAGAGAGCTATGGCGGTATGTATTATAGAGGTCGAGCAGGGTGTATCTGTTTGCACAACCTGAACCAGTGTACACCATTGATTGCAACGAATACACTCCGGACGAAAGGAATTGCAAGCAAAGGTGCGCCTGAATCAAATGGACTGCCAACTCACCGAGTTGTTGGTACTCTTCCACTGTTTTCTTCTCGCCAACCTTGAAGCCCTCCGTCTTAGTAGGGTTCAAGTCATCCTCGTGCTCACGGTCCGCCATGATGAGTAAACCTGGGAAGACAAGATGTCAATTGTCAGATGCACGACTTCTCGGACAGGATAAACACCACGTGGCTAATGAAGCAATCACACCCAATAGGGGTTTGGGGCAAACGAACCTCCTTTGGGGCAAACTAGTGCGCAAGGTAATGCAGAGCCCGGAGTGCAAGCCAGAATGAGTGAGTAAAGCGTGTGGTGGAGGGATTGTCGTGAGGGCGCTGGAGGATGTTGTTGTCTTGATATCGTCTGTGAGGCCGAAACGAGGGGTAACTTAAGTCTGAAGTGGCCCCAGTCGAGTTGCTGTTTGGCTCCGAAGCTCTGGTGGGGCGACACAGTGCGGAACAGAAGCGCTTATATAAGCATAGTTAGTGAACTCAGTGCAACGCACACTCCATCTTCCCTGGAAAGGGTGTGCAAGAGAAATGATAGATGCTTGTAGAGAGTATCATGCGAGAGAATTCTGGATAAAATCGTTATGCGAATCGGCTATTTCTGATGCTTTAACGTCCATATACTTCCATACGACAGTTAGACCCAAAACTGGGGCGGGCGTTGATTGTTCGGAACGGCGAAACCCAAATTCCTTCCGTCACGCTACAACAAAGTTGGGTAGCTTAGTAATCAAGGGCCAGTTGTGGTTTGGCGCGCCCCGGCTCACAAAGCGGCACTATCCACTAAAGCCTGCGCCAAAGATTCTGCTGACAAAGCACCCCAGCCCAACGCCCCTTGTTGCTCTCATCGCAACTTCGACATTTCTCTCTTGCTGACAGCAACCGGCCATATCGCGTCCCTACGGCTCTTATTTGTTCAATTGTTAGTGTTGATCGCAAACAGTCTAACTTGATTCCTTTGAAATTGCCACTTTCCTTCATCTCCGCTCTCATACCCCTCTGCGCCCTGCGACGCGATTACTGAAGGAATTTAGGATAACGCGCTTGCAACGTGGCACCCGTTTTTCTCGTCACAAAATTGCTTTGTTGACTCGAATAATCATCTGCTATATCAAGCGCATTCTCTAGCGCCCGCTTTAACACCTTTTGATTGCCTTTTTGTTTCGTTGTCGCCATGCGCACCCTCCCAGCAAAAAACAACCCTATGATCCAGCCAGATGCCTCCCCATCGCGTAAGCTCAACCTTTGCTTTGCTTCGTAAAAAAACGCGCTCATGAGCGTTGGAATAAATGTTAACTACGTTTATTCCTTTTGGGCGGGAAACTAACGCGTCTTTTTGTTCGTCGCATAGATGAGGAGCTTCTGTCGCGCCGCCGTCTTGGCTCAACTAATTTAACTGTCAAACCGGATCATTTCAACACATCTAATGCTACCAGACCCGAGAATCTTGGGGTTTTTGAGTATGCGCATTTACGGGCACCGCTTCCCAAAAACCTCAAGGGATCTGAGATATTCTCCCAATCTACACCGAACCCAGACACCTATTTTTTGATGGTGAGCAAGTGAGCCCGTTTCGAATTCATACAGCCTATACATTTAGATCTTGATCTAGTATTAATTTTTTGGGGCTTAGCGACGGAGCAAGGATGGGTATGTTAGCGCAACAGGAATGTTTAAAATTGCTTTCCCTTGGGCAAAACACGCCGAAGAGAAAAGTGAACGCGAATATCTCCGAACCCGTTCCGAGACGAGCTCTGACGAAATAGCGGGAAATTTGTGGATCTCCCCATCACTTGGTATGCTTAGAGATACGTGCTCTTCTTATTTTTCTGAGTCTAACTAGTGATACAGCTCTTGAGTTGGCTGAAGAATATAAGATGTACAACTGGGTTCGTGCACTTTTGGATCCAACCGATATACCCCAGAACCCCACGAAATCCCCAACGAAATCTGAGAGGCTCATCACGGCACCACCAAAGTTTGATGTCTCGAAGATCGATAGCTCTACTTTTGCTCCACCACCATCCACTACTCGAAGTAGAACGTTACGTTCTGCATCGCCTTCCAAGCCTTCAGCCAAGTTGAAGGCCACTCCGCGCAAGAAGACGACAAGGACTATGAAGGAACACGGAACACCATCTGCGCTGGCTGCAAGTGAATCTCTACAGAGTTCTCTTGACGCTGTCACAGATGCTGCTTCAGCTATTGAGAAGGAAGATATTCAAGATGAGACGGATCAAGCCGAGATAAATGGAGGGGAAGAACATAGTGATCCAGAAGGAGAAGAAACACCAGTGAAGAACTCAACGGACCATGTGAAGGTCAACGTCCAGTCAGAGACGACAGTCGATACAACAGAAGATTTGGAGACATCACGTACAACAGTGACCGTGGAAATGCCTAACGGCCTTCCAGAATTGCCCCTTCCGCATGATACCGAGGAGATGATCGCAAAAGCAAAAGAAATGGTAGAGGAAGCCGCAAAGTTACATGAAGATGGTGAAGAAACTGTCGTTTCTTCAAAATTATCGAGGAAACGAAAAGTTGACGAGACTGCTGACGGTACGGAGGGTGCTGATGCTGAAGTTATGCCCACACAGCCTGCAAAGAAAGCAAGATTTCTCGAGGCCAGATTAAGACGCGAACGTGTTCGGAATAGGGCCCTTATTGGAGTAACTGCGACACTAGCGATTGTGTATGTTGTATACGATTTCTCTGTGACGCACCGATCACTGACATTTTGTTAGGGCTACTATTCCCTATTTCTTTTAGAAATCTCCTGACAGATGGACGGAAATGATGTTCATGTCGCTAAGCATTTCCCATAGTATTGTAGGGAGTATACCTATCTAACAAAGCTGGCGGCTACGGCATTCGCTTGAGCCGATATGCATTCTGTTTTGGACCTTCTAGTATTATCAGCTCGAAGCCCAATTCACCAGTCCCTAGACGAATTTTACCGGGATCTGGGAGTCTCGTGTATATCAATTGGTTTCTGTCTTTTCTTCCTCATCTTTTAGTCTTATCCAGCAACTTGTACATTGAATCTATTGCTCTCAACCCCAGACCCCCCCATTCCCTTCTCTTCAAACTTACAGCTATAACTAAAAGGGTTTTTCATTATATCTTCCCTACATCTCATCGAAGCTTGACACACCGTCATAATGTTCGCATCGATCAAGCCGTTTTTATTGTTGACCATGCTATTCATCTTTATCCCTTTTACAATTCCGCCTTCCAGCCCAGCATAGCATTGAAATCGGCTTTCATTCACTCCTTCGGCACCGTAATGTGCCGAGTTCGTTGCATCCTCGGGCGATTCAGTCTTTGTCCTTTGGGCACCCAGGTTCCCTTATTTGACACTTTTCTTTTTGGTCCCTGGAGAGATTTTCCTTGTTCAGCATTTCCTGATGCGGCTATTTCAAGTCTGGCTACGCTTGTCAATAATTTAGTTAGTTGAATGCGAATAAATACAATTAAGCCCTCCTGGTATGCAGCATCTAGAATTCTTATAATAGTCACCCCCCATATCATAGTGGTTATCTCAAACTCACTTTTCCAGTGAGGGTTAGTTAGCCACTTTGCACATCACCAAGTTTCTTGAACTACCTGCGACAAACAGCGCCAAACAGCTCCACGCAAACCACTCCCCACGGAAATACCAAAAAGTTTCAAATCCGCCTATTCGCGTTCGATCCAAAATATAATCCTTGATACTTTCTTTATGTTGACAGAGATTAGCAGCGGATCACAATTCAATGTCCCTACCAGGGTTGGAGCTTTCACAGCAGACAATTGAGGCCCAGAGAGCTCCACCACCGCCAACGCAGATTACTCTTACTAAGGGCTCAGAATGGAGATTTGAAGTCGCGTTTGGAAATACAACTCGGGTGAAGGTTCGTAGTTCTGTGTGGAACTTGATATTTGTTTTTCATGAGGAGATAGGTGGCTGCCGCGCAGCTGCTCACAACTTGAGGCATATTACCTACAAAAGCTGACCGTTGCCCGAACCCTTCGGAATTCTTCGTGATAGCTTCTCGCCGGAACCGCAGAATTATTTGGTACTGAGCTGGCCACATCTCAAACATACACATTTTCTGGCACGAAGGCCGCAGTATACACCTGGCATGGATGCACTTTGGAGGTCACAACAGGGGACCCTGTCGCCTTGGGGCCTATTGGCAGTGCGCCGATACCTCCTGGGCCTGGAAATGGAGGATGTCAAGTCGAATATACGGCTGAAGAAACACCTATGGCGGAATATGCCAATGTACACTTTGCGTTGGAAACCATGAGGCAGGAGGCCAAAGCTGCGGGCAGAGATGGGCCAAGGGTGTTGATACTTGGGCCGGAGGATGCGGGGAAGACCAGTCTAACAAAGATATTGACAGGCTATGCGACGAAGATGGGTGGCCAGCCGTTAGTGGTCAATTTGGACCCATCAGAGGGGATGTTAAGTGTTCCTGGAGCATTGACAGCGACTGCGTTTCGATCAATGGTCGATATTGAGGAAGGCTGGGGGAGTAGCCCTATGTCTGGTCCTAGTCCTATACCTGTGAAGCTGCCACTTGTTTACTTTTATGGCCTACCAAGTCCGTTGGATGGAGACGGCAGCTATTACAAAGCTATTATATCGAGATTAGCGCTAGCGGTGACCGGGAGGATGTCCGAAGATCAGGAAACCAGAGAAACTGGGGTGATTATCGACACGCCTGGAATCGTTGGTCAAGGGAAAGGCGTTTCAGAAGATATCATTCATCATATTGTTACAGAATTTTCGAGTAAGATATCACTTTACCTTACATTTCCAAAATTATTTATACTGACAGATCTGTCCAGTTTCTACAATTCTCGTCATTGGGTCAGAGCGACTCTATAGCTCAATGGTTAAGAATTATGACAACAAGCCAATCGCCACGTCAGCAACTGCTGTTGCGTCAGACGAGCGAATTTCAGTGGTAAAGCTCACTAAATCCGGCGGCTGCGTTGATCGGGACGCAGTTTTCATGAAATATGTCCGCGAGTCTCAGATTAGATCATATTTCTTTGGCAACCTTGTTCCTTCTACCGCATCATCAGCGCTCTCTCTCTCCTCCACCACCACAGGAACCACGATATCCCTTTCGCCACACACATCGCAGGCTGATTTTGAGACTTTGGCCATATACAACATTAACATCGCCACAGATGGCGAAGAAGATGAATACGATCCCTTAAAATACTCCCTAAACGAGTCATTTCTTCCAGGTGGAGGTAACGAGTCCGACACCAAGACCCCCGCAACCTCACTTCAACCCTTGTCAAGCCTGATCCCGGGCTTGGGAACGGATTACGGTCACAACTCTTCGAATGGCTCAGCTGCGAATATCAGTGCGCCCTTCAAAAGGCTTCCATCACCAGCCCCATTATCTCTGGAAAATACACTTCTTGCAATCACCCATGCAGCTTCCAATGCATCACTGGAGGAGATTCGCGATTCTAGCGTCATGGGATTTATATACGTGGCGGATGTAGACGATAAAAAAGGACAAGGAGGGAAACTGAGACTATTAGCGCCCGTTGGTGGGCGTGTGCCAAATAGGGCAGCGATTTGGGGGAGAAAATGGCCCGGTGAGCTGGTAGGATTGGTCGGATAGATGGTGATTTTCTTTTGCTTATCTCTCTCTTCTCCTTTTATTTTTCTTTTGGTCTGACACAGTTCAGTTCAGCTTCAACGTCACCTACATCCTAGCTAACAGTGGATTAGTCACTACATTTAGTGAAGGCATAAGAGAGATATGACGCATACTATGAGAGTTTACTCCGTATAAGAAAGAATAACGAATAAAATTAAAATGAATGTGTTTATTCTAGTATACAAGTGTTCAGAGTATCCAGACATATTTGGAGGATGCTTAACTATAGTAAAGGAGTGGCAATGCTGTCCAGCCAGCAATAGAACAAACAAAGAATAGGATACAGCCAACTTTATGCGAACAGTAATGACAGAAAAGGCATATATGCAATTATCCAGCTCCACAAATGCAAACCGCAGACAAATAGAGATCGGAAATACAGGTAAAGCAAGACTTCAGCAAAACAACCAAAAAGAAAATAGACCAACCGTTGGAAAGATGTGATGTTTAAGCCCCAAGATCTCACAGTGGAAATGACCAAATCACGATATTCTCTTCATGCAACTCGCTTCCATTCATCTGCATTTCTTCTTAACTCCATATCGCGATCATAGCCACGTGCAATATCATCAAAAAACCTTGTCTTTCTCTGTCGGAACTTAGTCTCTGCATCGTAACGTCTCAACACTGCATTTTTCAAGTAGCCAAATTCTCTAAACCGAACTGCATCCCAGAAGATAGCTCTCATCCGCGGACTATACAGGTAGCAACTGGCCTGCCTTTCTTTGCCCCTTACCAAACCCGAGCCTGGGAGCGAGCGCAATTTGCGAGAGATTTTCTTTGCAACGGACATATTCGCAATTGGCCAGACAATATCGTCGTAACAATCCTCGCATATAGTAAATTCTGGCAATTCTGGCATGTAGTGCCACTTTCCTTCGACAAGGTGATCCCGTTGACAGGGGTAAATTCTGCTCTTCCTTTGGGCATAGCTGATGAAATCGCTCATATCAATATCATTCCGACGCTCCCGAAGGCTTCGAGTAACAGCAGCGTCGAGTAAGTCAAGGTATGAAATGAACCGGGTACTATCAACACGGAGATCACAAATGCCTTCCTGAAGGGCCAAGCCAGATCTAAATGAGTTGCTGAGGGAAGGCATGATGATAGATAAGTTGCGAACACAAGCAGAGCACGCCTTAAAATCAGGAAAGTCTCGCCTCGTATTGGGGTTTGAAACGCGATACCAGGCTTGCAAGGATGGGTCTCGACCAGTGCAGGGTTTCCCACCAAAGGGTGGTCGCGTAATCTGGTACAAAAGCTCAAGGTGGTTCAGGCCAGATTTCATGGTTTGCACAAAAGCTAGCCGAGGCCAAGGCTCACCGAGAGAGCAAGAGACTTTCGTACTGGGACGTTTGGGAGGGCTTAGCATAAGCAGGTCCCGGAAACGAGTGGCCCGTATTTGGTTTGCGCATGAAGGGCAGAGATCAAGGTGGCCCATACTGCTGATAGTGTACCAGTCACGGTAGCCCGCCATTGGAATGGATCTTGGACAGGGCGAGAGTAAAAAGTTCGAACTGTCCATGGGGCGCCAAGCAGAATTGGTTGCTGAAACTGTTGAAGCTCTGGGTCGGGAAGGAGAACACAAAGTCACTACGGCCGGTGATCGAGCGGATATATTGTCATTTGCTGAATAGGGAGTCTCGGAATCATACCGAGAGGTTCGACTTCGAGATCGCTCCGTCTTCAAAGGCTCCTGAGCGGCATTCCCCCGTTGGGAGTAGAGTGGCAGATCCTCATACTGCCTGATAGAACTTCGGTGACGAGTAGGGGCAGCGATACTAACATTTGACTCTTGATTCCCATACCGATCTCTACTGTGATCTCGTGTCCGCCCTCTAATTTGTGTTGGCGAAGATCTAACAGGTGAAACTTCCGTCGAAATTGTTTCCGTCACGATCCGACGCGACTCTCTAGATTGAGTGTAATGCGTTCCACAACAAGACGCAATTTCATCATCGCTATGCCACTCATATGTTTTCTCCTTTTTCCATGTAATATCGCTCTCTGGTTCCCTCTCCCAAGTGTTCCAGCTCACTCTTCGGCCCGTATATTGCGCATCGTTGGGGTCGGTGTATTCATCGGAATGACGAGCGCGTCTTCGAAAATCTGGGAGGCATTGGTCTCTCTCATATTGTCGACAACTGAACGTTTCGTAATCCTGACTGTCAGTTGGAACTTGCGGATAATCAGAGGGCTCGGGTAAGTATTCAACACCGTCCTGGATATCAATCGGAAATCCAATGGCCTGCGAAGGGGATGAATCCAACTCGGGCTGGCCATTCTGTGACTGTTCTTGTTGCGACTCCGCAAAGCGCACTTTATTCTGTCTTTTCCTGGACTGACCGGCAGTCGATGTGATTCCTCTGGGGGGGGTCTTGGAGGGCTCAGTAGTTGTGTGGGCATGTTTCATATTGGCATCACGACATTTGCTGTGAGCTGGTTTGACCTTTGGATCCGGTGCTTCCGCGGGCATGATGACGGGATATTGATCAATGGACCCTTTAGACCGCACTTGGATGTCATCACAACAAAGGCTAACCGCTGAACCATCTTCAAAAATTTCATGTAGAAGCGATTCACTTTCATCCTCAACAAGGGGCGCAGGAGGCCAGCTCCGTGCGAACGTCACAGTAGAAGGCATAGCGACGAAGGAGTGATTTGCAATATAACACCGGATGACTTGACCTGAAAAGGCAAGTCACAAACTGAAAGAACCCCCAGACGGTATTAGCTGCTAGAGTGCTTCCATGAGAAAATTTTCCTGTAGCAACAACCTCAAATCAGACATGCCCTTTAGGAGGTTTGGTTCCGATGGCAAGAAAACTCAAAAACGGTACAGGAAGATAAAAAACAACACGAACTCCGTAGCAAGAAATCAAGTTCCAAAAGGGGCGATCCGGCAAGGGTCTTCAACACATAACAAATTTCCAACGGTGGCTTTATTCTTGGCTGGTTAGCTACTCATCCATGGTGAAGAGAAAGGAGAAAGAGTCGTGCGGAGGGGATCAGTCAATCTTAAGTTTAAACAAGAAGAACTATGTAGCTACCGGATACCTGAAAGGCCGGCGTCTTTTGAGTGCCGATTCGATGCTCTACCCTTAGACTGAGGCAGGGTATGGGTAATGCATAGTACACAGCGCTACCAGGCGCAAAGAGAATTTGCCATGCTGTAACTCGTTGTGGGGAGAGTGCCAGCAACTAGCAGCGCGCGAAAAGAAACAGATTTTAGTTTCGACGGGGCAACGCGTTTTCAAATTTGGCGTTTTATTGGCCAGGGCCAGGGTGAACAAGCATAGCTTGCAGCCGGGCGTGAAACCGATTCCTCACCATATTGAAACTCCGAGAAGACGAGCTTTCAAGGGTCATCAACCACAGGAAGTTGCCATCCGCATGGGCTCCGTAGAGGCCGGGGAAATTCGTTCCTCCACTTAGCTAACTAGTTAACTAGTTATGGAGTACGGAGCAGTTGCTCCGTATTGTCAACAAAATGCAAAAGGCAGGGGAATGGAACGTTCATTGTTGGACGCCAACACAGCTAAGAATTTGCCCGACAGCAGGGCGCAGCTATTTCGGCCAAACGGGAAAGTACGCCATACTCTGTATTTTTTAAACACGAGACCGAAACTCGGTCATCGTTATTCGGGTCAAAGAATGGATGCCTGAGCTGTCAAGCCGACAGGCGGGGGGGAGGGTGCTGTGTGACGCCTGACAAGCCTTGTTGCCCTCCGGGCGTGTCATTCCTGCCCAACTCAGCGGCTAACTAACTAGTTAGCTAGCCATAGCTGCGCCATAGTTTTGGGGCGTAAGTCAAGGCTGCAGGATAGGGCCACTAAAGAAGGGTCTCTGAACCGACGCTGCACATCTTCTATTCCGTACTCCGTACCTTGAAGAAAATAATAACAAGTTTGCGATTTATTACCCGTGGAACCTCTTATCCTAGAATTCTTAGGTCAGTTAAATGGGAAAACGCTACCTTCTTGTCATCATCCCATCTGTTGTTCTCTGAGTCGCGTTTTATTCAGAATGGCGGCGAATCTGTGTGGTTATACGAACGGTATCACGCGGCCGTGGTACGTCAAGGCTCTACCATCAAAAAGGACCTCAGGAACCTCTAGTGATGTCAATCAGGACAGGCGGTCAGCTCCTCCATCCAGCAAGATGCCTCCACGCAAGACCATAACGCCTTGCGCGCCAGATCTTCCAAGCAGTGAATGTGGTGTTTGGGCGAGAAACAGGACACCTTTGCTTTTTCGGAATGAAAAGCCCTATGCATCCTGAAGTTTCGAATCGGCGCCCAACGAAGGGGGCGAACTTTGGTGACCGTCGACGGATCGTCGCAGCGCGATGGTGATGGAGGACGTTGACTCTCGCGGAAGCCCAAGCATGACCCGAAGCAGAAACAGCATGGAGGGTGCTGACTAAGACGGAAATGACGGAATTGGTGGAGAACGGCGTGGGCAGCCGGCAGCGGGCACGTCGTTGCGACGCGCCTTTGTCGCAGCCGCGGCGGCGGTGCTGGAGTGTGGTGAGGCGATGGCCGCGCTTCGACATTTGTCATTCAGAGCGGGGTCTATTGCCCGCGTACAAAAACCGGTCTTCGCCTTGACCCAAGCAGCTCCGCACCCATTGCTTCTACCATCGGCGCATGTCCGTACAATGGCGACTGCTACCATCCCAACCACCCAGAAGGGCATTCAAATCTCCCGCATCGGCGGGCCTGAGGTTTTAGAATATCATACTTCTCTTCCGGTTCCCCAACCGGGCCCCGGGGAGGTGCTAATCAAGAACAATCTCTCTGGCGTGAATTACATCGACACGTACTTCCGCACCGGGCTCTACCCCGCTCCTAAGCCTGAGATCCTGGGCCGCGAGGGCGCCGGCACCATTGTTGCAATTGGCCCTGGGTCCAACCAGCAGAACTTCAAAGTTGGGGACCGTGTCGCCTGGCTGAACACCGGTGGTTATGCAGAATACTCTATTGCCCCAGCAGAGAGGCATGTGGCCAGGATCCCAGACGGCGTTAGCGACGAACAGGCGTTGACTGTCCTGCTAAGTGGGATTACGACGCTGTCGCTAGTAAGGGAAGCGTACCCGGTGCAGAAGGGAGACTGGATACTGTTACATGCTGCGGCGGGAGGTGCTGGCTACCTTATGACCCAGATGCTGAAAATGGCCGGTGCTAAAGTCATCGGTACGGCTGGCGGTCCAGAGAAAGTGGAGCTGGTCAAGAGCTTGGGCGCTGATGCGGTGATTGACTATAAGTCTGCTGAGGGTCAAAACTGGCTTGAAAAGGTCATGGAGCTCACAGGCGGTGAGGGCGTCGCCGCGGTTTTTGATTCAGTGGGCAAGGATACGTGGGAAAACAGCATAAAGGCTGTTAAGCGGAAAGGGACAATGGTGTTCTTTGGCAATGCCAGTGGCCCTGTGCCCTCGTTGAATATTCAGTATGATAGCACCCCTTACTTTGACTTTGAGGCCATTGCTAACAACCACACCAGGCTTCTCTCTGCAAAGAACATTAAGCTTATGCGTACTAGTTTATTTGCATACATAGCCACTCAGGAGGAATTCGACTACTATACCAAAGAACTCTTTGATATGGTTGAATCAGGGAAACTTCAAACCAAGCTCCACAAAATATACCCCTTAGAGCAGGCTGCGCAGGCACATATTGTACGTCTATATCTATTCACGCTTCATTCATCTTAAGAACAAAACGCTAATAGTTATCATTCACGTATAGGATCTTGAAGGCCGGAAGACTACTGGCAAGCTCCTTTTGAAGCCTTGATGGATTATTACCCTAGTTGCCCCATAATATCACAGAACTCCAAGTGTATATTGAATGAAGTCAGGGTTATCCGAGTATGTCGCATTTTTGTATTTGTATTAATTCCCGACCATTCCTACCTGAGATTGTACCTCTTCTTCAGATTCAGCAGTGTTAAGAATTGTATCGGCATCGTTCTCTTGCGGCAGCCAGCAAAGATGATCAGGTCGAATGTCTCTTGGCTCTTTCCAGCCGACCATTGCCTGATTTGGTAAGATAGTGTGAAAAGAACAGTGCATATCCAAAACGGTATCAAAATACTTAATCCCACAATTAAGTTCCCTCACATGAGCTTCGACCTTCATTCCGACAAAATAGAAACGAAGGAAGCTATCCTCAACGAAGAATTCAAAGTCTGCTAGAGTCGCATTTTCTTGGATCAAGTCGTCTTGGAATCTACTTATTGAATAGTCTTTTGAAAGTAATTCGGGGTTATACCAGGCTCTCGCTTGAACCTTTCCAACTGGTTTGAGATCGTTAGCATGGGCATGATAGAAGTCTTTGATATCGGGACTAGCTGGTGAGATCGCAATGATCTCAAAACCACCTGTATGGACAATCCTGGAGGTAAGCTTGTCGTCGTTCGCCAGATCACGAAATCGCACGGCTTGTTCATGAGTGCCGGCTCCAGCAAGCGCAAACTTAACCACTTTTCGTGCGACTATTTCAGACATTCCAGCAGGGTCGAATCCTTCACTCCATTCTCGATCGCCAGTATACGCCCCAAAGTACGAACCTCCGAATAGGGTGGAGCATGCAATATTGAAATCTCCTGGCGCCGTCAAATTGGCTTGCTGGATATTCCATAACTGCCTCCTTGCTTCATCACAAATAAACCGTGCCGACATGATATTGTCTTTATATTCGGGGCAAACATCATGATGTAGGATATAGTTCAGGAAATTTTTGACAGTGCTGGTGACTAACTCGACTTGTGGCTCCGTTTCAAGACCAATATACTGGGGGATCACTGATGAGCTAACGATACAGTCAGCCAGAATGATAAGAAAAGCGTAGATACGGCAGCATACAAAAAGCCCTTGACAACCATTTCAAAATCAACTTCCCAGTTAGCGCGGTCTTCTGGGATATTTGTTTCGGCGGTCGCAGTGATTATTTGCTCAGAATCCAAGCGTTGAAGGTCCTTTTGATCGTTGCCTTCAAACATCTTTGGGCCAACCTTAACCCCTCCAAACGAGAGATACTTTAGGAATATATCTCTGCGCTCCGAATTCATTCGTCTCTTTGTTTCATAGCGCTGAATTGCGGTTTCCAGGCGACTGCCCAGGTTATTTAGCACCTTGTATAGATATGGTACAAACTCTTAGAACTTACTGAATTATGGAAACAGAACTTAGATGAGATTAGTATTAGGGGGGTTATCAAATCGATGTTGAGATACTTAGGGAAAACTCTCACTTACAGGTCGTAGAGCTTTTTTTCTACTTCGTACTCGGCCGGGGTCACTGGAGCATCGACATAAAAATCTTCAAACCCAGTAGGCTTTTTCTAGAGTGAAAGATCAGGGACAGTGTTGGATAGTATACAGTCGTTAGAGGCCTCACCTTTTTACCGCCCTTACCTGTTTTCTTCTTTTTCTTTTGGAATTTCAATTCTTCGCTCGGACCACGGGCTGCTGTTTCAGCGATTTCATTTTCAGGCGTTCTCCTATCGTCATCCCCAGGGAAGACAGTAACAATACTAGCTTCTTTCGCTAATTTTGGCTGATACGATAGCGCTACAGTCGTAGTGGTAGGTATTTCGGGGGTAGAGGCTGCATTCTGAATCGAAGAAGCCATAGCTGGTGCCTTTGAAGGAAGAGAAGAGTACTGGGCAGTAAGATCAAACAGGAAGAACCAAAAGAAAACAGAGTATCAAGGCTGGGAAGGCAGAGAAAAAATGCCAATTGACAGAAAATATGAACAGCCTTGAAAGAAAGCTCAAAGGAAGGTCACAGCTCCCCTGGTGAAGCAACAATGAAATTCCACGCATCACTACACTCTTAGACTTTTAGTGCGTCGTAGTGGGCGACAAGAGCAGCATGCTGTGATGTCTATGGCAACTAAATGGTAGAGCAAACAATATGTGCTGTTGTGAATGTTGTCATTTTTGGAGCATCTTAATTGTCCAGCTGTCTATTTGGGCTGAGGGTAGTTAGGTTGCTAGTTGGGAGCATAGTGGAAGGGCCCAAGAGCTTCTGCTGCCACTTTAGAACCAGCATTGCACCTTCACTGGTTAAATACATAACTCCTCCGTACCTCTGATGACATGCATGGCAGCAAAAATAAACAAGAATAAACTTCCTGTCGCTAGTTATGTAACTAACTAACTAACTACCATTAGTAATAAAGTTGGGTGTTCTTTCCTGCTGGCTTCGCAGGTGCCTGTTTCACATGTTGAACTAACTAGCAAGTTAGTTAGTTACATAACTAATAAGGTAGGCCCTCAGTAAACATCACTACAAGCAAACTGTCATGAGCCCCTCAATCCTCATAGAAGCACGCCTCAATACCAACTCTCCACTTCTATCTGTTTTGTATAGTTATTTGCTTGCTTTCTGATAAAACCAGGGTTTGCTAAACTGTACGGAGTAAAGATGTCAGAATTAACAACAACCGAAGGGAGAAAGTCCGCCCAGGTACATGAAAGCAGCTTTGTTGCCTTTGATCACGCTGCAGCTGGGCAGTAAGGTTGCCTGCCTCACTGAAAAGTATTACTTACTGCTAATAATACTTCTTTCTTCGTATAGTGATGGTGTGCTCTGCCACGAAGATGGTTCTCTGATAGCAAAGCCCTGTACACCCCAGGAAATCGAATTTTACGAGTCTAGTGCCAGGCATCCCGAATTCCGAAAATATATGCCGATATTCATGGGTACACTGGCGGTATTTTCTGAAGAGCCAAGTAAACCTGCCACTTTGCGGCCCCCTGAGGTATCTGCCGCGCTACCCTCCTCATCTGGTGCGGACACGCCCTTGACTCCAGAACTATCTACCCATCCAGATCTTGTTTCTATTGCCAAGGCTTCCCAAAATAAACCAGAATGGGTTCCCTCTGGTGGTAGGAGAATAGAAACTGGCTGTTCCATCGTTTTGGAAAACGTGGCCGGTGGGTTTCAGAAGCCAAGCGTGCTGGATGTGAAGCTGGGCGCAAGGCTTTGGGACGATGATGCACCGCTTAGCAAACGGGAAAGACTCGATGAGGTATCAAGATACACAACCAGCTCTGGCCTAGGATTTCGCATTGCTGGTATGAAGACTTGGATTGGTGAAGCTGCTACTCCCTTCTCTGGCGAGCGCCTTGTTCCAACTGAGAAACATATCCCAGGCGATGCGAATGAGGAAGTACGGCGTAGCATGAAAATAGTCGAAGAAGAGGGTTACCGACGCTATGACAAATATTATGGCAGGGCTTTCAATGAACACAACGTTAAAACGGCAATTAGAAGCTTTCTTGATAGTGCAAACATTGGAACGACCGATCGGTCCAAACTTATTGCACAACGTATCGCAGCACGACTGCGGGCAATGCAGTCTATGCTTGAAAAGGAAGAAAGCCGAATGTACTCTGCTAGCATTCTCATTGTCTATGAAGGGGAGCCGGAAGCCCTTGAACGAGCACTAGGCGAGGAAGAAGAGGAGAAACAAAAAAGGTATTATCAAGCAGGATCAACCCCAGAAGTCGACTTTACTGACTTAGTGTTAATGAGACCTTCGCAAGCTAGCTGTCAGAATGCGATTACATCTGATGGTAATCTGAATGACGAGGAAGTGGCAGAGGTACGCAAAGTGCTTGATATACGATTAATAGATTTTGCACACGCTCGGTGGACGCCAGGGCAAGGCCCAGATGAGAATGTACTTCAGGGAGTTCGGAGTTTGGTCAGCATTATGGAGGCGCTGGCGAATGGTTAAAAACAAATGACCAGAATGAATTAACTAATAACGTTGTGAAGTATTCTTTATATTTTTGTTAATGACTAACTGATGCATTATTACTACTAATAGAACTAATTGAGACATATTCTTGTGGCATGGCTTCATAATTGCTCCCCTCCAGAAACCATTGTAAACACATGGAAATAATCATAACATTGAGGGCCCCCATATGCGTCCGGTGATATAAATTAACGCTTCTTTAGACTGTTCCTTTCTTGCGTCACCATCCAGTGAGATGGTTCTTAACTATTTGTTGAAATAGCTGAGTATGCATCACTGATTCAAATTCAGTGCCCATGTAGTGCAGATAGACATACATTGGACAATCCCAGGTAAAATGATAGTCTAGAATTACAGAGTTTTATCTCGTCCGTACCTAACATCATGCTCCTTCATATTGCTAGGTCAGGATGTATTTAGTACGGCGCACGGAGTACGGAATACTGGGAAAACGGCAAAATGACTGGAAACTTTGTATGGTTAGTAATAAGGTCTTGGCGAGACTGTACGGAGTACAGAGCACGGTAACTCCCAAGAGCGCAATGATACTCCCTAAGCTGATTTATGATATAATCTCGATTTTACACAAGTTGCTGCGGGCAGAGAGAAGCAAGTTAAAACTCGCTTTTGGACTTCATTTGAATACAGTGAAAAGTTGACCATTAAAGCGGAATGTTCCCTACGCGAGCACTTTGCAAACGGTCTGTTTGGAAGGGTAAGTTGCACCTCATGTTTTGCTTTGCACTTAAAGAGAATTGCATCTGCTAACCAATCTTCATCAGGGCCGAATATCGTCCCGTACGTTCCCGACCGTTTGCTTAAATACCCTTTATTCTCATGACAGTCAAAAGTTGAGTTCATACCTGGCGCATATGCCTCTAACGTGACTCTTAGTCTCCGCCTCCCACGCACCATTCCGCCGCCCCCGGGCACACCTCCAATTCGAACGGACGCACGATCCGCTACCATCCTGCCAAACTTTGTGGGTTTGCGATTCGCGGTACATAATGGCAAGTCATATGTAGACCTGTATATTACAGATCAGATGGTAGGAAGGAAACTAGGCGAGTTTGTACCGTACGTTATCACACTTCGTTTAGGGGCCGTATGCTGAAACTAAATTAATTATAGGACTCGAAAGAGATTTATCCATCAACCAACCAAGAATTCTTAGATATGCTAGCAGAATTTACCTGGGAAACTACGGGCCTAATGTCGAGATTTTTATGCCAGCGCGCCTAAAATGAAACACGTTCAAAAAATCTGTAAATGGATTTTATGGCATAAACATACGGCAAACAGTGGGGCCTGTTTGCTGGGTGTTTTTTGGTTTGTGTATTATGGATATGGATTTTTATCAGAAATCGCGGGATCGACTTCATATATCATGTGTTGAAAGATGACCTCCAGATGTTCATGTTTTCATCAGTATATCGAGCGCAGTCATTCAAAAGTCAAATTCTCTCCCAAGGGTGGTTTTATGTCGTATTTATCAGTCAATAAGAAGAAAGAATGCGAGAAATCATGCGCTGTCCAGCCTTAAGCTTGAGCTCCCTTCCAACACCAAACGCCGCCACACTGAACTCCGGAGACAACCAGTACCAATGCTATAGTAGTTAGATAGCAAGCACCGCTATTCCAGTGCTAAAATTAGCCAGCCTGAATGGGAAAAGATCCAGGAGTGTTGCCATATCGACTTCCTCAACGATAAAATTCCCCTCGCTTCACGGTGACCCCATACTCCGCTACGGCCATACCTAGATCTTCCATTGTGAGTACAGTCTTGCCTTGGCCACTGCCCTGACCACCACCACCAAAGCCAGATCTTTGAACACCTAAATGCATCCCACTTGTCCCGCCTTTTCCTTTTCCTTGCTGCTCGCCAGTCGAGCCTTGACCCCCAGCACCAGCAATATTTCCAGTCTGGTTTGCGGCTACATTGAGACCAGCTGTTACGTTGATTGCGCCCATGGGGTTGTTTGATGTGGAGCTATTAGAGGCACGGATGCGAGAGTACTGGTAAGCGTCTGCGGCGATGTCGGCGATAAACTTCTGTGTTGCGAGGGCTAAGAGGCGAGCAAGATGAGGTGGTGTCTGGTTTGGTCCGTTTCCTGGAGGTGGGAGACCGGCGATAGTTAGGTAGTGAGCTGTGACAGCATCGGGGATCTAGAAGCCTGAATATTAGCCGCGAGGCATAACAGCACAGATATACGCCACAAATGAGTACAAACATACAATAGGAGCATATTCATCCATTTGTCCCAAGAACTCTCTCAAGCTTGTGTGTTTTTTTGTCGGGGGCGCGATCGGATCTATTCAATTCAGTATACCTTCATCAGGGCCGTTGGCTTCAAGCAGCTTGATTAATCGTACCAGAATTCGTCCCATTTGCCAGGCCATTGTTTCCTTCTGTACTAGCATTAGGATCAATATCCGTTCCTCCCATAGTCACGTCCTGCGGCCGTGGGGTTCTATCGTTTCCAGTTGTGACCACTGGCTCTGGGGTCCTTGCTAAGGGGTCTTGAGGTGGCGGTGCCACCTGCTGAGCATCTATTGGAATATTGGATACCGAAGGTATTCCGGGCGACGTTTGTGACGTCTCTCTCTGCCCTTGTGGTTCCGGGTTTGTTGTCGGAGGCGGTTGTTGTGCGACGTCGGGCTCTTGTTTGCTTGACAAAGCCGGCGATTTTGATTCGGCCATGGTGTTTCAAGGTCCTTGAACGGCCAGAAATAAGTCGACAGTTGAAAGTAAAATAGACACGGACTGCACCTTGCGCTGCAGTCTGCGACTTTGACGATATGGCCTGTAGTCGATGATCCAGCCGATCGCGCACCGATGAAAGGACTGGACAGGTACGTAGAGAGACAACTGACTTTGAAATAAGGACGACCGTTAGGGAGTATGGGATATCGAAACAAGCTCGTTCTAATCAATTGAAAGCTGAGTGTCGAGCAGACTTATAACAACCAGAGGAATGGAAGTACGGAGTAGATGTTGTCAACCGGAACCTGTTATGATGCTACTAACTTGCCATCGCGAATATGTAACTTTGTTAATCAGATTAGGTAGTTACCTAGGTTTAGGTGGGATAGTCTTATTAGAGCAACGAGGCATAAACTTCAGGTATCTGAATTTTATGAAATCTTACTATTACAAGGATTGGAGTCTGGAGTGCTCTTATTCACTGTTCATGTGCAGATATTTAAATTTTTAGATCGCCTAACGAAAATAAATGCATACGTCTGGAGTCAAATAGCTAGCCACTAGCAGCACCACCATATTAAACAGATTAAAAAAAGATACAGAAACAGCCCAAAGAAGAATAAGAGCCCTATACCGGATTTTCCAAGGACGGATCAACAGCATTTTGCTGTTGGGGAGGTCCTGGGTTTTCGGATTTGGCTTCCTGTGTTAATCGTTGAATCAAAACTTGTTCAGTACTCTGGTCTAGTGTTTCTTGGTGCTGTTCTTGAATCGGTGGGTAAGGAGGGGGGGTTGCCATAGCCATTGAAGGCATATCGCTCGGGCCATGTGGAGCATGAGCGCCAGCGAGCGCCATCATTCCTTCAAGTCCTTCAACATGAGCCTTATCTTCTTCACCTCGCCTACGCTCTCTCTCTCTTGCTTCTTGTTTTGCTGCTTGTGCCGGAGCACGGGTTTTCAACTCTCCAGTTACGAATTTCAAATAATAGGGCACCTCAATACCACTTTTTAGGAAGAAAAGTTTCAAGTTGCGGGCTTTATCCTTTAGCTGAACTTGGTTGCGATCTTTCAGTGCTTCGTTGATAGTGCCTCCCGGCCCAAACATTGCTAGAATCTGACTCCAATGCGGACCTTTTACTCGATCCAGACCCGCCATCAATGCGTTTTCTTCTTCAGGAGTCCATGGACGTCTTTGGCTAGGAAGTCCTGCTCGGCGGCTCGTGGGAGAAGATTTAGCGGTCGTGGCCATCCTTGCTCGCTCGTATAATATCTGAGTTGGCTGGGATTGTGAATAGTGTGGTATTCCGGGCATGTACCCGTAATTAGCACCGGATGCATTAGCTCTGGTGGCGGCAGACGCAGCCTGAGGGTTATATTGCTGAAATTGAAATTGATTCTGGAATGTGACTTGATTTGGCTGCGGTGGGGGAGGTGGTACAGGTACAGGAGCGGCGTACGAGAAATTCGGTTGGGTCGTTGTGGGGGGATTCTGAACTGGGGCTGGCGGAAACTGCTGTTGTGGTGGCCCCTGGGTTGCTTGTGGATGCGGATTGCTGGGTGGTCGAGGGCAAAGCCGAAACCTTTGTCCTTGAAGTGCAATCTGGGCAGCACGAGCAGCTCTTGCAACAAGATCAACTTTTCCAGCACTTCGGTCAACAGGGGGCTCCTGCCGGCTCGGTGCGACGGGGAATTGCGTTTGAAGGGGCATGTTACGAGGCTCGGATGCAGGCACGGGTGTCTGGTTAGAACATTCGGTGCCGTCTGAAGCCGCTCCTTTGTTCGTTTTCTGCTTACTGCTTTAGAAACGTCGAAATAAACTAAAGATTACTCCAATAGAAGAACTTACCTGGCTAGTAATCGAGTCAAAATTTTTGCTGATATATGAACATAGGTCTCTTAAGAAGTCCTCCCAGCGATATTTTCCTCGTAATTTGGTGACTAATTCCGGGTCATCAATTTCCTTTAAAAGAATGTCACGGCGAGACCATGCCCGTTTCACAAAATCAGTTTCACTTGGAGCAAGCTGCTTATTTCCTGGTCTTCGGGCAAGAAGCTGTGTTCCAAGATCTTCTGGAAATAGGTTATGTACCATCTCAGAGAGGGGCTGATCTTTTCTGTCCGTAGATGCAATGAATGCTTGGGTCTTTAATTCAAGAAACAAGGCGCCCTGCCCTTTAAGAAGGCGGCTCCCCTCAGGCACAAATATCTCCAGAAAGTGGTCGTGTAGCTCAGAAAAGCCAACGATCTGTGATCCAAAGATACTTGAGGCAAAGGTTGCCATGTTTGCTTTCCTAATGATATCGACTTGCGACAAAGTCGCGAATCCCAGCTTTGATGCTGACAAGAATGGCCCATCCATAGAATAGACTTTTTTCGTATGATCAAAAAGAGATCGCATGGTTGCGTAGGCATGCCCTGTCTCCGAATTTGGCTCCGATACAATGGACGTAATATCCTGGTAGCTTGATCGGGCTAATAAAGAAAGAATCTGAGTCGCCTTACGGGGTATTAGCAAATGGGTGCTAATACTAGTTCTGGGTAATACACACCAAATTGTCGAGAATTGGAAGGCTTTGTATTTTCCAGTCAGGGTTTGACTTCACGGCACTGAGTGTTGTATCTTGCAATCGTTCTTTCAAGAGGGATTGATTCTCGACCGGTCCGGGGTGGTCCATCACGATCGGTATCGTCTCTGGGATGTTTGAATTAGAAGGCGCACTGGTAGCCTCAGGGGATGCATCGTCTCCGATGCTCGTATGTGTATTTGCTTCTGGCCCGGAAACATTGTGAAATGAGCCGTCCGCCGTAGAGTCTGATTGTTTGCCTATGAATGTGGACTGAGCCGCAGTAGCTTGAACCAGCTGTTCTTCAATAGAAGGTACAACGTTGTCTGCGATTCCTGTTCGCTGCCTTTTGGAGGCTGGGCTGCTCTCGTCGTTATCATCGTCTCGGGGATGGGTGGTCTTCACAGCTGGTAGAGAAAAATTTAACCACTTGCCTCTATAGGATCCCAATTCTGGGTTTGGAAAATTAAAAGAAACTACTTACAGCTCGTAGGTTCGTTTGGGTCGGTAGAGGGGGGGGTATTCGCGCTGGCTTTGAGCCCTTTGGCGTCGCTCACCATGGTTGGCTGCTTGGGGCTGACAACAGGGCTATGTCCAAGAGAAGAAATAAGGGCTTAGGGGTAGGGCGCAGAAATAGGGCTTCAAGTGGAATCTCCCTGCAAACAAGCTGAACGCTGGCCTTCCCGTCCGTAATCAAGCGGCAACCGATGACTCCACTCAAAAATCCGGAATCCGGCGGAAGAGCGAGTCGATGAGCAATTGATTCCCAGAATGTTTCCGCAATCGCCCACAATCGCCAATTTTCTCGTTTCGCCTACGTCCATCCCAATTCTGCTGAGTCACCATCCAGGTGACATAAGCAGGCAACTCCGATGTTGCCAAGCCCCCGCTTAAAGAAGTTCACCTGCCAGGTTAGCTACTTCATACTCCATGCTATGTACGGAGTAACGTATGTTACGGAGTACAAGGTCACCGTACAAAGTACTCTGTACAGTGGTCGACATCAGCCGAAGGGAATCAATGCTGGCATGAAACCAAATACTGCAGCCTGGGCTGCCTTGCATTCAAGAATGAACATGTTGCTGGCAATACCGTTAATCAACGAAGCATGCTCACTTGTAAGATTTGCATAGGCTGCCGTAGTTACTCTTGAGTTATTTTATAAGCCACTGCTTCCTTCCTAATATGTTCTGTTCCTTCCCCGCGTAATGTGTTGTGTCCACCAACACACTGCCTCGCTGTATTCTCATCTTTCTTCTACTTGTCCGCTTTGCAACTTCTGTTCCACTGGAATTTTTCATTACTACTATACCCAAGGCTTCTAGTTCTGCGAATTGTTTATTCCTTGTCTCATTTTTCCCTCCAACATCCACAAAGAGTTAGTCTTCATTGGACGCCTGTTACGGATACGCCTGTGTCCCCGACATTTTGGCTGCCGGACAGAGGCTCTTTGGGCACCTTTTTTCTTTGCGCTTTTTCCCACCTTCATAACTCAGCTATCTCCACTCAAGTCTGCCGATGACCACTCTCTTAACGCATCTTTAATCCGAATCTGTCGGACGGAACATTGAATGACTACCGATTGACACTATAACTCCAATCACGCACGGCTCTTCCTATAAAAATTATTGAGGTACAAAATATTCAACATATACGATCATTTCTACTCAACTATCTGCCAACTATGTCTTAGACTAATCCTGATAGAAGGTATATAGGCCCTTGAGTCGAGATGAGTACTCATAGCCCTAAGAAGAACGAATCACCAATTCAACCCTCCGACGCGAAACGAACCTGCCGAAGCAGTATCTTACCACCAGGAAGGAACGGAAGGTATGATATCCAGACACTGCTCAATATTGGGCGGCAGCTGGAGCCCAGGAAACCCCTTGCCATTCGGACTGGATTTCGTGGTATGACCTCGCCTCGCCTTTGACAGAGATACCATAGCCACCCTACTTACTTATGAACTCAAATTTAGATGTACAAGGGTCAGGACGAGGTACGCACCTTGGAAGCCGTGTTCTGAGAGAGAAGTCTATGAATCATCAACGCAATTCTTCCACTCTATCCGGCGGCACCGATGATGGCCGTGAGAACCTCAACCACCCCCGTCGGCAACCCGTCAATGCTCCACAGGGCACCCTTGCCCAGAGTCATGCCGGCTTTGCAAGGTTTCTTAAAGAGCACTCTTCACCAAAACATCACAGGGTTACTGCTGGAGGTCGTATAGTTCCGATGAGTTTTCACGCTCCTGCCCCTGAGTTTAAATTATTCATAAATGGGGTTGCTGGGAGTTGTTTAGAGGACCACGAACTCCCTTCGATGAACGAACCCTTACAGCACATCTCAAACCCCGAGGCTCATCATAAAAATGCGATTTTACGCCAGCAGCGATCTCCATTTGCCCCAAAGAGCAAAGCAATTCCTATCAAAGCACCACCCCCTAACTTTGAAAAAACCTACTCCCTGGCACACCCCAAGAATTCCCCCGTTACCGATGGGCAAACTACAGCTACAACACACTCGGTTACATCCATATCCAAATCAACAAATCAGAATTTCAGGGTCCCAAGCGCCTCCAATGTTAACAACTCTCAAAAGCCAGGGACAACACCATTTAGCACTATATCTAAGCGTCCTACTAATTTAATGCCAGATGGGGATAATGAGCGTTTTGAGTTGTACGCATCAAATTCACAAGCTCAACCCTCCTTGGACCTTGGAAATCGCCTGCTTACCGAAAATATGCAACAGAATTTTCAAGTTCCTCAAATGCCCCAGACTAACAACATGGTCGGGATATACCAGATGGGATCTAGTGTCCCCATTGCTCAGCCTTCGCAGTTTCCTCCAATGGGCAATGGCCTTGCTGGAAATCCATATTTAGGCTACCCACCCATTCCGACTACAGTTAGTACTGGTCAGGATTCGGGTGCAAGGCTTCTCCTTGAATCGGCCGTCCAAGATTATGACAGTGTTTCTAACCAGCTCTCAAATCTAGATAGATACATGGCCTTACATACCTGGGATATAGACCCTACAACCAAAAAGTTACTTGTGGAACAGCGAGTTGAGCTAGTTAGAAAGTTAGATTCTGCTAGGGTATATAAAGAGCATTTGGAAAGTACTTTCCAGCACTCTAGGCTTGAAGGAATGACAGCAAATTTATTATCGGACTTCTCCTTCACAACAAATTCGAGTCAAACTTGCCAGATTCCACTCACAAATGCGTTCACAAATCTTCAGCTAGCAACTAATAACCCCGGTATTTTCCAAGCTGGCGGATATTTCCAACCTGGATTAAATGCCACCCCTAACGTTTCCCCAGTAACTAATGGCAACATATTCTCTATGGATCTTTTACACCCAACACATGCTGCTCGGAAAGTTCCGGCTGCACAATATATTCAACCAGACGCATTTAATAATAACTGTGAAAGTGCTCGAATTCCGGCGGACCTCAACTTGGCCATGACTGCGGCTTCGAATTGGAATATGGCGACTGATGTCGCCAGAGGCAATTATTTGCATTCTCCATATGACCCTTTGAATACGGTAGGGGGAGGCATGTTGCCGTTTGAACGAAAACATTCTTACGAAAAATCATCCACGCCTTTGGTTGACCTCGATGCAATCTATTATAGAATCGAGGAGGCAATCAAACGCAAGGAGCCTCTTGAGCCGTACTTCAAAGAACTAGGGAAGTTAACAGGGCTAACACACGGGCCAAGACACCCTTCTCGCTCTCATAACTTGTCGCAGGACTTCAATAATTCCTGGGGCTCAACTGGTATGGTGAAAGATGGTCCCGGTCTCAAATCTGGGCAAGCGTCGCAGCTTCAAATGGTAGAGGAGCCACAAATGTATGTTTGCATATGTATTTACAAATACGTGGTCATATTTACTAAAACGTAGGTACAGGAAATCCCCCCACTCGCAGGGTAAAGCCAGTAGCACAAGGCAGGCCAGACAGTATGTGTCCCTATCTTATTAGATATGCTGTTGTTTCTCACAGTGTATAGGCACGTTTCAGGGCCTCAAGCTAAAGGGTGCACTTGCGCGAAGGCGCGAGAGCGCTTTAGCAAAGATAGCAACAACATGGATTCAACACACCAAACCGATAGTCAGCATAAGACGGGAGCCATACTCTCCTCCTTTGTACAAGATGGGACAATCGCTCAATGCAAAAAGAAGTGTGAAGAGACTGTTGGAAAAAAAGGAAACGCACTTAAGAGTTTTCCAACTTTTGATGGCTCTGGAGAGGTAGATACTCACAGTCAACAAGCAACCAGCACCTCCTTGACGAGAAACAATTCAAATGGCAAGGAGAAACCAGCACTCCAAGAGCTCAATCGCACCAGCCCTAATCCAATGGATGTAAGGGCATTCTTCCAGTTACTTCGCGAGGAGGACCAAAAGGAAATCCGGAAGCATGAGACTCAAGCCCCACCATTCTGAAAAAAGATTGACAATGATACAAGGTGTTAATTCGTTGGGCTTTTGACTACGACCGTTTTATGCCATTTGCCTCGTTTTTTGCCGTTGGAATACAACAGAGAAAGGAGGAATCGTTCCCAGTAAGCTTTAGAGAAACGGTGGGAAAATCATCTGAAGGGGGGTTTAAAATTGGAGAAAAACAGACTGGCAGCAACGTGTGGAATAGGAGAAAATGTATTCAGTAAGGCGGTTGCATTCATCACTCTTAGCCAACAATAGTGCTATGACAATGCAGGGATATTATGTGGTTGTGTTATGGTTATTAGAGAGTAGCAATACAAAGAAGTAGGAAGGGGTTGGTGAAAAATGGAAGCACCTCTATATTTCCAAACCACGACAAGAGTCGTGATCCCTGAGCTTGTTCTGCTGTTACGGCTAGCGGATACGAATGGGTGCTGGGTCCACGGCGTTACACTGCATCCTCGTGGGCTGGGTTGAGTCTGTACGAGTCGACGCGGGTAGGAAAGAATCATGGCGGGCTTGTTTGGCAATACAAAACGGGTTTTATGATTGGAGGCCACATCACATCGGTATACGGGCCGCAGAATATAAAGCGCGGGGAGTAAGGCTAGAAAGTGACCGCTGCTCCTTATCTCCTTCTCTTCGGATGGTTAATTAGTATTGCATATCTTTGTTCCGTGGCCCTAATACACGAGATTTCGAAGCGGAGAGGGCATGGCGTCCGTATGATGCAAGCAAGCCCGATAATGGCGTTTGCCAGCTCAGAGGCTTCGCGGACAGATTCATCGGTTAAAAAGGGCGTGACAAAGAAGTGCATTGACGATGAGGAAAACGGAAAAGGATGGATATAAATACGACGGCCTGTTCTCGTCTGATAGCTATAGGTGCTTTGATGACCATCAAGAAACTCCCTCGATCTTTTTAAGTCAGATACATAGACACTAGAGGTGAAAAAAGAGGAAACATAACCATGAAAAGCTGGGCGATCTTCTCGATTATCGCGGCCGCCACTCTGGCCGGAAGTGTGACTGCGTCTGCCGTTCCTGTCACTTCGCAGGTGCTAAAAAGTGCCACTAGGCGTGGGCTTCAGTGCGATCCTCCATGCTTGCAGGGTGGTGTCGAGAGCTGCGGAGCAGGTCATGTTAGTAACGGCTATATAACTATATCCCCACTCCGCTGTTGATGACGGCTGATGGGAAATCGATATGGTAGTGTGTTATATTGGTCCCGACGCCAGACCTGAGCGTAAGGCTGCCTTCTCGTCTGCTTTATTCCTTGGCCTTGCTTTTTCCCGTTTCTTCTGTGACTTCTTTTCCTTGCTTTTCTTAATTCCTTTTTTTTATTTTCTTTTGTCTTGAGCAACGGAAGCTAACGAGGCTTGTTCTTAGCACCCATGTTTCGTGTGCTGCGTTGATCCCCGCCCAAACCCTCCGAACAAGATCTGTCCCCATTGAGCGGGTGTTTCTGGAGGGAAGACACGGTGTTGGGTGTGGCCGGCTTCGTTGGGGAAAGGGAGGGACCGGCGGAACCCTGCTTGGTAACTGGCAGATGAAGAAACGGGGATCCTGACGGGTGAATGTAGGCAGTTTTGCCATTTCAGAGAAGCAGAATGAGCCCATTAATGCTAATCTGTCAATACGTCTGCTCGTAGTGTTTTGGGGGTCAGATCATAGCTTGTCTTCGTTAACTAGTGAAGTCATCTCGCCAGACAGTTGGCTTTCACCCTTGATTAATAGGTAATAGAGACATGTATGCGGAGCACTCCGTATTCCATCTGGGCGACAGGCTCTATAACATAATTATATCCTCTGATATCGAGAGAATAAATGGATGCGGAACCCGGGAGTGGAGGCTGGCACGCCCACGTTACGCAGGCTAGCCGGTGGCGCAACGAGTCGGTGAGCTTCTGTCAAACAACAGCAGAAGCGCTGGAACTGCACGCACAGATCACAGCCAGGCGCTGTCTTTCCGGCGACTCGCTGTGGTAACTATGGCCGGCTGTGGGCTCTGTAGCGTGTCCACCGCTTGTCCCCAACGCTGCCGAGGCGGTCCCAGAAGGGAAACGCGATCCGCTGGCGCAAACTTAGCGACCGGCTGGACCAGGATGGCGTCGATCCAGCGCGACACGATGATCAATCAGCGGCCTGTTCTTTGCAACAGCGACGACAACAAGACCACTGGTATCCTTGCGCTGATCCAGAACTATTGTCCCGATTGGCGACGGGTGATACAAGACCAAGCGACTTTCTTTGTGAAGACCCAGTCTTTTTTCCCCTCGAAAAGAGAAGCCTCTTCCGCTAGTCGCGAGGGCGGCTCCAGTCATTACTCATATCACGCCGGATTGTACCTTAAAGAGCAGAGTGTCACTAAACCCGTCTTCTTCCTCTTCCTCTTCCCTCTTCTTGGTTATCTGCTGAGGCTGCAAACCAGCACTTAAAAGAGCAACCAACGAAACTCGACATATATGGATATCCGTGTATTCCTTGTCTATTACAACTCTAGGAAATCAGATTTGCGAGCAAAATGACTATGGCTGCAGCATCCGCTGGGCGGCCTGAGGGCTCGATAAATACCCAGCAGACGCAACCTGACAGCGATACGTCAAGTTCAAAACAGGGTGGGAGTACCACACCACTTGCCGACACTACTGAGCCCTACAATGAACTGGATCTTGACAAGCTGGGGAGAGCTCGTCCGGATGTGTTCAGCAATGCGTGGGCAGAAGCGATGTTCTGCTTCTCGATTGTTATGTCGCAGGTCTTATCTGTAAGTAGGTTGATATATATCCTCTTATCCCGCGCTTTGCTAATGTTCGCCAGGAATACTTCATATCTGGGTTTAATGTCATCATTCCCACGTTGGTGAAACAATTCGACATCCCTGATGCCATGGCAGTTTGGCCCGCTAGCGCGTTTTCCTTGGTCATCGCATCCGTCTTACTCTTTTTTGGCCGTCTTGGGGACATGATCGGCGGCTTCCCTGTCTATGTCGGCGGCATGGCATGGCTGTGTGTCTGGTCGATTATTGCTGGCTTCTCGCAAAATCGATTAATGCTTATTTTCTGCCGAGCATTGCAAGGATTGGGCCCAGCCGCATATCTTCCAACAAGCTTGATGCTCTTAGCCAACGTCTACCGGCCGGGGCCCCGGAAAAATTTGGTCTTCAGTATCTATGGAACCTGTGCTGTCATCGGCTTCTTCTGCGGGATATTTTTCTCCGGGATATGCGCCGAGTACCTTACATGGTCTTGGTATTTTTGGATCGGGGCTATACTTGTTGCAATTACTACAACAACGTCGTACTTCTACATTCCGTCAGATTCGACCCAGAGGCAAAACCAAGGCATTAAGATGGATTACCTAGGCGCTGCCGTCATAATTCCTGGTCTCGTTCTGACTGTCTTTGCGATCACAGACAGCGCGCATGCAGCGAATGGCTGGAAGACGCCATACATCATCGTTTGCTTTATACTAGGGTGTTTGTTTCTGGTGAGCGCAGTTTACGTTGAAGGCTGGGTCGCTGAGCACCCACTATTGCCATTCGATCTATTTCAAGTGCCGCACATGAAGCCGTTGGTAGTGGCACTCGTTTTCTTCTATGGTTCATTTGGTGTTTTCTTACTCTATGGCACATTATAGTATGTCCCCCTGTCTTATTGTTTTTTCATTCAGGTGCACACTAACACCGGCCTTTAGTATGGTACATGTCATGGGGGCATCCCCCATGCAGGTAGTTGCATGGTCTACTCCAATGGTCGTTGGTGGATTCATCTTCCCGCTTGCTGTGGGGATTTTCCTTCATCTGGTATCAGGGACGATACTCCTGGCAGTTTCCACGTTTGCATGGATCGGATCCGGCCTCTTATTCGCTCTCATGCCTGAAGGCGCCTCGTACTGGGCTTTTGCCTTCCCTGCTATGATTTGCGCCACGATGGGCATTGATATTACGTTTAACATTACTAATATTTTCATTACCACAAAGCAGCCTAGTGAACGACAAGGCCTCGCGGGAGCTCTGATAAACTCCGTTCTCCATCTCAGCATCGCGCTGTTCCTCGGCTTTGCTGATGTTGCACAAGTCGAGATGGAACATTTGGGTCGGCGAAAAAGCTATCAGGTTGTGTTTTGGTACCAAGTGGGATGCTCTGCGCTGGCGTTTGCAATCATGGCGCTGTTGGTGCGTGTGTCGCGAGCAAAGAGCGAGTTGACTATGGATGAGCGGCGCCAGATGATAATGATGGAAGCCGGGCAACAACCCCAGCCAGCAGCTGTCTAGATTTCCTGCATATTTTAAATTTCGCAAGATGACAATGGCGTCTCGCATGTAAATATCTTGACAATGATAGAGGAGGCAAAGGAATTTATACCCCATTTTTAGTCCTGCAGGATCCCCCATAGAGCTTAAAATATGCCCCCTGAGTAGCCAGTTCTACTGGAACGTCCTTCTTTGGTACTGCCTGGCGTACTAAGCAAGCAGAAGGATGCATACCCCCCTTTTAACTCCCGCACTACAGGCTACGGTTGTCAGGTGATTTAGACGCCCAGGCTACAAGGGGCTCCGCTGTGTGGCGGTAACTATACCTAATTTATTCCGTACCACAAATTCAGCCTCGGAGAGGGCCTAGAATATTGCGTTCGGCTACGCCCCTTTGGCCGTCTGGCTCTGGCGGCGGGGACCAATACCACTAGCCGTAGCGAGGGGCAAGTCTCTGCAAACTGAATACGGGGTAGTGGGATGTAATCCGTATCAACAGGATCTATCAGCTGTTCTCGTGGAGCGGCAGGGCTCGTCAGTTGAGCGGCTGCAGCGCTTGAGTGCGATACCTGCCGGGTACCTCCGTCTGGGCGATGAAGCCTATGGCGCAGCAGGTTCCGCTCACGTTCCGGTGAAAATGATCCGCGCGGTGACGATAGTATTTCGTAAGTTACCAGCCACTCACACCCACGCACAGACAGCCGGTGTAATCTATCAGTAATACCACATTGTCGTCTGGTTCACCCAAGAGGGAGTCAACGACATTGTTCACAGCGACGACTCAGCGTGCAGCTGCTGGCTCGGCGTGGTTTGAAAATCCTTCACCTCTTCTCTCTTATTTTTTCTTTCTTCACATCTACCCTCTGGATGCCACCCTCTGTGCCTTGAGTTGCGTCGGTTCCTTGCTTTCCGGAGAAACGACTGCCCGCTGTTACTTGCGTCGATGGCCGGCCGGCAGTAAAGACTTGAATCTTGGAAGTCAGACTGGCTTTGCTCGCCTTGAAGCAAGGAACAGCCAAAAACTTTAGTGACAGATCGGATCACGCAGCGACGCTGCCACCGCGTCCAACGACCCCATCCTCTGCAGCCAAACGGAATTCGTTTAGGGCGGGCTCCATTCAGCCAACTGCGGCCTCGCCTTGACGTCCCTTATCGTTTAGTTTCGAATCCGACAACTCTAAAATATATCCGCGGCGGCGTTGCTCCTGACTGCTGACAACTCCTTTCCTCGTCGTTACGATCTCGTGGTGCTCCCATCCTCCTCCCTCGAGCGTGTTTCGTGAACCGGCTGCCCAGCGATGACACAGCTGTTCAGTTCGTCCGGTTCTGGTGTTGGGTCAGAGAAACGTCAATTCCCCAGCATCTCCCTCCCCAGCAGAAAAAACACGGGCGATTCGTCACACTTCCCCACGCGGCTGAAGAATTTCTTTCGGATCAACAGCTCCTCGTCCAATAATAACGCGAATGCAAATGGCAGCCAGCAAGGCGCTGGTACACCTGGTATAAAGACAGAGAACAAACCCTTCAGACAGTCTCGATTTCTCCCTACAATTGGCCGGAATCGCTCGACCACCGTCGCCAGTGAAGGTAACCATCTCGATGAAGGCGTCTCGCCAACCGCACATGCAAATCCTTATTTCCAACACCAGGGCTATCCGGCCTTAAGACACAGAAATGATGACAGTGGTCCTTCGTCACCCCCAGATACTCCAGAGTTGCAGGTTGAGGGTGTGCCGGCATCAGACCAAGTCACCTCCGCTGGAAAAGAAGAACTTGCCAGGAAATTGAGGAGAGTTGCGTCCGCACCAAATGCTCAGGGCCTATTTGCTAGTAATGGCTCGGACGATCGCCCAAAAACTGCTGAGCTGGGAAAAGAGCCTTTAATTGCATCAGGAGGCGCATCACCAAAGCTTAGTTTTGTTGATAAGCCCAAGTCAGAGGATATTTCTCCCCCAGACGCAGACCGCGTGTCAGCACTTTCAGCTCCCCGAAGCTTTGTCAATTGTAGGCGCACGTATAGCTCGAATTCTATCAAAGTGCGAAATGTCGAAGTTGGGCCTGGGAGCTTCGATAAGATTAAATTGATTGGGAAGGGTGATGTTGGTAAGGTGTATTTGGTACGCGAGAAAAAGTCGAACAGACTGTATGCTATGAAAGGTGAGTGTTACCCCACAGTGACATCAGTATGCACTTGTACCTAACGCGTCCGTTTTAGTTTTGAGCAAGAAGGAGATGATCAAACGAAATAAGATCAAGAGAGCTTTGGCGGAACAAGAAATTCTTGCCACCAGTAACCACCCTTTTATTGTCACACTATACCATTCTTTCCAGTCAGAAGACCATCTTTACCTTTGCATGGAATATTGTAGCGGTGGAGAATTCTTCAGAGGTATTACTCTCCCGGCTTGTGTTGTCTCGTATCTAGCCTGCTAAGTTGCAACAGCTCTTCAAACACGGCCTGGAAAATGCATTCCTGAAGATGATGCGCGCTTCTATGCGGCTGAAGTCACTGCTGCTTTAGAGTACCTTCACCTTATGGGCTTCATTTACCGTGACCTCAAGCCTGAGAGTAAGTTGCTTTCGGTCGGAAGTTTGGGGTTATACTGACGTTTCTAGATATTTTACTTCACCAATCAGGACATATCATGTTATCAGACTTTGATCTTTCAAAACAGTCAGGCCCCGGCGGTGCACCAACCATGATCGTTGGCCGCAACGGAACATCCTCATCCTCTTTACCTACAATCGACACCAAATCGTGTATTGCTAACTTTCGAACCAATTCTTTTGTTGGGACAGAGGAATATATTGCCCCTGAAGTCATCAAAGGCGATGGGCATACAAGCGCAGTTGACTGGTGGACCTTAGGTATCCTAATCTATGAAATGCTGTACGGCACCACGCCTTTCAAAGGTAAGAATAGAAATGCAACTTTCGCCAATATCTTAAGGGATGAAGTACCATTCCCAGACAACGGGAGTGCCCAGCAGATCTCAAAGTAAGTGAACAGCACCTGCATTTTCCCTTGCATATTGTCTAATTTTCCTTAGCCTATGTAAATCGATTATCCGCAAACTGCTTATTAAAGATGAAACCCGTCGACTTGGTGCCCGTGCAGGTGCATCTGATGTCAAAACACATCCTTTCTTTAGAACCACGCAGTGGGCGCTTATTCGACACATGAAGCCCCCCATGATCCCTCATCAAGGCCGTGCTATTGATACTGTCAACTTTCGCAACGTCAAAGAGAGTGCAAGTGTTGATATCAGCGGTTCCAACAATCTCAAAGGTGTCCCGATGGATTCTGGACTCGCAACTCCAGGCGAGCAAGCCCCGGACCCCTTTGAGGATTTCAATAGTGTTACTCTTCACCACGACGGCGACTATCATGGACAGCTGGCTGATGAGAGTTTGCAAGGGTACCGAGCCTAAGCAAGCAGCCTTATCATCAAGCTCCTACCTTACTTCGCCATGCAGATCCCTAACCCTTCCTCGTTTTTGTCATTCTTGACTGTTTATGGCCTGGCGTTGCGTTTTGCTTTATTTTTTTTTTGAGGCGTTTCGGCGATAAGGTGCATGCATTCTGCGCGAGAAATTTTAAATTGTTCCCATGTCCATGCCATCTCGTTGTTTTGCGAACCCTTTGTTAGATGTTCGAGTTGATTCCTTTTTCTTTGGAGGACACCCTCAACCTCCCACATGGCTCACACTGCACCTCTCCCACCATCTCCCTCTCTATCCTGGTCACCTTTGACCACTCTTGTTTGGTTCGGATACTTTTCTTATTGTAATGCTTTAGTTCTGGCGCTTGGCATTCTTGTCACCGGCTAGACACTTTTGATGTTCTTTCTTCTACACACTACTCAACTGATTCCTCTACGACAACCATCTTGCTTGATGTCATTAGCTAAGGAGTGGCCTCATATCTTTGTTTCTACATGACACTCCAATATCGGAATGTTTTTCCAGCTCAGAAGTTCCTTCATATTTCGTCTTGACAATATCTTCATTGACTTGGCATAGTCTTTGGTTGGGACACCGATTTAGGGTTATAGAAAACAAAATATAAAAAATCAAAATTAATGGGAAATCGCAAGAGAATAACTTTTAAATGCTCTATTCTGAGAGGCGGAGTGGAAGATGATCGAAGGGAATTGTATTACTCTAGGACTCTAAAGCAAGTTTAAGCAACTCCTGCCTGGCATTTCACCTGTTTGTATTCAATAAAACATGGAGGTTTTTTCTCTTTTAAAATACTTATAGACATAATTCAAAGTAAAAGGCATTTGTGAAATCACCATAGTATAGTATACAAATGTTCTCGAAGCTTTCTATCATTTTAGACAGTATTAAGCAGTAACTTATCCATACAGGCAAGACTTGCTGACTCCTGAGTAGGCCATTTGGCAAGATTTGGGGACAGTTCAGCCTACATTAGATAATTAACTAAGCTATGCACTGGTAAATACTGTGTACTCTGTGCTTATCAGACAAAGCAAAACCATTCAACTAAAAAGGCAACCATACCAGGATTCTGGATCTGTGGGCTACTTACCTCATCATCTCAGACGTAGTGCAGAAGGTTTCGTAGCGTGGTTTTCGCGCCACACCGAACCCTTTCGGGGCGCTTGGCGAAACCTGATCAGCACAACTGGAAGGCTGAGGCTCAGAGTGGAGCTCTGATCATGCACATGATTTTGGAGTCTAGTGTTCTAAATCTATGCTGTACAAAGAAGAAGAGAATCCTCTAATCTCCAACTCTCCATGCCTAGCCTAGCCTAGGCAGGCCTCCAGCTGACAGAGTCCTGCCTACATAGTTATGAGATGGGTCTACTCCGTACTCCAAGAGAAAATAGGTTGAATTGAGACTCCTCTTCACCATCCCTGTTTTCGGCGTTGTGATGTGACTTTTCTTCAATTATTGCCATTGAGTATTTCAACCACCGGCGATCATTTCTTAGGGTCTTTATACTAGAACTGATAGTAGCTGATAGTTAGAAAAGCCTATACGAAATAAAAAGTTATTATCTATTTAAGAAACCATGCAGTAACCTCCCTCTACTTGAATCACGATGATGGCAAAAATGATCTGAGCCCCTCACTCTAGGGAGAGTGGCTCTACATAGGACTGAATAGGAGCCTACGAAAAATAATGCATTACACACACACTTTTCTGCGTGTTATTAGGGGTACGGAGTACGGAGTAGGACCATCCCATACAAATTTGCAAAAAGAATTTGTGATATCTCTATCCACAGAAAAGATGCACCTTTGAGAGTGGATTCGCATGGATGGCCAGCGCCCACCTAAGGTGGGCGCGGGGGCGCGTATATGATATGCCTGCAAGCGTGTAATTCAACACTTTATAACTAGTTAAGCAAAGACTGGGATTCTGCTGTTTACTTCTCTCAAGAACTTTCTACCTTCATTTTACTAAAAAAACATAATAAAGCCACTCTCCAACACCGCATGGCTTCTAAAACATGTCGGACAACTGCGTCCAGGGATCAGGGCCATCGATAAGGCGATACTGCGTTATAAAGATATCCTTTGGTTTTGTCCAGTCCAATCTGTCCTCTTTAGTCCGTACCAATGACTGCCACAACTCTCGTTTGCTTTTTGGCGCATCCCAAGCAAAGAGAGCTAGCTTCCCGTCAAACTCTTCTCCCCTTTTATTCTTGGCTTTGGCCCATTGTACATCAGTAGTGCCTTCAAGGTCAAGGTTGGATTCTCCCCATTCTTCCGAGACGTTGGTGCCATCGATAATATCACAAAGAGCGACCATGTCATTTGTGTCCACATAGCTCTGAATACATACATCTAACTTGGGATACGGTAGTCCTCGCAGGCTGCGAGTGAAATTTGAAGGTACACAGTCAATGTGCACATCAATTGAAGGAACGAGGAAGAAATAATGAAAAATTCCCTTAGTTTTGAAACGATGATAAGTATGGATTAGTGAGAGAGGCTCATAATCAGGCCATCGTTTGACTAAGCGATACTTTGCTGAATACGGCTCGGATTGTAGTATCTCTGCTGCCTTCGGAACAAGGTCTGTTGGGACGCAGATTTCCCAGTCCTGTGTCTTGTGAGACTTCTCGGGAAGAGTGAGGGGGAGTAAAACACTTACATCCCGAAGTCTTCCAGCGCCATAGAAGACAAGCGCAGCTATGCCAACCAGACAACAAGGAATACCATGCCCCTCCAGGATGCGAGTAACATCTAGGGTATCGTCCGTGCCATGCCCGCGATTAGATGCATCTTCGTTGCTATATATAGACTCGTTATCTGAGTCCTTTGTTTCACCGTCATTCTGCGCGGGTTTTTTAGGAGGCAAAGGATGTTTTTTTAGCCAGCTCATACTTGCTCTCGCACAAAATCAGTCTAAAATGCAAGCAGTAGTTCTATTTGGTGACCAGGCAACAAAACAAATTGAGGAGCCTGGAGCAGTTAACTAGTTAGTAGTCAACGTATTTTAAGACTATTACCCAACCTTTACGCATTCGTTACGTAATATCACGGTATTGAAAAATCCTTGATTCCTGTCGCTATGAACATATTCATCAGCTAGAGCAAATATCTCCATTGAACATGAATCAAAGATTGCGAGTGTTCTTGAATGCAATCAATACAGTCTGCCCTGCCATAGTCAACTAGCTGGTGATAGTTAGTAGGTAGCCGTTGCTCTCCCATAAGTTATCTACTGGGCTTTAATATGATTATCCCCAGAACCTTCAACATGTCTCATGTCTTTTCATGCAGCAAATCTGTGGCATGCTCCAGGTCAAGCTCGATATTTGTTTCCAGGGAGGATGCGTTTCACAATTGGCTTGATCTGAATGTTCATGACAATTTCTTAGGCTGTACTTTACTGACATAACTAACTAGCCATGTGTGCAGGCGTTATAGGCAAAGATGCATGTGAAAGGGATGATGGGGGACCATTGTTTGCCAAGGATATTAACATTGTGGTTGGAATGGTGTCCGCTGGCCACTCGTGTGCTACCAAATATGGAGGAATCTATGGCAGAGTTGGCGCTGCTGTTGACTGGATTATGAAGAGCCCCAAGCCCCCTTAGGGAACCCAGACGGCTCACTAGGCAAACTGCTTCGACTGTGCGCGAGAGGGTGAGAAGCCTGGGAAGTCTAGGGACCGGAGAAATCTGAGGGCAAGAAATAAAGGTCGACCTTTTTGTGAGACAATTCATGCTGTGATTCAGCTGCCGTGTGCCCATCTTTCCACGTAACCAGTGCAAGTTCACGACGAAGCATGCATGTAAGTACGTATGCATGTCTTAAGTCTACAGCCTTGTAACTGGGCACTCGGTGCGGAGTAGTATTGTGTCCGCCCTATCACCACAGAATAGAGAACTCAACTGTGGTGCTTATAAAGAAACAATTATAACCGTCAACGCTGTAAGAATGTTCAAACTATATTTAGTAAATAACTTTGTTCAAATATTGAGTTTCTACAAAAGAAAGTCTTAAACATTTCCGGCATAGTAAACCTTTCTCACATCAACCAGTTTCTTTCCTCGTGCTCGGGCGATGTCCTCGGGGTTTTTCTGGCTCATTAAGGCTTGGTAGGTAGCCTTGACCGTGTTCATAGGGTTACGGGAGCGTGTTACTTGGGCGGAGAGATCTTGAATTCCTGCTACGCGGCACATTTCCCATATATGATGTTGGCATCGAAGTCCGAAACCTGGTATAGTAAAAATGTTAGTGATTCAAGTCTTATAACTTGATTTCTAACCCAGAATAGAATAGCAGAAGAGGGATGAATACCTGGAGGCCGATGCATGAGTTTCAATTCCACCGCTCCAACCTTGCCTTTAACGTCTCCATAGATAGTCCTGTCCTCGTATCGCAGGATAGGCTGCATGTTGCGGATGGCACGGTACTGGGCTTGAATTCTGGCCTCAGTGTACTCTTCAGACTTCCCTTCGCCAATGCCGAGTAAACCTCTTCCATTACCTGCAATTGTAAGGACGTATGCCTTGCGGATTTTGCCAAGTCGCGTCTGATTCACAACGCTATGCGAGACGAGGGTTTTGACCTTCAACCCACGTATTTCTTCCAGTGAATAGCCAGTGACTTTACATAATGTTTGAAGGCCCACAGGAATGTCTTCTTCTTCTCCATCTTCTTTTTTGTTCTCCATTTTGTTATCTATTTTCTTTTCTTCTTTATGTCCACCAATATTCTCAAGTGTCTCCCCAGGTTCGAAAAGTTCCGGTACCAGAGAACTGCATGCGTCAAGTTCGGCTTCAGATTTACCAACAGTTAAACGCGTATTATCGGTAAACCGTCTGTAGTCTACCATGTCTCCATCTTCAGGGAATTCGTCGATAAATGTCTCTATGTCTTCATCGATTTCATCTTCGGTTTTTAAGCGGGAGTTAGGGTCATAGTTTGTCTGAGGCGCACGCTTATGGTGATCAATAACAGGTTCGATTGTAGAAAAGTCGTCAAGGTACTGGAATGAATAGTAGTCGGTTCGCTGTCGATGTTGTGATAATAGGTCATCTGGGTCAATAGCATTTTCACCCGCTTCAATGGCAGCGATTTGTGCCTTGGTGTATTCCTCCTTAAGGAGGGACTTTTCCTTCTCACTATACCGTTTAAAATGCTCGGGTTTGAACTTTGTGGAAATGTCGAAGCGGTTCTCATCTTCCTCGAATCGGGGGGGAGATGGGTGAAATTGGCGTCGAAGCAGTCGTGAAAGAGCTGGGACAGGTGCAGTTCGAGAAAAGGAACAAAAAAGGCAGCGTGCTGCTGGCCGGGCGACACTCATCTTACCGGCTGATATCCGGGGCCAGGTAAAATTGGCCGTGAAAGCGTTCAATGATTATTTCGGAAGAGGTGAACGAAAGGTTGAAGAAGCTTACGGCGGAGTAATATTGTTCCGCTCCGGCACGAAAAAAAATATTTGATAATCCAGGTGTTTTAGTTGGAGAGTTCATTACTCCATACAAGTACGGAGTACCATTGATCAAGCTTGATTATTGCCCAGATTGTGAGAGTATCGGGTCGTGGATGAATTGCTTGGCTTTCTAGCTCATGTTCCATTTGTGTCTACCACGATTTCTTTATATGCGACTACTCTCTCGATTGACTCTACCCGGTTACTGCAAACCAGCTCCGTTCTACCCTGTCCAGTTGGCTTTTACGGAGACAGTCTTTCACTCTATAATGCATCATACTATCTCCAGAGGTCCAAAAAGCGGTGACAATATATCCCGTAAGAGAAAGAGGGGCAACGAAAAAAGTACCTCTGACCGTGGGACAGAAGACGATGTACTCCTAAGGGATATAAGACACCTCCTTGGAAAAACCGCGGTAAAGCCAGAATGCACAAAAAATATTACCCCTGCTATTATACATGCCGGAAAAGATGCGGATATACCTGAGACAGAGGTTACGATATCTGAGCTATCTTCCACTGGAGACGGACTTGCACTTTCACCTGCATTTGATCATGTCTACTCTGTTCCTTTCACTGTACCGGGAGACATAGTGAGAATAAGGGTATACAGAACGATGCTAAGGGAATCTTATAGCTTAGCAGACCTTGTTGAGGTTGTCAAACCTTCACAGCACCGAAACGACTCGTTAGTCAGTTGCCAGTATTTCGCAAAATGTGGAGGATGTCAGTTCCAAATGCTGCCCTACGAATACCAACTTAAGCATAAGAAAAGGGTTATAGAAAAGGCGTATGTCAATTTCTCTGGCCTAGACTCGGAGCATGTTCCCATAATACACGACACAATGGCCTCGCCGTTACAGTATGGATATAGGACAAAGCTAACACCTCACTTTTCACTTCCTGGGCGTACAAAAAAGATGACACATAATGTTACTGAGACTCCCAACATTGGGTTCATGATGAAGGGGCGACGAAAGGTCATGGATATTGAAGATTGCCCGCTAGGTACCGACATCGTGAGAACCGGATTGACAAAAGAGAGAAAAAGGGTAGCAGACAATCTGTGCCAATTCAAGGCGGGTGCTACTCTATTGATCAGAGAAAATACTTTACGCTTGCCTAAGGATGCTGCCAAGGAGACGAAAGTTGAGAAAGACGACCAAAGAGACATTATCCAAACGCATTTTTCGGATTACATAGAAGAAAAAAGCTATATAACTGACCAAAATGCAATATCTTCCGAATATATTGATGATTTCCTATTTCACAATGTTGCTGGAACGTTTTTCCAAAATAACAACTCCATCCTCTCCCCATTCACACAGTATGTTCGTGATCACGCCCTGCCACCTTCACCCCCCGACTCCGAGATATCCCCAGCTAAATTAAAATATCTCCTTGATGCCTACTGTGGATCTGGTCTTTTCACAATCACGCTTTCTTCCCTATTCCGCTCGTCTCTAGGCGTCGATGTTTCCAAGGGCTCTATCGAATCTGCTCGCGAAAATGCACGTCTCAACAACCTCAAGAATACCGGCTTTGCTGCGGCTGATGCAGCGAAGCTATTTCAGGACGTGCCTTACCCACCTGACCAAACACTGCTTGTTATAGATCCACCACGCAAGGGGTGTGATATGAATTTCTTAGACCAGATGCTGGTATTCGGCCCAGCCAGAGTAGTATATGTCAGTTGCAATGTGCATACGCAAGCGAGGGATGTGGGTGTTTTAGTCCGAGGAGATACCAGTGAGGGTAAGGGAAAGAGTGCTATAAGGTACAAGATTGAGAGCATTAGAGGCTTTGATTTCTTTCCACAGACCGGCCATGTAGAAAGTGTGGCAATTTTAAACAAGGTGGTCGACGATTGAATTTCCTTGAAATGCTCCATTGCATGCATAGCAGGTTGTAGCCTAAATGTCATTATACATTTTCGAATTAAACTGCCATTTTTCTTTCTTTCAATTATTTTTGATCAAAAATGTTAAAACACATTCAACACATACAGTATTGTTTACCTAATCCTGAGGGACGGATGATCACGGAGCACGTTAAGTTACTTGATAATCACAATTCATAAAAGAGGAAGAATATAGACATGCATTTATCTAAGTACTTCCAGGGCCTCCAAGTAGAGCAAATCTTCGAACTATTGATGGACCGATTTCGTCGTATTCCGCCTTAAGAAAATACGTAAGTTTAGAGTCAAATAATAAGTAGAATAGGGTGGGCATACCTTAGTGTGACAGTAACTTCGAAATTCTGGTGTTTGGCCAAGTAGACTGCCACCAAACCAGGGCCCATGTCGCTGTCTTTTATGAGTAATAACTTGGACATCCAATCCACCACTCTTAGCCCCTCCACTTCTAGCTTCTGAGGCCCGAATGCGGGCATCAACCAGGTGTCTAATATCACGTTGCAAGCGGCGGCCGAAGTCTTTGTAGAGCGTTGATCCTCCAGACAAAACAATATTCTTATAAAGACCTCGTCTAACATCAATAGGGGAAGATTGGATAACGCCATCGACAACGGTAGGTAGGGGGGTGAGGAAATCCGACGAGTAAATTTCTGGGTTGAAGAAAATTTCTGGGGCTAAGAATCGCTCGTAGCCGACGTCAATAGTAACGGATCTTCCATTTGGTGATGTGACAGTATGTTTCAGGAATCGATCTGGCTCTTTGTCGTAGCGGGCAAACTCCTTGACAATATCCGGGCAAACGTAGCAATATTCCTCCTTAACGGTTTCCGCAATTTTCATAGAGCTGTCCGGCTCTCCTCTTCCACGCAGCAAGCTCTGGACGAAATAGGTGATGTCCCTTCCAGCAATTGGGATGCTCTTGATCGAAGAACCAATGACGTAACCTTCGGCTACAGGAATAACGTGAGTGACACCATCACCGGAGTCAATGACAGTGCCTGTGAGAGAACGATCTGTAACTTTTGAGGAAGTCCACGATGCAGCAAGGGCTAACACGGCTTGCACAGCTATGTATAATCCAGCGCAGTTAAAGGACTCGAAGAAGATTTCAGCAGTGTTTTCGCGGTTTTCTGGGGGGTTCAATGGCTGGTCGCAGTTAATTATCAAGTCCGTTCGTCCTATTAAGAGTTTGTTCATACCGGTTCGGTCAAAAGAAAATAATGGTCTTCTGGCTCTACCCTCAGATACTTAAATATGGAGTTGGACCAGAAGCGCTCCATATGATCCCAATTCTCGATCTGACCATGACGAATAGGGTAATGAATACCGTATCCTGGGCCTGAGGTCGCAGCCAGCGCTTCATCGCCAATAAAGTAATCCAAGTCTTCTGTGCCCCTCTTCGCCGACAGTGATGAACTCGGCCCCGCACCACCGGTTAGGTACGATGGTTTACTAGCGACAGCTGGTCTGCCGGCACCTGTTCCACCGCTTGCTCCACCACTTGCTTTTGTAGCAATTGCCGTTGGGAAAACGAAAGAGGGCGAGTCGTTTCCCGCAAAGCCTAGATGAGATGTACGGGTCAGGACGAGGCAGTTACCAAATGGCACCACGTAGCAATTACATACCAAGCTTAGAGTATCCGGTACCACTGAAAGATTATAGAATTAGCATAATTAACAGAAGAGTAACGAGGTAAATCAAAGCTCGTACTTGTCCATAACGACGGCCGGGGTTTGCGACGCCATCGTTGCGAATGTGAAAGATGGGCCGCGCGTGACTACTGCACAATATAGCGGGATTGGCTATCGTTTAAGTATTGCCGTGGATAGTGTCTCTAAATATGGTTATATGGTAGACGTAGGAAATGAATGGAATAAGGCAGATCTGTCGCAGTCGAATCGCGCGGGCTTCGGCGTCATTTGAAGGTCCAACTTGATCGTGGGACGGCGCCAAGCCACAGCCTAAGCACCAAAACCTAGAAGATGAACTTCGCAGGCAACAGGATTTTGCGGCAGGGCTGACTTACAGCTAGCTACATGCCAGTTCACTTTGTATCTTTTTTTAATCTAATTCTTATCCTCTAATCTCTTTCCCTACCGTGGTCCAAGGGCCAACACCGCACTCGATCGGTTAGTTAGCCAGAGAGTTATGTAAGCGCTGTTTGGGCTCAACCTCAATGTTGAATTGCCCTATCAAGCCGGGTTCAAAAGTGAAAGATTCCTCCAGGGCGGACAGCGTGGTTCTGAGATAACTATAATAGTAAGGATGGCGTTGTAGCCGGCTTGTGATACGGAGGAAGAGAAACCCAGTACGAAGCAGTTGCAGTGCAGCGCTTGCGCTATCTTGATTTATCGGAGAAGCGAGCGCTGGGCGAGACAAATGTGGCAGCTTCCATGGCTACACGGCTGTACTGCTGCTGTTGTGTGTTGAGGCTCGCACTGCCGCCTCCTTAGGACTCCTCTCTTTGCTGTTTGTGGTCCCCCTAACTTAGCAGCTGAGCTGAGCTGTTGATATTTTCTTCCAGTCATTCATTACTCTTCCATTTCTACTATCCCTCTTGGGTGCAAACACTGGTGTATTGTGTATGCAGCTGTATTTCTCCTGCAATTATCCCTGAGATTGTGTTGATATCACCTTCAGTCACGCGCAACTGAGTTCTTTCTTGGGATAGAAGTGCGTCCTCCCCTCATCTTCATCAGCTTGCTTGTTCTGGGGCATGTTGCCCTAACCGTTTCATCAAAGGGTGCAGCATCCAGCTGAGAATAACAAGTCAGATGTTCATAAACCGTGGAACTTCTAAAAACCTATGATTTATCACCCATTCTCTCCCCGGCCATATACGGACTCCTGCATTACCTACGGTCGTCAGCCAAACTACCTTCACGGCCTAACTTGCTCTTCTAACCCACTATACTTTCTGTCTTGTCTCTTATGGTATCTTAGATTCTTAGTTCCTACTTACAATTTGCAGCCACGATGGCTTTGAATTCAAATCATGCCAAAGGTATTACTGCTATATATGTGCACGCTGGAGCAGGATTTCACAACCACCAAAGTGAGGAAATCCATCTCTGGGTTTGCAATCAGTAAGTTTCACATCTCTCTAGGAAGTTATGTCACCAAATACGCGGTATTTGCCTGCCTTTTAGTGGCTGTCTCTGACCAGTAGACATAGGGCGGCACTTCTCGCTATGGCAGTTTTGAAATCTGGAGGGAACGCCGTCGATGCGGTAGAAGTCGCAATCAAATTTCTTGAAGACCACGAAATTACAAACGCTGGTTATGGTAGCAACTTGACTCTCAACGGTACAGTTGAATGTGACGCGACGATTGTCGATCATCTCGGTCGAAGTGGAGCTGTTGGAGCGGCAGAAAGTAGAGACTCTATGCCCCTCATTGCATAGTATCTACTTCATAACTAACTCGTTTCTCTTTTCTCAGATATTAAAAATCCCATTGCTGCTGCTCGTCTTATACTGGATGCCTCAACCAGGCCTCTAGCTTTTCACCGTGTACCTCCAAATTTGATCACAGGTCCTGGTGCAACAGATTTTGCCCGGAGTCAGGGAATACCGGTCCTCCCTACAAATTCCTTAGTCTCCAGGAGTGCTCGTCAGCGGTGGATTCAATGGAACCATGAGCTACAATTGCTAGAATGCCAACGCCAGAAGAAGGAGTGGGATTTGGAGCACCTCTCCTCGCGAAAATCAACCCCAGGGCCTGGTGGATCAAGCCCTAGCTCATCCCGTCGTTCAGTTCGCAGCTCAAATTCGCCCTGTAATTTTGACCGTTTGCAATATACTCCGAGCCCCGACGGATCTGTCAAGGATGTCCAGATGGAAGCTGTGTTGGAAACGGATACCGCTTCCGCCCAACCTATGCTCAATATGGCTGAGAATAGGGTCATTGATTTTGACTCGGGCATAGAGAATAATACAGAATATGTCGACCACCATATGCCTTGTCTATCAGCTCCGCGACATGTTTCTACACTTCCAGACAGCCCATCTTTGATACCTGGAGTGACTGATACTGCCACCGAAAATGAAACATCCAACACTCTTCGAACCTTGAACGGAGATATCTTGATGGAAATTGATGATCATATTAGTGACACAGTAGGTGCAATTGCGATCGATTGTCATGGAAACATCGCCGCAGGGTCTTCTTCTGGAGGAATTGGAATGAAGCACTGTGGCCGAACTGGGCCGGCCGCACTGGTCGGGGTTGGGACAGCGGTCGTTCCGGTAGATCCGAAGGATGTAGAGGTGACTTCTACTGCGGCAGTCACTAGTGGCACAGGCGAACATATGGCAACTTGCATGGCAGCTGCTGCATTTGCGGAGCGAATCTACAGCAGCACTAGGAAACTTCCAGGCCAGCTGGGCGCTCTTGAATCGGTCTCAGAAGACGAAGCTTTGCGAAGCGTGATTGAACATGAATTTATGGGTTAGTAATTCCGCTCCTGAATGCCGTTTTCTACTATGGGTTCTATTCTGGAGCCGAGCACTAACACCACATTTTGCTTCGCAGCCCATCCCGGAGTCAAAGCTAGCCATTGCCAAGCTGCAATTGGAGTCCTGGCAGTAAAGAAGACGAAGGATGGTATTGCCTTTTTTTTTGGCCACAACACCAACTCGTTTGTGAGTACATATGAGTACATATTGATTATGGAAACATAAAACGTCTAATAGATGTTCCTGGGCAGGCCATTACCTCTATGACTTCGGATGATCCCGAGCCATGTTGCCTTATGTCTCGAAATAGTGGGCACGGCAAAGTTGCACAGGGAGGGCGGTATACTAAAATAAATAGGTAAATGGATTTTAATTGGCATACAATCTGTGCGAGACCTTCAGCACTTATCACATCGAGACAAGGTCCGATTGAAGAGACTTATCACTGATGAATTCTATTAACGGCAGATCTAGGTACAGGCCAAGTCCTGCATGAGGATAATTGCAAGAAGAGACGTTCCTACCTCAGCGAAGCGAGAGGCGCATGGAGCTTCCTTGCAAGGAGTATATCCTACCTTTTCCTACCTAAAAATTATTCTTGGGTGCTCCGATGATACCTTATTTTGCTGCTTTCCATTCTTTAGAACAAGGCTTGGAATAGTCTAGGATAGGACGGACAAGCCTTGTGAAGGATATGGAGTTGGCAGAATCGACGTAGCCTGAACTTCCTAGTTTCCCATTCCTAGATTCATGTTGTGGCACGTATAATTCCTGTTAACTTATTAAAAAAATGAATCAGTTGCATCTTGATATCGTTTTGTTCTACTTTTAAGATGTTCTTTGTAGCAAAGGAGTATTAAGGGGGACCGGGGTTCCGTTCTTAAGGAAAACCTGGTGTTGATGTTGGCGTTGATTGTGAAATTGGCGTTGCGCCGCCTGACAGGCTGCCATTTGCAGTTTTTCCAGCGCCCTTCTTCCGTTTCTTCTTCCTTGCTACAACAACTGGTTTTGCTCCATAATCGCCAATCTTGAGCTGCGAGCCACACGTAAGACACTCTGCTGCGTCAGGAGGTTCACAAAAAATGCTCAAGCAGATACTGCACACAAAACCGACATCGACAACCCTGCGATGACAAAAACAGGCAGCACGGAAATCCACATCGACTCTGGTTGGCAGAATTAAATGGCGACGCGACCGCTGATCTGGCAGGAAAGCAAGCATAAGATACTGCAGAAAGCCGCGCGGGTGATCGATTGGCACGTAGATACCACGAGTGGCATCACAGGCTTGCTGGAGGAAGACGGCGTCGCCGGAGAGTTTACAAATGTCGATAGGGATGTGTAAGCGTTGGCAGGCAAAAATGCTATTCATGATGGGGATGTATTGGTGAGCAGAGCCGGTGGCACTGCTGACAGAGATGATGAGGATGCGGGACTGGAGACCGGAGGGATTGAGCGGGTTAGAGGTGCTGATTTGGGAGGAGCCCGGAGGAGGGGGGAGGGCAGATGAGGAATGATGGTCTAGTGTTGAAGAACTGCTAGTGCTGGCACCGTGAGTTTCGGCGTGGGCGATCGTTTCGCGGTTGATATAGCCCAGAGCAAGCGTGAGAGCGCCGGCCATCATGGTGGAAGCTGCCGCGTGTAAGACGGCTGGGGTAGTATCGGATAGCAGGGATTTGAGGTTACGGGTGATTTGCTCCTCAACGATGCGGAAGGGCGGGTATTTGTTGGATTGGGATGAGCTGTCGTTAGTTGACATGTCGGTGTCTCCCTCGCCCGCGGCATTGGCGGGAGGAGTGGTGGGCGTTGGGTAGAGCCATCGAGCCTGGTGCGAGTGGCTGGCGACTATGGCGACTTTGTTCGCGAAGTTGCAGGCCAGATGGGCGTTGATGAAGACAAGGAGGTTTGCGATTGCTGTGGACAGCGGGAGGGTGTTTTCGAGCAGCGCCCAGGCGTGTGGGTTGGTGTCAAGCACGATGGTCAGCAGCGAGGTCGCGGTGTCTGTGGTATCTCTGTGTCAGCAGCGACTCCCTCACTCCAGATTCTATCACCCGCCCCCCGTATGTGTCTCCGCCCTTCTCTCGCCGTGTTTCTCCATCCTGGCCAACTTCCCGGTGTGTGAGGGCAGCTGTCCTACCTGTTGGATTGGCATCATAGTGGTCTGAGGCATCGACGGCGTTCATGCCGCGCGGCGTGCAGGCGCAATCACGGGGAACGGAGCTATTCCACGACTCACACGACCCGTCGCTGGCTGTGGTCGCAGGCGGGCGGTTCGCTCGTCCTCATCGTCGTCGTCACGGCTTCAAAAGCTACTGCTGACTAATCTCAGCTAAGCATCTCGGATCCGCCACCGAAACACGCTGGGATTCGCGTTCGGATTTGATTTCGCTCTTCTGGCTTTTCCTTTTTTTGTTTCGCCGGCACGCTGCCGGTCCAAGACCCTCCCAAGCCGCCAGTGACACCGCCTGTCTCGCATCTCTCGCCCGAACGGCGGGCGCTTATCAGCCCGCAGACATATCAGATCAGATAAGACCTTGGCTGCCCTCTCTGGATGGCAGCCTGAGTGGCACAGCTGGCGTGCGGTTTCATCAATCAGATATTCTGCTACTGAACCATGGCGACAAGCTTCGCCGTGGTTGGATGGGCCCGCAGCCAGAGACCGACAATGACTGGGATGTAACTCAGGAGATCTGTGATGCTCCACCGTATAAAGGATCGGATGGCGGTTCCAGAGGCAGCCCAAGTGGACACCTCGCGGCCTGCGAGCTTTTTTTTTTTCTACTTGTTATTATGACTCTAGCGATCTTCGTATAAAACTCGCTGCTGCTATCCTGCTGCTAGTTGGTTAGCTCTTCTTCTTATCAGCTTGCACCCCGTTGTCTCGTCTCTCTCGTCTCAACAGAGTTTCGACTCCAGCCTGAGTCATCCCAACACCAACAAGCTCTCTCGCCTCCATCCAACATTCCGCCACAAGCAAAGTAATCCCTCAACACACCGCAACATCTTTCTAGGCAGCAGACGTCCATTGATACCAGTTGTACGGACCTGTCCTCGGCTTCGAATCTGGCCTGCGTCTCGTCGCACCAAATCTCCACACCGACGCCATCGCGCCTTATCTTTGTTATCCACCAAGCCCGTCGTCTCGCCCAAAGGGAACATCGAGACTACGATTTTTTTTATCTTTTTACCTTTGCACCATCCTTGACTTCCCTCTGAGTTGCATCATTTTACTTGTGTTGACGAAATCTGTCGTTTTTCTGGGGCTCCGATAACATCGCCCATGGTTTCTGTGATTAAGAACGATCGGGCGGCGCTACTTGCAAGAGAGGCTGTTGAGCTTGTGGATGCTGGCCACCGCGAGGTATGACGCACTTCCTTTACTCCCTTCTGCGCTCAGAGCTAATACACTTTGTACCCCGTAGGCTGCCTCTCGCAACCTGCGCGAGGCTATCGCCCTCGCCCCCGAAAGTTCGGAGGTCAAGGCTGCATTCCTGAAAGTCCGGGATGACGACGAAAATATCCATCCTTTACTGACCCTGTGTCGGCGATATCTCAATCAACAGGACGAGGATGCTGGAAAGGAGGCCGTTAAATTTCTCCAGCAAGAGGGGTTGGAAACGCCTGCGGATGCTGCCCTGGACTCCTTAAAACTCGTGCTGGGTACACCGGCATCAAAACTTTCAGCTACTCAAGATGATATAATCAGCGGCCTCGTTCGCCAAAGCACTGCCTGCCGCCTTTATTTTGCTGCTGAGCTTCAGAATTCCGTGACCCATTTCTTTGATGAACTCTACGATCGCGGAGATGGATCTGTTGTTTGTTTAGATACGGTTGTTCTGGAAAAGGCGCTCTGGCAATCGGATAAGGCCCGCAGCCACTGCGAGAGCGAATTGTTGCAGTTGTTCATTGCAAAGTTGATGGAGTCAGGTCATGATCACGATGGTCGGTCTCTTAAGGGAATTGCACGACTTCTTGCTGTTGACGCGCACTGTCTTCACCATTTAATTGATGAGGAAGGGTTTGATGTTATTTTATCGTCTCTTGATTTAAGATTGCCTGTCGATGTACGGAGTCAGGCCACCCTCGCAACAGCGAAGTACCTGGAAGCCTCTGGTGATTCTGGCCAACAGTTTTTCACAAACATCATCACTAGCCGTGTCGCTAAGCGGAGACAAGAAGACTATATAATTGCATTTTCCGCCGCTGCTGTGGTCTTTCCTTTGCTCCCTGCCATCGCGTCGAATCTTTTCTTGTCGGAGGGGTTTCTACAATCACTTACTCCCTTGTTCTACCGAAGACAGAAATTCTCTGATTTGGAACTGTCTATCCTTGAGTTGTTCAATGCGGCGTGCATCGACAAAGCATGTCGAGAGGCTATTGATAAGCACCATTCGGACTGGTTGTCGCATACACTCAGCAATGGTACACAACATGCAGCGGGTCTGGCCGCGGTGATTATAGCTAAGATACAAGCTTCAGGGAAACCCACAGAGGCTCATCCAAGTAGTAAGGTACAGGAGGCGGATGTTGAATCTCATGATTTGGTTGATCGATTCAGACAGTTGTTAGCGAAACAATCTTTGGAGGACAATACCGGCCATGTCGTTGAAGGCTTAGCATACTCTTCAGTGAGACCTGCCGTGAAGGAACAAATTGCCAATGATCGAACTTTTCTTGAGAATTTGTTTCGGGTTCTAATGAACGAAAAAGAGGACAATACCGTACTTTATGGTGGTTTGGCGACCATATGGAACATCACCAAGTATAGGCCCAATCTATCGGAAGAGCAAAAGAAGCTCTCGGAACTGAAGGCGTACGCCAACACATCAAAGCCGACGCAGCTGGACACATTGGATGATGATGAACATGTCAAGCATCGCTGCACTGCCGTCATTGATGCCGGTATCATGCCTGTGCTCGTTTGGTGTGGGAAACGTAGGCTATCATCGATACGCACGCTTAGTGCCCAAATTCTTCTCGCATTGTCAAAGGATTCTAAATCCAGGGGAAAGCTTGCCCAGCAAGGTGCCGTGGGGCTTCTTGTGGCTACACTCAATCCAGCAGGAGACGCCCCTCGAAAGCTGGAGGAGTCGAGCTACAATGCCGCCCATGCACTTGCTCGAATCTTGATATCTGTGGACCCATCTCTCGTCTTTGTAACATCAGGATTCCCACAGATCACTTCGGCTATACGGCCACTACTCCTTCTCCTAAGCCCCCCAGAGGTGTCGTTGACGGATCAGTCTCGCGACCTTTTACCTGTTTTTGAAGGGCTTCTGGCACTTACAAATCTTGCATCGTCCCCAGACAAGGATGCTGCTGTAACCATCGTCCGTGCCGGGTGGCCCACAGTCGAGGATTTGCTGTTATCAAATCACAGCTTCATCCGACGGTCCGCATGCGAGCTGGTTTGCAACTTAATGAACTGTGAAGCCGGTCTAGCCAAGTTTGCCGACGGCTCTGCGCGTGCGGGGCAGCGCCTTCATATCCTTCTCGCACTCGGGGACGTGGAAGATCTACCCACCCGGCGTGCTGCGGGCGGGGCACTAGCGATGCTCACGGAGTACGAGTCCGCTGTCTCGGCGATCCTGGATCGTGCGCGGGGGTTGGATATCATCCTTGGACTGTGCAGCGACGAAGACGAGGGTTTGGTGCACCGCGGCACGGTGTGCGTGCATCACATTGCGCGGGCGACTGGGGATGTGGGACGAAAGGGCAAGCACGGCTTGCTGGAGAAGGGGGCACTCGAGGCCCTGAAGGCACGGATCCCGAACGTGCGCACCCCGGCGGTGATGGAGAGTGGTATTGAAGCATTGAAGGCGTTGTTAAATTGAAACGGAAGGGAATTTTCTTGATAGATGGCGGTCTTTACTCTGGGTTTGGGGGGTTTGGGATTCTTTACTCTTTCTTATGATTTTAAGCATGTCATTCAAGCGGGGAACGGCCTTGGGGATTTGCTTTTATTCGTTCTATTCATATGGAGCGGTGGTCGAATCTTTCACGTCTCGGGTTGTCATTTCTATAGATTCGACGTTTCTATCTGGCCGCGGTTCTTCAGGTCGTCGGTCAGAATGTTTCCCTCCACGGCATGCTTGCAGATGGCGTTCTCTTCTCTTTATATGCTATGGGCAGATAATAGTCTATTTTATGTGGTTTCAAATAGTGCCTACAGTGTACTCCGTACTCCGGACAACCATGGGCCCCGATTCTCAGTGCAGTACACGGCCAAACCATGTCGCCGGCTGGCCGCGGGGCTGGTGACAGGGTGGCAGGTATGAAGCCATCCCATGGACGGTTATCCCCAGGGATACCGGAGGAGCGCGGAACAGCGGCGGGGAGGCACTGGGGGCTCTTGAGTTCGCGTACGAAGTACAAAGTATACATCCGGAGTACGAATACATAACCTGCTTGTCAAGCTAGTTAGCTAACTATGTATCTAAGCTTTTGCGGCGTGTATATTGCTTTTTCTGAGAAGAACAGTGAGAACAACTAGTAACAAGCACATAGCACGCGTGATGGGAGATGAAGATAAAGATTCAATTGAAAGTAGAGATATATGTATTTTTTATACAGCACGCAGCGGCCCTACTCCATCCGGCAATTAAGCCCTCCATCCAAGTACCTCCCTCCCAGGGCCGGGCGTGGAGTACCTGACCCCGCCAAGCAGCACCGCGCACCAATCATCGGGCCACATGAGCCACAAGCTCCGGCTAGCTCGAGCTCACGCCCGCCCATGTCTACTCCTCCGGCCATCCCTCTCGCTCCGTCTTCCCTTCTCTCGCCCTCCACCTTCTCGTAGCCTTCACTCACCTCATGTTCTGACCCCTTCCTGCATCCCCCATGGCGCCCTTCACCCCCGACTCCGCTATCTTCTCCTTCCGGGTTCGTTTACGTTCTTCCGCTTTCGTTTGAGGCCCCGTTTTTTTTTTAATTGCTCGCCGCTGCGCTCTCCGTTTTCTTTCCTCCTACCCCCCTCTTGCCACTGATCTCAGTCGCGGTGCGGTACGACGCTCATTATCTGTTGGTGACACTCCTGTGAAACGGTTGTCTTCTTCGTTGTTCGCTTGATCCGATCCCGTGGCTGCTTGTGTATCTTTGGCAACACACCCGTGGTTTCAAGTGTCTGCCAGTGCCGTTTGTCAACATGAAGTTCGGCAGAAATCTACCTCGGAATATGGTTCCGGAATGGAGCGCCAACTACATCAAATATAAGAGTTTAAAGAAGCTTATAAAGTCCGCTATAGAGGCTAAGAAGAACGGAGAAGAGCCGGATTTAGCAGGCAAGTGTGGCCTCCGAGACACCTTATAAGTTTATCATCGCTAATTGTCAAGCCTTTAGGCTTCTTCTACTCCCTGGACCGAAACCTCGAAGATGTCGATCATTTTTACAATAAGAAGTTCGCAGACTGCTCTCGTCGACTCAAATTACTAGATGAACGCTTTGGCCATTCCGTCGTGGCATCACAGCGACCTGACGTGGAAGATTTGGAAGACCTATTGGCTGCGTTGCTGGAGTTGCGAGGCCAATTGAGAAAGCTGCAGTGGTACGGCGAGGTCAACCGCCGAGGCTTCATCAAAATCACAAAGAAGCTGGACAAGAAGCTCCCGGGAGCCCAGGCGCAGATGCGATACTTATCAACCAAAGTTGATCCCTCACCGTTTGCAACTAATGCCCGTCTGTCATGTTGTATGAAGGGCGTCAACGACTGGCTGTCAGTACTTGGAGACCAGAAGGCTGTGGATGATGCCAGCTCAACCCGATCTTCGTTGCCGTTGAAGAGGGTACCATCTCGCCAGAACCTAAACATTCCAGAAAGCCTTCTTCATGCTGTTGACGATGCCCTTCGCAAGGACGATACACATATCCTACTGGAATTGCTAACAACGCTCAAAATCGCCGCTGATGAACTGGGTGCTAACATTTACCCCAAAGTTTTGAAATCTCTTATTCAGCGATCAATACTCTGTCGCTCTAGGGCATGTCTTGTCTCATTACTGGGAAAGATTGACAACCTCGAAGAAGACGACGATATCAACAAGCGCAACTGTATTCATCGCTTTGTAATCTCCATCGGAAGATCTCAGACAACGTCTGATGCTGAAACATCCGCATCTATGGTATTGAATTTTCCGGTAGACACTTCAAACTATATCACTCCAGCAGCTGCTCCTTCGCTCATACCTCAGCGGCCGGTGCCAAAAGAATCAGATCAAGTCACAGTCTTGCAACGTGGCGATGCTTCCGTTTCGTTTCTGGAATACCTCCTCGATAACCTGCAACCCCATCAACGCGATGCTCTCCTAGCAAAAGATATATCTGGTCGCACCCCTCTTCACTATGGTGCGCAACACGGATTCAAGGTTGTCTGCGAGGTGATTATTGAGCACCTACAAGCTTGGGATATGTTCGATGTAGCCGAAGGTATCGATGGGCCTAATTGGCAGGACGAAGAGGGGTGGGCCCCGTTGCATTTAGGCGTTGTTGGAGGACATCCACTCACCACTCGAGTTTTGTTAGATTCAGAAAACTGGAAAGGGGATAACGATGACAAAGCAGCTATTCGGAAACACATCTCCAAGTCCAGTGCTGTTTTGGCATTGGCTACCAAAGCAAACTTTGTCAGTATCGTACAGTTGCTTGTTGATGCTGGTGTCGATATCAACTATCAGGATGACCAGGGGGAGACTGCCCTGCACGTTGCTGCTCGTTTTGGCCATGAGAAATGCGCGAGGGCTCTTCTCGAGGGCTCAGAAACCCAAAAAGCTAATACGGAGCTGACAGAACATACATATTCCTGGACACCTCTGTTCATTGCTTGCGTTGATGGCAATACCAGTGTTGTCCAGCTGTTGATTGATGCAGGTGCTGATCTCGAACGGCCCGATTCCTCTGGCTGGACCGCTAAAGAACATGCAGCGCTGAGGGGGCATATGGATATTGCTAGGCTTTTAGCCGACGCTGCCTCTGCACCCGATGGCAGCAGCGAGTCTGAAAGCTCTATCGTTACGTCGCTCTCCTCATCACCACCACTTTCGTCCTCTTTGGCGGACCGCAAGTCTAATGCCAATGGGGAAAAGCGCCCTGCTGAAGCGATCAAGACATTTGGTCATAGATACTTGACCGATGAAAGTATGGTGCTAGTAAGCCTTGGCACAATGGACATGAGAAAGTTCATCCCGGCTGTGAATCTTGACCGTATTCCCATGGCGAGCGCTCATTTGACACAGCTTGATACTGCGTTGTCAATTGTTGTTTCGGCAAGTGGAGCTCACGGGGAACCGGAGATTGTCGATCTACCAGTTCATGATAACTTGTCTACCGAGCCAATTGTCTTTCACACCTTGGATGCAGCGAAGACAAAGATTATCTTCGATCTTGTGCCTACTTATTCAGGGTCAAAAGACCAAATCCTCGGCCGTGGAGTTGCTTTATTATCCAGCATCAAGCCTAATATTGGTTCGAAACGTATTACTCTTCAGGGCGACTCTACCGTTCCTATCATCGCCGCTAATACCCTTGATGTTATTGGATCTGTTACGTTCAATTTCCTGGTCATCACCCCCTTTAGTCATCCGAAAATGTCGGTAACCGAAAATCAAACGTATTGGAAAACTATGGAGTCGACGATGGTTATCGGGCATCGAGGTGATTTCACTTCGCAAGTTCACTCTCAATGCCTTTTTGATGTCCCCTAACCTTTATTTTTTGAAAAGGTCTTGGAAAGAACATCGCTGGCCGAAAATCATTGCAACTGGGGGAGAATACGGTTCAGGTGTGTTTAACGGGGGGTTCCTGAGTTTCTGCCCTTCTAATTTTATCAGTCATTCATTGCGGCTGCCAACCTTGGTGCATCTTACGTTGAGGTAAGCCATTTATCAGTTGTTGAAATAGTGAAATCATAAAACTGACTCTTTTTAGTTTGGTACTATTCTCCCCTTGTTTCTGACCTACTTTCTCTAGGCTAATAGATCTAGATGTTCAACTAACAAAGGATCATGTTCCTGTTATTTATCATGATTTTCTTGTCAGTGAAACAGGCATTGATGCACCAGTGCACACCCTTACTTTAGAGCAAGTACGTAATATCAAGATCCCAAGCCCATGTTAACCAAGTCTGATTATTTTCCAGTTCTTGCATATCAGTGATGGTCGAAACCCCCGTGCAAAGCAGGTTGATAGAAATTCCCGAAGTGCTACTCCGTCATTGAATAATTCCCGTGACCCCGCTTTGAGACAGAGATCCATGTCTGTCGGTGAAGAGCTGGGAGTGCCAAATTTGGACGAGAGGATGAAGCACACTCGAGATTTTAAGAAGAAGGGGTTCAAGGGAAACACGCGTGGAAACCATATTCAAGCGCCGTTCGCCACTCTGAAGGAACTTTTCAAGGAGCTACCAAAGTCTGTTGGGTTTAACATGGAACTAAGTAAGATTAATTCTTTGAAGTTTTCATGCTAGGTATCTAACGAATCTCTTGAAGAATATCCTATGCTCCACGAAAGCGAGGAAGAAGAAATGGACACGTACGCTGTGGAACTGAACTCCTTCGTTGACACTGTCCTTACTACTGTTTACGACCTTGGTGAAGGCCGAAATATGATTTTCTCTTCCTTCAACCCCGATATCTGCCTTCTCCTCTCTTTTAAACAACCTTCCATCCCCGTTTTATTCCTCACAGACTCCGGTGTTGGTGCTGTTGGAGATATTCGCGCTAGCAGCCTACAGGAAGCTATTCGGTTCGCTTCCCGATGGAATCTTTTAGGTATTGTCACGGCAGCCGAACCGTTGGTAATAAGCCCACGTCTGGTGAGGGTTGTGAAGGAGTCTGGGTTGGTATGTGTCTCCTATGGGATATTGAATAATGACCCAGCAAATGTCAAGGTACGTTATTCTTAATTTATGCTCTATTTGTCATCCTTTTTCTTTTAATGATTGACTAATTACTGTTGGTGGATTAGGTGCAAGTCAACGAGAACATTGATGCAGTTATTGTTGACAGTGTTCTTGCTATCCGGAATCGGTTGACTGAGCCTCAGCCTGAACCTTAGTTTTATCCGCTCTCTAGTCCTTGACGACGTTTGCGTGATAACTGCTCCGTACCCCGCAGTGGCTTGCAAATTAAATTTTTTTTTTGTCCTTCCCAAATAGAATGTGATCTCTGGAAAACCCAAGTTCACGATACTGCGTTCATTTCGCATTATATTAATCGGCTAGAAGAAGGTGCTACTATACTGATTCGATATGATGATAGTTAAGAGAATTGCCTCCACCTCCAAAGTAGATTGTGATATAATCACTAGCTTATCCAGAGATTTTATCCAACTCATGAGATCTATCTATCCTTTTCCGAGAAAAGTTTGCGGGCAGAAACACTGTATAAATCCAACAAAACTTTTATCTGCTTACCAAAATAACCTATCAAAAATACCCCAAGGCCATAAACTCCCGTTTTACATCAAACACCCATCCTTGATGCTAGTATGGAAATCACTCATCGCTACACGAAGTCTTCTAGCTCCACTAGACGAGTCCGCACGATCCTGTAGGTCAAAGACCTCGACAATCCATTCGTACCAAACCCTACGGTCATCGGTCTGGCGGTACATCGTCACGACGACTTCAGAGTTTTCAGTGACGTGTAGAGGCGTCTGCATTGTTATTATTAGTATTGTGGGCATAGCGAACTCTTGGGGCGAGGTATACCTTCAAGGGAAAGTAGATGGGGAACCAGCTTATCATCCCTTCACTCTTGGAATCCATGGTGACAGGGTTTGTTGAAAGCTCTACATCGTCGTAAAGAACGGTCTCAAAATATCCGCCTAGCCCATGACATACGCCACGCTGGCGACATGGGAATGTGAGTCGAGCCTGACGAACGTTATGAGCGTTTGAGATAACAGATGAAGATGCCGAGGGGGGTGGGATATGAGGGTTTGGGTGGGAAAAAGACCATGCTGTGTGAACTATGGGAGTCGAGGATTCCAGGATAGGTGGTGGCGTTGAGGTTTTGGCGATGTTGAAAGTGGAAGATGACGGTGTAGGGTTCGCAGACGGTCGTTGGCTTGCTGGCGGCGAGGAACGCTGCTCAGTTGAGAGGAAGTCAAAGGCGTGGAGCATAACAACATAGGGCGTTTCTGGAGCAGCTGGATTCGAAATGCTTTGCCCCTTGATGTCAGCGTGAAGTCGAGGGGAGGAAATAGGGGTAAGATGGGCGGAATAAGAGGCTGGGATAGAGATTCCATCAGTTGGGTTCAGGAGATGAGTGACTCCGTCCAAACATTCAGGGGATAATTCGTTGTCGCCAAAAGAGCCTAAGAGCTCAGAGACAAAAATATCCACTGGATAGTGGACTACAGGCATTGTCGCCTGCTCCGATCCATCAGCCTGCACAGTAGAACTGTTGTGTGGACCTTTCCAGCTCCTCATGTCCGATTGGACCAAGTTCACACAGCCAGCCCACACATTGCTATTTTGCCGCTGGAGATGCACAAATGCGTTCTGATTCTTTTCAACGGCCCACATCTCAACATCGACGCCGGCTTCTACGCTGGCTCGAATTGCTCGCGTCACTAGAGGGCCACGACCAGCGCCCACAACTGCAATTACGACACGTCCATCAGGGCAGGATGTCGTTCTACTCTTACTGGCCCAATCCTTCAATGCTTTAGTGATCGCACGTTCATACCATTCATATTTGACTGGATCTTTTTCAAACACCTCGTATGTCACGCTTTCAAGATTCACAGTCAGTGGCTGCAGCGGTGCTTGCAAAAAGTCTTGATACCCAACCCCAAATCGCTCCATAGGCGTGCGAGGTGGCTGTTTTGTTTGTAAATTGCGAATATATGAGAGATGAGGTGTTGGGTCATGATTCTTTTTAACAATCGGCGCAGATCGTTCCATGGCTTCCGCAGGTGTTGGCGAATCCCCACTGCTTTCCCGAAGAGGATCGGGTAGAGGGCCAACGTCACATAAAATAATCCAAGGTTGGACTTTCAAACGCATGAATCGAGATATTAAGGCCTGGTGTGGCCTAGATAACACTGGGTAACCCTTTTGGTTTCTGAGAAACGTGTTTGCTCCGATCATGAGCATATGAACTGTTTCGGATAGCCATCTGGATTGTACTGAAGTGGGTGGAAGATACTTGGGTAATGATAGGGCTATAACCGGTTAGCACACCCATTAGAGTAGTCACAAAACGCCCCAATAACGCAGCTGTTGGGCTATAACGAAAATGAAAAAGAAAATGGTCTGAAGGGCAAAGAAGACTAGGAAAAACCGCAAATTGATCCTTACCGACAAAAAGGCGGGCATGATATTTACAAACCCTCCGAATAACATCCCATGCGTCCCAGGTGCCAAGGTGATCCGGTCTAATCGGCGCGTTTGTATCCTGCTCAGGTACATATTCGGCCCGTGCAAATGGCATCAAGTCGCCGATGTCATTGCTCTCTGAGCCTGGGTTATCAGTCATTTGGAGCCAGATATGCACCTGGATATAAGGCGCAAGGTTCATAGCTTCTTGGATTGCACGGGCATAGTGCATCAATCCCATACTTCCATATTGTAATTTTGGTCCAGGTATTACGAGATAACTTATTCCACAGAATGCGGCATAAGCAACTTCATGTAAAAGCACTTGACGGGAGATGTCTGCGATTAAGGGGTCCGGCGAGCAAAGATCGGTCCACCTGCTTGAAATTGCCACCATGCTGCTGACGGATGGATTTGGGCTCAGATGGGAATCAGAAAGCGCTAAAGATGGGATCGTAAGAGGCCTTGTGTTGGTGGAAGTGGCCAATGTTCCACAGACATCCTGAGAGGGAGATTCCAGGCTGGATAGATGCGATGAGAGCAAGGCCAGGACTTTTGAGTGAAAGTCCTCCGTCGTGATTGGGGTTGTTACAAGGTCATACTTAAGAAAAGAGGTCAGCGATTACAACGGTACAAAAGCGTAGAATGAGTCGATGCCATACACCACTATCATAGGCGCTCTGTATGAACTCTGGAGGTACAGGCGCAGCGCGGTTTCGTTCGTGCTGGCCAACCACAAATGTGGGCGTCCAATTATCCGACGCTTCCATCTTGCCCATAGGTATAGCAAGATCAAACTCGCGTGGATCAATTGCCGTGCTCAAAATTTAAGCGAGGGGAGTGCGGAGGGAGAGTGAATGAACCCGCCCAGTCACTTCATGCTAGCCACAAAACACTCGAATACTGCAGTCCATAACTAGCCAACAGGTAACACCAAACGATCAGGATTGTCCCTAAGTTCGTCTAGTTCCCGCCGGCTCTCAGAATCCCATGCACTCCAGTCGTTACGTTCTCATCCTCCTGGTGGGCGAAGTAGTACTCCGTAGCAGTTAATTAACTAGTTAACTAAGTAGTTAACTAGTTAGTTAGTTATTGACTAACTGAACTAGTTAATTAACTAACTAACTAAGTTAATCCCTGCTGGACCCGCCTAGACTTTTTTCTATCAATCGCGGCTTTCATCATCTTCATCGGCTCTGCCAACTTCCTCTATCCCGCTCTCTAGAGAGACTGTCTAGAATGGCTGGCGCACGGACTGGCCAGGATAACTCTCGAGCCAAGCGACTCAAGACCACAGCATCAGCCATGGATCCCCGCGACAACCCATACCTTGCCCATATGTACGAGAACGACAGCTCTGGGGGCGGGGAGAGTAAGACCAATGGGGCTTTAAAAGATTCCCCGCTAGCAGATTTTGAAAGGCACAAGTCCACAGCTGCGATGGCACGGAAAGCAGAGGATTCGACGGCCAACCCTTTCACAGGAAAACCCGCGTCGAGCCGATATTTCTCGATCTTGAAAACGCGCAGAGGTCTACCTGTTCATGCGCAGAGGTGTGTTTCCGCTCCTTTAGCTTTTCTTTATACAGCATTGACCGCTCTTATTTAGAGATGAATTCCTAGAGCTTTATCAACAATCCCAAATCCTCGTGTTTGTCGGAGAGACTGGTTCTGGTAAAACAACGCAGATACCCCAGTTTGTTCTCTACGATGATCTTCCCCAACTTCGAAATAAACTCGTTGCCTGTACTCAACCCCGTCGAGTAGCAGCTATGTCAGTTGCCGAGCGTGTTGCTAACGAGATGGACGTCAAACTTGGAGAAGAGGTTGGGTATAGCATTCGTTTTGAAGATATGACCGGCCCGAAAACAATATTAAAATATATGACCGATGGCATGTTGCTAAGAGAAGCAATGCATGACCCCGACCTTACCCGCTACAGCACAATTATCCTTGACGAAGCCCATGAGCGCACGATGGCAACAGACGTTCTCATGGGGTTGTTAAAAGAAGTCGTCCTGCGTAGACCGGATCTGAAACTCATCGTCATGTCCGCGACTTTGGATGCGCAAAAATTCCAACGTTATTTTAACAACGCTCCGCTCTTAGCTGTTCCTGGTCGTACCCATCCAGTCGAAATTTTTTACACCCCAGAGCCTGAACAGGATTACGTGGAAGCCGCCATTCGAACGGTTTTGCAAATCCATGCTGGTGAACCAGAAGGCGACATCCTTTTGTTCTTAACTGGTGAAGAGGAAATTGAAGATACTGTCCGTAAAATATCGTTAGAAGTGGATGAGATGATTCGAGAAGCGGATGCCGGGCCTATGAAGGTGTATCCGCTTTACGGTACACTCCCTCCAGCTATGCAACAGCGTATCTTCGACCCACCGCCTCCACCTCGCAAAGAGGGTGGCCGTCCGGGAAGGAAATGCATTATTTCCACCAACATCGCCGAAACCTCCCTTACAATCGATGGTATAGTTTACGTGGTAGACCCTGGATTTTCCAAACAAAAGATTTATAATCCTCGCATCCGCGTTGAATCGCTTCTTGTGTCACCTATCTCTAAAGCATCAGCTCAGCAGCGTGCTGGTCGTGCCGGTCGTACACGACCTGGGAAATGCTTTCGTCTATATACCGAAGGTGCCTTTAAAAAGGAGCTTATCGATCAAACTTACCCTGAGATTCTGCGGTCGAACTTATCTACGACGGTTTTAGACCTCAAAAAGCTTGGAATAGACGATCTTGTTCATTTCGATTTAATGGATCCTCCAGCCCCAGAAACACTAATGCGTGCGCTCGAAGAGTTGAATTACTTGGCCTGTCTAGATGACGAAGGAAATTTGACTCCGCTTGGTCGTCTGGCATCAGAATTTCCCTTGGACCCTACCCTAGCTGTCATGCTAATCACTTCTCCCGAATTCTACTGCTCTAATGAGATCCTCTCTATTACATCTCTTCTTTCTGTTCCGCAAATATTTGTTCGCCCTGCCGCGCAAAGAAAACGTGCTGATGAAATGAAGTCTTTGTTTGCACACCCTGATGGTGATCACTTAACACTTCTCAACGTCTATCATGCCTTCAAAGGTCCAGAGGCGCAGGAGAATCCTCGCCAATGGTGTCATGATCATTTCCTATCTTTTCGCGCTCTCCAATCTGCAGATAACGTAAGACAACAATTACAGCGTATTATGGAGCGCCAGGAGATTGACCTTGTGTCGACGCCTTTCGAAGATAAAAAATATTATGAAAATATTCGCCGGGCACTTGTCGCTGGATTTTTCATGCAGGTTGCCAAGAAAGAAAGTCAGGGCAAAAGCTTGTACAGGACAGTCAAGGATAACAATGAACCGGTCCTTTTGCATCCAAGCACGGTACTAAGTCACGAATCGGAATGGGTGTTGTACAACGAATTTGTATTGACCACGAAAAGTTTTATCCGGACGGTGACAGCTGTGAAGGGAGAATGGCTCCTTGTCAGTTTTTTTCTAAGAGTCACATCAGGAAACGTAACTAATGTTTTATAGGATATTGCCCCAACATACTACGATATATCAACTTTCCCTAAAGGAGAAATTAGATCTGCTTTACTACGGGCAGCAGAACGTCTGTCACGAAAAGAGAAAATGCGCTCGGAGACTAGGAAAAGATAAACGACACATTACGGCTGCTAGATTGTTTCGCTGTTGTTTTAGAATGATTTACAATGGGCTTGGGCAATACCATAAGACCTTATTACTCTGCACAATATGTAAAACAAGAATTGAATTACCGATTAAATATTACACCCGAGCTCCAACAGTCTTCGTCCGCAAGACGAGTAGTCTGCTATCCGATTTCCCTATAAAATTAGCAGAAACATGGTAGTAACACCGTACTCCTTAAGTTAAGTCGGGTTTTATTGTTTCCAAAGATGTATCACTTTCTATGTATGTACAAAACAAATGATCATGAGATGCTGTCATATTGTCGATGTCAAGAACCACCGGCGCCCCAGCCCAAGTATGCATAAGACAATACGGAGTACCAGCAAACGTTATGAACACAGAGATGCAAGCAGGAGCGTGGATGATCCGACGGAAAACAACATCAGTATTGTTACAGAAAAGGATTCCCTTAGAAAGAGGAGAAAATTGTGACTCTAAAGGTAAGTCGAGGTCTCAACAGTCGAAATCATGCAATTGCGCCCTCTTCTATATCGTTAACGGTTACGCGAGGGTGTTTCGCTTCATCTTCGTCCAGTCTTTCCATAGCTGTATCCCCGCTATTGAAAATAGATACCAATCGATATCGTTTGTCTGGCGATCGATTATCGGAGGTTCGGCTTTTGTGATGAATCGCACCATTTTCAGACCTTCCATGCGATGATTGGGCCCCGGCACCACGCATCTCTGGCCGATCTAATATGTAGCCTTCTAACTTTGCAATGACAGCATTCTGGAGATTAACCATACCCTGCAGTTTCTTCAATTCGGCTTTAGTTGACTCTATGTCATCTCTTGGCTGTTCGTTCGGGTCTTTCGAGGACACAGGTTGGTGAGATTTGTCTCCTTCGTTAGATATTAATTTGTAATATTTCATATTAAAGCTCTCCTCTAATCTTAATCTTTGTAGTGTCAAATCGTCATCCGGGATAAATTCTTCGGCAGCCTCTCGAATCAACGGTTCGATTTTCCGGGCAAATTCAACATATTTTTCTCCAGGAGAAAGATTGTCTAAACCATCGACTGAGTAAATGCTTGCATCTCGCCATTTCCGAGCTGCCCATAATAACACCGGCCGTGCGTCTCGTGGAGTTTTCGATCGCTGCCACCTGATGCCAGAGGATACAGCAGCGGCGATAATCGAATCAGAAACTTGCTTCCGGCCACAGCATTCACATAATATTATCATGTATAGAACCAGCCGCTCTATCTCATGTACGGGGTGATTTTTGCTGGATAAAAGATAAAAAATTACTCGCATCAAAACATGCCGCCCTTTTCTCCAGTCGGCGTGAAATGAATGGTAGCGTAGGTAAGCACCTAATACGGGAACTGTGTCATTGAACCCTATGGCCCTGAGGGTATCAAGCCACGCATCCGCTCGTTGAGGCTGGTCAAAACATAGAGCACAGGAAATGAGAGAATTGAGGATAAAGGGATTCGGCGTCGAATTCGGAGGCACGGCAATTTCAAGTCCGCCAACCTTCGCTATGCCCCAGCGCAAATGAATATTAACAAATGGATTGGGGCTTAGCAGGATTTTTAAAAATTGATCAAACCCACTCAAGTCCTTGGTTTTGTTGAACCAATTTAAAGAGGAAACAATAATGGGGACTGTTAAAAGAAATGTGTTTGTGAAAAGAGAATCCATGACCATCTTCACCATGTCATTGAGTTGGGCACGGCTAAAGCTGGTAATTAGTATTTCGATGGCCCGGGGTGAGAGAGGTTCCTGTGACGATATCAAAAGTTCTGAAACTCTGAGAGCCAGCCCGTCCAACGAAAGGCGCCCCTGTTCGTATAAGCCAAAAAGTTTCTGAAACTCATATGTCATTGCATCCCTTTCCCTCTCCAAAACCTCCTGCTCTTCAAGTGTAATATCTCCACAAATATCCAGATAAGGGGCGTTTGAGGAGTGTTTAAGCTCAAAGATCCGTTTTCGTATCTTTTCTAGCTCACTAAGTAGCATTTCCACGCTTAAATTTCGGGTTACTGACTCGTAAGTGTCATTCTTTCTGATCGATCCATACGAATGGGCTATAGAAGGCCGCAATAACAGCCTCAATCCCAGCATTTTCATAGCCAGCGTCTGAAGAGCTCTCCTTTTTAAGGGGGATAACTCGATCTCTTGAAACCCAAGGTCAGTTGGGTCCTCTCTAACATCCATATCCCCAGGATCAGACGCATGTGGTCCAGCGGAACCATCGTCACGGTTCCGCAGTTCTGCCGATCTTGATGCAAGATCCTGGTATCGTCTATACTGCATTGCAGGATCATTGAGCGTGCTATAATGCCGGCTTGTTAAACGAGGGCCGCGAAAGGCTGGTTTCCATCGGCGCGATAACGTCTGCAATATGCGCATTTCCTCCTCTTTCAACTCCAGTACTTCGGCTTTCACCGCCTCAATCTGCTTCTCCCGTTCACGCCGTCGTTCTTGTTTGGACTTTGCATCGAGCATCATTGCAGTGACGAAAATACTGGAATAAAACATAGTAACGGAATTGCCGAGCAGGAGACGTCTCCTGCTTGGCGATACGGTAGCTCTACCGGAGACAGCATTGGATCCGGTGCTTAGGCAGGATATGCAACGGCACGTACAGGTTGAGGAGCCGGACCGTATCCAGAGGTTTTGCATGGTTAGTTGTATGTTTGTTGCATGGTGGTCGGAGCGGCGGGAGCGGGGGCGGAGATCTGATATAGTTAAAACTTTGCGATGGCGCAATTCATTCGAGGATCGTAGAAGTTAGAATCAATCACATTAGAGCATCAGCGGCATAGAGTGCATCGCACATGTGTCGATGTTGGCCCGGTGCTTTTTCTCGTGGGAACTTTCCACCCATGCTTATGTCAGAATAGACCACCAGAAGCAAACAGTGCAAACTCAGGTAGCATTCTGTCAACCTGGAAATATACGATCACTTGGAAGGACAGATGGCTTAAACTTGATTGAAGTTCCTCTTTACCAGGCCAATTACTTGCCCGCCATTTTTCAGAATGGTATCCATAAAGCATTTTTTAGTATCATCACTGGCGGCCGTTCCATTCGCATTGGCGCATGTGCCCGACGTGCCCCCAGACGCGAACCTTGACTGGTCTACGCGACATATGATAGGTACGGGCTGAATTATCTATCCTGGTGTGTGCTAGAGTGACAGTGAAAGTTTTGTGCTTCTCAAGGGATCCGAACTAACCATCCCGCCTTCAGAGGAGCACCATATCTCGAATTTCGATGCCGGATCATTCTTCGCCCTTCACGACTACGATAACTCCGGCGCCTGGACTCAAGACGAAGTGCGTCGGACCTACGGTCTTGATGATGAATCCAATTCCCATTTGCCAGAAGACCGAAAAAGGCAAATTCTACTCGAAGTTTTTGCGATATTCGACCCACACAAGACTGGCTTAATCACACAAGACGAATGGATGAGACTATCCAAAGAGGGCCGCAAGCTTCCAGATTTCGGCGTAGGTCCAGGCCACCATGGAGATATGGAATATGAATATGAAATTCACCATTTTGAGAAATTCCATGGCGACAATGCGCGGCCCGAGGATCTAACACACCCAGAAGACATCGAACATTTCAAGAAGCATGATCACGAAGAAGATGCCCAAAAGAAGCTTGATCAACTGCAAATGAAACCAATAGTGGAGGAAAACATTCCTTCAAAGTTTCGAAGGTCTGAAACCTCCTGATACTGTGAGCTAAGCAAAACGTTTATGTGATATGATAAGCGCCGTAATACACCGCTTTGGAAGAACTTTCATTATGTAATTTCTTCGCTGCACCAAGCGGTATGGATTTCTTTTCCCGACTCATGTCGGTGCTTTCACTTTGGCTTTAATGAGTCCAGTATTTCAAGCGAGTTTTGTAACTATTCTTCAGAGATTGCCATAGATGTCACCGGTGGCACATGAATATCAAAGACGCAGTGCATAACCCCCGGAGCATAGGTCTTGACGTTTTCCACATGGCGGCATGTTATTGAATGCAAGGCCGTTGCCGGCTGTATGTTTCGAGCTGAACACACTAGGGACTTGATATCATTCGCAATTTCCTCCCGTCTCTTATCGATACTTGGAGTATCAACATTTTCGTGTACGTGAATCCATCCCTGGCTCTGACGATCCAATATCCGCGCTGCTCCGTCCCAGGATCCTTTGGAAGTAGGTAATAAACCAAGGTTCACATGTCGAATGCATTTCCAAGCTTGCTTCCTCTCCAACATTTCTTTCGCCTGCGACAAAATTGGCACAGCATATTCATTACTGCCATGAAATGCCACAACTCGGTCCTCATCGCTTAGGCGCTCTATCAGCTCCTCGAGACCACTCAACTTCCCCAATGTGTCAATTCGCAAGCATTTAAAGCCCCAACCATTGGCCTCGCATCCTCTTTTGAGCCCCTCGATTGACCATCCATTCAACTCCCACGCCCATACCCGCCCAATACCCCTTTTCAGGTACGAGAATACAAAGTATCCAATTCCCGCATACATATCAACAACAGCAACATCTTTCAAGTTTTGGCGCAATTCTGTATCTGTAAGCCCCTCGAAGTTGGATTCGGCGCCGAGGATTCGTGCTTTCTCGACAATATTACCCCTGCTGAACATTGAGAACAGCGGCGCCCAAACTTGAATAATACCTGAATTCTGTACTGTACGGACCCAGAATGCTGATTGTAGATCTGAGGGCGTAGGGTTCTCCTCTCTTTCAGCGTTAGAATGAGTTGGTAGATGTCCATAATCACCATAGAGTGGCACTACGCCTGCGGGGCTCCGCATTCGATTTTCTTCTTTCGTATCTCGTTTTTCAAGTGCAATAGGGGCATTTAGTGCGACATGTGTAACTCCTTGGGCTGAAAATGATTTCACAATGCATTGACATAACGCTTGTAAGAGTTCTTTATCCAAGATTGCTATTAATCTTTCCCAGTGGTGGTTGGAAGTGAAGGTGTTCTGTGGTAAAAGTAGCAGAGGGGGGTATACAGTGTAGCGTTTTGGGAGGGAACATGTCAAATCCGACAGATTGATAAAATGATCCTCAATCAAAGAGAGAGGAACTTGGGAGATAATAAATTCCTCGATTCCGCGTTGCAGTGGATTTGCGCAAGGCTTTCGTTTCCTTTCTAGTTTCAAATCTTTACCACTCTTCGATTTCGACTCCCTTTTACCGCCTGCACAATTTGGGCTTCCCAACTTCTCTCCTTGTGGCACTTCAGACATGGCCAGGGTGAACTTAAGATCCTTGGATAAAAATGACCTATTGAAGTGGCGGCCAAGCGTACTTAGTGGGCATTCTTAGATTTGTTTGTAGTTGAGATTTTCACCCACCAAGAAGTAAATAGCTTAGTATCGAGGGCAGTCTGATCAAATTTTATATTCAGCCACAACAACCAATAATCACAAAAATACGATTACTGACTATTTACTACATATTATTATCTGCTTTATTCGGGGCCACAATGCCCTAGAAATTTGTCATTGAATGCAGTTCGCATAAATTCCGTTTAAAGGCAAGATAATACAGCTCTATATCTACTGCCTTTTCTTCGACAGGCTTGGTAAAAACAACCAAATCCCCAGACATGCCACCAATACCGCCAGTATAAATGGTTGCAATATCTGAACGCCTTTTTCTTGGGCAATCGCACCAACAGCAAATGGGAACGCCGTAGATCCTGAGGATCCAATCGCCGCGGCAAAGCCAATCGCTGATACATGCATATGCTTTGGCAGAAGTTTCGTTGCAGCAACAATAGCAATCGGAAACAGTGGGCCCAGAAAGAACCCAAGGAATGACACCATCACCGCCGATACGTAGAATTGCGGCACGAGCCAGAAGAGTAGCTCCAGGGCAATGGCACAGAGAAGGTAGGCCACGACAGCGTGCTTTTCGGAACGAAAAAGACGGGGAGTGACAAAGCCTAGTATCACACGGCCTACCGTAAGGCCTAGCCAGAAACCAGTTGCACTCATGCCAGACGCAAAGGCGCTCCCATGTCGGATGTTAATCATGAAAGTCACAATCCAACCTCCTAATCCAACCTCCGCGCCGGCATAAATAGAAATAAAGATACTGCATATCCAAGTAACTTTATTCTTCAATGCTTCTATAGTCTGACTGTTTCCGAATATCCGGTTGAGAGCCCTATGAAGTTTCACTGTCGACTCTGAGGGCACTTCAAATTCAGCGTTCGTAGTTGGCGGGTGCTCAGCCCGGTATTTTGCCCCCGATGCTGTCCAAAAGGCTGAGGTCAGGAATACCATTTCGAGAAATGCAGCACCCACAACCAAATAGTAAAACTCAAACCATTTCCAGTGAGCCTTTGTTATCAAACTGGTAGCAATAGTAGGAGCCAATGTTGCACCCAGGCCATAAAAGGCATGTAAAATACCCAGTAGTTCATTAGTATTGGCCATACCACCAACCCAGGCGTTCCATGCAGCATCTGCAAGGCCATTGCCAAATCCAGCAAATATAAAAGCAAGGACTAGAACTGGAAATGGAGGGTGCAAGCATATGATCATATAAGCAATCAGATGTGCTCCAGGGCTTAACATGGCGACGCCTCGCTGCCCAAACTTAACATGGATCATGTTGTTAATCGAGGCCGACGTCACATAGCCCACAAGGGGGGATAGAAAGATTAAGGAGATAACCGTATAGGAGACATTGTAATATGATTCCAGCTATACGTTAAATTAGAGACTAAGCTGGCTGCAATTGGCAGCTGGAATAACACTCACGTAAGGAATTAGGGCCTAAAGAACATCAGTCAGGATAAACGCATCTTTCATGGTATCGTGTGCTCCAAGGACTTACACCGTAAGCAGCATCGTTCATACCAAGAATGATAAAACTGTAGTTCGACGCGAGGAACCGCCACAAATTGATTCTAGGATATTTCCATGTCTCCGATATGCCGGCCGCCGTGGACGGTACGGGCTGTTCTTCATTGCGTCTCAAGCTGCTTAAGGACGCATTGCCAGATTCCATCTGGTCTGCCCGCCGGCTGTTTCTAGTTGCGGTTGGCTGGAGCTCCATCGTTGCCGTTGTCGTGCTGATGGCGTTTCCCTCATTGGAAGTTGGATCGAAAAAATCCGGTTTCAAGCCGTGCGAGGCCACATTTATAGCAAACAAGTATGCCGGCTATCCAGGAGCCAGGAAATGTGTCTTCTTCGGAATCTTTTGGAATCTGGGACAAGCGAGGGTTCCGTGACCCTCTAGGCATTTTCTAGCTCTGTTGATCGGCTCCATTTCTTCCTCGTAAAACGCTGTCCACGCTGCCCGCCGCTCTCTAAGCCACCTCCGAACCTGAAACAAACACCTGTCCTCCTGTATGTAGGCTCGCCTTCGGGGTAAATGCTCGCGACTCTCGGGGCTGGTTTTTCTCGACGTTGAGCAACGCATGATCCGTCCGATTGGCGTTTTTTTTATCTTCCGATGAACTTGTGTTTTGGATGCAAGAATCTCGGTAGTTATTATTACAATATTACTCTCAGATGTATATAGAAATGCCAGTAAAATAACCCTACAAGATATGCACTTATTACTGCCAACCTGTTCCTCTTAAAAATCAAGAAGCTGATCGCTGCCAATGCACTGTGAAAACGCCGCAACACTCCTTGGGAACAATAACATGGATGAATTTGCTCTGTTAATAATCCACTCCGGCTGTACTGAGTCCGTCACTAGAGTCAAGCACCCTAGAGAAATGTATCAGTACAATCATAGAGGCAACACTGGTAAGCAGGTAAACTTACGAGTATTGTTTGACTAATGTTCCCTCCCCACCGTTGGACAGATCGATATTAAAGACGTAGAAGTTGCCTTCGCTCGTCACCACCATTACCTGGGGTGTATTTCTGCTCATCGCAACGACGCTTCTGATCGGGTCTGTGCCTTTACCGGTCTTAGGGAGTTTAATCCAAGCGAAATCTCGTTCAGGTTCCCACATCTCCGTAACACCCTTTGGTAAATAGCCGCCAACAGTCGCCACAAAAGAAGTCCCTACACTCTGAGAAGTGCGTCGAATCATTCCCATGAAAGTTCCATTGTGCCTGCGCGCCGATATATCGGAACTTGACGGTCCCACAGCAGATTCAGCACTGGATCTGCGGCTTGATGCGCGAGTAGGGCTATTTTTTGATGATCCTGGCTTTTGTTGCTGTTTGTCTCCGAGTTTAAAAATATGGATTGTTTCGGTTGCGGATGAGACACATAATAAGGTGGATGTAATATTGAAAGACATGCTGAATATTCGAGACGGCATAGAGCCTCTTCTGAACTGAAATAATTTATGCGCAGCGGGAACCGAGAAGACGCGAATAATCGTTCCCTTATCGGACGCAGTTGCAAGAAGCGTGCCGTCGTTATTTATTGCTAGGAACGACAAGGGGGACTTGTGTGCCTCTACTACATTTACCGCCTCAAGCTTACGTGCGTCAAATATCAGTACCTCGCCGCTTGTGGGTGGGATGTGAGAGTTCGCCGGAGGAGCATGGGACACCGGGACAAAATTGGGCGGTGGGGCCTTCTGGGGAAGAGGATAGGCGAGATAGCAGTTATCATCAGATGGAGCGAGGGCACATATTGCTACAGGGATAGTTGTTAGCAAAAAAAAAACATGATCGCATGCATTCCGAAGAAAAACTACCGTTGGGATTAGGTGATGTTTCAATCGTATACACAAGTTTCATCGTTTTAATGTCGTAGATATAGATCTGGCCCTCCAATACAATGACAAGCCGTTTTCGGTTCAACCTAATGGCTAAAACAGTTGTTGGAAAAGTAAGTTCACAAATCACGGACTGTCGCTACAGAAATTCCAGCAGTTAGCTGATAAATATGTATTTCAGACAGTAATCGCACGCGTTACCTTAGTATTCATTATCTGTAGTCTTCGGGGAGAGAGAATAAGAGTGACCAGGGAAGTAGAGAAGAGCATCTCCAGAATTGCGATATTTCCTTCTCTCGTCTCATAGCTTTTGCCGAAAGGATCTGTTGTAAATATTCGAAATCCCTTGGAGGTGCCTTTAAGCAATGCGAATCAGAACGGAACACAGTCATCAAGTTGGGCCGGCATCTATCGAACATACCGACAGCTAGGTAGCTGTAGTCCTGGTTGAACGTCACAAAATTCATCGTCATATTGAGTGACGGCAGTAAAGCAACGAAACGAGCAAGGTCTGGTTCAAGTAGGTATTCAAAACGTAGGTAGATGTAGGGCTATACAAGGAGGATTGGAGTGTACTCCGCGCCAGATACCTCCTCTCAGAGCACTCAGGCGCTCATCGCAAGCATGAGCGTTGGTTGATAAGCGCAGGAGGACCCGGAGAAAAAAAAAGTAGTATGCAGGGCCAGAGGGGGCCTGGGAAGCGATTCGTTGGCGGCTGCAACGTTCAGCGTCTGTCGACAAATGACGCTGGCTCGCACGGGCCACACGAGGGTGGCAACGGCTTGGCATCAGCGATAAGGAAATTCGTCATGACTGAGGCTCTACATAACAGATGCACAGAGGAACCCGCGCTCGCCTGTTTCTGGGGGAAGATGTCCCGGTCAAAATGTCCGGCCAGGGAGCAATCCGGCGCTAAAACAGAGCTGGAGAAGGGATTGGTGATGGGGGTATGCTGCTCTTATTCTTTTTTTACTCCCACAGATTCCAAACAAATACTTACAGATGGTCCTTTATAGACAAATGGAAGTAGCATTGTATCCAAAAGAAGTGTAGAACAGCTCTACTTTCCCGAACCGCATTTTATCCGGTATTTTGTGAAGAAACGGCAGCGAAGATCTCCGCTGATCAATCGAGGATACTGGCTGCGGATGTACGCCATTGAACACACCGTGAAAACTTTTCTGCAGGAATATTCAGATCGCCCAAAAATTATTTTAAATCTAGGCTGCGGCTTGTATGTAGTAGACAGCAATTCTTTGAAAGTCCCATGGTCTTCTCAAACTAACCCATATTATCCATTTGTAGTGATCCATTGCCATTTCAATTTCTAACCCGTGCGCCAGAGTTTTGTCGACATGTGCGCTTTATCGATATCGACTACCATAAACTTATGCTCGAAAAACGCGATGCAATCCGAAATACCTCTGCCCTCAATTCTCTGCTGTCCAACACTGACTACCCCGCGGAAGATAGCCCCACGCTCATACGTAGTAAGGAGTATATTGGGATCGGATGCGATTTGGGCGAACTTGCAAAACTAGAGGCTGCATTGAGGTCTGAGCTTGGTTCTATTGCTAAATATTCTATACTTTGCACTGCAGAAGTGTCTCTGACTTATATGGATGTTAAATCCGCAGATGCCCTGCTTCAGTGGGCATCGACATTAAGTAATGGTAATGACAGATATGATATCAATTTCTTTCGGATTTGACATAGACTGACAACTGGAAGATAGCCAGTTCTGCCTTCTTGAGCAATATTTCCCTGACGGCCCAGATCACCCCTTTGCCAAAACGATGATGAATCATTTTCAAAAGCTACGAACTCCTCTTTACTCTATCCATGAATACCCTTCAATGCGGCAGCAAGAACAACGGTTTCTCAGCGTCGGCTGGGCTCATGCAAAGGCAAATAATTTATGGGTGTTATGGAGCGATTCGCAATTCCTATCTGAGAAGCAAAGGACGTCACTCGACAGTTTTGAAGCCTTTGATGAATGGGAGGAATTCGCGCTCTTTGCATCGCACTATTTTTTACTTATCGCATCTACCAAGCGTTCAGACGCCAACGCCGATTCGAAGGAGCCACTAGACGTCAATGGCTCCAACATTGGGCTGAGTCTGGTATCTCAATGTCCGCCAAGGTTTAACGCACAAAGACGTTTTGGAGCCATCGTTCCTGTAGAAAAGAACCTGGCTGGTGTGCATGGTGGCTTAGGCCTCCAGACCCGTCTCCCGTCAACTCAAGTTTATAGCGACACAGAGGCTCGTCATTCGATCCACGACCTACCTCCAACAACAATGCTGGCACGGATGTGCCATTCATCCGTGCTTCTTAATAATGGCAGCATGATAAGCGGTGGCAGAGCTTCGCCAACGGCGGCATTTGGTGATTGCTGGCTTAAATCAGGCGAAAAATGGAGTCAGGTCGACAGTCTTCCCACTGCATGCTTCCGGCACTCCACCACTACAGTGAATGTGGATGGCCAAAGAGTACTTCTTTTTGGAGGGAAGTCGGGGGCTGGTAATGTTCTGGGGCAATTCCTTCTGTGGTCTGAAGGAGAGGGCTGGTCTGAACTCCCCGTCATGGGATCGACACCTCAACCCCGTTTTGGCGCTTCATTGATCAGTATCGACGGGCACTCAGGGATACTGTGTGGCGGAATGTCACAGGGAGGGGTTGTATTGAATGATTTCTGGACCTGGAGATTAGTGACAGATAATTCTCCAGGTATGAAGCTCATGCTGATGGACGTTTCTGTGCCTCTCTCAGCTGCCACTCCGTTATATCCGTGGCTGGGAAGATTCGGGTCAACCGTCAATCTGTTGAGAGATTATATTGTTTTCATTGGTGGGATCAGCCAGAGTGGGTGTATTCCAGAGAAATACGAGGTTTTACTGTTGGATGTAAAATGCCTACGTCAGCAAGCAGAAACATCTACGCATGATACCTCCATTTTGCTATTATCAGCGGGTGTAGGAATCGATACTAACGGTCCAAGGCCGTTGCTTGCGGGCCACTCTACATTCCCAGTACCTAGCGAGAAAATCTTGATAGCAGGAGGAGGTGCGGTGTGCTTTTCATTTGGAACTTATTGGAATAGTGGAACATGGCTGTTACAAGATACGACTCTTAGTTCTAGCAATGGATGGCTTCCCGTTGAATCTGCCATCGACTCGGAACAAAACCCAGCACGAACAATTACGGCAACGCCACAACCAAGTCGCGAAGGTTCGGTTGTGCAAGTTGCCCGCATGACAATCAGTAGCCCACAAGAGTTTCGAACAATTGTGGACAAAGGTCTGCCTGTTATTTTGCAGGGCCTTGATTTTGGTCGATGCGTTGAATTGTGGACCAAGGAGTACCTTCAAAAGGCGGTTGGGGGTGATCGAAAGGTATTTTGATATATCCCTTAGCAAAGAAGTACCTGAGACTAACAATATTCAGGTCGTTGTCCACGAATGCGGTACAGATCATATGGACTTTCGAGCGAAGAACTTCTCGTACGTCACAAAGGAGTTTGGAACGTTCCTTGATGAAGTCGATAGAGGTGGCCGACAATATCTACGGGCCATATCAGCCGACAAGCCAACGGAGCAAGCAGCGAACCTTGCCATAGATTTTCCTGGCCTCAACGACGATTTCCGTATACCAGCTGAACTATCGCTAGTTTCGGAAAACGCTCACAGCTCGCCACTACGGATATCCGGACCAGTTATCTTGTGGCTGCACTATGATGTGAGACTTGCAACCCTCCTTCTCTCCCCCAAACCTGGTCCATATTTGCGAACTGACTGAGCAACAACACCCTAGGTCCTCGCCAACGTGCTTTGTCAGATCCGCGGCACGAAGAAACTGATCCTCTTTCCCCCCCGGGATGTTTCGAAACTTGGCTTTGCCCCGGGGGCATCAAGCTCATCGATCAACGTTTTCCAGGACGGCTTCCCGCACGGCACGACCCCACACGAGGCCCCCCTGAAGCCTGGCGACGTGCTCTTCCTGCCGCCGCTCTGGCTCCACACGGCATGTCCCACGGATGGCGTCAGCGTCGCCGTGAACGTGTTTTTCCGCAGCCTGGCGGCCAGTAGCTACTCGCCGGGCCGCGACGTGTACGGCAATCGGGATCTTCACGCGTATGAGAAAGGACGGCGAGATGTGGAGAAGATCTGGCGCTCGTTTGATCGTCTTCCCTGCGACATCGCCCGGTTTTATCTGGACCGGCTCGCCGACGAGCTCAGAGAGAAAGCGGCCACGTGACTGCGGCCGATATCGAGGGAACCCTGGTGATAGCTAAACTAGTTAACTCACGGAAACAAGCCAGACACGAGAAAAAGAATGTCTCTCTCTCTTTTCTTTTTTTCCTGGTCGTTTGGATCTGCATGGCTAACCAATTAGTGGCAGCCTTGCCTGAGGGCGCCTGGATCTGGAGAGGGTTTGAAACAAACAAACGCATATCTGATACACGCGCGCACACCCTTTTTTCGAAGTTACTGTATATTGCAAACCACGATGATGTAACCAGGCCGCTTATCGGCTAATGCTTCTGTCTCGAAGTACCGGTACCTCCCGCATAGAGTGCGAGTCTGACATTCTTATCTATACGAGTGGCTGCAGTATCCAGCCTGGCGCGTCCCTGTAGACACTCCGACCGTTAGAACCCCGGCCGTGCTGTTCCCAGGATGTCCTTCCCTTGCCAGGGCCGTTCGCCGCGCGCGCGCGCACGCACGCACGGGGCTCGTCGGGCTTGCTGTTCGGAGGGCAATTACCCCGCCATCGCAGCCAGGTGCCCCACCCGCCGCGCCGTGGTTGGCCAGACCGACGGCCGACCCCCACCGCGAGATGTTTCCCGACTGGGCAACAGCGCAGGCCCAACCATGGGAAGGCACGACGTCGCCGCGCGCTTTCCTGCACTGCGGCCGCCCATTCGATCCTTCCTGATTCGGGCGAGCCAGCGCATCGTCCGCCCGGTCGCACCTGCTTGTCTCGCGGGGTGAAACACGCGGCGTGTGTAGTTTGCCCTCGAGCCTTGTACTGTACCTCGCGCGCGTCGAGCCTGCGGCGCCGCGTCGCCCTGAAACGCCGCTGGTGGCAGCCTGGGGCCATGTACTGTACCTCCGCCACTGTCCACCGGCGTCCCCCGCTCCAGCGCGGGTGTGCTCGATGGGCGCTCATCTCCGCTGCGCTGTGCTGCGCTGCTTGACGGCTGCTGAGCTGCTTCACCAACAACGGTCTAGACGCCCGCTCGACCGGCCTCTACCGACGTAATTGATCCTTGCAGTGCGCTTGGCTGTAGCGCGAAGTGGTGCCGCACTGCCGCAGCGAGTTCGCCCAAGCTAGTTCACCAACTAACTACCTGTTAGTTAACCGTCACGCCTAGTTAGTTCCGCCCGCAGGCTGCGTTGGCGTCGTGATCCCCCCATCCCCCGCCCATCCAACCACCACTGGTGCCACTAACTATAACTACATTACCAGACAGCCTCGCCCGGCCCTGGTCCCGCGCATCCTCCTGGCCGTGACCGCAATCCGTTGGACAATAATGGCTGTCTGTTGATGCGCTGCCCGCCGCGGCCTGATCCTCGCGCCCTGCTTGTGCGCCCTTCACGGCCTCCTCTGTGTCACCAGTTTGCCCACCCACCTCTCCCTCCCCCGGCCGTCCTCGCGCCCCGACCGCCAGAATCCCTCACAACCCAACGCTGCGTCTGTCGCATTCGGCCCTGCTCACGCCCGGCCGGAGAATGTAAGCGCTCCCTCTCGCTCTCTGCCGAACACGCTCGCCCGCCCGTTGCTTTCGCCGCCAACAATGGCGACCATTGTGGTGCAACAGCATCCAGTGCCGCACACCTCGACTCCGCCGCCACTCTCCTCTGCCCTGAGTCTCGGCGCCTCTGCTACGAGAAGCCAGACGCCCGTTCCGAACAAGCATCTTCCGGCCTGTCCCGCTGGCCCGCCGCCTGCCAGCTCAAAGATCCCCTCGCAGCCCATATCGACCACAAAGCCCGTCCAGGCATATCTGTTCCCACCCAGCAAATTCCCCAGGATACACGACAATCCCTCGATTTATACCATAGATGCGCACCAGTTGGCTGCTGCCCTTGATGAAGCAGCCACACGCCCATTACCGGACCCCAACAAGGTGTTCCCGTGGCTACATGGCTTGCATCCCGAGAACCAATTCCAGCTGGCCTTTTTCGTACCCCGCCGAAGAACATTACGCCGTGTGCCCAAGTGCCTGAGGAATATAACCATTGTCAAGGTCGGTGGGGACTTGTCAAGATCCAAAATCAAAGGCGCCGTTACTCCTGATGAAATCATCAATGGCTCTGTGTTCCTGGAAGCAGACCCACCAGTTGGCTTTTCTGTCCGTAATTTCCATATTCAAACCGCCAAACTTGCTCCCACTTCAGACATTGTCATATATGGCGATGACAGTGTGAAGCCGACCCAGTTAATATCTCTGGCAAAGCGAATTTCATCAGCGCAGGAAGCATGGAGGAAGAGATTCGATCCTGGAGAGGAACTCCGTCTCGTCAACACCTTTATCCTTTCTAGTGAGCACAACACCTTCTCTCGCTCGACCCCTCGAATTCATGTACTAACAAGGACTTAGCTCCTTTCCAACACTTTCAGGACCAGCACCCTGAATTTGTAGCGATAAATTCCAGCGGTTTAATGGATGGTCGGATAATGGATTTTTGTAAGTATATGCTCAATCTTACCTGAGGCCTCACAAGCTAACTAATCGAACCAGTCCGGTGGGAAAAGGTTGAAATGTGTACCATGTCTCGCGCATCAGAAATATCAAAGAATGTTTTTCTAGGTCATACTCCGGAGCTATCTGTTCCGAGGCAGAAGACTGGGTTTGATCTTATGATCGAAACTCACGACGCTGCTACTATTCCGGATTGTCGGTATCTCAGGAAAGTCTCGACGCTCCTAGAAAAAGGGCCACAGTGTATCGAGTTTCCCTCGTCTGGTAGTATTGTTGCATCTGAATTAGGCCAGGTCGAAGCATCCGATATTATTCACACTTGCAAGTGGATTTATGACATCGCAAATTCCCCTCGGCCTAGAACCCACGACATAGAAGTGCCGGACGAGGATGGAGACATCCCAATGACGCCTCTTAGCTCTCTTCCTCGAAAGGTGCTAATTCATTGTTCTGACGGATATACGGAGAGTACTCTCTTAGCCATAGCGTATTTCATGTTTGCGGAAGGAGTCCCAGCTCACGAAGCCTGGCTGAGGCTGCATTGCGACAAAAAACGAAACTTTTTTGCGTATCCATCGGATGTCACGTTCCTAACCACGATCCAACATAAATTGCTTCGTTCGAGTCCTGCTGCACAGAGCAAGCTGTTGAGTCAACCTGATCCCAACTGGATGTCACGGCTGGATGGCTCGCTCCCCAGCAGAATTCTGCCGTACATGTACCTGGGCAATTTAACCCATGCAAATAACCCGGAGCTGCTGCGTGCACTTGGTATAAAGCGGGTGTTGAGCATTGGCGAACCGGTATCCTGGCCTGACGAAGAGCACAAAAACTGGGACCCAGACAGCGTGACAATGATAGACGACGTTCAGGACAACGGGATAGATCCCCTCACTAAGGAGCTGGATCGTTGTTTGAAATTTATTGGTGAGTTCATCGATTCGACCGTCGTTCGGCCGAGTTTTCGAATTAACAACTCCTGTAGAAAAGGGGAAACTCGACGGCACAGCCACTCTGGTTCATTGCCGCGTCGGTGTTTCGCGATCGGCGACCATTTGCATTGCAGAGGTGATGGCGTCGCTGGGGTTGTCCTTTCCCAGGGCATAGTATGTTTTCCATCGCACCCGCCAGAGTGGAATTTTGCTGATGTTGACTTTTTTTTTTTTTAGTTGTTTTGTGCGCGCGAGAAGGCTCAATGTCATCATCCAACCACATCTTCGTTTTGTGTAAGTTTCCTTGATTCCGCCACAGCCGATATCATGGCTTGGATTAACTACCCAACACAAAATCAGTCCGTAGTTTGTCTCCTTACTGACTCATGCCCGCTTCTTAGGTATGAACTTCTCAAATGGGACGAGTATCTGCAGCAGAAGCGAAACCAGCCTCTACGGCGCGATTTAGAATGGACATCAATTGCCCGTGAGATCGCTCTCATGAACAAACCGTATTCAAGGCAGCAATGACTTTCTATATAAAACGCTACTTAACGCCTTTTTTTTCCACCGGGTTAAATTTGCTATATGCTCGCTCTATATGTTATTTGAATGATGATTTTTTCCTTTCTAATGTGTCTTATGCCCTATGCTATGTTGATGAGAATATGTGCTCATGATATCTTGAGGTTGATGTCTTGTTGCCTTTTTTTTCTTCTTCTTCTTCTTCTATTCTTTTTTCGTTTTTCGTAAATGTGCCGTGCCTCCTTCTTCCTTGACGTCCCATTCCATTCTCCCCTCTTTTCCGTTTTCCGTACGGCTTGCCGCAGAGTGTCGATATTAAGCCACGCGTTTCCTTCCGCCCATTCACTTCTGCCCCTATCCAACCACTATATTTTCGTACTACTTTCCTCTTCTTTTATTTTTCATCTTGTCCACTTCAGTGGAATATGATTGCCGATGGAATGGGACTGGTTCTTGGGATTGGAGTTGGAGGATACTAGACGATGGATGAAATGGATGAATAACTATGTCGCTCGTGGATATGTACTCCGTAGCTAATTTCTTCATTTTTGTTTTTTTTTTTATTTTTTTTTTGTTTTTTTCGAATCGAAGACAGTGGCCTTTATATTCCGTTTCTTCAATAGCAATTCTTGCCCCTTAAAATTCTGCCTCATCATCATCAAATTCGTAATTACGAAAAAATATTTAAAAAAAAATTATCTATATCGAATGTGGTGTACTTCCATACAGGGAAAAACATTTTTTGCTGGAGGATATGGAGAGCTTCCCAAAAGCAAAAGGTCAGATTGCATCGAGCATCGCGGCGTGTCCTCTTGTGGTTGAGAAAAGATGTTATGGAGGGCAATGAAACAACGGAGCCGAAACATCAAAGAAGAAAACAAAAAGTCAGAGCGGAATCAATGTCGTTTTCTCGAGTAGAAAATATTGACCCAACCTTCTGGGGTAAATAGTAATTATATATTAGGATTCCTGTTACGCTGGGTTGCGGTAATATATTTGGAAGGGATTATTACTATGGGTTAACAACGTTCAAACACTCTGTACAACCCTTTGAGATCTGCAACTTCAACGACTCCTCGGACTAAATCTTCTGTTGCTACTAGTCGCGACCTTATCATTGGGAACAGCACATGTTCCAGCATCCATGCTAATTGTGTTCGTCGGCGGGTGATTGATGAATCTTCTTTTAATTCTGAACTGGGTATAGTGCTAGTCCCCGTTTCTGACTGTTGTGAGATATTTCCCTCTTGCTGTGAGCTGGGGTCATTGGAGTCTGTTGGAACGGTGTTGATGGCTGGGGGAGTAGGTAGCTGCTCCGGAGTATAGAACGCAGCGAGTTCCCTAAGAAACGATCGGAAACATGCTTCTTCGTTTGTCCAATCAACGTATGGACCAAGCCGAAGTAAAAAGCGAGGTAATTTAGCAAGTGAGGGCATGTAGTTTTTCAATAGCAAGGGAATAGATAGGAGGTTTCCGTCTTCCGATATTGAGATTGAGAAGTATTCGTTTAGCATTTCTCTCCTCTCAATGAGATGAGCAGCTATGGTCTCCGGAACTCGGCTAAAGTCGATATCTTTAGCGTCTGGGCCCTCGGAACTCGTAGGCGGAGTGGGTTGATCCGTTTTATCCGCTCTGTTAAGTCGATGCTGTTCATCACGTTCGATAGCAGTGGCGAGCGAGAGAAGGTCAACAAGTCGAGGAGATGACTCTAGGTTGATTACTCCGAAGTTGCCAAAATCTGTTAGACCAATCTGATAAAACAGCTCATTGCAGATCATTCCGTAATCAACGAGATAGAGCTTCACACCAGACTGGACTGCTGCAATGCGACGTCGCTCGTCCACCAACCCAACATAAGACAGCGATGCAAATACTTCTGTTAAATTGTTATGCATGCTAGAACGAACCACTGAGCGAAGATTTTTTACTGATGTAAGACGAATATTGACTGATTCACGACCACTGGGTTCATACTGATAGGCATGTGCTGACTGAGGTTCCGCCTGCTGCTTCTCGCTCTGATCTGGCGTACTAACCGGAAACATGGACGTAATCTTCCGCATTTTCGCGTCCGTCCGAACTAAATTATTCTCATAAACTCTTTTGGAGCCCGCTAGTTGCCGTAGTGGAACTTTGCTATCTATCGTAGATGCAGAAGGACCGTCGGTATTAGATATATCTGACGAACGGGTCCCAGGAAGTAAAGTTTGCGTCATAAAGGTACGACTAGAATCAACCATGGCCAATTCGGTTTTAATAGAATTGCAAATTGCTTCAATGACTTCGTCTTCATTAAGGAAGTTGACTTCCCGTTTTGTCGGATGGACATTCACATCAACCCTGTTGGGTTCAATTTCAATATCCAAATAAACGAAAGGATGCCCACCTTTAGGTAAAAAAGCCGAATAAGTCTGTTCAACGGCTTTTCGTATAGAAGATGATTCCACAGATCGATGGTTGATAAACAAGAGTATCGAGATACGCTTGGAATGGTAGTTGGCATTGCTTGCTAGGCCTGAGACCTGGAGTCCTAAGACAGGGTCTTTGATATCAAATGAAATGAGATCACTCGCTACAGAGCTTCCATGAATTTGACGTATGCGGTCGATGGTGCTAGAGTTTGTCGCCGTGGACATGCTGACGCTAGACTCGCCATATTTCTTGCACGAGAAACCAACGCCGTCACAATGTACGGCATACCGGCCAACAACGTCCAGAATTTTTGCGTACTCTTCACTTGAAGATCTGAATGCGCGACGCCTGGTTGGCACATTATAGAACAGGTCTTCCACCTAAGTATTGTTAGAAAATAGTAATAAATATAAAGATGGAGAGATTTTGCAATACCGTTATCTGCGTTCCACCACGGCCCGCGGTTGGCTTTGGCTCCGCACTGTGCCCGGGTTTCGCAGGCACGAGTTTTCCATCTCGATAATGAGCCTTCCATGCACAGCTAGAGCCGGCTGTCTTCGTAGTCACAGTCAAGTGCGCAATATGGCTGATGCTTGCCAAGGCCTCTCCACGAAAACCATACGTAGATATGGTGGACAAATCCTCAAAAGTTTTGAGCTTAGATGTTGTGAACCTTTCGCAGAGAATAGGCAGATCTTCGCTCTACGTGCTCTCTGATTAGTGAGTGCATAGTGTTGTGGCCGAAGGTCTCACACTAACATCAATCCCATGTCCGTTATCGGTGATCTGGAGGAGTTTTAGACCCCCATCTTTGACCAGAATCTCCACCGAGGTCGCCCCAGCATCTACGGAATTCTCAATCAATTCCTTCAATGCATGCATAGGAGCGACGATAATTTCGCCGGCTGCTATCTTATTCACCACATCTTGGTCCAGAGCCTATTTGCGGTTAAGGTCAGGCAAGATACATATTATTCCTTCAAGAGGATTCGGTACCTGTATCTTTCTTGAGGCTTGCGATTGGAACCCGGCGTCGCTTGCCGTACGTTTAACACCCCTAGAGCCTTCAGTACTGTCTATTTCCATCTTATCCTGGTCCATTTGAGGAGCAGGTCGACTCTGGTCGTGCCGGTCTTGGTGGGGGTTAGGTGGAGGGATAACGCATTTATGCACCGCCACTACGCATTATTCAATGTAGAAGAATCCAGTTAATGAGCCGCGAACCGCGGTGTAGGCAATACTTGCTCTTAGCATAAGGGTGGCAGCTTCAAAACGGGAATTCTGGACTGCCAGCAGTTGATGTTGTCTCTGTACTACAAGCAAGCGAGGTGCTAGTGTTTGTTGTTTAGCAACCTCACTGTCGCCAAGACTCGGAACAACCGCACAGGTCACTGACGCGGTTCGTTATCTGCGATAACAGTTCTGTGACTGTAACTACTCTGTATGGATTGCTGAATCGAACGTCCGATTCCCTCCAACAATGGCGCGATTCTACCCAACTATGCTGACCCTACTGGGTTGCTGAATGAGTGAGTAGCGTATCCTACTGGAAACCACCTGTGCGAAGTAAGCCTCGCCCGTTTTGCTCTCACTCTTCCTGCTATATCTCGAACGGCACAACGGCTAATGTTTGTGTAACCATAAGCCTAGGATTATCCGGTTTTTTATTCGTAATTCCGTTTCCTACCCATGCAGGTTTGCCTTGGTCCAGCTTTATCTACGACCGAGCTCAAGAGTGTATGGGCCTTTTTGCACACTTGACACATTGGGAACATTTGCTCACATGAGAAACCTACGGCTTACTTTGTTCGTTTGAGACGCTTTGGTGATGCTGTTCCTCGTTTACGGGTTCGGATTGATCAAATAAAACAGTACTAAACAGTACAACTCCTACTCTAGGGTCATCATTGAAGATTTGTCTGCGGTTTCATTCCTTGCGATGGCAAAGCAATCTAGCCTTTCAGACTACCCTAAAGGACTTTCCAGGATTGTGGGCATGGGATTATCAAGCATGGTACTTTCGCTAGATGACTTTACGGTCCTCAAACACCCCTTAAGTGAATACCATTATGGCGCAGTTGAGACAGAGAAGAATATATGAACGATTGGGGCATCATCCTCGCATTGTCAAGTACATTCGGCGCTATGGGGATGGCATTGTTTTGGAACGACTACAGTATCAACTCCGTGAGCCTTACAGAACTTTCGCTCCGCGGGCGAACTTCCCCCTATTGACAATATTTTTCGCTGGTCAATACATATTGCAGAAGGCATACAATATTTACATTCTAATTGTGTATTCCAACTGGACATTGGGTGCCACAATGTCCTTATAGATGAGAACAATAATGCGAAACTCTCTGATTTTGCTGGCTCAAAAATTGATGATGGCAAGGTTGAAGTGGCCCCAGGCTCCCGTGCCTGTCATCCAGATTTGCAAAAGTGTTTGAAGCCGACAGTGCAGACTGAGATTTTTGGCTTAAGATCCGTTTTATTTGAACTTTGTACCACCAATCAGCCATACCATAACATAGAGGATCATGAAGTGGATGTTCTATTTCGTGACGGCATCTTTCCTGACACGACAAATCTCCCTCTTGGAGAAATCGTTCTGAAATGCTGGACTGGGAAATATGCCAGTGGCAGGGAAGTGGCCACAGATGTTGAACAAATTCAGAATAAATATAAAGTCTTCCAATGAGAAGCATTACTACCAGTAAGTCTATCTTTTTTGCTCTCAAAAATAAGAAAAATTCTCATGACAGTTCTTTACCTATTTTTAGGATTTTTAGCCTTGCTTTTGTTGGGTGTCGTTTTTGCTGCCTAGTAGTCATATCGAGTATGTTGGGTTTGGATCTGTTATAATCCAACGTCAACAACATTTATACGACTGCATATCACTGTTAATGGAATTCATTAGTGAATGCTTTTGGGCTCAAATGCTATACCTTAGACCAGAGTAGTTTTACGCATGTGGGCCTAGTCTATATAATAAAATATATTAAGCGTAGTCTTTGCCAGTGAATATCACAGCTTTTCAATAATTAGCTACTCTTCATCCAAGCTGGTCGATTAGCACAGAACCGATGACACTAGTTCTCAGCCCTTGTCAGACGCAACTCATTCACCAGCACATTTTGAACACGTATAAAAAACACCAAGAGAATTGAACAATACGAAATAAATTTGAAATGTATGATAGAGATTTCGTTTTTATCTTGATGCTTGAAACAGAACGAAGGATAATAGACCTAATCGAAGATATTTAAAGTTCCTGCGTGCCAAGGCGCGGCCAAGGAAGACGTGTTTTATGTACATAACTAACTACGGAGTACGGAGTAGTTAACTAATCGAAGGAATCTCACTCTTGATCATTCTTGTCGGCCAAATTGCTGGAAACGTTCGCTTCGCGTGGCCGGCAATTGAAGATGGACTGAAAAGAATAGTTGTCGTTTTTTAACTCCGATGACTAGTTCTATTGAAAGTCTGCGCCTGTTCGAATGACCACTTCGAGCGAAAGAGCTCCTGTGGAGCCCAAGTTATATCGACCGGAAAGAGCATGTCTCTGCCAAAGGGATTTTTTTTTGCGGATGAAGAGTTGGGAAAGAAATATGACGATCATTATGATAAACCTGCACGACTTCGACGGCAGTCATGGCGACTTCCACGCCGACGACGAGTCTATGCCTTGATCATCGGTGTTCTTCTCTGCTATATTATCTTCACCCATACGTCCTACATACATTCCGAAAAAGTTACTACCGAACACGAATCCTCTGGCTATCTGCCCCCTGTCCATAACCGAGTTTCTCGTCCTAAGGGCCCCCCGCCTGTTCCGAATGAAGCACGAGAGCGAAATGATCATTACTTCAACGGACCGATCAGATTCTATACGTTAACGAAGTCGCTATACTCTATCCATGGATTTGTGGGGTATAATGGCAAGAATAAAATCGTTCTTTTTGCTGCTGCTAATCTGAAGAGCCTATCCAATCTACTTCCGCTCGCATGTCAAATGTCGGCAAATAGACTAAATCGGGTACACATCGCATTGATGGGTCGGGTAGATATTTCGATTGAGGGAATACAAAAAGCTAATAATTACCATCAGTCAGAATGCCCTATAGTTTGGCATGGTACGTTTCTCCTTATTGGATTTAGTCGCCCTTCTAATCGGCATTCACCAGATGCTCGCCCTGATTATGGCCAGTGGTCTACAGATGCCAGAATGGAGATAAGCGTAAATGCTGCCTTATCCCACATATCCAGTGTTCTGCGCCCTCGCATTATCATTACTCATGACAGTAGAGATGAAAATTTCTTAATACAGGGCGTCAAGACCAGTACATCCAAGCCAGGCATCACACATATCGGACTTCAGGGAAGGGTATCCGATTTTGAATGGATAGCAAGGCTAGACTCAAAAGCTTTAGCAGGTAAACCCATTAGTAATCTGATTCGTCCTTGCCATATATTGACACTCATTGATAGCTTGGAACGCCCCACAAATTGAGATGCTTGTCCATGCGCCTCCAGAATCTTCTGGCTCGCTATTGCGACTTCTCAAATCTCTCAAGCAAGCAGATTATTTTGGCGCTGTCCCTGGACTCACTATTGAGTTGCCATTTGATGCCGATGCTTCCTTATTAGAATATCTGAGTGGTTTTACCTGGCCACCACACACGTCGAACCGCCACTTTACTTTGCGTCGCCGCCTATCACATAAACTAGGTGCGCAGGAAGCAGCTATAAGAAATATCGATGCGGTGTACCCCCGTCACCCGTGGCATTCCCATGTTTTGGTACTTTCACCGCAAACAGAGCTTTCGCCATCATTCTATCACTTTATACACTATTCATTGTTGAAATACAGATATTCAATTGGGAATGAATCATCGAATCATCATCTTTTAGGAGTGTCGTTGGAACTTCCTTCGACAAGGCCTACTGATGGACGCAAATTTTCGCCTCCAAAGATGGAGACGGCTTCCGTGACTGACAATCAGCGAACACTGCCCATTTTCCTTTGGCAGGTCCCAAATAGCAATGCTGCTCTATATTTTGGAGACAAGTGGATTGAGTTTCAATCGTTTCTTTCTCGTCGGCTTTCCCCATCAAGATCCGAAAAGAAAACACAATTTGGGAGCCTCCCCAATAAATTTCCCTCCTGGATGGATTACATGGTGGAGTTTATTCTTATCCGTGGTTATTATCTACTATACCCCGCCTTTTCTGCTGAAGATGGTTTATCACTAGCCACTGTGCATAATGAGCTATTTCATATACCAGAAGAACATGACGATGTGAAAGAAAGTGTCCTCGCATCTCAGCAGAAGAATATAGATAGCCATGCACAAACAATAGTTCGGGACCCAGCACCGCCTACTGTTGACTCCACTGAGAAGGCTCTCTCGAGTTCTTCGTCCATATCCGATTTGCTTCTTGAATTCCCGGGGCACTTCCCCAACCTCACGTCACTTGACATTTTATCTCCCTCCGGTGCAAAAGTGTACGATTTTGAAACCTCAACACAGGCGTATATAACCAAGTTTATGGCCGGTATCGGTGGCTGTGATTCTGACTCTCAGCCTTCTGAGTTTGTTCCGATGGGCTCTGACGACCCATTCTGTTCACATGATGAAAGATAGAACATATTTAGTAGCAAAAACCACTCTGCATTACTGTATCTATATTCTATTTTGCTACTGGAATGCAGATACCAGTAAATTTATGATATGTACGGAGTACGATCTTGCTCACTGATATAGAGTACGATTATGATTGGTTTAGTTAGATTTTAATACTTCTGATTATAAGCATAGTGAATTCTTCTAAGTAGAACTCAGCCTAGTAACACTAGGAGCTGTCGTCACAAAAGCACGGGCTACTGATGGAAATGTGACGGGGAAAGTCCTCATGGCTTATACTATGTACGCCGTCGACTAAGCTGGTTAACTAGTACTCCGTAGTATATCTAAATTAAGTTGATTAGTCTGACTAAGCAGGCTTAACTAGTTATGGAGCTCAAAGCGACCTAAAAGCTTCACGTTCAATCCGCATACCTCCGTTTCCTCACACCTCTAAGTCCGGTCTCTTCTGCCGTGGAAATTAAAAGAAAACACAGTGTAAACAGGACCAATTACAGCACCTTTGCCTGCTCATACTTTGCGCTCCCAGACAACGCCCCTCTAACCTCTCGGAATGGCAAAAGAAGGCCAGTCTAGCGCGCCAGACAAGGGCAAGGGAAAAGTGGACGATTTACGAGATGTTCAAGAAGAGAAGAAGGATATGAAAGATGCGAAGACGACGATAAATGGTAAAAAGGAAGAGGTACCCAAAGAAGGTATAGGTGGCAGGCCGCAATTTGCCTTTGACACTCCCTGTTCCAAGGTACTAACATTTCTCGGTAGAAGAGCTCAATGAAGAGGACCAACAGTTAAAGGAAAAACTAGAGATGCTTGTAGAGAGACTACAGGTAATTCAGAATATTCTCTTCTCGATGCCGTGTGATTGAATGCTCATTGCCTGCCTAGGAGCCGAATACCTCATTATACAAACAAGCGTTGGAGACTATCAAAGAACTAATCAAGACATCCACATCATCAATGACAGCTGTACCAAAACCATTGAAGTTTTTAAGACCGCATTATGATGGGCTCGCATCCCAGTATGAGCAATGGCCAAGTGGCGATGATAAGGTCGGTTTGCAGATGGGGAGTTTGCAATCGGGAAAACTGACTTGAACTAGGATTCTCTTGCGGATATGCTTTCGGTATTGGGCATGACCTATGGCGACGAAGAAAAGTTCGAAACCCTCAAGTACCGCCTTCTTTCACGATCGGACGACCTTGGCTCTTGGGGCCATGAGTATATCAGGCATCTTGCGTTGGAAATTGGCCAGGAATACCAAAATAGGATAACAGACGAAAAGGATGTGCAAGATTTGGTTGACCTTGCTCTGTCGCTGGTTCCCTACTTTCTTAGACACAACGCCGAAGCAGATGCTGTCGACCTTCTAAGTGAGCTCGAAATGATCGAGGAGATATCTAAATTCGTCGACGAAAATACATACCCTAGAGTATGTCTCTATATGGCTAGTATGGTGAATCTTCTTACATACCCAGAAGATCACCAGTTCTTGCGAACAGCACATGATATTTACATGAGGTACAACAAATTTACTCAGGCCATTGTCATTGCCATTCGGCTGAATGACCTCGATCTAATATTGAGTGATTTCAATGCAACAACAGACAAATCTGTTAGGCGACAGATGGCCTTTTTAGTTGCCCGTCAGCAGATCTGGCTAGATATAGAAGATGAATCCGACCCAGAACTCGCCGAATGTCTTAATAACTCCCAGCTTTCCGCCCACTTTCGCACTGTTGCTAAAGAGCTTAACATACTTGATCCAAAGATGCCTGCAGATATCTACAAGTGTCATCTTGACGCTAACCGTGCAGCAGGCCTTACAAATGTTGACTCTGCGAGACACAACCTGAGTAGTGCATTTGTGAATGCTTTTACAAATGCAGGCTTTTCTAACGATAAGATGATGTTAGTTGACGGTGATAAAGGACCATGGGTATGGAAAACGAAGGATGATGGCATGATGTCAACAACAGCTTCCATGGGAATGCTCCTTCAATGGAACGTAGATGAAGGCTTGGATAAGATTGACAGGTTCACCTACCTGGAAGAGTATCAAATCAAAGCTGGAGCTCTACTCGCAATTGGCATACTTAATTCCGGTGTAAGGCTCGATTCGGATCCTGCGCTTGCCCTGCTAGGTGACTCGGATAACTTGGCAAGTAAAAACACCATGATGCGCGTGGCGTCGATAATGGGCCTGGGACTTTCATATGCTGGATCATGCCGGGAGGATCTCCTGGATCTTCTTTTGCCTATTGTTGAGGATGCTTCACTACCAATGCAGATTTCGGCAATGGCTGCAGTGTCGTTGGGGTTGGTTTTCGTCGGCTCGTCTAATCATCAAGTTAGCGAGGCTATTGCTACGACCTTATTAGATGAAGAGAGGCAACCCCAACTAAAAGATAAATGGACAAGATTTATGGCGCTGGGCCTTGCATTACTCTATTTCGGGAGACAGGAAGAAGTTGAGGTTATTCTCGACATCCTAAAGGCAATTGACCACCCAATGGCCAAACCAACGTCTGTGTTAGCTTCTGTGTGCGCCTGGGCTGGAACTGGTACAGTCTTAAAACTTCAAGAACTCCTCCATATTTGCAACGAGCATATTGATGATAAGGAGGAGAAGAAAGGAGAGGAGCTTGTCCAATCTTACGCTGTACTTGGTTTGTCGCTCATTGCCATGGGAGAAGATATCGGGCAAGAAATGGTTCTCCGACAATTTGGACACCTAATGCACTATGGTGCTGCGAACATCCGAAAGGCTGTACCTCTTGCCATGGGTCTCATCAGCGCAAGTAACCCCCAAATGGGCGTTTATGATACTCTTTCACGATATACCCATGATAATGACAACGATGTCGCTGTTAATGCTATTTTCGCAATGGGCCTTCTTGGGGCCGGCACCAACAACGCTAGACTGGCGCAGCTACTTCGGCAACTTGCAAGCTACTACCATAGAGACCAGGGCTCACTATTCATGGTCCGAATCGCCCAAGGCCTCCTTCACATGGGGAAAGGCAGTCTTACAGTCAACCCATTCCACACTGATCGTCAGGTACTATCAAGGGTTGCTGCTGCTGGCCTGCTCACCGTATTGGTCGCCATGATAGATGCCAAAGATTTTGTTCTTGCGGATTCTCATTATCTCCTCTACTATCTCGTCACCGCGCTATACCCCCGCTTTTTGGTTACACTTGATGAAGATCTGCAGCCCCTCAAGGTGAATGTTCGTGTTGGTCAGGCTGTGGATGTGGTCGGCCAAGCTGGTCGACCAAAAACCATTACTGGGTGGCAAACGCAAAGTACGCCCGTATTACTGTCATACGGGGAAAGAGCCGAACTTGAAGACGAGGAATATATCAGTCTCAGCAATACTCTTGAAGGACTTGTGATTTTGCGAAAGGTAAGCAGAAACGCCATTATCCATTTATAAAATCAAAGGCTAACGTATTCAATGCATAATAGAATCCGGAATGGCAGGGCTCATGATCTGGCATCCCAGATCCTTCCACGGCATGAAATGTTTTTCTTTTCTTTTGCACTATACTGTCAAATAAACTAGGTCTTTATTCATGGAAGGGAAATTCATTCAATAGATATAATACTATTATTCATCAAGTCAGGTGATAAACATCGAGCCTTCAGGAAAGAAGATAGAAGACAATAAGATGAGGATCGATTTGATGAAGGGGCTCTTCGACTCCTGTTAGAACAGACAGACAATGACTAATGCTGAATGATCTTTAAGTGGTCACCTTTTTAGTCGAGTTGCTTAGTCGTCTGATAACTCCGTAGACCGATAAGGATGACATAATACGCACGTGACTATAGGAGCTTGGCACCTCTGACCACAATTTACTTGTTGTAGTTGAAGAGCTGAGAAACTCTAGTAAAACTGTTCTGGATCCAAAAATTCTCATAGAAGATATTCTCCAAAATGAAACTGGATGCAAAAGCCATGCGATACCTCACAAATGAGGATTTTCGTGTTCTAGCAGGTGTAAGCGTCTTTCACACTTTACTAGCAGCTGAGGACTGATAAAGAGATAATACAGGTTGAGGTCGGTAGTAGAAACCATGAAGTTGTACCAACACCTTTAATAATTCAATTATCCGGCCTTCGCGGTGGTAGCGGGGCTCATAAGTGTATATCAAACCTTGCAAAAATAAATTTGATTGGGAGGGTCAAGAATGCAAAATGTATGCTGAGCGCAGATCCTTATTGTTAAAATTTGAGCTGTAACCGGACTAATTGTGGACCATTATTAGATGACGGTTATCGACTTACGTATGGCGGCCTTGACTACCTTGCCCTTCATACTCACCAGAAGCAGAAGAGCATATATTCAATTGGAAATCAAATTGGGGTTGGAAAGGAGTCGGATATTATAGTGGTAGCAGACCATACAAAAGTGCAAAGAATTTTAAAAATACATCGCTTGGGGCGTATATCATTTCGGTCTATTAAAAATAATCGAGATTATCTCCGCCATCGGACGTCTGCCTCGTGGATGTATATGTCTAGGTTAGCTGCCGTCAAGGAATTCGCCTTTATGAAAGCGCTCCGTCAACAAGGCTTTCCAGTCCCAGAGCCAATCGCACAGAATCGCCATACCATTGTTATGAGTTTGATCGATGCCTTTCCCTTAAGGCAAATCGCTTCAGTTCCAGATCCCGCATTATTATATTCTGAATTAATCGATTTGATACTTCAGCTTGCAAAATTTGGATTAATACATGGTGACTTTAATGAGTTTAATATTTTGATTAGGGAGGAGTCAAAAAAGGCAGATAAAGGAAAGCAACCGGCAGGATCTGAAATTGAGCCAGAAGACTTGAAGTTGGTACCTGTGATTATCGATTTCCCACAGATGGTCTCAACAGACCACACAAACGCCGAAATGTATTTTGATAGAGATGTGAACTGCATCAAACGGTATTTTCAGCGACGATTTGGGTTTGTTAGCGATGAACCAGGCCCTTTTTTCCGTGATGCCAAAAAGATTGTTGGCAGAGATGGTACTCCGAGATTAGATGTTGAGGTTGAAGCTTCTGGCTTTTCAAGGAAAATGGCCCGAGAGTTGGAAGCATATATGAAGGAAGTTGGCGTTGATGGAGACGCTACAGGGGAGAGAGGTGATGACGATAGCGAACTCAACTCTGACTCTGGGCAAGATGAGGACGATAACGGCGATGGCGGCACCTTATTAGATACAACTCAGGCTGACCAACCTGAAGAAAGCCAACCGAGTCTCTCAATCGCAACTGAAGTTTCGGCAATGAATGAACTTCGACTTTCAGGATCGTCATGAATTGTTATGTATAGAAAATGTTGATATAGAGCGCCTACATTTCGTATTGTAGCCTCATCGATTATGATTATAGAAAAGAAATAAATACATAAGGATGTTAATTATCTTCATTAAGCAGACAGCTGCCCGCCTAGAGCTCCAGACTCTTATAAGTTGCTCCTTTGGATAAGCTTTGCATTTATTGTCGTTTGGTTTGACTGTAGTTGGTTAAACGGAAGACTGCAGACGCTAAAGACGAAACAACTTTCTCCGGTGCAAAAATGATTCTCCGCTTCTCACAATGTCCAGGTAGAAAGCGCTTCGATTTGAACAAACGAAGAGTAGTCTCCTGTTTTTCGCTTCTTTTCATTCTTTATATTATTTCTGGCGTCATTGACTACTATTAGAATATGCCTAGAGCCCCTAGCCTTCCGAAAGTCCCTTCTAAATTGTACACACATCCGGTTCCCGTTGAGCAGCGAAAACAAGTCTATCTGTATGCTTGACCTCCCTATTTAATTTCTCAGTGCCTTCCGGTATTTTGTTCTGACATGATTGCAATTTAGGCCCGAATTTACGATCACACTCATCCGCACACCTTTTCTTCCTCCTCGCTATGCCTCGTTCTGGGTTCCACTCTCATTCAACAAGTTAGACTTGAAAGATTATCTAAAAAGGGCATATAATGTCGATGTGATCAAAGTGCGAAGCTATGTTGAACAGCAAAAGGTTACACGGGAACGGGCTCTCGGCAAAGAGGGGTTTGGTCCGTTACGAAGGCCAATGGCGAAGAAAAAAATGACAGTGGAAATGACGGAACCATTTATTTGGCCTGAGGAGCCGAAAGATTTTGCACCGTACGCTTTTCTTATTACTTACTATACGTATTCACATAGTCGCTAATACTCTTCTTTTATGCAGATGGGAACGAGATACGTACTTCGAAGCCAAAAAAATGCAGGAGGATTTCCAGGAATCTCGAAGCCCCGATGCTGTCCTGAAAGCTCCAGAAAAGCAAAGAGAACTACTGGCAGATCAGGCGAAGCGTGTGAAAGAAGGAATGGAGCCGTGGCAACCAACATGGCAAACCTTAGGGCTGAACTTCGAAAGGCCATTATTAAAGCCACAATCATCCAAGCCATCACAAACAACGTCATAGAAATAATTCCTTGTCCAGATATGACTTAACATGGATCTACGGCATCGTGTTGAAAAACTTTAAGGAGTAATTTCCGTTTCGTTCTATATCAAACCAACCTAGGGCAACCGTCCGCTGACATATTAGCCGACTTGTACTAAACTATTTTTTACTCTATCCTTTACCTGGTTTCTCCCCTGGAGGTGTTTATATACTTGAAATTTTCACTTTATCATTAAGGGCTTCTTTATCTTGTTTGTGCTTCCCCTGAATTCTCTGCAGAATGAGAAGTCACTGAAATCTATACGTATACTAAACTTGACTCGTGGCACTAGTTTTGCCCGCATTGCATGTCATTTGCAGATTCCACAGACTTCGTTGTAGATATGTCCTATGCTCTACGCTCTATCTTTATAAATACGACGTACCAAATTAGATAGATTCGACGGGGTCACCCGGCATAAAAGATGGATATTTGTAAACTAACTATACATATGAATAGAAAACCAAAAGAGCTAAAGGGCTATATTCGACATACAAAAAAAAAAAAAAAAAGAAAAAAACACCGTCGTCGCTAAGGATGCGTACTACCGAAGGCGAAAGTCTGAATATAATCCCACTACCGTACAGCGACTCGGTAGTAAAGTTATAGCCTACTTTCAAAGACCGGATGGCGATGTTCTCCAGGCCAATGATCGTGGGGCCAAATACGCCGAATAGCTTCCCAGATGTGCCTAGGAAAAGAATTGAGGTTAAAATACTAGGAAGCTTTAAGAAAGCCAATAAAACTTACTTGACATATACAATCTCGATGCCACTTTGCACTTCAACTGGAACATCTCTGACATCCTTGCGATTATGGTCTGGCAGAAGAACGGTCTTCACGCCGGCCCTATGAGCGCCAATGAGCTTCTCTTTAATACCACCAACAGGCATGACTCGACCGCGGAGAGATATTTCTCCTGTCATAGCAATTTCTGGTGGAACGGTTTTGCCCGAGAAAAGAGAAACTAGGGCGATTGTATGTGCTAAACCCGCAGACGGGCCATCCTTAGGAATAGCACCTGATGGGCAGTGGACATGAAGGCTTCGATGCTTCATAATATCTTCATTAGGGTCCTGGGTAAGACTAAGTTCGAATGAGTGTGCCTTGACCCAGGTTAGAGCAACTTCAACAGACTCTTTCAGAACGTCTCCCAGCTTGCCGGTTAACTGCACACTTCCATTTCCTGGCATGTCAGCAACTTCGATGAATAGAATACTACCTTGGCCTCCACTTGAATAGGCAACAAGGCCGGTAACAATGCCAGGACGCGAGTGCTTCTCTGCAATTTCCTCATCGAATTTTTCTGTACCAAGGATTTCATCTAAATCTTCGATCGTCACCTTAGGGTCGTATGCAGTGGCAGTTTCAGCATCCTTTGCATCAGAATATTGGACTGCCTTAAAGCGGCAGACGGATCCAATCTCTCTTTCCAGATTACGAACACCAGACTCTCGAGTGTATGAGGTTATGACCTTGTCAAGAACTTCATCTGACAAATCAACCTGTCCCTCAGAAAGGCCATTAGTTCTGACTTGTTTTGGGACAAGGTGCCTCCTAGCAATATGTCGTTTTTCGATGGTCGTGTAGCCCGACAGCTGGATTGTTTCCATGCGGTCAAGTAATGGAGCCGGTATTGTATCCAGCGAATTTGCAGTAGCAATAAATAGAACCTTGCTCAAATCAATAGGAATATTGATATAGTGATCAGAAAAGCTGTGATTTTGTTCAGGGTCCAACACTTCGAGCATCGCTGCTGAAGGGTCGCCGTGGAAATTTGCACCGCCCACTTTGTCGATTTCGTCGAGTAAGAATACAGGGTTAGCGACCCCGACTTTCTTTAACCCATTCACAATGAGGCCTGGCATCGCTGCGACATATGTTCTTCGGTGACCGCGGATTTCGGCTTCATCCCTGACACCTCCAAGTGAAATGCGGTGAAATTTACGTCCCAATGAGGTAGCAATTGATTTTGCAAGACTAGTCTTACCTGTACCGGGGGGGCCAACAAGCAGGAGAATCGGTGATTTGTCAGTCTTTCGCTTTGACTTCAAGATTTGTAGTTTCGTTTCGATACTAGTTCTTTCCGGGTCTGAGATCGGTTCCTTTTCATCCGAATTGTCTTCTATTGTGGGCAAATTGGCAGAAAGCCTGGAGATTTCATCCTCAACTTCAGTGTTGAGTGATTGTTTAAGCTTCAAAACTGCGAGGTATTCCAAAAGGCGCTTCTTAATTTTCTCAAGGCCATAATGATCATCATCCAGCTGTCTTCGTGCCCGCTTTAATGTTTCAACGCCAAGTTGGTCTTCAGTAACCTTCGTCCAAGGTATTTCTGCTAAGTTTTCTAAATACGTACGGCAAACACCATACTCTGCATTGATAGGATTCATTTGTCGTAGGCGCTTTATCTCCCTATCGGCAACCTTCTGTGCTTCAGAACTTAACTGAGCATTCTGGAGTTTCTGCTGAAGTTCGTCGATCTCATTGGTCTCTTTGTCACCTTCACCGTCACCTTTTCCAAAAGGAGTAGCAGTGCCAGGGGTTCGTCGACCAATCATTTCGCGCTGACGCGGATCTAAAGTGCTAATGTCAATTCCGAAATTTGCTGGCAAACTATTTGTAGACACCGTAGTCACTTGGATGACATTCTTGATAGATTGCACCTGTTTGGAAAGCATCTCAATAACTCGTTCAAGTCGATCCTTTAAATCCAACGAGGCTAGAACTCGCAATTTTTCTTCATAAGTCCCATCTGCTATCTCCGCCATAAAATCAGCTAGACTGCCGGCTTGGGAAAGTTCTTTCTTCGAAATGAGAAGCTCGAATCTTCTCGCAACGAGTGGTGACATTCCTGATTTCGACGAAAACATGGAGGCAAGCCTCAAAAGAGCCAGAAATTCTCGAGACAGCTGTTTAAGTTGGTCAAAAAGGTCAGGTATTTTGGCATCGATAGAATGAGGTACTGGCAACAGGTGTCAGAAGGGAGTTCACGTCGGGAAGATTGAGGAGGGGAGTGGTACCAGGCTCATCAAAGATCATAACCTCAGCTTCCAAATGTGGTTGCTCTTTTGTGACTCTTCGAAGTGCAAACCGCTTTGCTCCTTCAACCAGCATGTAGGGCTCGGAATGCGGCCGCCCCTGCACGCCGATCACTTTGGCAACTGTCCCGTATCCAAACAGATCACCCTTTGAGACACGCGACAAATCAATCTGCATAGACTCTTTTCCACGCTTGGATTCCTTCTCCCTATTGTCTAGCAAGTGCTGTCCATCCTTTGAGAGGAGAGGTGAGCCGAGGGGTACACACCCAACGATGACGGGGGTGTTGCCGTGCCTTTGAGGGGTTCGACTAAACAAGGACGTGAGGAGAATAGGGATATCAAAGCGGTCGGTGAGGGGAATCCTCAGGGTCGTTCCAGGCAGGAGAAGCGTTCCTTTAGCCAGAGGGATTATGGGAAGCTTCGTTGCTCGGCCGTTGGTAGTCATGGTTGTTTCAGGGAAAAGTAGAGTGTAGAATGTAGGATATGAAGAAACAGCACTACTCAAGCCATATATAATTTATGGTAGGCTTATATCATGGAATACCCAAACAATCGCAACAATAATCGGGTATGGAAGCAGGGGAAGAAAGTCCCCTCGTACGTGAGGTGATGGGGAGAGATGCCGAGGGTACCGTAATACGGTATTTTGTGGTCCGGCACCACCGTTTTGCCTGTGAATGGCGTAATTTCCAGAACAGTCTGGGCAATAATGCTTCGAGTCGCCGCAACATAGCTGAATATCGCAACTAAAAACATTCCAACTACCTAGTGAACACAGAATACAGGCCACAGTGCTGCGTGCATATGCACGGTAACTACTTTGTACAATGTGCGTGCAGCTGATACAGCACCTTCGATTAACTAACTACTTACTTGATGTAGAGGACTGCGCACACTGATACCGCATGCTATACAAGCCTTCCATCCCCTTTGTTAGACCTGCGTGCGCCGTCTCGCCCTGGCACGCGACGGCTCTTCAAAGCTGCTAGACTCAATGGCCGTCTGGGCAGAGTTTCGGCCCAGCGTTGTCGGAACAAACATAGTTCCGACTCCTTGCGCTAGGGCGAATTGGGGAAAGCTCCATTTGACACTCGAAGCTTTACTGGTGGGCGGAAGTGCAGAAGAGGGGTGCAGCAATGCTGAATATTCACTCTTTCATCAGGCCAGTTGTGACGGTAGTCTATGGAATATAATTTTTTTTGTATCTATTCTATTTTTTTTTACGACTCTCTTTCTTAACCAGTTACTCGTTTTAATTTGACTTCAAGTTTTGATTTGCATGTGAACGCTTTTCACCCGTTGTGAAATACCCCTCTTGAAGCCATGGCGTCAGGCGAGAAAACATCATTTACTATTGGGACCCGCAAATCGAAGCTCGCCCTCTTGCAAACCGACATTGTTCAAAATGCCTTGCAAACTGCCTGGCCTGGCTGCGAATTCGAGATCCACAGTCGCCATGCCGCCGGCGACCTTAATAAAGTCACTCCCTTGAGAGAATTCACAACTAAAAATCTTTGGACTGAGGAATTGGAAGAACTACTTATTCAGAAAAAATTAGATCTTGTAGTGCATTCTCTTAAAGGTATACGGTTCCGTGATTAAATACCGCCATTAGCTAACCTCTGCAACCCTTCTTCAGATGTTCCCACCCAAATTCCCTCCTCCTGTGCGCTCGCTGCTATAATCACTCGCGAAGATCCAAGAGATGTTCTTGTCGTTAAGAAAGGCCTATCTTTTAAGACTCTAGCCGAACTTCCTGCCGGTTCGGTGGTAGGAACATCCTCGGTGCGTCGTATAGCTCAAATTGGGCGTCACTATCCACACCTGAAAGTCCAAGACGTTAGAGGTAATATCGACACTCGACTGGCAAAACTCGACGACGAAGATGGCCCATTTACATGTTTAATACTGGCTGCAGCCGGCTTATTGCGATCCGGCTGGGAGGCGCGGATTACGCAGTATTTGGATTCTAAAAACGGCAAAATGCTTCATGCTGTCGGACAGGGGGCCTTGGGAATTGAAATTCGTTCTGATGACGAACGGATGAAAGAAATGATTGAAAAAATAGGAGATAAAAAATCTACGTTCGCATGCCTTGCGGAAAGAAATTTGCTCAGGGTTCTTGAAGGTGGCTGTAGTGCCCCTCTGGGTGTTGAAACGGAGTGGATTCAAAATGAACATGGCGAGGAGTTTCTGAGATTAAGGTCGATAGTAACCAGCGTTGATGGGCAAGAAGCGGTGGAAGTCGAAAAGGACTGCAAAATTATGTCAAACGAGGAAGCAGAGGCTTTTGGAAAAGATGTCGCCATGCATCTCGTTGAGAACGGTGCTGGGAAGATACTTGAGGATATCCAACAAAAAAAGAAATGGTAAGAAAAATAGCAATACAAGGGTTGGAAGTCTGGCATGTTCTTAGTGCTCCGTATCCAACGACAGTGCTCCTCAGAGGGCGAGTGTATATGTATGTAAATATATACATATCCTTGATGACTTGAAAAAATTCGAGTCAAAATATGGGTTACCACTGTAGAAACCCAGAAAGTAATGAAACCACGGTAGCGATAGCCGATGACATTTAGCCCTACTGGTTGATTTATGACATAGCTTCCGTTTCCAATTTACAATCCAAGATGATATCACTATATTTTCACATCTAGCAGACCGTTTTCCTACCTGTTACTACTCCGTACCTTTGGCTGTCCAATAAGACCCACACGTGTTTTTGCCAAGCCTGTTGCCTAGTGCCCGTGAACTCTAACTATATAGTTAACGAGGTAAGCTCTCCAAATCCCAACATTGCATATGATAGTGTTTCAACAGGCAGTACTCCGCACGAAGAGCGGGTTCACTCCAGTCGTCACTATGCCATCTACCCCAAATAACTACCCGCGTATCTACCTCTTTGGTGATTCACTCACAGAGCGAGCCTTTGAAGAGCATGATTCTGGGTTTGGGTGGATGCTGGCACAATATTATAAAGATCGTGTCGAGATTGTGAACGAAGGTACATTTTCAAAATCTCTAATAAGTAGTCCCCCAAGATCCAAGTAGCTGACTCTATAATCTTTGAAGGATACTCTGGGTATACCCGACTTAACGCTAAGAACCCTGGCATTGGCTGACCTCATCATATGCAGCCAAACGACAAAATCGCTCCGCCAGGCTTTCGATGAGCGCATTCTCAATACTGTAAAGGAACGTGGTTTGCCATCTCCGCTCTTTATAACCATCTTTCTAGGAGCGAATGACGCGTGTTTTCTTGGTGGAGACGATCGAACATACGTACCCATAGCACAATACGAAAAACATATCCGGCATTATGTCGATACCATTCTCGAGCACCCAGCCACTAAAGACACTAGAGTCATCCTAATTTCGCCGCCGCCAGTAGATGTTCCTCCTCCGCCTTCAACAGACTTCGATCTTGAATCGGTCGTCGAAGCCACGCGGGCAGCGGCTGCCATGGGACGCGGCCACAGAACATGGGAATCAAAACGTAAATTTGCTAAGAAAATTACCGAAATTGGCCACGAATTTGAAGCGAAAACAGACCGCTTTGCCCTGTTCGACTTTTGGACACTAATTACTAGGGTTAAATGCCAGGATGAAACCGATAGTGATGTCGATGAGATATTTCATAAACTCGATCTCGAAGATACTCTTCCAGGTTCGGGTATGCCGGGAGCGCCACGTTTTGGGTTGGAATATTTTATAGATGGACTTCACTTCGGGGAAAAGGTGAGTTTGAGTACGGCCCATTACTTGTTTGTTTTTGCTAAGGTTGGTCAGGGATATGATGTTCTTGGACGAGAACTCTTGAAACTCTTGCTATCGAAGTGGCCGGAGCTGAACAAAGAGAATTTTCCGGTTCGGGTCCAGGTAATTAATTCTTCACTCAACCGACTGCTCCAACTCATTTTACTAATAGCTAATGGTTAGGAATGATGGCATTTTCCGCTAGCGTCGTAGCATCGGCGACGAAGGGGGCAAATTAGCCTCTGTTCAACGTGTTTCCCGAGCCTCTTGGGTTTTCTTCTTTAAATTCATCCCATGCTCGTGCCTTCATGGTCTCCTCATTGGCTTTTTCCATATCATCCTCATCGATTTCTTTGCGTATACCGGATTGTTCGCCACCGCCTTCGATAATCCCTCCTCGTCTCCGTTCCTCTTCCAGGTAATCTTCAATAGTCATAGTTGGAAGGTTATGCCCAGGTCGAAAGACGCCTTTTCGAATTTCCGTTCTTCGGCTTGTGAGAACGAAGGGCTGTAATGGAACGCCAGCCTTATTTAATAAAGGACTGCCTCGTCCACGGCCACTGGAGGACAGCCCAACATCAAGGCGGTCAGAGTAGCTCTGAATGTCATTCTCTTTATATTCCCTAGCATCTTGTGGGACACGCTGCGGACGCGTAGCTGCTGCGAGCTGTGCAGCTTTCAGCATAGACACCTCTTGCGTTAACATGTCTAAAGCCTGGAACGTCTGATGAACGTAGAGATGTATTTCTGCCAACTGTAATCGTCTCACTGTTTCATCATCGTGCTCTATAGGCTTCTGGTTCTGCGACAGGTACTAAGTACGGACAAACCGCAAGGGTTAAAACAAAGTCTGTTGTGTATTGAGGGAAAGGTTCACAAAACCATACTTCGAGTTTCTGCTTCAATTCCTTCTCTTCACGAAATCGGGCAACCTTAACATTTCTTCGGGCAGCTGCATCGTTTGCAGGGGCGAGGCTAAAGGTATCTGGGGATTCAAGATATTGTTCATGAAACTTCTTATCCGCGGCAGGCAAGATCCCATATTGGTCCAACAATTCTAAGAACGCTTCGTACCTCTCCCGAACACGTTGGGCATTCTTTAGGCGATCATCACTTCGTGCTCTTTGAAGTAATTCAGCGAATAGGTAGTCAAAGGCTAAGTACCTACATTCCGTCACAAATTAGTCCTCGAATGGACAAGGGATGAGGGAGTCCGAACTGGAGATCAGCCGTAGTGATGTCTTCCAAGCTCTCATTTGGGCTAAATAAGGAGAGCTTTGCGATTAACTTATGACAAGTTTCAAACAATTGGAGCGTAGAATCTAATTGGTCTTGATAGGCTTCATCGTTGGTGTTAGGTGCCGACTCCAGTGACTTTTTCTGGGCTTTGGCGGAAGAAAAAAGTATCTGTAAGCTCTTAGGTTCTTCGTCCATTAGGTACGCTATATGCAAATAAGCCTGTCTCAAATTATTGTGAGCTGAAAGGAAAGATGTTTGCCTAGTGATGGAAATAATCATGAATGAATCTCTGCCGAAGTTTGTCACCAAACTTTATGCCAAGAAAATGTAGTTATCATTCACCTAACCACAGAGTAGGTTAACTATATAACGAACTAACTAACTAAACCAAACATCCTCTGAAGCCCAAAGAACACATGAGAATACCAGTGAAAGAGCAGCTACTAACAAAAGCATCATATTAAACTACCCCGTATAATGCAGTTATTTCTTCCAATCAAAATGGAGATTCTTGTGCCTATCAAGGCACATTAGTTACATGCTGACTAGTTAAATAATTACTGTTGACTACTTATCATACCAGTAACTACACCTGCATTTGTGCGCATATCCTATAGCCAACGACAAGAGTGCTGAGAAAAAGCATCTATACTGGCTTCTCTTTTCTTTGTATGGTGCTTGAAACCATACACCCTTCACTACTCACAACTTCTCTTGTGTCTTTCGGCCGGGGGTATTGGGTAGCCAACTAGTCAAGCACCGTGTTTTCTTTGAAAAGAATTTTGCTTCCTTTCATTTCTTCAATACCAGTGAAGTTTGCCTATAAGTGTGGAAACATTGTATCAATCATTTTCATTGCCAGAGATAATTTGCTGATGAAGTGTCCATTTATCTATACAGAATCTGTTCAAACTGCTTTCCAGAATATATTAGGAAATGAAGCCCCACGCAATGGAAGATGGCGATTCTGTGATCGAAAAGACAGTAGATAGCTCAGCTGAACCATTTGATTCCGATAGTGAGGACGAGGGCTCAAATTTTGACAAGCATGCCGCAACGAACCTACGACAGAAACAAAATCTTCGATTCAAACAGCTGTTCGTCGCCTCTCCCGAAATTTCCTACACCTCTAATTTAAGATATATTACAGTTTATCTGCTCGGGCGGAGGCTATTACAGCGGACGACATCAAGGAAGCGATTCAAACAACCAAGGAAAGCGAACTGTCGATGTCCAATATTCTTGCAAAACAAGACTTTGCCTCCGTGGTACATGACCCGCGAGAGTACCAAATGGAACTATTTGAAAAGGCGAAAACTTCAAACATAATTGCTGTATTGGATACGGGTAGTTATTTCCGCTCCATGGAGCGAATGTCGGTGGAGTTCTAATCATGTACAGGGTCCGGAAAGACACTGATTGCGGTACTACTCCTGAAATATATTTTAGAGCAGGAATTAATAGATCGGAGTTACGGAAAGCCTCATCGAGTGTCCTTTTTTCTGGTATGCGCTTCCCGCATTGCCCTGCCGTCGTTTAGCTAACGTTTTTAGGTCGACAGCGTCACTCTTGTTTTTCAGCAAGCAGCGGTTCTTCAGAATAACATTGACCAGAAAATAGATAGGTTCTGTGGGGCTATGGAAACGCATCTGTGGGATCAAGAAATGTGGGCAAAGCACCTTGAGAAGAATATGGTCATTGTTTGCACCGCTGAAGTGTTACACCAATGCCTACTTCATTCTTTTGTAAAAATGGAAAATATCAATCTTTTGATTTTCGATGAAGCCCACCATGCGAAAAAAGACCATCCTTATGCGAGGTGAGTGTTTGATATTGGCTTTGGTCTCTCTCCGCATGATTGACGTGATTGTAGAATTGTGAAAGATTTTTACCTAAGAGAGGTAGACTTCAAAAAGCCTAAAATATTTGGTATGACAGCTTCTCCTGTCGACGCCAAAGTAGACGTTGTTAAAGCCGCTAGGTATTAAAGGCTATTGTGCCCTACATTCTCGTATAACTGTTGACATAAAATAGGAGACTTGAAACAATGCTTAACAGCCAGATTGCTACCGCTTCCAATCTTTCGCTCCTACAGCAGACAGTTGCACGGCCGAGTGAAGAACGTTGGGTGTACGATCGCCTGAATGCGCCGTTTGAGACTCCATTGTACACGAAATTACATTCACGCTTCGGGAATGTACGGGCCCTAGAAAAAACTTTCACATATTCTCTATATGCTTCTTCAAACTTGGGTGCTTGGTGTGCTGACTGGGTCTGGTCATATGCATTGGCCGAAACGTCTTTGCCAAAATTGGAAGGCCGCGCAACACGAACAGCAATGGGTAACATACCTGTAGCTAAGATTATTAAGGCTGAATCGGAAATTCAACATATTCGTGAGGCTGGAGAAGTTCTGCGTTTACATGTTTTTGAAGAACCACTAGGCCGGCCAGAACTTCTCAGCCCAAAGGTTCAGCGATTATATCATGAGCTCTTGAAGTACTTTGAGAGGCACACAGATACAAAATGCATCGTTTTCACCGAGCAACGGCATACAGCTAGAATTCTATGTGATCTTTTTTCCAAAATCGGTACCAAATACCTTCGGCCAGGGGTGCTTATTGGTGTGCGCCCTGATACGTCAGGGGGAATGAATGTATCTTTTCGTCAACAGGTGTTGGAAGTCGTTTCCTTCCGCAAAGGAGATGTGAATTGCCTGGTAATATTTCCTGAGATTTGCTTTGTGGATTTTTGAATATCTGACCGACAATCTCCTAGTTTGCAACATCAGTTGCAGAAGAAGGCCTCGATATTCCGGACTGTAATCTAATTGTTAGGTATAAAGGCCAATTTTTGTGTTGTGTTGCAACTCTGACAATGGCTCTATCAGGTTTGATCTCGCTGCCACTCTCACAAAATACATTCAGAGCCGGGGGCGAGCAAGGCACAGAAACTCAACGGTAACCCTACTTCTGTTTTTGTGAAACCATCTAACCGAATAATAGTTTGCCCACATGGTAGAACAAGATAACGTTATACATTCAGATAGTCTTGATTATCTTCAGAAATCAGAGGTTAGTACTCTTAATATACGTCTATGGAATGAAATGGGGCATTGAATCTACCTCTTTAGGGCACTATGAGACGATTTTGTACATCATTGCCAAAAGACCGCCTTCTTGATTCTGCTACTGATATAGATCATCTTTATGAAAATGACCGTGAGAGGAAGAGTTATACGGTTCAAGCCACGGGAGCAAAATTGACGTTCAATTCCTCTCTAGTCGTTCTTTCGCACTATGCTAGTTCTTTGGTAAGATTACTTTCTGTTACTGTACTCTAGGTCTGCTAATTTGCTTTAGCAATATGAAAAAGAAACATCTACTAGAGTAAATTACTACAATAGGCTCTCTCAAGACGCATATGTTTGTGAAGTTATTCTTCCAGAGAAATCACCAATACGTGGTGCGACCGGAAGACCATCATCAAAGAAGCTGATCGCAAAGCAATCTGCGGCGTTCGAGACTTGTTTATTGCTGAGGGCCCATGGACTCCTCGACGACCATTTTGTATCCACGTACCATAAGCGGCTCCCTGCCATGAGAAATGCCCGTCTTGCAATTTCACCAAAAAAATGCAATCAATACAATATGATAGTGAAGCCAAAGCTATGGGAAGCATGTCGTGGCTCTTTACCGGCGAATTTCAGCGCTGTCATTCTAAACATTTCTCCGTCAAAGGCACTCCGTAGAGATTACCACCCGCTTGTCATGTTGACACGTGAAAAACTTCCATCTATTCCACAGTTTCCTCTTTATATGGAGGATGATATTGAGTGTGAATTTTCATGCCAATCGATAGCACCCGGCATAGAGGTATCTTCCGTTGACTTAGAACTGCTTACAACTTTTACCCTCAGAATATTTCAGGACGTTTTTCATAAAATCTATGAGCGGAATCCCAGAATGTTTTCTTACTGGTTAGCTCCGTTGAATTTGCAATATGATGTTTCTTGTGATGACCTACCGCCACGAACCGCTCTTGACTGGGAGCTGATGCAAAATATTTTTGATACCCCCGAAATTCCTTGGTCTCCTCGCCTGACGAAGAATTTCTTTGACAATCGATTCCTCTACGACAGGTGGGATGGAAGATATCGTTATTTCACCTGCGGAGTTGAGCCAGACCTCCGGCCTGCCGACCGTCCACCCTCTACAATAGCGAAAAGAAAACATATGGGAAGTATTATGGAATATTCCCTGAATCTCTATAAAAATGCGAGAAAACGGTTCTTAGAAAGTTGTGACTGGAACCAACCCGTCATTCGAGCTGAACTGGCGCACCTTCGCAGAAATCTTTTAGATAAGAGGACAGAGAAGGAAAAGTTGAACGAAGGGATGAGTTTTATTTGCGTTGAAGCTCTGGCAATTTCCGCAGTGAGTACCATTAGGCTGCATGAAGTAGATCCCTACATACTAATACTATTTGGAAGCTTCCAACTGCCGTTGCTGCGTTTAGTTTCGCTTTTCCAGCCATAATAAGCCGAATAGAATCGTATCTCATTGCGTCAGAGGCATGCCAAAAACTGGAATTATGTATCCCTCTAGACCTTGCTCTTGAATCCTTGACTAAGGATTCGGACAATACAGAAGAGCATCGAGCTTTGCAAGTTCACTTCCAGAGAGGAATGGGCAAAAATTATGAACGTTTAGAATTTCTAGGCGACTGTTTCTTGAAAATGGCCACGTCCATATCACTGTTCAGCATGAATCCGGACAACGATGAATTCGAATTTCACGTTAAGCGGATGGTATTGATCTGTAATCAAAATCTTTTTCGAACGGCTGTGAATCTCAAACTATATGAGTTTGTCAGAAGTCAAAGTTTTTCAAGGTACTTGTAATAACATGCAAGTTTTCTATAACGTGCTTACACAAAGCTAGGCGAGGCTGGTATCCGGAGGGCTTGATCCTACTTCAGGGGAAGGGTCAAAGCAAAACGACGGCTGAGAATAAACATTCTCTTGCAGACAAAACCATCGCAGACGTTTGTGAGGCACTGATTGGCGCATCCCTGCTATCAGGCGGTCCATTCCACAGATTTGATATGGCTGTCAAAGCAGTGACAACGCTTGTTAGCAGCAAGGACCATACAGTTTCCAGTTGGGCGGAGTATTCGCAGCTCTATAGTTTGCCGAAGTACCAAATTGCAGTTGTGGATGCTTCAGAACTCGACCTTGCAACTCAAATCAAGGAGAAGCTAGGATATTGCTTCAAATACCCAAAATTGCTGCGGTCAGCTTTCACCCATTCGTCATATCCAAGTGCCTGGGCGAAAGCTCCGTGCTACCAGCGGCTTGAATTTTTGGGCGATTCATTGCTGGATATGGCTTGTGTTGAGCATCTATACCATCACTATCCGGATAAAGATCCCCAATGGCTAACGGAGCATAAAGTAAGAACATTACCCTGTCTATTACCAAGGATTTGTACTGATAACCACAGATGGCAATGGTGTCAAACAAGTTCTTAGGGGCGGTTGCTGTAAAGCTCGGGCTGCACTCTCACCTACGCTATTTTAGTACAACACTACAGTCACAAATATCAAACTATGTCGAAGAGATCGAAGTAGCGGAGGTAGAAAGCGGGCAGTCTCCGGATTTCTGGACTTCAACAAATGATCCGCCCAAGGTATGAGCCTACTAGTTAGTTGAACAATAGTCTGCAGGCCAGAGATTAATTACGTCATTAGTGTCTTTCAGATATGGTGGAGTCATATATAGGTGCCATATTTGTGGATTCGAATTTTCAATTTGAAGTGGTCGAAGATTTTTTCCAGAGATTTATTAAAGGGTATTTTGAGGACATAACGATTTATGACACTTACGCCAACAAACATCCTACGGTTAGTTCCACGCATTAAACCGTGCGCAAATATACTGATTCTACGTAGACCTATCTGCATAACAGGCTGACGATCGATTTTGGATGCTCAAATTACTGCCTAAAGGCAGGAGAAGTACCATTCGTTGATGGGGCTGGTACGCGAGTTTTTGCAGCAGTTCTTGTGCATGATGAGCTGGTGGCAGAAGCTGTGGCCTCTTCTGCTCGTTATGCAAAACTTAGGGCTAGTGAAAAGGCTCTTGTAAAGCTGGAAGGCCTAGCACCATTCAAATTCCGTGAAATATATGGATGTAATTGTGGCGGTAGTCATAACGGAGGAGATAAGAAGGTGCCTACATAAACGGAGCAAGTATAAAAAATCAAATCAATAATACGGAGTAGTTGAAAGGGGTTCATAGTAGCATTTGTGTCCCACAACATTTGTTGACTTGTCGAATGTGCTCTGCTGTTGGTTGCATGATGGACCACGTCATTGGCCATCAAACTGTAGGCCTCCACGTTTCAGACAGCGCTAGACCCTAGTCGGCATAGTCACTCTAATGTTTAATTCGACCACAGCCCCTGACTACAAATCCCGTGACCTGTATGGTAAACACGCTGTCGCGTATTTCCATACAAAAAAGTGAATGAGACGCAATCAGGCGTTCATCAACAGACAAAGTCTTCCTTTTCTTTAATCCAACAGCCACTACACGATCAGTGGGTATACATATGACTTCGAACCGCCATATCTAGGTCTATTTTCTCGATGAGCGCGTGCGACTGGGGTTTATAACCGCCTGAGGATGGAGGTCGCCTCGCCAGGGGTGTCAAATGGCCTTACTTCGCCAAATACTTTTCCGACTACAGACCCAACTATTGTCGTTCAACATCTGGCAGAGGTCCTCCAGGGAACTTTGGGCGCGTTACGAAAGGATTTAGAGAGCTCCGGAAGCCTGCTATCCAAGGCCAAATACTCTGAAACGCTTCAACGATGCACTCAATTTGCATCTGAGCCGCAAACCGCGGTCTACGCTCATAAGGAGCTTGTGGAAACAGAAGAGATCAATGGGACTGAGGAGGAAGACTGTATGTGTTGTTGCGACTCTTGACTTGACTCATCTAACAGCTATCTGTTATATAGCTTCTTGTACTAGGTATATTTACACACTTAGCCCAGAGATATCTATATCATCGACCACTGTTGCCGCTGTTGCATTTCTCAAGTCGCCGTCTCCCCTCGATTCCACCGTTCCCATATCATCTCAAGTCCAAGTTCTCACTTTACCAGGCTTCTCTGCATTGAATTCCACAGCCCTACCGCAGGCCCCTTCAGTGTCTCCGTATGAAGTACTTCACTCCCTTGTTCACCTCGGCCTTGCGCCATACTTTGAGGCGTGCACAAGAGGCCAAGATGGTGCTAAAACAAGGGGTGATACAGATGCGAAAACTGGAGTGCCAGGTGCGAAGAAGAAGATCGCGGAGCTTGAACTCAGTTTATTGCATCTCCAGCAGAATATTGAAATCCCAGTTTTAAACCTGCCGATGCATGAAATAGTACAAACAGCTTTAAATGAGGCACAAGCGCGAGGTGTCAAACCGTCCGTGGATCTTATTCCGAGTTCTGTACTTGATAACCATATGGTCATCAATAGTATTCAAAGCACCGTCAATGGGTGGATTAAGTCAATCCAGAGTATTACGAAGATGTCGCGTGATCCAGACAGTGGCTCTGCAGCCCAGGAAATCAATTTTTGGTTAGATATGGAAACAGCCCTCGAGGGTATCGAAGCGCAGCTTCAAGCAGACGGGGTGCAGCTTACAATGAACATTCTACGACATGCGAAACGATATCAAGCTACCCTAAGCTTTGTCGCGGATACTGGGCTCAAAGAGGCGGCGGATACAGTTCAAAAATATAACCAGTTGCTACGGGATTTCCCCCTCCATGAATTGCAGTCAGCAACTTCACTCCAGAAAATTGAGGAAGCGCTGAATTTAATTTTTGCTCATTTAAACAAAAAGCTCCGCCTCTGCCCCTACCCTATCAAGCGTGCTCTGTCTCTAGTCGAAGCAATTTCTGGGGACCTTGATTCAAGGATACACGGCTTAATCAACGGAAGAATGATTATGCATTTGGATTTCAAAGAATTTCGAGCTCTGATGCGCGCTGCCCAAGTAATATGGCGTGCGTGGGATGAGAATATCAAAGAATTCACCAACGTTGCCCGCGACGCCACAAGACGCCGCAATGAGAAATTTATTCCAATTAAAATCAGATCAAAGCATGCAGAGACCCAGGACCGCTTGAAATATATAAATACTTTCCGCACAAACCATGAGCAGCTCCAACGCACGATTATGAATGTCCTTGGACCTAAAGCAAGTCAACCAATCGCAGTTTCAACAAGCTCAAATGTTGATCCCAGTAATGTCGACGAGATTGGTGATGTCGATGCTGTGGAGGAAGTGAGGCAAGCTTACGCGCCGCTAAAAGACGTAGACGTTCTGGATGTTTCACCTAAAGGCACTGAGCGGTGGATTCAGGAAGAGACGGCGTACAATGAAAGAACATCGCGAGTAGAAAATTTAATCATTGCACGACTGCGTGATCGACTTGCTACGGCTCAAAATGCCAATGAGAAGTTCCGAGTCTTCTCGAAGTTCAATGCTTTGCTTGTCCGCCCAAAGATTAGAAGCGCAATTGGAGAATACCAGACCAAGTTAATCGATAATGTAAAACAAGACATCGCCACTTTACATGAGCGATTCAAGCAGCAGTATGGCCATTCAGAAGCGCATGCAATGGCTCAGCTACGAGACCTCCCTCCCGTATCTGGTGCAATTATTTGGGCAAAACAGATTGAGCGTCAACTAGATGGATATATGCGAAAAGTTGAAGATGTTCTGGGAGAAGACTGGGACCTGCATTCTGAAGGACAGAAATTGCAAGCTGAAAGCAACATGTTTCGGAAGAAGCTTGATACTCGACCTGTTTTCCAAGCTTGGCTACACGATGTTCAACGACGAAATATCACGATATCTGGGCGATTATTCAACATTTCCCGAAATCGAGCAGCTGGAAATGTCCTGGAGCTTGCTGTCAACTTCGACTCCCAGATTATTGCACTCTTTAAGGAAGTTCGAAACCTTGTCTGGCTGAACTTCCAGATACCTCATGCAATCAATAGTGTATCTAAGGAGGCTAAACGTGTGTATCCCTTCGCAATCAGCTTAATGGAAAGTGTCAGGACACTACATCAAACTATTCGGTCGATTGCATCCATGACACAGGCAGCTATATTGCTGACTGGCTACCAGAGTGATGTACAGGCACTGATAATGAAGGGATTGCCATTACGCTGGGAATCTTTCATTCACTCTTACGAGCTCCATGTCAAACAGAGCATTGCGAATGGCTCTGTGGATCCGTCTGTTGCACCCACCCGCGGAGAAAGTAAACATGTTCAATTTGTTCGCGAATTCGCTGTGTCAGCTTCCTTGTTGCAGTCTAAATGTGCTACATTGATTTCTATCGACGAGTCTGTTCAGAAAATAGTTATTGAACTCAGATCTTGTCCGTATGATGGCGCAGCTTTTCGCCAGCGACTGGACCAGATTCAGATCGCAGTTGATAAGTTAAACTTGGAAAATTACACTAACCTTGGTTTCTGGGTCTCCAATCTCAACAACAAGATCGAATCTATTCTTCAAGATCGCCTGCGTCGAGCCATACGACATTGGATCCAGTCGTTCCAAGACGCGACAAATGAAAGCTCCCATAAACAATACCACGGAGATACTTTCGACACAGGAAGCGAAGAAATGGAAATGCATATTATTCAATTTCCCAAGCTTCTCCATGAAATTTCAATGCGCAACCAAGTCATGCATCTTGACCCTCCGTTGGAATTTGCGAGAGCCAATTGGATCTCACACTTTGATCAATGGGTTGGGATTCTTTGTAACTTGCAAAAAATCAAGTCTTCGAGATACCAGCTTTCTATTCATGCAGATAAATCGCTTCTTTCTGAAACAAACTTTTCTGCCCTTCCTCGACACTGTGCTGGTCAATTAAAGGAGGTATACTCTACGATAGAGGCCAGGGTCCAATCAATCTCAGGATATATTGAAAAATGGTTACAGTTTCAATCTCTGTGGGACTTGCAGCCCTCTCATGTCTATGGTGTACTTGGCGAGGACCTAACTCAATGGTTGCAACTGTTACAAGAGATCCGCAGGAGCCGTGCGACCTTCGATACATCCGACGTACGAAAGTCCTTTGGAAATATCACCGTCGACTACGAACAAGTTCAAACTAAAGTTAATGCTAAATATGACCAATGGCAACGCGAAATCTTACTCAAATTTGGTGGGAAGCTTGGAACTCGTATGCGGGAAGTATACGCAGAGCTGCAAGCCGCTCGAAGAGATCTTGAGGGACAATCTTTGGAAGCATCCTCGACTGCCCACGCCGTCTCTTTTATCACAATCGTTCAACAATGCAAACGGAAAGCTCGTGTTTGGGAAGTAGAAGTTGATCTGTTTCGACAGGGACAAGCTACTCTTGCCCGCCAGAGATATCAGTTTCCTAATGACTGGCTTCATATCGAGCAAGTTGATGGTGAATGGCTAGCTCTAAATGACATCTTAGAACGTAGAAGCAAAACTGTGCAAGATCAAACCGATGCCTTGCGAGCCAAGATCACCGCTGAAGACCAAGTTATCAACGATAAGATCGTTGAGATAGTTTCGCAGTGGAATGAGCAGAAACCGGTGTCTGGCTCCACACCGCCCGACGAGGCATCGAGAACCCTCGGATATTTCCAGTCCCGCCTTGAGGGCCTACGGTCTGAATCCGAAATGGTCTCTAAAGCGAAAGAAGCACTTGATCTACCAAGTTCGGCAGAAACTGTACTTGCTACTGTTCTTGAGGAGGTTCAAGATTTTATGGTTGTGTGGGCTGCCCTTTCGACAATCTGGAAGAGTCTAAATGACTTAAGGGACGTGCTCTGGAACAGCATCCAACCCCGCAAGCTTCGACAATCTCTTGACGGGCTCATCAGGATGACGAAAGAAATGCCCAGCCGGATGAGACAGTACGCTGCTTTTGAATATATTCAAAGCATTCTTCGTCAACTTCTCAAGACCAACCCCTTGCTTGCCGATATGAAATCTGAAGCACTACGTGAGCGCCATTGGCAGAAAATTTTCAAGGCTTTGAAACCAGGCAACAGGTTTTCTCTTATCTCCCTGACCCTCGGTGATGTCTGGGATTTAAATCTCGTAGCTAGTGAGGTTGTCATTCGTGATATCATCACGCAAGCTCAAGGGGAGATGGCTCTGGAAGAGTTTCTCAAGATGGTTCGCGAGACCTGGCAAAGCTATTCCTTGGACCTTGTCAATTATCAGAATAAGTGCCGTCTAATCAAAGGGTTCGATGATTTGTTTGCCAAGTGCAGCGAGAACTTGAACTCCCTCCAAGCAATGAGACACTCACCCTACTATAAAGAATTTGAAGAGGATGCCACGGCATGGGAGGACAAGTTGAATCGCGTCCATGTTCTTTTCGACGTTTGGATTGATGTCCAGCGACAGTGGGTCTACCTCGAAGGTGTCTTTACCGGCAATGCGGACATCAAACATTTGTTGCCATTAGAGTCGGGGCGTTTTCAAAACATAAACTCGGAGTTCTCTGCTGTTATGAAGAAAGTCTACAAATCACCATTTGTTCTGGATGTCCTGGCTATTAATGGTGTTCAAAAATCTTTGGAGAGACTGGCTGAACTTCTCAATAAAATTCAAAAGGCCTTGGGCGAATACCTTGAACGTGAACGAGTTTCTTTCCCACGTTTCTACTTTGTTGGTGATGAGGATCTGCTGGAGATTATTGGTAACAGTAATGACACACTTCGCGTTGCAAAACATTTCAAAAAGATGTTTGCAGGTTTATCAGGGCTGGTAATGGACGATGACGGGAGTATCGTTGGTCTTACCTCAAAGGAGGGTGAAGAAGTTAGGCTAAAGAAGGAAGTCTCACTTGCTAAGACCCCAAGGATCAATGACTGGCTTACTGCCCTCGAGACAAATATGAAATTGACACTAGCTGAACTTCTTGCGGAAGCGATCGAACAGTTTGAACCAATCTACTCAGCCTCTGAAGTAGACCGAACAGCTTTTAGTGAATACCTTGCTAACTACCCCGCGCAAATTGTTGTCCTTGGAAGCCAGGTTGTCTGGACCAGTGCTGTTCAGAAAGCTCTTGAGGATGGCGGCGCCGGCTTGCAGGTTCTATACGATGCTGGTGTCAGAATTCTCGACCTTCTGGCTGTTACCGTTCTTGGAGACCTCGATCCCATCATGCGTAAGAAGTGCGAGCACATGATTACCGAATTTGTCCACCAACGAGATGCAATCACGAAGCTGATTGAATCCAATGCTTCATCAGCGGCGCACTATCTTTGGTTATTACAGATGCGATATGTCTACCGTCCTGAAGGAGATTTCCTTCAACGGCTTCATGTTCATATGGCAAACGCAAAGTTGGACTATGGCTTCGAATATCTAGGTGTTGCTGAACGTCTTGTTCGCACTCCACTTACTGACCGGTGCTTCCTCACTCTCACTCAAGCTTTGTGCCAGAGGTTGGGCGGCTCCCCCTATGGTCCTGCCGGAACTGGCAAAACAGAATCCGTCAAAGCCCTAGGTCTGCAACTTGGCCGATTCACACTTGTGTTCTGTTGTGATGATACATTTGACTTTCAAGCAATGGGGAGAATTTTTCTCGGCATTTGTCAAGTGGGTGCTTGGGGATGTTTCGACGAGTTTAACCGTCTTGAAGAACGTATTCTTTCCGCTGTCTCACAACAAATTCAAAACATACAGATTGGTCTGAAGAATGCCGAAAATGAAGCTAAGTCTCAAATAGAGCTAGTTGGCCGTCGTCTTCGCGTCAACCCCAATACCGGAATCTTTATCACAATGAATCCTGGATATGCGGGACGATCAAATCTCCCAGATAATTTGAAGAAACTTTTCCGAAGTGTTGCGATGTCTAAACCTGACAAGGAGCTCATTGCCGAGGTAATGCTATTCTCTCAAGGTTTTAAACAAGCTAAAGTATTATCACGCCAAACGGTTCCATTTTTCGACCATTGCTCTGCCCGCCTAACGAAACAGGCACACTATGATTTTGGCCTTCGTGCTCTGAAGAGCGTACTTGTGAGCTCGGGTGGGCTTAAACGTCTTCGCCTTGCAAAATCTGATGGCAGCCTTGGCCCAGATGAGGTTGTCGAGCCTCAGATTATTGTGCAAAGCGTTCGAGAGACGATTGCACCTAAACTTATTCGTCAAGATGTTGAAACTATGCTGCAAATTCAAGCAGAAGACTTCCCGAGTGTCGAGTACGTTCCAGCTAACTTTGAAAAACTAGCAGAAGCGATTCGTGAAATCGCTGCTGGGAAAAATTTTGTTGCAACAGATACCTGGATTTCGAAAATTTTGCAGCTGTACCAAATTCAGAGTATACACCATGGGGTCATGATGGTTGGTAGGTCGGGGTCGGGGAAAAGCTCGGCCTGGAACGTACTCCTTCAGGCCTTACATAAAGTCGAGGGCGTTGAAGGCGTTTGCCATGTAATCGATTCGAAGGTTATGTCCAAAGAAGCCCTATATGGAAACCTCGACAACACAACTCGGGAATGGACAGATGGACTTTTTACTGGTATCTTGAGAAAAATCGTAGACAATCTGCGCGGTGAGGATTCCAAACGACACTGGATTGTCTTTGATGGCGACGTTGACCCAGAATGGGTTGAAAACTTGAACAGTGTTTTAGACGACAACAAGTTGCTAACGTTACCCAATGGGGAACGCTTGAATCTTCCTCCGAATGTTCGTATCATGTTCGAGGTCGAGACTTTGAAGTACGCCACCCTTGCTACGGTTAGTCGATGTGGTATGGTATGGTTCAATGATGATACGGTGACCCCCAGTATGATGGTGACAAACTATATCGAATCACTGAAGACTAGAACTTTTGAAGACCTCGACGATGATAGTGTTCCCGCCGGTCAGACCTCCTCCAAGACAGCTGACGTGCAGAAAACGCTTGCACAATTCTTAGAGCAGCTTTTGCAAGGGGGCGACCTTATTCTAAAAGCTCTAGAAGAAGCTACGAAGTATAATCACATCATGGAATACAGCGATATTCGGGCACTCAACACCCTTTTCAGTTTACTCAACAAGGCATGCCGTACTATCCTCGAATATAATGTTCAGCACATTGATTTCCCGTTGGATCCAGACCAGATAGATGCTTATCTGTCCAAAAAGCTGCTATTGGCCCTTGTTTGGTCGCTGACTGGTGATTGCCCGCTGGGGGAGAGGAGGTCTTTTGGTGAATTTGTTGCCTCACTTTCGATCACCGACACCCCCTTACTTAGTGACTCAACATCTCTCATCGATTTCGATGTTACGTTACCCAAAGGTGAATGGGCGACCTGGCAGTCCCAGGTGCCATCAGTAGAAGTCAACACCCATTCAGTTACGCAAACAGATGTTATCATACCGACGTTAGATACAATTCGGCATGAAGATGTCCTTTACTCATGGCTTGCAGAGCATAAACCCCTCCTGCTTTGTGGACCCCCTGGATCTGGCAAAACAATGACCTTGTTTTCTGCTCTTCGCAAGCTACCAAACATGGAGGTTGTTGGGCTTAACTTCTCTAGTGCAACGACGCCAGATTTACTGATAAAGACATTTGAGCAGTATTGTGAGTACAAGAAGACCTTGAATGGCGTGGTCATGTCTCCAAGTCAGATTGGACGCTGGCTGGTTATTTTCTGTGATGAGATCAATCTTCCAGCACCAGATCGATATGGAACACAACGAGCAATTTCTTTCCTTAGGCAGCTTGTTGAGCAAAATGGATTCTGGAGAACTTCAGATAAGACTTGGGTCACATTGGATCGCATTCAATTTGTTGGAGCCTGCAATCCTCCAACTGATGCTGGCAGAACCCCCCTTGGAGAGAGATTCCTTCGTCACGCACCCTTGATTATGGTTGACTATCCTGGAGAAGTGTCTTTGCTACAGATCTACGGCACGTTCAATGCTGCAGTACTTAAGATCATTCCCATGCTTCGTGGCTACTCTGAAGCCTTGACGAAAGCGATGGTACAATTCTATTTAGAATCCCAAGCCAGATTTACGCCTAAAATCCAACCTCACTATGTGTATTCTCCAAGAGAGCTCACGAGATGGGTACGGGGCGTATATGAAGCGATCAAGCCCCTTGAAACCCTGTCTGTCGAAGGGCTTGTGAGAATATGGGCCCATGAAGCCTTGCGTTTGTTCCAAGACCGTCTTGTGGATGAGGAGGAGAGGCAGTGGACAGCGGATACAGTGAAACGCATCGCCTTAGACCACTTCCCAACAATTGACGAACAGCAGGCATTGAAGGGACCTATTCTCTTCTCTAACTGGCTCTCAAAACACTATATTCCGGTCGACCAGGAACAGTTACGTGACTTCGTGAAGGCAAGACTGAAGACCTTTTGCGAAGAAGAGGTTGATGTACCGCTTGTGCTATTTAATGATGTCTTAGAACATGCACTACGTATTGACCGAGTGTTCCGACAACCCCAGGGTCATCTCATTCTTATTGGTGTGAGTGGTAGCGGCAAAACCACGTTATCGCGTTTTGTTGCTTGGATGAATGGCTTGAAAGTCTTCCAAATTAAAGTTCATGGCAAGTATTCTGCCGAGGATTTCGATGAAGATCTTCGAAGTGTGCTTCGCAGAGCAGGCTGCAAGGGAGAGAAGATTTGTTTCATCATGGACGAATCTAACGTTCTAGACTCAGGGTTCTTAGAACGAATGAATACACTCCTTGCTAATGCTGAAGTACCGGGTCTCTTTGAGGGCGATGAGTTTGCCGCATTGATGACTGCATGTAAAGAGGGGGCACAGCGGCAGGGACTTCTGCTTGATTCTCAAGAAGAACTTTACAAATGGTTCACGCAGCAAATCGTCAAGAATCTTCATGTAGTATTTACTATGAACCCTCCCGAAGACGGTCTCTCTTCGAAAGCTGCTACCAGTCCGGCATTGTTTAACCGCTGCGTACTTAACTGGCTAGGTGACTGGTCGGACCAAGCGTTGTTCCAAGTTGGGTATGAACTGACACAGTCCGTTGACCTTGACAAATCAAACTTCATTGCACCGGATAGCATCCTAGTGGCATACCGAGGTCTTTCCCTCCCGGCTTCTCATCGCGATACCGTGATCAACTCAATGGTCTACATCCACTATTCCCTGCAGAGATTTAACCTGCGCCTTCAGAAACAACAAGGCAAAACGACATTCCTAACACCTCGGCACTATCTCGATTTTGTTGCGCAGTATGTTAGATTGTTCAATGAAAAACGAGAGGACCTGGAGGAGCAGCAGCGTCATCTTAACGTAGGCTTAGAAAAGCTCCGAGAAACTGTCGATAAAGTTAGAGATTTGAGGGCAAGTCTGGCTCAAAAGAAGACCCAGCTCGAAAAGAAAGACGCCGAGGCCAACGAGAAGTTACAGCGAATGGTAGCCGATCAGCGCGAGGCTGAACAGCGCAAAGCAGCTTCTCTTGAAATCCAAGCAGCACTTGAAAAGCAGGAACAAGAAGTTGCCAAACGAAAAGAAATTGTTCTCAACGATCTGGCAAGAGCGGAACCGGCTGTCATTGAAGCTAAAAAGAGTGTCAGCAACATCAAAAGACAGCACCTTACTGAAGTTCGCTCCATGGGTAACCCGCCGGCTGGCGTACGTCTTGCCCTGGAATCCGTCTGCACTCTTCTTGGGCACAAGGTGGACAGCTGGAAGACTATACAAGGGATTATTCGCAGAGACGATTTTATTGCCAGTATCGTCAACTATGACAACGAAAGACAAATGACTCGCGGACTTAGAAACAAGATGCAGAATGAATACTTGTCGAAAGATGTATTCACTTTTGAAAGGGTCAATCATGCCAGTAAAGCCTGTGGGCCCTTGGTACAATGGGTCGAAGCACAAGTCAATTACTCAGAAATTTTGGATCGGGTTGGCCCACTTCGAGAGGAAGTCGGCGATTTAGAAGACCAGGCCCTGCAAACCAAAGCGGAGGCGCAGGCTATTGAGAATACCATCAACAACCTTGAAAGCAGCATTGCAACCTACAAGACGGAATATGCTGCCCTCATCAGTGAGACTCAGGCGATCAAAACGGAGATGTCGAGAGTCGAATTCAAGGTGGACAGAAGCGTCCGATTACTGGATAGTTTGTCTTCAGAACGCTCTCGCTGGGAGGAGGGAAGCAAGTCTTTCGAGACGCAAATATCTACTCTGGTTGGAGATGTTCTGATTGCCGCTGCTTTCCTTGCGTATGGGGGATTGTATGACCAACAGTTCCGCAAAGCGATGATTGACGACTGGGTACACCAGCTCGCGCAAGCGGGCATCGATTTCAAGCCCCATAATCCTATCACAGAGTATCTCTCCAACGCAGATGAAAGGCTGTCCTGGCAGGAAAACTCTCTTCCCGTTGATGACCTATGCACAGAGAACGCTATCATCCTCAAACGCTTCAATAGGTACCCCCTTATTGTTGACCCATCTGGCCGGGTGACGGAGTTTTTGCAGAAGGAAAGCAAAGATCGAAAACTCACGGTGACGAGCTTCCTCGACGACTCGTTTATTAAGCAGCTCGAGAGTGCCTTGCGGTTCGGGAATCCGATCCTTATCCAGGATGCGGAACATTTGGACCCGATCCTCAACCACGTCCTCAACAAAGAATACCAAAAGACGGGTGGCCGTGTGCTTATCCAGCTTGGCAGACAGGAAATCGACTTTTCACCAGCATTCAAACTCTTCCTGTCGACCAGAGACCCTTCTGCCTGTTTCCCGCCGGATGTCTGCAGCAGAACCACATTTGTCAATTTCACAGTCACGCAAAGCAGTCTGCAGACCCAGTCTCTCAATAAAGTGCTTAAAGTGGAGCGGCCCGACGTGGATGAGCGAAGGACTAACCTTATCAAACTACAAGGCGAATTTAAGATTCACCTCCGTCAATTAGAGAAACGCCTGCTTCGCGCGCTTAACGAGTCCCGTGGGAACATCCTTGATGATGACAATGTTATCGAAACACTTGAGACCCTGAAGAAGGAAGCAGCAGAAATCTCGAACAAGATGCATGAGACAGAGGGTGTGATGACGGAGGTGGAGAGCATTACGCAGCAGTACAATATCGTTGCGCGATCCTGCAGCTCCGTTTTCGCTGTTCTCGAACAACTACACCACCTCAACCATTTTTACCAGTTTTCCCTCCAATACTTTGTGGACATTTTCAACGATGTGCTCCATAATAATCAGCGTCTAGCGCAGGAAAAAGACCATGCAGCCAGAGTTGATATTATCCTACGTGATCTTTTCATTGCTACGTTCCAGCGAACTTCCCTTGGTTTACTGCAGAAAGATCGGATTACGCTTGCTATGCTTCTTGCGCAGGCTTCTCCGTACCAGATGGACCGGACTATCATTGACGACATCCTAGATTCGAACGTCAAAGAGGGCGATGTGTCCACCAACCCGGAACTCAAGGACGACATCATGGCCAAGGTTGCTCAGATGGCTCTATTCAAAGACGTCATATCCAATGTCGAGACACAGAGCTGGGAGCAATTCTTCTCGGAGGAGCTGGCGGAAGACTACGTTCCTGCAGCGTGGAAGGACGGCACCGAAGCAATCGATCAGCAACTTCGGTCGCTTCTGCTGGTAAAACTGTTCCGAACGGACCGGTTTGTGCCAGCGGCCGAAAAATTCGTCGGCACAGTGTTCGGACGCAGCTTGTTTGAAGGCAGCGGAGACCTGAAGGAAGTGGTGGAGCAAGTGACGGCCACGACGCCGATTGCGCTCAGCTCGAGCCCTGGGTTCGACGCCAGCTACAAGGTCGACGGGCTGGTGGAGCGGATGCATGCAACGTGCGCGAACATCGCGATGGGGTCCAACGAAGGGCTGGAGAGCGCGGACAAGGCGATCGGGCACGCGGCGTCGAGTGGCAACTGGGTGCTGGTGAAGAACGTGCATCTCGCGCCGGCGTGGCTGCAGAGCCTGGAGAAGCGGCTGGACTCGCTCAAGCCGCACGCGGACTTCCGGCTGTTCCTGTCGATGGAGTCGAGCCCCCGGATCCCGGTCAACCTGATCCGGGCGTCGCGGGTGCTGATGTACGAGCAGCCGGCGGGCATCCGCGCCAACATGAAGGACTCGCTCTCGTCGCTGAGCCAGCGGGCCAGCCAGCCGCCGGTGGAAAAGGCGCGGATCTACCTGCTGCTTTCGTTCCTGCATGCGGTGGTGCAAGAGCGGTTGCGATACGCGCCGAGCCTGGGGTGGAAAGGGTTCTGGGAGTTCAACGACAGCGATGTAAGTGTCAACTACCTTACGGCGAGACTGGTAGTCCGATAAGCTAACATTTGCAACAAAAACAGTACGAGTGCTGCGCGTTCATCATCGACGCGTGGGTGGGCGCGGTGGCGCAAGGGCGGTCGAACGTGGCGCCGCAGAAGCTGCCGTGGGAGCTGCTGCGCACACTGATCACGGAGACGTACGGCGGCAAGATCGACGACGCGGCGGACTTCGCGGCGCTGGGCCAGCTGGTGCAGCAGGTGGTGCGGGCGGCGGCATTCGAGCACGACCACGACGGGCTGGTGGCGGGCGTGGACGACGCGGCGCTGCGGCTGCCGGCGGCCACGGGCGTGCGCGAGTTCCTGGCGTGGGTGCAGCGGCTGCCGGAGCGCGAGCCGCCCACGTACCTGGGGCTGCCGGGCAACGCCGAGAAGCTGCTGCTGACGGGCCACGGGCGGCGGCTGATGGCCGACGTGGCGCGCATCTCGACGCTGCTGGACGAGGGCGAGCAGCTGCTGGTGGACGCGGCGGCGATGTAGACGGTGTTTTCGGGCGAAACGTTTCCGGAGAGAGGATTTCTCTTGTGTGTTTGTTTTGGACGGCGGATCGGCGACAATGTTATTTCGCAGCGGCGGTTGTTGAGCCGATCGAATGTTTTGCTCGTCTCGTCGACGGCGTTGGGATGATGTTTCGTGTGTTTTTTTCAATGCGGTCCGGATACCCTGGCATTCCTTTGTTTTTTCCTTTTGTCTGTGTATCCTGAAGACTATTTATTCCTTTTCTCGATTACTTTCTCGAAATGTTGTTTATAGATCGCCAACTAGACCTCTTCTTCCCGTTCATCTATCCGACACCATCATCATCATCATCATATAAACAACGCCGCTTCTCGTCCCCGCCGGCTCCAGACACACTCGCCCCCTTCTCCCCTGTCTGACCCTCCAACATGCTCCAAGCAAGACAGGCTGAAACCTCCCTGGCCCCGCCAAGGCCGCCCGGGACAGGGATTTTCCCTCCGCGAGCTGGAGCTTGCCGGCCGTTGGATTGGGGGCGATCGGCTTGGCGGCGTTTGGGGCTTTGTTTCAGCTGCTGCGTGGTGGGAAGAGCGGGCGTTGAAGGCCAGCGACTGGCTGGCGGGCGAGCGAGAACAAAAAGGCGGGCGGCGCGCGAGTGAGGGGAAGACGGGCGGTGGCTTGGCGGGGCGGGAGGGTTTTTTTTTTTTTTATTTTATTTTATTATTCTTTTATCGTCTTTTTTTTTCTGTTTCTCTTTTTTATTTATTTATTTATTTACTATCCTGCTTTTTGATATCGGGCGGCATCGCAGACCCACGAGGTGTTGGGTGGGCGTCGAGAGCTACAGAGAACATCACTACAAGTAGTTATATTACAACTACTCAACTAATTAGCCAACTGCACTCGCATGCGCTGACCGCCCGTGCGCGGCCATGAAGCGCCCGGCAAAGCCCAAGGAGCTGCGTCTGCCGGCAGCGCCGCTGCTACCGAGCGGCGACCAGATTCCCGGCCTGCGCATCCCGATCAGTGAGTGCAGTATAGCTGTTAAATAACTACATGGGCTGGATCGCTGACGATACTCCAGCCTTCCTGTCGTCGCTGCGCGCCAACCTGCAGATGTCGGCGTCGTACCCCGAGGAGCTGTACAGCCCGCTGCCCACCACCACCACCATCACCACATCAACCACCACCACCACAACGCTCGACAGCACGTCTACTCCGCCACTCCGGCCACCCCACACCACTCCCCCATCCACCGGCGAAAAGAACACCCTGACTATACCCTCCTCCTCCTCCCCAGCTATTACCATCGGCCCCGCAGTCACCGACGACGACACCGCGGCGGCGCTGGCGCTCATCGCCGCCAGCGTGCGCGAGCAGCGACAACTCGCGGTGCGCGCAATCACGACCCACCCAGGCGTGCTCGCGGTGCTGGTGCTGCTGTGCCTGGCCAGCGTGAAGCGACTGCTGAGCACGGGCGGCGCGACGGGCGACGCAGCGCTGCTCCTGGCCGCCGCGTGGGTGGGCGGCGGCGCGCTGGCGCTGGTGGCGGTGCGGTGGCGGCTACGCGGCTACGACGGCGCGGCTGCGCGCGTGGACGACGACGGCGCGGCGTGGCTGGCGGCGCGCAGCGTGCACGGGCTGGCGGCAGCAGCAGCAGCGGTGCGCGGTGGCCGCGGCGACGAGGTGGTGGTGGCACGTGGTGCCGGCGGCGCGGTGGTGGGCGCGGTGGTGCTGCGCGTGGCCAAGGCCGGGCCGGACGCTGCGGCGGCGGGCATGCTGGCGGGCGCGGGCGCGGGCATGGGCGCGGGGCGGCAGGCCCGGCGGCGCAAGAGCTCGGCGCGCTGGACGGGCTTCGTGCGCGCGTGGGCGGTGGCTGCTCCGCATCGCCGCGCCGGCGTGGGCACGCGCCTGCTCGAGACCGTGGCTGCCAACTGCCGCCTGCGCGCGCTGGACGGGCCCGTGGCCGCCGCCGACCACGCCCACGCCGCGCGCGTGCTGCCCGCCGTGTTCAACGCCGTCTTCGACCGCCGCGACCGCTGGGCCCGCGCGTTCCTCGAGCAGGTCGTCGCCGTCGAGCGGGGGTTATAGTAATCATTACTCTTGTTCTCTATCTGTCTTTCGATCTCTATCATGTATATACCCCGGATTAGCGATGCATTCTGAATCAGCCATAGCCGACTATTCCCGTCTTTTACTTCCAGACGAGCAGATATGAGAGTTACTCCGCACGGAGTACTCCGTAGCCAACTCCCTAGCGGTGGACGGACTGACTGACTGGCCCGCCCGCGACGACGCCCGCCGCGTCAGACGGGCCCGCGTGAGTAGCTACTAGTTAGTCTGTCTGTCCGCCTTGTGCGTCGCTGACACCCGCGCCGTTTCAGCCCACCGCGGCGCCAAGCGGTCCGCTGCGAAGATTATGACGAACAAGCTTTGCCGCAAGACACCCAGACCACCACCACCATGTCTGCCCAGACGAGCACGCGGAGTACGGAGTAGTTTACGGGTTATAGTTGTGGGTGGCTCTACGAAGAAACAACGGAACGGTGTGCAAGTTGATAGACCTTCAATCCTGTCTGATGTATGCAATACACCTCTCTGTACACTCTCACCGATTAGACAGTAGTTAAGCCCGCCAGACACCAATTTCTCTCCCAACAAGACCCATCGAACCGCCCACCGGCAAGCAATCAGTTGAACACACTCCCGAATCCGTACACGGGACTTCCAAGCTGCACGTTGAAGCAGCGATGTCAGAACCTGTGATATCTGCGGAACAGTGGAACAGACCGTTTCTTACCCGCTGCAGAGCGTAGACCACCTTGTTCGCACCCCACCAGTCAGCCGCCTGACCGCAACACACCTCTATCTCCTCGGGTCGGCCTTACCTCACGAGACGTAATAACCTACACACACACCCCCCGCCCCCAGACGTCAGCCCCGCTCACCATTTGGTTATCCAAGAACCAACAAACCAACCTTCCTCTCCTTGCGATGCGTATCACTCGACTCCAGCACCTCCACAACCTGCCCGAGGATCTTGAACCCGCGACCTCTTTAGCCCTCTCACACCACCACCAGGGAAGGGGTCATATTCCAAACCCACCAGCTTGAGCCGCTCGTGGATCACCCCGCGGATCTTCTTGTAGATGCCGCCGCTGATGCGCTTGACGCCGGCGCGCCGCGCAAGCCGTCTGCGTCGAGAGCCGGTCAGTGGCAGGGAATTTAAGAGGTTGGAGTAGTTATACCGAATGGCAGGTTTGGCTGGAGCGGCCCCACGCGGTGAGTATTTATTTGGTCGGAAGAGAGGCAGGCAGCAAGGGTGACTGACTGATTCCCAAGATGTTATCTCGGTCGAGTTTGCGGCTATTGGAATGGCGTTTTCGTAAGTGTCTGCAGGCTGCGTGGTAGAGAAGAGCCGTCGTGGCGATGCGGTGAATGAAGCCGAGAGGCATGCAACTTACTGTCGTCGTTGGGGCACATGTGAGCCCACTCCTTGACGCAGGGGCTTGGTGTGGAATGGAATGGCCGTCGCGAGATCTCGCTTTGCGATACGACTCATGATTGTGCTTGAAGTCGAGAAGTACGGATGCTTGGGGCTGTAGATGGAAAACGGGGATGAAGGTTGGAAGAAGAGAAGAAGAAGAAGAAGAAGAAGAAGAAGAAGAAGAAGAAGAAGAAGAAGAAGAAGAAGAAGAGAAAAAGGGACTGGAACAGTCTGCACATGGTATCTATTATGTTCTTCATGAATGGCCTTGTGTTATTCATATGCACATTTCAAGTCCTGTGTGTTATTCTCAAGCGCCAGCAGCCAAGCAATCAATATCTCAATCACCGCAGCAAGATCCCGCTCGTCAGATCATGGAAGATTACATCTTTCTTTTCCCCTGGAAAGATTTTAAAAAAATGTTTCTAATACCGTGGAAAATCATTGCCCGTGAGGCCATGCCCCCAAAACTTCAACTCCAACGCCGATCCAATGGGTGACAATAAGCAGCGCGCGCGAGCGGGCAGCCTTTGTCTCTAGGATATAAACGTCGCTTCGAGGTAGAGAGTGCCTTCTTCGACAATCTCCTCGTCTCCGATCTTAATATTCAAGTGTACCTTCTCCTGAGGGGAAAACTGTTGTTCCTTGACGTTAGTAATCTAGCCCTTTCTACTGCGGACTGCATTGCTCTGACCTGGTAGATATAAGGCTTCGTGCCCGCCACACTGCCGACGATCGACTTGATAATGCCCGGCACTTCGGCCATGACATCTATCCTGTCGAGCCGAGGCCCAAGGGAGCTCTCCAGCAGCGCGCTGAACTCCTTGCCATCCCGCGTCGTGCCGGCCCACGTGAACTTGATGTGGCTGGGCTCGGGCCAGTCGTTGTCGGAGTCGTGCGTGGACTTCTCATGCGACGCCGTGTTGGACGTCCCCGCGTAGATGATTTCTCCGTCCTTGACGACGGCGCCGACGTTCACGACCGTCGATCCGTACGACGGCGGGGTGGTATACTCCATGATCATGGCGGAGTACTTCGCGCTCTGGAAGTTGGCAAAGTTCCATCGCGTCGCTAGACCCTAAATCAGTATTCCCGTATGGACGTAAAAAAAGCGAGCAGGCGGTGGAGCCACATACCCAAGTGATGTGGTTTCATTCCCTGCAACGCATGCACGAAGAAACCTCTTCCAGCAAAGTCAATTTCGCCATCAGGCGTTATAATTGACCCTTCAACCTTGCACTGAGGCCAAAATGCATGGCGCATGCTACCCCACGGTCGCTCGGGGTCGGTGCCGAAGTTGGAAGTACCATTCTTCCCCGCAAAAAAACCTGGAGACGCCCTGGTCACCGTAAGGTTGATCAGGCTTTTCTCGTTCAAAGCAGATTTAATGGTATATGCCGTCCCTTCTTCGTTTAGAGTTACTGCAATGTTGTCCCCGCCAAACGAAAGCATGTCCTCGTCGAACAGATAGTTCTCAACCGGGTCCGTGTGCCAAAGGTGGGGCTTCTCCTCATCAGTGGAGTAAATTTTCGTGTTGAATTGGCATGTCGTGTGAAGACCACTGCAGAGCAAACGCACCATTCAGCACAAAACTTGGAACGGGGGGGAGGGGGAGGGGGCCTGCGGGACAACGGCTGAAGATGGCTCACGCGACATTGCTGTAGATGACCTGAACCATCGCGATGTGGCCCTTGTCAGACAAAAAGTAGAAAGTCTGGGTCTCCACGCAGGTAGATTGCATGGCCTTCCATTTCAGATCATCCTTTGTTAGCACCGTGTACGGGGTTGTTTGTTCCGCAACAGATTGGATCGCAGCGGGTCCATAGATGGGCTCTTGGGTGCCGGCGACGCTGGCCAACCTACAGTGCCCATGATGACATAGTGGTTAGTTGCCGAGACAAAAGCTGGCGGAGGAACTCCTGGAGTGGGACTGCACGCACGTAGATTTCAGCCAGTTCATCGCTGCAGGGTTGAGGGGCGCCGTAGGATTCTGAAGGGCGTACGGAATAACAGGGCGTGGTAACAAGGGCGTCGGGCTGCGAGTTCCTCTGCGGGCGTTCCCCGTCCTAAAAGTCGGCAGGGCGGTGATTGCTCACGCCCGGATCAAACTTGCTCCGGCCAAGAGCCGTTAGCCTTGCCGAGTCCCGGCGGGGAGTTCAACCTGGTACTCGTACTTAACATAACAGAACAAGGGCTATAGTATGCTGAATTCAAGGCTTGAGGTCTCTGATAGGTGAATATCGGTTGCTTTTTAAAATGTTTTCTTAGACACTTTTATGACCTTTTATGGTACTTCTACTCTTGATACCACATGAGATACTTCGGCTGATATAAGCAATGACTAAGCATAACAAGGTTGGCCAATAAAAGCATGTAATCTTGGTTATCTTCCAAATATAGTAGCTAGGGCAGGGGCTTGAATTTCCCACGTGACAGGTCTCTGAAAATCGCATTGCCCAAGCTGTCCGCAATATCGCAGAAAGAATAAAAGCCGGTTTATCCGGGATATACCACCACAATGGCAGCTCGAAAACTTGCACCAAAAGATCAGATTGTTAAGCTGATAGTGGGGGCCGGCCAGGCCAGTCCCAGCCCTCCCGTCGGCCCAGCGCTTGGAAGCAAAGGTGTGAAGAGCATGGATTTCTGCAAAGTAAGGGTTTCTGCAGCCTACCTTTCTTTCCAATATACTCACTGACAGAATCATCATAAATAGGAATTCAATGCGCGCACCGCTCATATCAACACAGGCGTTCCTATTCCCGCTCGAGTGACGGTGCGCCCCGATCGATCGTTTACCTTCGAACTGCGAACGCCAACTACCTCGTGGCTTCTGTTACAGGCGGCAAAAGTGAATGAGCGAGATGGCCGGTTACGAGGGGGAGGAAAAGCAGGCCATGAAACCATCGGTTCGGTTTCTTTAAAGCACGTCTACGAGATCGCGAAAATAAAACAGACGGAGACAAGATTATCTGGCTTGAGCATGGAGGGGCTGTGTAAAAGCGTGATTGCGCAGGCAAAGTCAATTGGCCTCGGCGTTGTACCGTGAGAGCGATACAACGTTTATTTACCAAAGCCGGGCCGATGCCCGATAGCTACCTGGGATACTGCATGGCGTTTAGGGGTGCTCTTGCGTCCGGTTTCTTTTTTTGGGTCAGAGCTGTATTATATGCGCAGTTTCGCGTGGCATTTAGAGGTGTACCAATACTGAACTCCCGAACACGACGTTCTAGACACTGTTCTCTCCTTATCATCCTGCGTGGCCTTCCGAGTTGTCGAAGGTCGTCAACGCCGGTCCGATTCGGGAAGGGTTCTAGAACCCGGCTTAGTCAGCGCTGGACGCTTGTTCACGTGAATCCGTCTCTGCACGTGACTCGCTCGCCGCGCAGGCCGGTACCGCCACGGTAAGATTACCGCGCATCAGCCGCCGGAATGTAACTTTGCGGGCGGCGGCAGCTAATTGCGGCACGCTGAGTGGCCGACAGGCGCAAACCAAGCAAACACAGCGTGTATCGGGTCTGTTTCCGAGACCACATTATGTCATAAGCTGAGATTTTCCGCCGAGGAAGCAAAAGAATCTCGACTCTGTCCACTGTGTTGCTGCATGAGACAGTGATTTCTGGCTCACAATCGGGCCTGCAGCTCTAGACCTTCGCTGATCTGCCGCCTGCTGGCTGCGTCCTCATCTGAGCGCTCTTTAAGCCGCCACGTTCCCAGCGACCTCCCCCCCACTCCCCGCCAACCCGTCATTTGTGGTCAGACTGATCGCAACCTGCGTCCCGCCAGATCATCTTTTTTTCTTCCCTGTGTGCTGCCTTGCCCGGTTTTCCTCTGTGACGCTGGCATTGCTGCCTCGATCGTCGCAACCGCTACTAGCGAATACAAGATCGATAAATTCGCTCTGCCGCCACCGACACGCACGCTGCGCGCATACACTGCGACGTAGCTGAGAGCCGCCGTGATCCAAGACTCAGCATCTGTGCCGCGGGATGTGTGAGCCAGGAGACGTTCCAGGAACATCGCCTCCAGGGAGATATAACAAAGGTCTGTACCTGGCCATACTTCCCTTCCTCTCTTTTTTTTTTTTTTAATTTTATGTTCTTTTTTTGCCCCTCTTCGGAACTGTACTTTGTACTGATTTTTTGACCAAAGATGCCGGTGACGACTCCGGATCCTCAGCTCCCAACGCCGGCCATGGCCAATGCCGGCGATTTGTCACGTTCGACCGCTGAGCCACCTACCGTGCGCTTTGCTTCCCAAACCCAAGAAATCGACCCTCAGGACAGTATTTATACGTCGACCGCTTTCCCCGGCCAGAAAATGCCCCCCAATCAAGAATCCCGCCCGCCCATACTCCAGGAACCTCAGGAAGAATTGCAGGATCTCGCGATCAAGCTAGAGAAGTCAAGGTTTCAGGAGACTAGAATGCAGCATTTTGCTTTTGAGCCTGTTTCCCTGCCGCCGACTAGGGTACGTGAACTTTCTATACTCTCGCTTGGCGGGCATCTCCCAAGATGTTTATCATAGCCGCGCCTTCCAAGGCGAAGCTTGGCTGTGCTAACAAGATACGGCAGGCGCCATCGAGAGATTCCATCAGGCGCAACTTTCGAGACGGGCCTTCACCGCCTCCGTCGGGATCGCATTCCCCTGTTCTAGGCGCCCATGATGCGGATAGGACGAGAGAAAAGATGGTTCGCGGCATCCTGCACCAACCTGAGATGACGCCCCAGTCATCGCTTTCCAACGAAGCTTCAAGTAAAAGCGATGCTTCCAGATCGCCCGCCGCGCACGGCTCAAGACCCTCCTCTTCGTCGGGCCCAGTATCAACAAAGCCGTCGTCTACGTCCGACGGCAACGCGAGACCGAAAGAATCTCACCGCAGACCACGGTTTTTTCTTGGACCTCCCGAAGACAGCCCTCCTCAGTCGCCTCGATACGAGATCGGGTCGTCAGCTGTTGGCTCGGCTGCTGCCACTCCGTTTGGAGACCAAAATGACCCGTATTCCCGGAGCAAAATGCCGCCCCCGCAAACGAATCTTTCTCAGCTGGACCAAAGATTCATTTTCGGCGGGCTTGATTCAAAGCGTCGACCAATTAAACCTCATCCCGGCCATGCCATATTACCTGTCTCGGACAAGTTACACGATAAAAAGTTGTTCGGGAAAAAAGACGCCCGACAGGAAGTTGATGGCTATCTGGAGAAACCTAAACCACATGGCTCAATGTCAGAGCTGAAGCGATTTTTCCGAATGGGTGCCAAACAAAAACGTGCCGAGTCGCCTGCCTCAATTCACAAGAAAAGCTCTTCGAGATCTTCAAGCAAGGCTGACCCATTCAGATCCCACGGCCCTAGCGTTCCCTTCGCTGATGACCATGGACTTCAGTCCAAATATGGAAAGCTGGGTAGGGTTCTAGGATCTGGTGCTGGGGGGTCAGTGCGGTTGCTTAAGAGAAACAGTGACGGTGTAACCTTTGCCGTGAAACAATTCCGAGAGCGCTACCAATGGGAATCAGAGAAAGACTACGCGAAGAAAGTGACGGCTGAGTTTTGTATTGGCTCCACTCTACACCATGGAAACATTATCGAGACCCTCGATATTCTTCACGAGAATAGCCGCTGGTACGAAGTCATGGAATTCGCCCCTTACGACTTGTTTGCCTGTGTGATGACTGGTAAAATGACAAGAGAAGAGATTGCATGTTCCTTCTTGCAGATTGTCAACGGCGTGACTTATCTTCACAGCATGGGACTCGCCCATCGGGATCTCAAACTCGACAATGTCGTGGTCAACGATCGCGGAATAATGAAGCTGATTGATTTCGGCAGTGCGTTCGTATTTAGGTATCCTTTTGAGAATAACATCGTCCTTGCTTCGGGTACGTATACAGTCTTTCGGCTTGCACGATTGGTTTTGTCTGACTTTGTTTTTTCTAGGAGTTGTTGGTTCAGACCCCTACTTGGCCCCGGAGGTTTACAAGGAAAAGGGATACGACGCTCGTGCAACAGACATTTGGTCTCTCGCGATAATTTTTTGCTGCATGTCCCTGGGCCGATTCCCGTGGAAACAGCCCCGTACCACTGATACTTCTTTCAACCTTTTTGTTTCTCCCCCTTCGCCGGGGACGCCATTCTCTGACCCTGCGCCACGAGAGAGCGCCAACTCACAACCTACGTCTACAGCAGATTCCTCTCATGAAGCAGACCGTGGACGCTCACAGACATCTCGATATTCCCAAGGCAACGGGGCGTCTTCGAACCCCAACCCTACGCTTAAAACCCCACAAAATTGTGAAAACATTCCTCCGAACCATACCCCAGCTCTATCCGAGCAACCCACTGCGGCCGTTAAGTCCACGCTACCAACATCTACCAACCAGGCACAATCATCTGCTGGCGCTGGCTCCGGCTCTGCCAAACGGCACGAAGTTATCAAAGGCCCCTGGAGGCTCCTGCGACTGCTACCTCGAGAGTCCCGACAAATAATCAGTCGTATGCTAAAGGTTAACCCGCGCGAGAGAGCTACTCTCGAAGAAGTTCTTTCGGACGACTGGGTTCGTACCCGCGAGGTTTGCAGGCAGGAAGAGTCTGGTCAAGTTATTAATGCGCCTAACCATACACATGTTCTGGAGCCACCCTCTGGAACCCCGCCTCCAGCCAAAAATAACAATAAAAAGTGATTTTCAAGTTTTTGTTTTTCTAGGGGCGTTACTATATGAAAATTCATCCTCTTTTTTTTTTCTTGGAAGTTATGTACATACTAGATATAGGCTGATGGGCGACTTTGCGGCGTTTCCTGGGACGAAGTAGGTCCAGTTGTGTTAAATGCTTTTGTTCTGGTTCTACGGTTTGGAGTGCTTTTTTTTATTTGTGAATAAGGAAAACAAGAGAACAGTACATGCATACGCCATAGTTATAAATAATACAACTTCTTTGAACCCACTCGCAAATAGTGTGGCCCTGAATATGCGTGTCTATGCTCTTTGCACAGAGTACAGGAGGAAAAGATCTTGATTCAAATTTCTTACATAGACGTCGGATGTAGTAGCTGCTGGATCGCTCAAAACTCTAAAAAAGAGCCCAAATAATTAAAAAATTATGAATATATGCTAAATCTCCAATGATTTTATTGGCATCCAAAGACATATTATGGCCACCCCTATTATAATAATAGATCTTTTGAAGACGCATTTTGAGATGGGGTCGCTGGTGTAGATGGTGCAGTATTTGCATTCATTCCATGGCCAGTCTTATTTCCTAGAAGTGATACATCTGGATTATTAGCACTCGCCTTGGGTGTATCAACATCAAGATCAGTTTGCTGGTACTGAGCATCCGAATTCGAACCATTGGCGATTATCTTGCCACGAGCCGGTGAGCCAGCTGAATCTCCATTGGGATGCGAGATCGTTCGCTTTCCATTCGATTTATAGTAAAGCATCATATCACTGCCTGTTCGCCAAATATGTGTGCGCATTGTCAATAACGTCATGTCAGGTGGTATCCGCTATATAATAATATTAGAATTGAGAGCAGCTCGGCACAGCAGGGAGGTGGCACACAGTATTCTGGCAGTACAACTCAAGGTATTCTTCCGGTTTCATAGAATTAGAATCCGGATCGTCAGCGGAGTAGAGAGGGTCTATACGTTCGGCAACGTATGCAAGGATTTTCTTTGCACGAAGCATTCGGTTGGCACTTAAACGGGAATTATTGTTCGAGGTTCTGTAAATGTTGCTAATCAGCTATTTTCATTTCCTGATAGGGCAACGTCTTTCTTCGTTTGTCATTTTTTTGAAACGAAGGGGGGTGGAGAGAAGCAGGTGAGAAACAACGGCACCAGGAAGTAAAGAAGAAATCAGAAATATCTTACGAATCGACAGCTTCCGGTAAAAGGCCTTCGTATGGCTTAACCGAGAAAGTGATCTTGACAATATCGGTTTCCACCTGATTCTATGAGGTTGTTAGCAAAATAGAGGCATAGTCCTAATCTTTTGTGATATGTGTAATTACCTGCAAAAGGAGGCGTGCAAGCCATGATGGGGCGATTTTCCCTAATTGATCTGCATTTTGCCCAACAGTGCCTACAGTCCCACGGTAGACGTCGAGAGCAATGGCAGTACTGGGCCCATCTTCCTGAATACTGATAGCTGTGGTTGCTGGAAGGGAAAGTGTTGGAGTCTCATTTTCAGGGCTAGGCGTGATCCGTGATTTGGGTTCTTCTTCAGTCTGTTCTACTAAATCACCATCGTATTTTGCCCGAAGCTCATTTATAGCACCCTGAAAAGTGTCGTCTGGCACTTTTTCTTTTTCTTTTTCTACTACAGGTTCCGGCTCTTCATGTTTCTCGTCTACATTCCGCTTGGTTTCTGTCGATGTTCGCCCTGCTTTCCTGGGGAAAGTCATGAACTTCTTGCCAAAAAGCGACCCACCACGCTTTGCCTTCTCCTCTTTTGCTGGTTCTGGTGGAACAGGCCGAGGAAACCCGGGCGTCGGGTTTTCCTCGGTGGAGAGTCGAGTTCTCGTGTTAAGATCGGATGAGCCCGCGGATCGTCGACTTGGACTAGAGAAGAAATAATCACGCACAGATTTAGCTTCGGGATGGCTGTCATTTGATGACCGTACAGGTGTTGTGGCAGCATTTTCTGGTACTGACGACGGAAATGGAGCTGGCGTAGCGAGGCCGATGGACATCCCTGGAGTCGTGACTTGGTGCGCATCATTACCAGAGACAAATCTGCCCGTAGATGTGATGATAGGCGGAATTTCTATACGATTAGGAGCCTCAGGTCGCAAGACACATGGAGCATCCGTTGTCCTAGGACGTAGTGAGGCGCGGTATTCAGCATCTCTCCGACTTTCTTCGTCAATCAGGCCGGCAAACAAGTAACGGAGAACCCATTTGCCCAAATTAACTACAGATTATAAAAGGTCAGTTAAATTTTGACGTGCAATATAGGGGAGGAAACCTACTCCTTTGATCATCCTTAAACTCCTGAAGGTCAGATAAGCCGGCTTCATCGACATATATTTCCCCATCGAAGCACCGGTGTGGCTCTAAGACCACTGATAATTTTCCTGTTTGAGTCTGTAGCGTACACCAATGCGCTATAGCTCTGGTCGTATTCAACTTGGCGGCGATATCATCAAGGTGTTCTTTACCGAATGCCTCTACTTTGGTACACTATGGGAAAATTAGTATTCCCGTTTGATGACAAAAATTTCGCATTCCCTACCCGAAGTAAATCCCATAATACAACTTCACCAGCTGTATCCTTTGTGAGAGCACGTGTTCGATCGTTGAGCATCATATGTTTGATGATCCCATTCTGACCTTCAAGTGTCTCTTCGGCCTGACTGTGTACAGAAGTGGTAGTCTCGGGCTCTTCAGCTTCAGAAGTATTTGAAAGAGCAAGCATGTGGTTTTCGTGCCCACCTTCCGTCAAATCAACATCTCTCCAACGATTGATACTAGATTTTTGTGTAGCGGTCCAAATATACCCGTCAGCAGCAACGACCTTAGACACCGGCTCGTTCTCTCGCAGAACAGCCATGCAGACCCCTTCATCAGCATCTGTCACATTGCTAATGTCGGTTTTAGCCACGAGGCCTGATCGATCACTCGAATAAAACACGGAGAGTTGAGGATGGTCTGAATAGAGGGACCAAACACTCTCGCTATGCATGGTTAGTGTACTCATACAGCGACCAGCTGTCATAGACCAAATTTTAATAGTTTGGTCGGACGATGCGGTCATAATGGTATTCGCATCTTCGTTGATCAATATACTGCGTATATTTTTTGTATGGCCGATAAACTTAGTTGCTAGTTTTCCAGAATTTGAGTCCCATACACGCACGATGCTATCAGAGCCTCCACTGACTAATATGGAGCCTTTTGCAGAAAGAGAATATACAGAACCCTTCTGTATTTGTTCATGTTCCCCGATATGAATCTTCAGCATTTCTCCTGCGCCATTTATATCCCAAAGGCAAATTTTATGATCTAGGCCACCAGAGGCGATCCAGCTAGTTTGATGACTGGGAGATGTCACACATTGCACATAATCGCTATGTGCGCCAATAGAGGGCGGTATACGAAGATCTGTAGAGTCTAGCCGCCATACCCTCACTGTGCCATCCGATGATCCAGATACCAGAGCTGTATTGTTTTGCGTAAGGATAAGATCATTTACCCAATGAGTATGGGCTTGGACTTGATGGCGAATGGTAGTGGGCCCCTTGGGCTTGCCATCGTCCGACGTAGGGAACGCTGAATTTGGAGGGGGTCGATTAAGATGTAAATCCCAGGCGCATATCACACCGTCACGGCCTCCAGAGTACCTAGCAGTGTGTTAGCTTAAAAACAGCCTCCCAATGTTGCCGGCTTTGCTTGCTAAAGAGAAGCGCATTCGTGTCGAGAGGGGCTCACAGGATGGAGCGTTCAGAATCGACAGCAAGGCCATTGACTCCTAAACGATGGCCGCTTGAGCAATCGGGAATTGGCAGCTCTGGAGGAGATAGATTAATAATTTACCCAAACGCACCTTTAATGAACAAAGAAGGTCAGCTTCGCTTACCATAGCTGACTCGGAGAAGTGGTTTTCTTGCCATCCAAGCAAAGTTCGTGTTGCGCAGGGGAATTAAATCATGCGCGAGGAAGATGCTCACTCCTCAAACGATAGGTAGGATCGCGCGCTCCCAACAGGAGACATCAAACCGCCATAGAGTGGTCGGATTGGCCCTGTTGGCGACCAGGAAGTGGTATCAAGCTTGCGGAGGGGAACCTTAGCCAGAGCTGAGGGTGTGCATTTATACATGGTAACGTATGGTCTAGAACAGAGTATTAACGATGTGTTGTGTCTTGTTTATGTATCATTTATTGTATATGTTATTACATAACTTACAATACGGCGAACGCACCATGGCTTGAAAACGCATCATCCGAACCATGTTCTTGGGAGGCGACATCCTGGACTTTGGCAACGACCAAACGGCGTTGTCTGCCATTTTTTGTACGCTCAGCACTACAGAGTAGTTGTATACTATCGCCTTGGCAATATCATGCTTGACTCGGAAGATCCGCCCGTGCGACGACCCGATAGCTAATCCGCGAGAAGGGTTCTGCGGTGCCTTGAGCCAAGTCTGGCTAAGAGTCGCGCTCGGTTTAGAGCCAGTTGTGAAGGTGAAATGCACTAAAAGATATGATGTATATATCTACTGGAAGTATTGCGGAGTTACTTCACTAGTATATTATCCCAGATATACTACATAATGCATGCGAGAAATGCATTTTATAGAAATCTTGGTAGTGTTCTTCGAATTTCAACACATGACGCATTGCATTGGCTACGGATGATGTCAACGTCTCTTTAAGATATAGTTAATAATCCATTTAAGAATTAGTACTTCTCTTATAGATCTGTTACTTGCTCCCCCTGGACTTTTCTGCTCTCAAGAAAATTCCATGCTCGTTGATAGCTTCCAAGGAACACAGCGCCACCAATCCCAATCCAAGCAACACGAGGACCAATTCCTCTCCAAAATGCACCGAAACCTTCTTCCTTCCAAATTGTCTGCACAACATCCCTCACCCTAACTCCCCCCACCTTTGTACCGTTTTCACCCCTTCTAGCCAGCATGACTCTGGTTTTGACAACATCGAGGGGTGTGGTTAAGCCAGCGGAAATAGCACCGGCAATGCTACCGAAAAAAGCGCTTGAGATAGCCGAAACTGGTGCTGTTGTGTCTGATTGATGCTTCCACGAAGCGTATGTCCCCTTCATTCCCTCCCACATGGTAAACTGTAAGATAGTGAAGGGGATTTCCCGGGATATGGTAATAGCCGTTCCTCTATACAGTTCTCGGAACACCAGAACCCAATTTCCTCTCGCCCCATTAGGTAGTTGGGAGTGCCGTAAAGAGAGAATATCCTTGAGAGCTAATAGCGTTGAGCCCCCGAATAATCCAGCTTGCGCCCGTTGCTTAATTACTTCTGTTGGTACTCTTACTGCGCAAGCCGCTACTTCTCCAAGAGACGAGGCAAGCGAATGTGTTAAGAGAGCATGATACCATGGGGCTGTCTGCGATTCAGAAGGGAGGAGGAGCCGCTTTACCCCATCATATACAACAAAGAAGCTTGCAGCCGAGGGGGCAGACCCGAGGAGCACGGAAGGTAGACCGGCATATATGCCTCGGATAGTGTGTCGAATTGACGAAGCTCCGCTCTTGTTTGTGGCTATCAAATTGGAGCTTCCTTGGCGTTTACGGGCCTGTTGCAACCTGGTTTTGATGGTATCGAGGGGGAAGAGGGACACGTCCACTGTCAGACCGGCAATGGCTCCAGCCTATGGTCATTAGCATGTTAGTTGACTTGAAATTCCAGTTTCAACTGGTTGGCGACAGATCGGACAATGATGACATACCGTCAGCGATCGAGTCCAAAGAGAGGGGGCGAGTGCCAGTGACGCATCCTCTCGAGGATGGTCAACTGCTTCCATTAAAGCTGTCGGGTAGCAATTGTCTCACGATGCATCCCATTCGGAGCTAAAATGGCTCCTTGCGTCGAAGCAAAAGTCCGCCTTGGGTTCCGTGAACACTCGCGTGAGCTTGAAGTTTTTAAGTTGCGGAAGTCGGCAATAACCAGCCAACTGACTAGTTAACTCCATGGCTAGTTAACTAATAACTGCGTAGGGAGTATATTGGACTGTTCAATGTAACACCACTGGCCGGTTATTTCATCATAAATCTTTTTGGGTTTACAGAGTACTCCGTAGTTATACGTGCCGCTTCAATTTAGGGTAGTTAGTTACTCGTGGCGCGGTTCGTAGATTCAACATAGCAAAGTCCTTCTACATAGCAGTAAAAATACATAGCAGTTACACAGATAGTAGTAGTATCTTGTTTTTAAACATTGACCCATCTTTCTGGAGTAGCCAACAACTAATTTCTCCGTGCAGAGTGCTCGAAAGAAAAAAACAAACTCCGTATTCCGAAGGTATTCTGAAAATGTGGGATTCCAGCATGGTAACATTCAGTATTCACGTGGTAATATTACTGCCGTCAAAACCCCTGAGGATCAAAACTTTATTAGGCGCCGCGCCGACCTCCCCGCTCCGTAACGATACTGGAACACTGTATTCCGAACTTAAAGAAATCCGCTATAGCCTCTAACGGGGAATAAGATTTACTAAGAATTTTCTCGTCTATCAAGAATTTTTTAGGTACGAAGAGATGCGACGTTTTGAGAGAATACATAATGTTACGGAGGACGTTGAGGAGTATCGTCATGGGGGCTATCATCCAATGCATCTTGGAGATGTCTTCAATGAGAGGTACAAAGTGCTTGGGAAATTGTCGTATGGTCAGTTTTCCACGGTATGGCTCGCACTTGACCGGAGGTAAGCCATGCTGATGCATATTCCTTACTGTCATTAATACATTGCCTAGGCTCAAGCAGCAAGTAGCTATGAAAGTGCTTAAAGCAGAAACGTCCCAGAACAGTAAAGAGATTCAAATCCTTTTGCACTTGTCCCGGCCAGAAGTTCAACACGCTGGCATGACGAACATACTGGAACTCCTAGACTATTTTGAACACCAAGGCCCTAATGGAACACATATGTGCCTTATATTTCCAGTAATGCTCTATGATGGTGAAATACGGAGCCTAAAACTTGCGCTCCAGAAAACCTCTCTAAGAGCTGTTTCTTATCAGATTATACTAGGGCTGGAATATATACATGCTTCGGGCCTTATACACTGTGGTGAGTCTGCTTTTGATTGATGTTATGCAATTACTAACCCCACAAAACATCTACAGCCGGCAAATATCATGTTTACGAGCCCCCACGCCAAGTTCTCTCTCTCAGAGCCAGTGTTCAGTCCAGTCAAATGGCTAGAAGGAGTAGCGGCTGATAACTCGGCCCCTCAATATCTGCTACCTTCGCAGAGGGTTCATGCAACTCTCGACGAGATAGACATCTCTGCTATTGAGGTCAAAATTGGCGATTTTGGTGGAGGTAATTTTTTTTCAAAATGATTTTCTACTCATTATTGTTAACCATTAGCAGCAACATGGAAAGACTCTGTTTGTGAACAAAAGCCTGTTACTCCTAGAGCACTGCGTGCACAGAAGTCATTCGACGAGAAAGGTGGGATGATAGCATTGATATATGGTGTCTGGGATGCTTGGTAAGGTGTCTTAACAGATCAAATCCGCAAAGCTCACATGTGGTAGATATTTCAGCTGGCCCCAGATGAACCGCTGTTTCCGATTGGGAGTTTTGGAATGACTGCGGAGCAGTTTGATGAGGCCCATAAGGACCTTATTGCCGAGTTCATTGACAAAGACTTCACCAGTTTTATGGGTTATTTAAGAGAGCGGCTGCCGCAAGAATCTCGACTAGAGGACATTCAGGGATTTGTATCATTCCTGTGCTGTATGCTTCAAAATGATCCGCAGCAACGGCAATCTGCAACTCAGCTGCTGAAACACTCCTGGCTTCAAGAATATTCCCGTTCTGGCTACTAAGTTATTGCCGGAACTGACACTACTATCTGGGTCTATGACGCGGACAAGGGTGAAAAAAAGGTCAAGCACGTCGCCAGAACTGTGATGTCCGACAAAGCTTATACTGACTAACTCCTATTGTATTTCGAGAGTCTTTAGAGACTGGGATGATCTGTCTGCTGAGTACCCTATTTTGATACACCGAGATTACGACCAGGTTCTCTCTATGTGCTGGATCTCGTACATTATATGTCAACTTACATGGAGAATTAGACAGAAGCGGGTATCTATGGTATTGGCTCTAAATCTTCATAATGTGGCAAGCCTCTTTATACTTAGTGATAGAAAATATTAAATTTATGATTCCTCAAACATGGCGTAGGGGAATGTTTAGGGTAAGTTCTTCTCTAGACTCTCTCATGTTAGTCACAAGTTGCAGTCATGCTTTTTTGAAGCTCTTTTCATAGCTGAACACCTTGGTAGCGAGGTTTATCAGTAAATAGGACTGTATAACCTCCGCCGGAGCCGCCAATTATAATGTGTATGAGAAGGATATAGCTTAAAATTTACTTCTCCATATCACTGTGGAGATATTCGGCTCGGAGTAGCTATTATCCGAATTGAAAAACGCAGCTGACTAGGCCCGCACACCAAGCATCACGTGTAGGAAGGGCTAGGTGTAAATGACTTCTCGTGCTTGTAATCATCTTTTCTGGACAAGATACCCAGCACAATGCAGAGGAGGAGGGGATAATGTTAAAGTGCTATGCTCTTGATGCTCTGTTCTCCAGAATGTGCATTCCACGGGGAACACGGTACATTTGGCCATGTCGTTGCAACTACGCAATTCGCCCATTGCTCGTCCTATACTCGCTCTTGAATTTTCCACGATAGTTAGAAGTCTCTGGAAATCATGGAAAGGTTCCAGAAGGGGAGATGAATTTACTAAAATTGGTATTGTTACTTTCTCCTACCCACCCTGGCGAATACTCATTGACACATTGTTCAAGGCATTGCCATCAGTGGTGGGCCAGACTCCATGGCCTTAGCGCACTTATGCAAACAGTTGATAGTAGAAGAGTTTATGCCATACCTTCAAATTAGAGCATTTATCGTAGATCATAGATCCCGAGAGGGAAGCAAAGAGGAGGCATGCAAGGTTGCAGGATGGATGAACCAAATGGGTAAGGACTGGTTTCTTTTTGACGCAGAATGTAGCTTATCAGTATAACAGGTCTTACATCTAAGGTCATCACATTACAGTGGCCTGAGGAAGTACTGGACCCTTCAATACAATCCAATTTTGAAACCTTAGCAAGGAGGCTTCGTTATCAAGCTCTTGGAAAAGCCTGCCTTGCTGAAAATATACAAGCACTCTTTTTAGGACATCATAGAGACGATAACATTGAGACTGGCTGTATTCGACTAGCCCAAGGTCATGGCCGGTTTGGCATCACAGGCTTTGACTGTGTTTCTCCTATCCCTGAATGTCATAATTTATGGGGTGTGTCTCGGAGTGGTGATGTTACGACTCTAGAGGCTATTCGCTCTAATCAAAGTGCAAGCCTTGCGCCACATATTCCCGAAGATGTTATAGATTTGCCCACGTACCAGTCAAACATAAGACATTCCACAGCCACAGGCGGTGTGCATATTTTCCGCCCATTACGCCCTTTTCCAAAGTCGCGTCTAGAGTTGACTTGTCGTATCTCTAAGATACCATTTGTTATAGATCCAACTAATGCAGATCACACACTGACAATCCGAAATACAGTGCGCAAATTGCTATCGTCGGGTGATCTACCTCGTGCTTTGCAGCCTTGTTCGATTCTAGACCTCATCGAAAAGAATCGCAACGCTAAGGAGCGCCTACAAGGACTTGTTGATGATTTTGTCAAAATGATTCATGTTTTGAACTTTGATTTCCAAGCCGGCACACTACTGATTCGACTCCCTTTGCCAAAAGTGGTGAAATACTTTGACGAGACAAGTGTCGACCGTAATCAGACCCAACCTTATATACACTCATTCGATGTGCTATTGATGGTTGTACGAAGATTGATTGGGTTAGTTTCCACAGGTTCAGATTCTCAAATCTCGAACAGAGGACTTGCCAGAGCAGCAAACCTTTTTTGGCCTCAAACGCTTGCAGACGCGATGTCAGACGTATTCACTCTAGGCAGTGTTAAATTCCAGCCCTTGAAAAAGAAACGAACTTCCACAAGTGCGGACTATTTTTTGAAAAATTTTAAGCGCCGTGTCCAGGCTGACCTCATACAAGGGGGCAATTCGACCATCCAAGACACTGAAAATATTTGGCTACTTTCACGAGAGCCTTTCCGGAACCATTTACCCTTGCCACGTGGCGAATTTAGGATATATCTCCCCCGTCCTAAAAATGAAAAATTGCATAAAAGCAGTGAAAAGGCAGCCAATACAAGTGCCTGGACCCAATGGAAACTTTGGGATGGAAGATATTGGGCCCGCCTTCGCTTGGTTAGACAAAATAAATTAGTCGCCAAAAAGGCCGATACAGTTCCAAAATCGCATGTTTATGGTCTTGGTGATTCGGTACCAATAACCATGAGACCAGCAACGCCAGGCGATTTGACAAGTATAGAACTAACAACTAGAGATGGAAACAGGAATAAAGTATCTCGACTGGCCCAGAAACAATTAGATAGGCTCCTAGCACGTTTTGCTCCAGGCGACATCCGACAGACAATTCCCATCCTTTCACATGCGGTACCACAGCCAGTTGAAAAAAAAACTGCCAACCATCTCACTAGCTTTTCGTCGGCTACTCACGGTACCTTCCCACAGAAACATGCTAAGGACGCCCTATTTCTGGAAGAGCGCGATGATTCGGGCGAAGGTGGTAAAGAGCACCATAAGACATACAAAGAGGACGAGAATTACGACATGGGTGATACCCCGCGAATTCTCGCGGTTCCATCATTTAACTGGCGCACCACAGGTATAATATGGGTGCGAATGCCTCGCAACCCGCCTGGAGCATCGGCATCCCTTGGAATGGAGTCAGGTTCGCACCAAGACGAAGCTGAATATCAGAAAGTGGATACCGTCGTCCCATGGACTGTAGAGTGGGAAATCGTGTATAAATTTGTCGACCCCGTCATGATTCGAAACATGACATGGGAGAAAGATTCATTGCCTGAAAGTAAGGGATAGTGAACATGGTATAAGGGCGTCTAGTTAAAACAGTAACTCAGATAAAAAAAGCGCCTTTTCAAGATACACCTACTTTATATGGTCTTCTTTTTGCTGTAGTCTAAAAAGTAGGGTGCAGAAAAGGAGCACAAGCTCAATGAGAAAAAGAACCGGTTAGAAGCAGGAAAAACCCAAGCAGAAACCACAGAATGCCACTGGGGAGAAGGAGAGTCGTGTCTTCATTATCACTCAAACATTGAAAATCTGAAGCCGCCATGCCTAACCATGTATTCCTTGAAAAGCGCTATGCCTCCAGAAGCCCACACTTCGCAAAGCAATGCAGAAAATCATCCAGCCACCCAGGTCTTCGACACTAAAAAGCACGACAAAAAATACTAAAGTATCAATTATCACTGGGCATGTGGAATCATTAATATCAGATTCACCATACCACAACACCAACCCACAAAAGAAACTCGTGATTTATCGTTCGTAATTATCATTATTGATCATGTTCTCGTCCGTCAGCAACAAATTGCTGAGCCTTCAGGCCCCCAATTTCTCTTTTAAGCCTCATATTTTCTTTCTTTACTCTAGCGAGTTCATCAAGCGTCTCGCTCAATTGTTCCCTAAGCGACCTCTCCCCATCATCCCGACGAACATCTCTGGCGATTTTGCTTAGCTCCTCGTTGAAACGCTGGTATAAGGCTTCATTCTCAGCACTAGCTTCCCGATATAATTCATCAAGTTTCTTTGCGCGTCTTTCGCTAACAACAAGGGAATTCTCGATATCTTTCTCAAGTGACAAAGTCCTCTCATTGAAATCTGCTGTCGCTGAATTAAGTTTATCTGAGAGAGTTCGAATACGAGAAGTAAGCACTGAAGGCGGACTTGATGATGATGAATTTGCTAGTTTGGACGTTCCGCTAGATGATGTTGGTCTACCCTTTGGCGGAGACATTCTCGGGTTGGAGATTTCTTGGGCAATGGACGTCAACTCGGCCCTGAGCGTTGTTTCAGCGGATGCAACCGCCCTCTTTTCATTTTGCACGCGTTCCCGAAGCTGCGATGTGGTTAGCTTGACATCGGCAAATCTCAGACTACAACTCACTTTCTGGGGAGTCTGCATCTTTAGCTTTTGAACCTTCGGCGTGGGAACCGTAGATAGTGGTATACGCGACATATCTGAACCATTTGGAGGTATCATGCGTTCTTTCAGGCCATTAACGCTAGCATGGTGACTCTGTGGCCGCAACTCAGGTTGTTTCTTAGGGCTTGTTGATACGTTAGTCTTTCTATTGACTGGTTTATCCCCGAGCGCTGTTCTAGGGGATGGAGGAGTGTTCTCTTTTCGACTAGGCGAAACATGGCGGACAGGAGGTGAGGTGATGCGAGGAGGAGGGGAGTGCATGCGAATCGGAGAGCGAAGTCTTGTTCTACTCGTTCGACTTGATGGTGCAGAAGGAGTAGGTGAAGCGTCGGACTCTACCAGGCTATTATTATTGGTCGGAGTAGCAGGCGAAGCTATGGTGTTTGAGTCATGTTCCGAGTGAAATAGAGGTTTTATTTCCCCTGCAGATACTGGTCTAAGGTCTGACAAAGAGCTTCTGCGCTTCTTTCGGGGGGAGACAGGTTTTTCAACCCGATCCTCACCAATTGAGCTTAACGTCGGAGCGTTGCTGTGAGCACTACCTGGTCGATACAAGTCATGGTCACTAGAAAAAAATGCGGGCATGAATGGACGTTCTCGTGATCCTGGGCGTAGCAAACTATGTAGCCGAGTGTCCAAGTCAGTTGATTTGGCACGCATAAGGTTGATTCTTGGAAGGCTGGATGTTCCTGATTCCACTTCCAAGGCCGAGGCTATTCCAGATCCTTTCGACTTGCTCAGGGTGCGTATTATAGAGCTGACTTTGCTCTCGCCTTCCGTTTTGCTTCGCTCGCGATGTAGACTAAAGCCGAACCTCTTACGAAACGAAGAGTTATTTGAATTTATAGAGCCATGATTAACGGACTGGGAGCGATCCCGCCGGTTGTCTGGGTCATGAATCAATGTTCCTTCCATTGGAGCCACGGAGGGGGCTTTTTCGTCGAATAAACGTTCAAAATCCTCAACGAGACGATCTAAAAGAGAAATGTGTTCTCTAGGATCTCCTTCATCGGTCAAAATTTCCGCAAAGACCTCTGTCAGCGCACCTCGATCACCATCGTTCCCCGAGGCATCTAGCAGATCGGCCAACAAATTCACTAGGCTTGTCAGTGCTCGTCGCGTTTGAGGGCTCATTTCAGACAGAAAGCGGCGGAAAAAATCTTCGAAATCACCGGGAAACAATGAGCAAAATTTGTTCTGAAGGAGCGATAGAGATTGAGTGGGAATAATAGGACCAATGTGGTCTTTCCATGCCTTAGCCATGAAAGCTTCAAAGGCGACAATTAGAACATCGACTGGTGCTTCAGCAGCAGCCTGAATCTTCCCAGCATCATCCAAAAGAACATTGTAAAGTTCATTAACAGCTGCTTCATCGACACGATCTCTTGCTCGAAGTACACGGCCTACGATATTACCGCTTCTGGAGCGTATTGCAATCACGTAGGTAGAAAATGTCTGTTCCAAATGTTCGAGGTATTTGGAAGTCTCGTCTGTAATATTGATTCCGCCATTTGCAACTTTTGGCGTCTTGGAAGGTGATGGAGTAGAAGGAGATCCTTTATGTGGGTCTTCATATTCTGTAATAGAGAATACGGGAGGTGTAGAAGTCATCTGAGGTGGTGGGAGAAGGCCTTTCAAAGGCATCTGCAGTTCCTTGGGCTGACCACCACTCCAAAAGCTTGACAAAAGTTTAGATGGCGACCGCGGACGCAGCCCTTTCGTAGCTTTGGCTGATGCCAGGATTTGGGAAGCGATAATTCGAAGAATACTGAAGTTTGCTCTTACAATTACGTCTGTTAAAAATGGATTCTGAGGTTGGTTCAAGGGGCGAAGAAGCATTTGAACTACCCAAGTTAGGAAACTACTGTCAAAGGAACAAGGAAAGAAAAGAAATTTCTGGGGATTCTTACTTCGCTTGGTTAGGACTGGAACAAAATCTTGCGGGGTGAATATATCGGTATAGAATACCCCTGTAACAGAATCCATTTCCATCCTGTATTTTCCATCTCCAACCATTGACATGGAGATATTGACGTCAAGGTTCGAATTTAACTCATCGATATGCAGGTCAGGCTTCCGAGGACCGAAATTTAGCTGTATAGTTGAGGATAATTTTGAAGGCATATCGTCTACTGCGCTTTCTTCGAACACCGATATCAGAGCTCCAAGGTTCCCACATGTCCCATCCGGATGGTGAAGAGACCATTTTCCTCGTTCACGATATTGTTCTGGAAATCTGCCTTCGATTCTTGCTTTTGTAACCTCTTCGATTAGCCTATGCGCTTTCCCTTCGTAGCTAGACAATAATTCGAGGGCTTGTAGCGCGGGCTTCGAGCGAGAACGTTCGTTCCGCAGGAAGTTAGTAGCGGGGGTAAGGTATAAAACCTGTGCACACTTAGATTGAGAGCAGCGAACATTAACGATGCGAGAAGCCTGAAGAAATATCATTTCTGGAGTAGAAGTCGTCGGGTCAGTGCCGAATCCTGGCTGCGGTTTATCTAATTCTGCATGAAGGCCACGGGCAGTGAGCTTGCTCTCGGGGCCTTTTAGTACGAGAACCAGGAAATCAGAGTAGACAAGGAGTATTCCAGGTTCACTTCGAGTGCCTTGAAGGCCAGGACGATACGGAGGTAAAAGAGTATAGAAGTCTACTGCGGTAATCAATCTCCCAGTTGGTGTTACTGAAGCAGGCCACCCAGTTACCAAAGTCTGGAGCCGTTTAAGGCTTTGCCCTATACCGCTGGACGAGTCCAAAGAGCATATTTCCGCTATGGTGTCCCTTGCATTTAAGAGGGATTTGACTGCTGGATGCACAATGGGAAGTGCACTCGTCATTGCATCTATTAGCAGGCTGTACCGTGGTAAACGCTGTACAGGCTCCATAAGCAAAGAGCGCATTCGCTGCTCACCGGACTCATAAACCCTTTTTGAAAATGATGAGTTCTGGTCATTCAAGAAGGTGTTTAAAATCTGCGTGAATCCTGTATGAGCATTCATATATTCCCCATAAGGCTGGGAAAAGCGTGGCAGCCACTCCTGAAGGCAACGAGCAAAGGCAATTATGCCGATTGGGTCCTTTCTCTGTCCGTTCGAGTCTCTTGCTAATGCGCTGGAATCAAGCACGGTATCCTTGATAATGTCATTAAGAGCGTCTTTCTCTGTGTACTCAAGTATCTGGCGTATATCATTCAAAAACCCCATGTTGACCTCTAAAATCTCATTTAAGCAGGTTGGAAACAACTTCAATAGCTCACTTTCATTCGGACTAGTGCTTGAAACCGATTTATCTCTAGCCTTCTGGCGAAATTCGTGCGCAACATTGTGAACCAAGTCATACATCTTCCCAACATATCGCTCCTCGGTATCGACAACCTCACACATGGAAAGCCGCAACGTCTCCTTCTGGGCAGAAGTAAATGTCCTCGACTTGCTCAGATTGGTGGATTGTGAGGGCGCTCGTTTTAATTTCGCCGTTGGCAGAAATATAGGGTCGCCTAATGCTTCTATCAGGGAGGCATATTGGCCGAATCGGTCTGAGAATTTCTGGATGGAATGCGCATCGGATCCTGCGTCTCGAGAATTTTGAGGAGGCGTGTCAATCGAACCCGGCGGCAGAACAAAGTCGATATCAACACACGGAACAATTTTTTCGCTAAACGCATCTTTCAAATCCGGCAAAACCTGCGGCATACCCTCGACTCTAATCATCCTATTTGCCAGATCGGCGGCATGAACCTCATCGAAGAGTTTTGGTAAACGTGCGCCGTATTTCTCCGAAACCGCTAATGCTGTCAAGGCGTCCTTTACCAATTGCGGTAGCTCAGAGAAGTATTTAAACAGACAAACGGCCAGCCCACGGTATACCTCATCGCCCTGTCTATCGCGTGGAAGGTGATTGACAGCAGCGTAGACGGGAGCAGCGGGAGAAATGGTGATTCGCGGGTAGCTATGGACGCCTCCGGAGGTGATGATGTGCGCCTGAATGCGGGAGCTGCTCAGTGTCGAGTTTGCGGTGGTGACGGGGCCGGTGAAAACGAAGACGGAGGAGAGGTAGGGGTCGACGGCGTGGAAGAGCGCGAGCGGCTCCAGCGCCAGCCCGGCGAGCGTGCCGGATTGGGAAGCCATGGAGGGGACGGGCCCGCGCCTGCCAGTTCGGGGAATTCGGGGCAAGGGGCGGCAGACAAAGGAGGTCGCGCCTTCCTCGCGCAGCAGGATTGCTATTTTGGGTAATAAAGACGACCGGTGCGCGGGCTCTTTCTTTCTTTATGGGCGAACAGTGCTGGTGGTGATCGCTCCTGCCCAATCGGCGCGGGTCGGCAGCAGCCCAAAAACACTCGTCGGCGGCTCAGGCAGTGTCAGCGGGCGCAACGCAAAACATCCATTCTGGCTTCGCCCAGTCAACCTCCCGAACAGACCGCTCACCAAGCGGCGCATGCAAAACAAAGCGTGGCTAACTAACAGTTAGGGACACAACAACACAATAACAATGAGAGGCACCAAGCGGAAGCGCGACTCTTTTGGCTCGACGGCGTCTATGAAACAGAAGGTGTGGAGAATGTTTTCATTTGATCGTCGGCGGAACTCGTGATGTGATTGGACGCGCCGCGGCAGACTTACACGTGTTCGTCATGGGAGTCAACAATAAACAAACCGAATTCGGCGAGGGCCCGCGCTAGCCAGCTTGGCTGGCTGGCGCGCCCCCCGGAGGTCCCCCGTGGCTTAGGGGGGCGTCCGCGCGTGGAGGGGCAACCAAGGGGCGCAGTGGCCATGCCACAACTGCAATCCATCGATCGTACATAGCTGCGTCGCCTTAAGGCTGAGTGGAGCGTTGCCTCCTAGCTTATACGGAGCACCTTGAGTACTCCGTACGGAGTACCGATTGCCAATTATGTATGGGCTGGCAAAGCCCTACAATCACAGCCTAGCATAGTTATGTATGGCTAACTACGGAGTATCTGCTCCGCACTCAGTTACACAATCAAGAAAGCCAACGAACGGAGATGAATGTGCCAAGTCAATTCCATCTCAGCACTGCTCTGTGCGCAGCCATATACCCAGAAGAAGCTGTTACATGGTGGCAAGATCATCATGTCAAAATATACTTGTATTCCATTCTAAGCAACAGAGCCAATATCAGGCTCAGGCTGGTATCATGACAAAGCTCGGTTAGTTAACTGAATTCCAACAGCGTTGCTCGATGTTTCAAACACCGAACATGAACCAGACCGACCAGAGCGGTCTACATCGAAATTCAAATGTCGATGAGAAAGACAAAACAAAAATCCCAACATGTATTGAAAGTTATTTAAAAGGAAGCCGAAGCAGAAAAATAAACCCTAACAGTGTTGTCCTTCAACAACCAGAAAAAAAAATAACCGTTAAAGCGGCGACCAAATTGGCGCGGGGAACCTGGTTAGCGCTAGGTGACGTCATCTGATGGCGACTGGCTTATACCCATCCCTAGCAAAGCAGTCAGCATATCAGGGCACAGGGGTATTGTGGCGTGATCATGATAGAAACCGGGTGGAATTACCTTCTCCTTCAACTTGGCGTGGTATGATGCATCACGATCCTTCCTTGTGATGTGACTGTCTCGAGAACTAGATGTAGAGAATATGCTGCCCTCTCTCTTCTGAAATCGCGATGGGGGCACCTTTGCGGCATCTAGATGAACATGCAAAGTTAGTCATGCTTCTCTATTCAAAAAACATCCTTTGGCCAGAATTTTGTGTATATAAAAGCCAATGTGAAGTCAATATGTTCCATCAGTCAACATACCCCATTCTTTGCTTAACCGCCTATCTTGAGTCGGAGACGCTGGCGTCTGTAGAGAGTCTGCCCGGCGAGAGTCACCTTCGAACGGCGATCCAGACTCCATGGCTGAGTCTGTTGAAGCTGACCGTCCGGTGAAAGGATTTCTTAAGTGAGATGTGGCATCGGCCTGTGTGTTTGAACCTTGTTGTCCTTCCATTTGTTGTGTTCCAACTTATCAAGTCTTAGTATTATATATCTGAAATATAACAGTCTGATTGTAGGAACGACGGAAAGAAATAAAGGGGGATGTGCGAGAATATAAGTACAGAAAAGCCCAAGCCGCCAAGGCATTGAACATACCTTCATCTCTTCCGCTAGGGCTGACAGCGTGCCTTGAAGTTGCCGACATGATGTCACTTGGAATAGTGTAGGCGTACGTAAGGGTGGACGATGATCAGACCCTCGTCTGTAAGAGATGAACAGGTAAAACGAGACTAACGAAGTTCAAGTGATATCTCAATGCTTGTTTTCCAGAAGGCGTGTCAGAGGCAGATAGCGGGGAAAAGACCAGTAACTGTGTCGATCGCTTTGTTAGACCTTGTTCGAACAGCTTTTCACAGTATGACGGGCCATGGGCCTTTTATATAACAGACGATCTCTTTGGCCATCCACTCTCAGCCACAAGCCGAGGGGCGAGACTTACAGCGACGCGTTGAAAACAATGGGCCTCTTAGTCACTACAGGGGAGATGCTTCGCCTCCCAGTGAATCCTATTTACAGTGGCGGCGAATCAATGTCTCTGCTTTCTGGATGGCTGAAAACACCACGTACGTCTGGAGCACATCCATCCATCCTCCGTATATGCGTTGGTGCAAGTATGAACTTTCGGTGGATCTATTCGCCCCCACCACATGCAACTCTATTACTGTTACGACCACCGCGCGAAGCTTTGGCTAAATAGCTCAGAGCAATCCCACCGGCTGCTTTTTGCGAGCTTTTCAGGCAGGAGAACTTACCCTGGTGGTGTCATCAGACCTAATAATGGCCCCCCGATATGTCTACGTGTACAGTTGCCGGGGGTGTATCGCCAGCCCTCGGGTAAAGCCCGACCTGAGGCTTGCTCTGTGTCTAGAAATGGCTATTTGCCTTGATTCCAGTAGTTCATGCACTGACGTAATGAACAAGAACTGGCTAATCCAAGAGCAGTCAAAGGCAGGCATAGCCTAAGAGTCATCAGACACTAACTAACCATGGTGGAATTTGACTAGCTCTCGGATCGTAAAACGCGGGGTGGTTGGTCGTTCTCTGGGGTCATGAATAATAAGGTCTTGTTTGGCGGGCTGGGTAAGAGAACCATGGATAGGCCGTGCAGTATCCATCCAATGCAATATAAGGTTTGGCTTTCATACTGGCCCATCACCATTTATTGGGGGGTATCAAACCGCCGAATCAACGGGCGATAGCTCAACTCGGCAGAGCATGCAGCACTTCCACCGAAAGTTACTTCGACACACCCTGCGCCGGAAGAGGAGCCCCCAGCCGATCATTGTGGTGTGACATGGGTCAGTTATCAGGGTTGCCATCACTGCTGGCCAACCATTATTGGTGGATTTGAGGCCAGAAACCGCGGGAGCACACATCGACGTAGACGAGCAGGCCTGAGCTGGGTGATGTGACGCCGTATACACGCACGGGAGGGCTGAGCTGCTGGTTCCGGGTAACACGCACACGACCCACGACGGTGTGGCTGTGTGAATAACAGTCAGCTACCAGGCAGTTAGCCAGTGAGGGAGTTAGTTACAGTAAGAGCTGGATCGCCTCCCGCCCTCGCCGCTTTAACTAACTAGGTAGTTAGTCAATTGCACGTGCACGCGCGTCGCCCTTCACCCACCCCCCACCTCGGCGCACCCGACCGCTGCGGCCCGTCTAGCGCCGAATCCATCTAGGGCCTTTGCTCTTCAGCTGCGTCAAATTTACGCGATGGGCTATGTATCAACTCACAATTCCTCGCTCGATGCCTGGTCTCAACGGACTGGGACAGCCAGTCCCCTTCCGTTGGGAGCGGTTTTCCTCACTACCTCCCATAACATTTCGGTCCTCTCTCCCTTTCTCCGTTCCTTCAAAGGTCATGGAGAGGCGTGACCTTCGGAGGCGATAGTCTCTGCAGCAGCTCTCTGCTCTGAACCCTGAAACCCACCCGACATTGGTTATATAATTGGTTCTATTGCCCCTTCTCCCGACCCCTGTACCTGCGGAGGTTCCTACAATTCCCAAGAAGCTTGCTCCTGAAGAGAGTGAGCGGAGGCTACGCGTCAGCGGCTTTTACTTCCACGAGTCAAAGCTGGGTGATAAGCGGATGCTCAGGGTGCTACAAGACAGTACGAAGAGAAACTACATACAGACATAGCTCGGAGCTTTGGGAGGAGTACACTCCCTGGCGGCGTTGTGCCTGTGTTTCCTGGTGACTGGCGACTTGGGGCCTGGCGCGCAGGTACTGCGGCAAGCATGTCGAGTGTGACATTCACAATAAACAGACCAAGAACCACTTCATCATCTACATGGCACAATGCTCTAGGGACCGCTCGCGGAACGAGCCCGAGGACCCGTATGTTAACCAGCAGTGGAGCGATTTCACCACTGGGCGGGGTCAGACTACTGGCAAGAAACTCTCTCACACTGTCTCCGACTCTGGGAAATTGGCCCCTTCCACCAGATGGACACACATTGACAAACCTGGAAACGGGAGTGGCAGATGGTGTGCAGTGGGAGACAAACCTGCGAGAAAGGAGACAGCCTGAAAGTCTGGGACCGCGCGTCGTGTCGCCATACACTTTCATGCTTACCTTGTATGTTTTTATTATCCCTGCGGAACTCGCTTTCCTTCGTCCGCTCATCCTCCTCAATGGGAATCGTTACCGTCCTAATACCCACTGATAGAATTGACGAAGACTTGCTATGGTAGGCTAGATGAGAACCATGAATAGTTTGCCTGTGACAATTGGTCCTCCACGACCTGTTCTCAGCTCAGCAGACAGAACTTTTGATTGTTTAGCGCAACTATGCATTGCGTTTTGTCTCGCAACAACTTGGCCTAGCAGGCGATCCACAGGCGATGGGATTGACAAGAAAAAGATTGCTGCGGCTTTGTGTATTGAAATCTGTTGCAATGTAAGTCTGGTGAGAGGTTCTTTAGGCGGGCTACGAGCTAGAGCTGTCCACCCTCCATGCGGCTTGCTGCGGTACAGCACAAAGCTGCCTTCTTTCACACCATGCGAGTACCCGTCCGATTTCGCACAGGCTTCCCGGCGCTTTTTCATGGCAGGGCTCATTACCCACGCCAAGAGTCTGCGTTATCCCGTTTATTTCCGTGAAAGAGGGGCCAAATCAGGGGACTGAGTCGCGAAGGCTGTAACTAGTACGGGCGATAGTATCACGGAAGGTTGTCTTCGCTTTGTCTTACCTTTGTATCTCAATCTCAATTGCCCAGAATTCTATTCCGGTTCTCAACCATACCCGACACCCGGAGTGAAATTAGAGGGCACCACACAAGTCTGCATTCAGAGAGAGTCGTTAAACGGCGATACCGTCCTTCTGTTTCCTCTTCCACCGTAAAGGTCGCCATGCTCCTGCTTCAACCGGAAGCTCTCCTACCAACGGCCGTCCCCACTCTGCGAAGCGCGAGGAACCGATTCCGGTAGAGTCTGACGGTGGGTGAGGCGTTTGTCTATCTCTTCATCCTCCCATTCACTAAATTCATTCCTTTATTATCCCCCCTATCATATCCTTTGAAACATCAATAAACACATCGCCCAGGACAATCTGGTTTTGCGAACCATGCTCACAGTAGGGAATTCCGTTGCCATTGAAGCAATCCATCCAACATACGCAAAACCACCCAAAACGAGCATTCTCTCCAGAAAAAACTGACGAAGAACTCCATAGGAATTCAGCTTTAGATAGGTTTTCCCATTATTAACTTCAGAGGTCGCATCGTCTACGGAGTAGTGGCTGTTCAAATGGGGCATTGTGGGGCTGACAAACCCTGAATAATAAATAAATGCTGCTGATTGGCCAGTGCCGGAAGCCGCAGGTCTCTTGGTGACGGCCCGCTGCGGAGCAACTGGCGAATCGGCGGCGGGAGCGAGCAAACGGCTGACCCAACAGGCCTCGACTAGCCCAATACGGATAGTTTGGAGTGTCATGTGCTATTTGTACTCCGTACTCCGTAGTTAACGATGTTCCTCCCTGTACGGAGTACGGAGTAGTCCAAACTCTGTACGGAGCTTCTCATACCTTCCCGTATTCTATCGACCACCATCCGCGCCGATATTACCTTTTTGCCGCGTCTCCATTCGATGGACAAGATAACGAAGCACAGGCTCAATGCAGCTTGTGATGAATTCATCAAAGCTATCGACCCTCTCAAGGCCTGCGAATTAGCCTCGACATTTCACCCTAAACAACTCACCTGCCGTATCTTTGACGAATGGAAGAAAGGGAGCTACAATGTGTGCATACCAGTGGTGTTTGAAGACGGTACAGAGGGAATGGGAGAAAAATGGATGGTGAGAATCCCGCTACTTCCTCGACTAGCCTTTCCAGAGGAAAAAATGCGAAGTGAGATTGCTACAATGAACTACGTCCGTTTCACTCGCCGGACTTTTTGATACACCTACTCTGAGGATTAAGTAAGAGGACAGATACATCATGGAGAAAACCACCATCCCTATTCCAAAGATTCATGGTTACTCAATAACCAAGGACAACATTCTCGGTCTTCCCTTTCTACTTCTTGAGTATGTAGAAGGGAACTCTTTGCATGGCACAAGAATAGCTAGCTGCCTTAGACCCAGACTTACAGAATCATCTATTTGCACAAATAGGCGAAATCTACATTCAGCTTTATCGTCAACAATTTGACCGAGTTGGAGCACTCACCCTCAATGAGAATGGAGATTGGGTCTTTGCTGAAAACCGGCCCTTGACTATTGACATCAGTGAACAAGAGCTCTGTGGACTTGATATATGTCGTCATTTACCCTATAACCGCACATTCCAGTCTACTATTGACTGTATTTACATGATTGTGAACCTAATATTCAATGACTTTTACCGTGGCCGTGACTGCATAACCTCAGAAGAAGATGCCCAATACTATTTGTATAGCATATTCGCATCCCAGGGTATCTTGATGGAGTGGGTTGATCCCAAATACAACCATGGGTCTTTTGTACTGATACATGGCGATCTTCGCCCACCAAATATTGTTGTCGATGACAGCTTCAATCTTGTTTCAGTTCTTGACTGGGAGTGGAGTCAAACTGTTCCGATTCAAATGTTTGCTCCTCCCTCCTGGCTTTCCGATGCCACTCTTTCTCAAATCTCACATGGGTTTCTCGCTATTCAATACGATATACTGGCGTTCAACTTTATTCGAGCGACCGAGCGACAAGAAAAAGCCTTCCACAACCCCAACAACTGTTATATGCACGATCTCCCACTAACAGGACTCTGGCGCCCCATGGCACAACCAAAACAATTCCTGGTTGCTCATGCGCTACTGGCGCCTCACTACTTCTCGAATGTTTACTGGAGGTCTCTACACAGTAAGTATCATGAGAGGGACAGAAATCATCACGTCAAGGAGTTCTTCGAATTACCTGTCCGAGCCTCTGCTTGCGAAGCCGTGGCCAAGAAGTGGGACGAGTTTAAAAGGTTTGAAAAGGAGCGACAAGAATTAGGCATTGAAACAGAGCCAATTATCGAAACAGAAACGGCCGAAGACTTAACCCGACAGGTGGAAGCATTTAGAAAATTCCAAAAAGGGGAGAAAGCAGAGCCCAATCCCTCAGCGTCCTACTTAAGCTCTTTGTGCAGTTTCTTCCTTGGTAAGACACAGTCAGTAGTCGTATTTTCGTGGGCGGGTCTTGGTCTTTCGGCGAAGACGGCAGCACAGATCCTGGTCGGACTAGGAATGATATCTGCAGTGCACATCCTCCGTCAGAAACTGAATAAACAATAGTCCCACCCCGTGATGATAGATGATCAAGCCTTCCAATTGGTTACTGTAGCAGCTCGATTGCCCTGTCAGCACTTCTAATACTCTATCTGATCCCTAGGAGCTTCTGCTTCTCCGTTACAATTCGTTCGTCGACAATTCTGATGCTTACTTGGCGGGTACCTAAGAGATAGCGGTTGCTTTTCTGACACCAGTTTCACTCCCCTAGATCAAAGATCTTTGGGAACGCATACCGAAGATACAGAAGATAATGAGACAGAGCCGTTAGAAGTCCGTAAGAAGGATTTAAATGGACGTGTAGTTCCACCTCTCAGACCCTTCTGCAACCTTGCCTAAACCCTTAGAATGGTACATAGCTCTATACATCTGAATCTCCCGGTGACTATCTCACATAATACTTAGTCGATAGTTCCGGGCTGTAGAAAAAATCCCGTTCGTCGCAATTCTTAAGTCAGGACTTCAAAGATTTGAGCACCCAAATCAGAATCCTCGGCCAGAGATTTCCAAATTACAGTCAGGTATTTTGGAGTTACTACACAATATCGCATGTCTATGCGCAGAATTCTGTCTTCATCTCCAGAATATCCGGTGACTTTTGGTACCTACGATGCGTACTCAGAAAACCACGCCACTTCCCGATGAGCTACAGCTTCCACATATTCTCTTGCAGATTTCCTTAGTTACGAAAACGATATCTCCTCTATTCATTATGAAGAGATGCTTGAGGGTTGAGTCTCACAGGACCCTCGATTCAAAAGCCTACCCCTGTCAGAACCCTATCTTCCTCCCTCTCTCTCTGTGGAGTCGTCGATAATAAACCGGTTCTTAACCTGATGTTCGATGGCCACCTCGATATCTCCATTTATCGCCATGGAATTTTATCTTCGGCGAAATACTGGGAACTATCTTGCTAAAAGCGACTGAAAACATGCTACTCACAAGTAAAATGCTACGGATAGGAAGGAGTATCAGCTCCATCGAAATGATATTGTGCAATGTAGGCTCATATCACACCAGGTTTCCGTGAGCTGGATTCCTTTGTCCCTTTTTATTAAGACTATGCCGTTATCAGAAATTACAGGCCATGTTAAATCCTAGGAGACTGTTTTTTCAGAATGCATTAAGCCTAAAAAATATCAATGTCATTTTTTATTCCCTATTGAAACTACCTACCCATACTGTGGTAGCTACCTGACATGTTGTACACTGCAGAAGACCAGCGATTGGATGGATACATTTGAGTGAGTATGAAGGCTCCGTCGTCTACTAAAAGTTGGAACACATTGTTGAAGTTGTCCTCAATTTTCTCCATATGATGAGAACCTAGTGTATGAGAGAGAGTATGTAGCTTCTGAATGCTGTTGAGAAATTGCTCCTTTTCTCCCCAGAGCCATTTTCCAGTTGTATCGCGAAAGTGGTCATCTGAGGTCCATAGCCAGCGCTGGAAACATTAGCGAAACTGCGGGGGCTTTGAACACTTTGATTGGAAGACTTGTTAGAATAGATGGATGATATTTGGGTTTTTGGAGCTTGCATTGAGCCAGGCTACCGATGCAACTAGAAAGTAAAGAATAGCAAGACACTAATTGCCATACATCTATAAGGTCGTTGATGCTAGTGGCTCCCATCCTGTTTATGAATGCTTATGAAGACCCAATGTCGAAATTAGATCTGTTGGTAGTGTGCAAACGGAGCACAGTCTCCTCAGTTGGTTAATCAGAGACTCATGTTTAGCTGCATGTATTTTTCATTTATGGAAGACTTCAATTTATGTCGAACTAGGCCTTGAAAGTCTGGAATTAGGAGAGTTAGACTGTTTACAGGTACGTACAGTTTGAGTCCATTTAGCGGAAGTGCTGAAAAATGGAAATTGAAGTATATACAACATTGAATATTCTTAGGGGGAGGGGGTTGGTTCTATCAATCCACCCTCACCTGTTAAACAGCATCTGAACTCGTACTTACCCATATCATAACAGTCATATTTCGGAAGGACTGTGGTCTTAACGCCACTCATGATAGATATGGGTGATCTATGTGAAACGTTGATCAGAAAAAATTCGGAGCATGTTCTCTGCCTGTTGTGACTGAGAATATCTAGTAAAATTCCTAGAGAACTATGCAGATCTTCAGGCCAACCGACTAAGTAGTCAGGGTAAGCCCCTCAGACAGGCTTAGAGTATTCAGTCCACTTCATTCTGCTCTTCTTGACTGCGTTCGGTTTTCACGGCGGGCTTTTCTCCGTCCGAACCGCTTTTCAGAGGCCGTGGCTGGCTCCTAGGTGGCTCAGTGGCAGGGGCAGAGTCCTCTTCTGGAACAGAGGGAAAGATTTCTTTGAAAAGATTAGGAAGGAATCGATCAAGTCGCTTTTGTGTTTCAGTCCAGATCCTCTCCTTTGTTGGATCTTTGCCCGGTGGGGCTATATAGCCACCATCTGCCATAATCAAAAGAATATTTTTTAAGCTTTCAGGGACAGCCTCTTCCTACAATTTAATATCGTTAGTAAAACTGGCATTTTTGGCAATAGGAGGAGGAAGAGGCTCTTACAAGGCTATCTCCCTGTCCGCTGTTCATCATACGGTCCAGAATATCAAGGATCTTTAGCCAGAGATCAAGCATACCGTCCCATTCAGAAAGTAGAACAAGGTAGTGAAGGAAAATTTTACATAGAAGAGTAGCCGCTTGGACTCGTGTTTCGCTCATGCCCGCAGGATCGGACTGGTAGACTTCGGGTTTCAATAGGCGAATAATTAAAGGAAACAAAACTTCGCCAAAGATTGCCACCCATTCTTTGTGGTCTGTAGAAGCAAGCTCAGGTGAAAGTAAAGATCGCTGGAGTGCGGAAATTGCTTGATGCCTGATATCTCGGGAGGGATTTATGCACTGAGTACTTAAGGAACTGAAGATTGGAGACCAATATGCAGTCCAGGCTGTCGCATGTCAGCTCCTACCCAAACGCAAAGAAATTTTGACAAAAATATACCTTCGTTTCGTTCAAGATGAGACTGGTTGATAAGAATGGGTATCCTAGCAGTCATATGGTAAATGAGATTTATCGCTTTGACACTACGAATAACCAGCGGATCGTCCCTACCAGAAAAGTTTTTTTTTTTAGCACAGACATCTCTTTAAAGTAAGGAAAATGCGAAAATGCATACTTGGCCTTTGAAGTCTTCTTCATAGGTTTAGATCTTCTTGCTGAGATATCCTGTTGTAGCTCTCGAAGGGCAACAACGCTTCCAGAGCTTGCAAAATCATTCGCAAGGCCTACTGCGGCTTCATAGTTGTCTGCGCTAACGATGGGAGGGCCCGATTCGACAACTTTCTGCAGCAATTCAAAAACCAATATGGCACCGTCCTGGTGCTGATGTAATCTCTGGAGAATAGACCAAAAGTCCGGGTATCGCGTGATCTCATTCCAGAGCGGAGTTTCATTAGTGATTTTTGTGAGTCCGGCCACAATTGGCACAGCGACACTCTCAAGGACATCTTGATCAAAGCTAGATATTGTGTGAAGGATTACTGGAGGTCTCATGAATGAATGTTCCTGTAATAAATTAGCTTAAAGCAACACCCAGATCAAAAAGACGACATACATAGCCCCGACGAAGAAGCACCAATAGATAACAAATAACACGGGAAAGCATTAGTGGATGTATATTTTTCGGGTCGCGGATAATGTCATGTAAACTTCTTGTCAAAATTTCACCAATTTGCTGTGTTGTATGAGCATCTCGTAATACAAGGAGTGTTGTTAGTTCAAGTACGTATATTAAACCTGGATTATATCTTGAACTATTGAAATTAGATCTGCTGCTCGCTGGCCGTGTAGTTCGTGGTCTCTCTGGCTTAACAACAATCACAGCAGGGCTTGTATCAGGAAGTTTAGAAAGGAGAATATTAACAAGATATGTCATCGAAGAAATAGGAATGGATCTGTGTATGCATTAGCAAAGGTCTCTCTGTGAATGTAGGTCTGCTCACCGTATATTTTCAAGCAGTTCAGAAACGCAACATGCGTTAATGCAATCTATTGTGCACAATGTATTTTCAATCTCTTCATCAGATGGCTCTGGAGGATCATCCGCTGCGTAGCTAGAAAGATAAGAGGTAAAAGCTGACAACAACCCGGCTTCGGTGCCGCGGCCATCTCTGTCAACGACTTGAGAAGGTGGCTGTAAAGGGATCGGGGGAATATCAAGGCCAGATTCCCGAATGTCGAGCTGAGGGATCAGCGAATTAATGAATAGATGATGCAGAATTCTAACAACGTATTCCCACCCATTCCGAATGACTGCTTCACTGCCTGAAAGCACTCGGAACAAAACTACAGTTGCAAGTTGTGCTCTGAAATCCCTTCCAAGCTTTACAGCGAGTTCACTAACCATCACGACCTTCTTCCCTATCTGCACCTCCGTATTGAGAGTGATATTAGGTGGTGTTTCTGAGGCAAGAGTGCTGATGGAGCTTAGGCAAAAGATAATTCGGTCAAGAGCATCGGTTACGCCGTATTTGGTGGCAATTTTGGCGCACTGGTCAAAGCCAATGACAACTCTAGAAAATACTGCGTCGTCAGATGCGGACATAAATACGTAAGAAAGAGTAGCGACCACAGGGCGCCATGTTGCTTCAAACATCTCGGCATCAAATATGTTAGAATCGCAAGGTATTAGAACGCCCACACTAGCGGCTTTCAAAAGTAATTCTTTCCATGCATATTCAAATGCATGCTTGTTTTCATGCTCGTCGGGAAGAATGATTTCATTTTGCTGTATGGATCGATATATCTCTTCTAAGTATTCGACTGGAAAATTCCCGCCAGCATTAACACCGCTGAGATTTTTCGTAAAACCTTCAACGGTCATACGGTTTTGTGGTTTCACGTTCGGGTTGTGAAGGTCAGTGTTCAGCATGATAGTCGCGTATGTTAAAATGAAAAGGGAGTCCGCATCAACGGCCTCTTTAGGTTTCCCCCCGGCCAAATACTTTTCAGCAAAAATTGTGACTATTCTCTGGATTAAAGGAGCTTCGCCTGGTAGACGGAAAGAGCCGAGAACGTTACGAAGAGCTTCAACGATGCCAACACCCGCAAACTCAAACAGTTCCATGAAAGCTTCAAGAATTTTCTCGTTTTTGCGGTTGGAAATATATTCTCCTAGAACTTTCTTCGAGATGCGGCTTGTACCCTTTAGAAATTTGGCTATAAGCTTCGGATCTTCGATGTCCTCGATGATCCCATTTGAAGCAAGAAATGCAATGCCAGATTTTGGGTCTTCGTTGAATTTTGTTGCGCCTTGAATTACCAGCTTTTTGCGCTGACGCTGTTGTTTCAATGCAGCTAAACTGGGTAGGTTGTCGAAATTTGGCTTATTGTCTAAGCGATCGGAAATGCACTGGATGTATCCTAATAGAGCATCTAGGCAAAGAGGCGGAACGTTTGTTGTACTCCATGTCGCTGAGTCAGGGAATGCATTTCGAGACAGTAGTCCAACCATGTCCTCGCAGAGATCAGCCTGGTTAACATCGCAATCGTAGTTGACAAAAAGTTCGGTCATAAAGTTAGGAATCCTAGCCAGAACGCCTATGGTTTCCACCATAGCTTCACGGGCCTCTGGTTTCCGGGACCCTCCTTCCATACCGAGTTTTTGTCTATCTTTCACAGGGACTGGAGTTGATCGGCCACTGCCTGCTTGAGAGGGAGACGGCTTCACTAACTTAGGAGCTTGGGGCACTCCAGCATAGAGGGCGGGGTCTATACCGACCTCCTGGGGAATTCCCACTCGGGGATGGAGGCAAGCGACCAAGTACGATAAAAACAACTCCTGCTGAAGTTTTAAGGCATATCGGCAGGTAGATAGTAGGGTACCTGCAGCTCTCAAGGAAGCACTTAGAATTGCCATGTTTTCGGACTTCACCAACTGAAAAAGATATCGACAGAGATCATCCCTCGCCAGCTGGGCGAGACTAGGATGTCTCGCAATAGAAGGCCCTGCAACCTCCAATGCTACATCTATTATCCTCAGTGACATAACTCTCATTGCATCTGTATGTTGCGGATTGTGGGGGTCGAGTAAGTCGATGAGAACACGAAATAACTCTCGTATAGACGGCAACCCGTACGGCTTTGCTTCAGGATACATGAATTCTTCAGGCCGAACAGTCCCATCTCCATTAACAGTCGTATTCGAAGAGTGGTCGCTGCTAGGCCGTTCTACTTCCGGGTTAGGGGTATGTGGATCTAGACTAGATTGATGTTGAGACGCCACAGTATCACCATCAACTGAGGGATCCATCTTCACACCGCCCGCATCTTTGAGCGATGGGTCTTCCTGGAACCGATGAGCCCCAATTTCATTTTCGGCATCCAACAGACACAATCGCTGAAAGATCACTTGGCACATATTGACCATGGCTATTTCGGCAGATCTTCGAAGCACTTCTGATAGTCGGACTTGACAGCACATGCTCAAACCAGTTTCCATCATTTCACAAACACTTTCATCCCCCAGCAATTCTCCTTCTGGTCTCGAAATCATTCCTTCCATGAGTTTCAGGATTCGAAGTAAGACGATCTCATCGGCAGCCGAATCGCTGGCTTCGAACCGGCAGTGCGTTATTGCGGCGGACAGCCGCTGTAACGCCATTGATAGTCTTGGAGAATCTTGGTTTATGATGTTATAGGCAAAAAACTTTGTAATTGCGATCAACGCCAGAGATGTAATTGGGGCAGAGGTAGAAGAAGACCGAATCACCTGAAGAAAAGGGTGTAGGAGAGATGGTGTATCGAATATGTGTATATTCCGGCATTCTTTTAAGTCGACTCGGAGTCTTGTAAAGGCAGACATTAGGGGGTTGTCCTGCAAACTTTTTCCCTTTTTACCACGCAGGCCCCATCTTCCTGCAAGCGCAAAATCCGAGTCGCTGCCTATAGTATTTGATTTCGACGGCGTTGACTTATCATTTGTGTGTGTCCCAGATGTAGGATTCTGGGGGGTGGAGGGGATCGGGGGATCCCAATCGGGTGTCCTGAAAGAACCACTTCCTCCTAGAATAGCGGCAACCGAAGAATGAGCCCATCTTGCATGCTTTCGCATGGCAGAAGTCACCGTAATGCATTCGGAGGTGACCAGAGCAATGGGGTCAACAGCAATGGAAATGGGCAGCCGGGGGGCGAGGATTTCGGTATGCAGGTTCGGGAGGGCAATCGAAGGGCTGCCAGGCGGTTGCTGGCTGGATAGCGGTTGCAATTCGCCATTTCTGCTTGTTTCAGGCTCGACGGCCATGTTATTAGCTACAATCGGCCTTCTTTCTTGGTGTAAAACTGCGGTTTAAAAGCGAGGGCAGAAGCTCAGAGCGAACCACGTGTCCAGAAGCAGGGAGACATTATGTTGGGGAGTCGGAGGGTATTTGCCAGGCAAAGCGTCTCTAGAAGAATAGCCAGTAAGTCAGAAGAGTCCGCAAGCGAAAAACGTATGTCTGTGTGGGCTGTCCTGCCGACAACGGCTGCGTTGGTGAAGAGAGCTTGTGTTTGGCAAAACGCTAAATCTTCCCGCCGCCTCGAGCCCACCAAGATCCAACTCCACATTCAGCGCTGCTCTGTACTTCTATGCACCCTCAATGTTCTAGAAGCCAGCACGCATGTATTGGGATGCCTAATAAAACTTGTGTTACTTGGTGAGCTCACACCATGTATATTCATACAACTAGCTTCATGCTTATGGACAGCATTTATGTGGAATCTAATGAATAATTCACAAATATACCTGCTACCGTAGAAGTGGAAGAGTGGAAGTGGGATACGAATATCTATGTTTGTACGCATGTAGATGTTTGTAGGTATGTCCTCACGCCTGACACCGATTCGCTGATGGTCCATTCCCCGGATTCGCCGTGAAGGAGACAGAGATAAAAGAAATAAAAGAAAAGAAAAGAAGCATCAAGGAGCGAAGCTATAGATACAGACATAAGAAATTTCAAGGCTGACGGAGAACTATTTTATAAAATAAATGAAGCAAGGACTGGATAGTCATGTAGTGTTCAAATGTTTAGTAGAAATACTTAATGCGGGCACTTAAATGGTGGGGTTCTTTTCACCAGATACCACCTGGAAATTAAAGACATGAAGCTTAGGACGGCTTCCTAGGGTATAAGCAACGGTTCCGAAGGGTCACGATGCCAGATTTTGATGCTCATCAGCGTCCATATCTTCATCAAGGTCAATAGCATCGGGATTTGTTGTTATTGTTTGACTGGCGTCTACCGGCTGCCTTTTGCCGCCTTCAGGCCCAGTACTTGCTGGAACAAACCCAGCTGGAGCTTTTGCATGGCGTTCTAGAGCCGCCATAGCATCTGCACGCTCCTCTGGTTCTTCAGCTGCAGCAACATCTGCTGCTTCTTTTGCAAGCTGTTTGCTACGGGCAATGGCTTGAGAGGCAATAAAATTTACATCGGTACTAAACACATGTTAGTTTCCGAGGTTGTATAAAAGAGCAAGGCAAACGGTGGCTTCCAACTTACTTATATTGAACCTGAACACTTCGCTTAATACGTAGCATCTCCTTAAACGTGTCTTCGTTGCCGTGTTGAACTTCAAAAGCCTCCCATTTCTGCCAGAACCCAGCATTTGTTCGAGGGTCACAGAATTGGGAGGCGTGACCGTAGATAGCACGCGCCCTGTCAATCTCTCCCAGTCGACGCTCCATTTCTGCAAACTTCAGGCACATCTCTTTGGCTTCATTATCTGGTAGCGCCGCTATGGCGCGTTCGTATATTGGCCTAGTTGAAGTTAAACCAAAATTGGATGCCGACTTCGTGATATAAAAGTTGAACATCTCGAATCTATCCTTATCCGAAACCGCTCGAGTTGCACGTTCATAAATGCGCATTGCATGCCGAGCCAGACCTCGCTCTTCCTCAAGATCTCCATACATCAGAAAAAGGGTTTTAGCGTATTTGGGTGGACAGCCATCCACAGCCTGCTCAAACAAATCTCGAAGGCGTTCAATACTGATTTTTCGATCAACGGCTTTAGTCAAATAGAGGTTCCATAACTCAAAAGCAACCGGATAGCTAAAAAGGTCGAGGCCCCTTTCGTAGACTTTAAATGATTCCTCGAAATATTTGTTCTCTTCCAAAAGGTTGGCATAGTTGACCACCGTTTGTGGTGTTGCGATTCGAAGTTCGAAAATTCGTTCATACACGTTCTTAGTCTCATCTAGGGTGCCAACGCTCTCAACCAAATCGACATAGAAACTCCAAACCTTCCAGCTTTTATGAATACGCTGTTGGGGTGTCAACTTATCGTCAAAGTAATCCACTGTAGACCGTTTTGGTGCCAATGTTGCCTTAGCCATAATGCTCACCGCCCGGTCGAAGTTTTCACTGCGAAGCTCCATTTCCGCCCATTCACACCAGGTTTCCGCAAGCTCTTCAACAGACTTGAAGGGGACCTTAACAGCCTTGTCAAAAATAATCCTAGCAGTATCTAGATCTCCTCCCTTTTCGTAGAACTTCGCAAAGTTGACCCAGAGTTCATGAAACTTGCCATGTGCTTTTCGAGGGTTGATCGCAGCCATAGAGGCCGCGTAAGTACGTACGACTTCTTCATTATTGTCTCCCCAAAGAGCGACCCGCTTGCTCCATTCTATGACATTGTTGGGGTTTTGTCTGAGCAGAACATCGTTTAGTAGGAAAGGGCGGCGATCCATAAGCTGCTCAAATCTCATCATGCGGAGATCAAGATCAAAATCTGCATTTTCGTCGATTTTAGATTCATCTAACCGATCGGCTGCGGCTTCCATCAAAGTACCAATGATAGATTCTTCAAATTCAACATATGAATCAAATATCATAGTGAAGTCCCGCACTGTCATAACAGTTGTAACCCCATCTTCGAAAATATCACGAGCTTTCTCGAAATCGCCACGAGTGATCCAATATGTTGCAAGGCCAACCCAGAGCCTGCCTCTCTGGTCAGGAAACCTGTCCACGCCACTGCGAATAATTGCTTCCACGTCTATACCGCTATGTGGTCCTGTTTCGACTTCCTTGGCATGACTAATTAGTAATTCCAACATTTCCATCCACAACTGGAATTGGCTTTTGCCATTTTTGGATTGAAAACGCGTGTTGTCCAAAATTTCAATATACCTTCTTACTGCTTCAGTATATTGCTTCATCTCAACCAGGATATTGATATAATCCTCAGCGTTCTCTGGGTGGACTTGCATGTATCGATTCCATATTTTCACGGCAGTTTCACCCGACGCGGACACAGCAAAAGCTTTATATAGTTTCCATATTCGGTTATGCTGAGTAATTGGCAACGCACGTAGTGCACGGTCGAACGTACGACGACATTGTGTAACCAAAGGTTGTTCCAATAAAAACGATAGGTATATCTCCCAAATGCGTGGCATTTTATTTAGCAAGACAACAGCCCGTTCAAATAAAGCATTAACTTTTAAATATTCGAGTTGGTGTACGGCGGGATTTCTGCCTTTAAGGTGCTTGATTCTAAATTCGAGATACTGTATTTATACTGATCAATATCTAATAATACGTGGCATGAAAAGAGAGAAAATACCATCTTCCATAATTTATACGATCTCGGTAGATGTTTGCAGGCTCGTTCCATGACCTAGGTCAATCCGCGTTAAAATTGAACGTCTGTTATGAATAAGAACAACATACAAACGCCTGTTCATAGGCTGTTCCGTTCTGCTGCTTGAATTCGATGTATGATAGCCATGGTGTGATGCTGCCCGGGTTCCGCAGAACATCTTGCTCGTACACCGTATCTTCGGTAGACTTGAAGGCGGGCAATATTAGTATTAGAATTAAGGTAGAAGTAGGAAAAACAGCCATCACTAACAATCAGGTAAAGATCAGGGCGCACTGATTCCATCTTCGAGACATCTGGGGATGGCTGCGAGCTTCTAGCACCCAGAACGGTCCCCGGCATTTCACCACTCTCGAGAGTGGGACCTTTTTGAGGCCGCCACGGTGAGGTCTGAATGCTGTCCGTCTACAGGGTCGATAATAATTATTGTTGGCGCTTGCAATTCTTTGATATTAATGGCGCTTCGTTCATCAATTGGAAGACCATTTTAGCCACGTGATAGGCTAGGTATTTAGTCATCTTAATCAGCGCCCCCTAGTGTGAAAGAAGGCTTGGGCAACTACCTAGCTACCTAACTAGTTACGGACTAGTTAGTTAGGAAGTTACCTAAGTTCAACGTCATCGGAACTTAATTCACGTGATGTATTTTGATACGGGGCATCTAACTACGGAGTACGGAGTATCGAGGCTTCAAAGGGCTTGCTTCAACTTCACCGAGGTGTTGACGCTATCAGAACCAAGATGTCGGGCGCAGCTGTAATTTATATGCATTATTGATATTCTGAACGCATTATGGCTAATTTTTGGTTTCTAGGATCGCGAGGCCGTATTTCCGACCCGGCAATCGCTGGGCTTGATGAAAGGGAAGCTGAAGGGTGCAGAACAAGGCTACAGTCTCCTGAAACGCAAAAGCGAAGCTTTGACAAAGTACTTCTCTCAATTGCTTACTATGTTTATACCAGCTAATCAATGCTGCATATAGACGCTTTCGAGGTTTGATTGTATACAACATTAGGTCCCCTTATTATGATCTAACACTTTCATAGAAATCACGCGCCGAATCGATGAGGCCAAACGAAAAATGGGGCGTGTGATGCAAATAGCAGCATTTTCTCTTGCGGAAGTTTCATATGCTGTCGGTGGCGATATCGGTTTCCAGATCCAAGAATCCGCAAAACAAGCGCGCTTCCGAGTTCGTACAAAGCAGGAAAATGTTTCGGGTGTCCTTTTACCTCAGTTTGAAAGCGTTACCGCTGAGGCAAGCAATGACTTTGGCTTAACGGGTCTTGGAAAGGGAGGCCAGCAAGTGCAAAGATGTCGCGAGACTTACGCCAGGGCAGTTGAAACACTTGTAGAGCTTGCGAGTTTGCAGGTGAGATTCATGATACAAAATGGATGCACCTGTACTGATATTCATTGACGTAAAGACTGCTTTCGTGATACTCGACGAAGTTATCAAGGTTGTGAATAGAAGAGGTACGTCGCGTTTGTGATTCTAGTATATTACTTTGCTAATTATCATTGGCAGTGAATGCGATGTATGCGTCTCTATACCAAGCGCCGTGGGGAATACCGACTAATACACTTTCTCATAGTGAACATGTTATTATTCCTCGAACTGAGAATACTATCAAGTGTACGTGGAAGTTCGACTCTTATATAGGTTCCCGACACTGACAACTTTTACAGACATCAATTCAGAATTAGATGAGTTAGACCGAGAGGAGTTCTATCGACTGAAGAAGGTAAATAGAAATTACGAAAGAGGTTTTTCCTTGATATTAACTTCCAATCTTAGGTATCAAACAAAAAGCAAAGAGACACTGCAGCGCTAGACGCAGAAATCAAAGCTAGCCGAGTTAAAGCGGAGAACACTGGGAAAGTCGGGTCTTCCAATACAGATTCCCCAACCGATATCCTCGCTCAAGGAGAGGATGAAGACGTGATATTTTAGGCCTTACCAATCCGCTGTATTGTAGCGCAATTGTAACTTTTATGGTTTTTTATTAGTTCCGTTCTACATTCCACCATTTGACCCTTTCTAGACGCCGAAAGAACTGGAGTAGTATCATCATATCATACACTATAGAGTAAACAACTCTGCCTATTGTCTTTGGTAGGTCACTTTAATTGGTTTCGCACCGTCACCTAACGTCATACCTGACGTTGCTTCTTTAGCGCTGATAGCTCCAGCTTCATTCTCATATTCTACAAATGCGATTCCCTTCCGGCCTGGCACCATGCGGACTTCTTTGAACCCTTCAAAACGTCCAAATATTGCAGTGAGACCATCCGCGTCGTAGGACTCTGGCAATTCTCGAAGAAATAGAATCTTGTTGGGCGGAAGGTATTCATCAGGAATAACTGGGGCAGCAGCAGTGCCCGTTGGTTTTAACCCTGCTCCTCTTGTTGTTTTAGCCGGACGAGTATCCGTGGCAATAGCTGCAGGTCGTTTTAATCTCTTTTGTGCTTCAAGGGCATCTTGTGCTTGTCTCCTTTCTATCAAATTTGTTTAATTAGCTAGACAAGTCGCAAAAAAACAGCATATAAAAGCTCAAACCTTTCTCAGCCAATCGCCTCCGTTTGTGCGCTTCAAGCTCCTGGTCACCCGCTTCTTTGAGGACTGTAGCATCGCTTTTCGTTTTCGCATAGTCAAGTACCATGGGTTTTTCAAACAGCTCGAACCCATTGACTTCATCGATGGCCCGAGTTGCAGAATCAACACTATCAAAAACAATGAAAGCTTGACCTTTAGCCCTGAGATTCGTCTTCGCGACAATTTCGAGAATGGAGCCGTATTCAGAAAAAATCTCGCTTAGGGCCTCTTTCAGTTCCTCCACCTTTACTCTTTCCTCAAGATTTCGAACCTTTAGGGGACCGGTCGACTAAGTTAGCAAAAGACGGCACTGTGTAATATGGGACCCAGAGCATACATAAACTCTAGAGCCGGATTAGCGATAACGCAAAGGGTAAAATGAGGTGGAGGTATGCCCTTACGTAGAATTAGGTGGTATACCAGTCCCTCCTGAAACTAAAGCTGCCATCCTAAACGCGCCCCAAAGATCATCAAGCTGCTGAAAGACCTGATGAATGGAGTATCTGGAGTAACTCGACTAATAAGAACTTGATGACTAAGCGTGTGACTCCAACTGCTCCGTCCTCCGTAGCTACTTCGTATGCAGAGTAGTTAACCTACTCCGTCCTAGCAGGATTTAACTGGCTACTCCAGACGAAGTATAAAAGAGAAGATGCAAACTAAAATACGCAGCCATTCAATATTTTGTTTCGAAAGCCATTCTCCCGGTCCACCTTCAACATCTGTACATACATCGTTATACTGTCCCTAGAAACTGAAGAAGATTTGATAGATAGTTAAGGGAGATTAGGTCTAAGAGGTGGCTACCTAAACTTATGACTGCCCCCATAACTTGACTCATACCGCGAGGAAGGCAAACCGTTGAAAGAGGGTATATTTATTTCACAAATCAAAACTCTAGAAACCATCAGAATGCAAGGTGTGTGCTTTTTTGCGGAGTATGTGTAGGCGGATGCATTCAACTAAGCCCATGGCTCCGTTGGATATTCTCAACAACGCCCTTGAGTTCTTTAGAGGGCAATGACCAATTGTTCAGTTTTAGCACAACATCACCAGTGCTCATGAACAGACACTCTGCAGTCGTCGATCGGATCTAAAGGGTATTCGTTAGCGAAGCATTGCTAAATTGATATTTCTTCGTTTAAGACATACCTTTGGGTAAGGATGCAAGAGCATGCCAATCATTTTCTTTAAAACATCCATTCTAATGCTGTTTTGTCGTAATAAAACGGCGTATAACTTGACTGCAGCTTCTATTCTAGGTATATTCGAGCATTTGAAGTGGAACTTTTGAGTGAGGACAAATAGTTTTCGAGACCTACTGCTTATCAGTTACTGCACGATAGATCTTCAATATTGAAGTTACCGAAGGCCCATTTCAGCCGAATCGTTATCGAAGCAGTTTTCAAGCAAGAATGTGAGTGTATCGACACTAGGTATAGCATAGCGATCGTCATCAATCGTACTCTCTAGTATAGAAATAACATCGTTGAAAATTTGAGATTTTAATAGACCGCCGTCCTCACTGTTCCGCGTAATATGTTGCACTAAAGCCAGCCTCGAGGATTGAATGAGACTTTCCGAGCCAGCACTGGCGGATGTAACCAGTCCTTTAAGCAACGAGGGCCGAATCCAGTCCTCTGAGAGGAGCAAAAATAGTTGTAGAAAATAATCAACAGAAGAAACGTCGTTTATATGTTCATATTTTCTTCTAGACCGTTAATATTGAAGGTTTTATAGGGAAAAACGGATTACCTTTGTAAAGGAGGAAGCGTTGTTTCTGATTCCCAAAACAGCTCGAGGCATTTCCAGGCTTTGAATCGAACCTTATCTAGCTTTTCTGCCGCAAGTCTGGTTATGCACTTCATGAGGCTATAGATATGAGTGTTGATGAGTGATAGGGGAAGCTTTGATTTGATAATAAAATTGACTGCATCAATTGCTTCAAGCCTGATAAAAGAGCCGATGTCCCCCCTTCTATCAGTAGTATAATCGTTGAGAAATGACTGGAAGTGAATTAAAAGTCGTTCAATACTATCTATGTTTGCTACGTTAGCTATCTTTCGTCTGTTAGGGGTATTTAATGGACGTGTATACCGGTGTATGGCAGGATTCCCGTGATAATGTACTTTACGGCAGACGACCGCTTCAAGATCAACTCCCCCTGGGCGGTAGACCTAAGCAGCTCGTTCAGAATCAAACACCTCCCTTCGCTATCAGCCGGAATTTGCTTAAAAACGGATCCAACGGCCGCAATCTGTCCCCTACCTGTAGCGGACTTCCAACTTGCCTGGATATTGTGTAGCCATTGCTGAACAACCTCTATTTGTGATTTGGATGATAAAAGTATAAACAGATCACATGCTGCTTTGGAAGATGCTTCAATTGGAACATCTTCTCCACGGCAGGCACATAATGTAAGTGTACCAACGGCCTTATCTAGCAGTGACGCGGTTGGGCCTGGCAAAGTAGGAATTGTCTTTTCGTCCAGAGGAGCGGAAGAGCGTGAGAGTGAAGACAAAAGAACAGCAGAAGCTTCTGCCGTCAAATCGGGGCGAAGCTCCGGGAGAGTGAGACTGTCCGTGGATAGCCCAGTGTTGTTGTCGAAAATATTCCACAGTTTTGATATTTCCAACCCAATTTCATTGGCATCACTGTCACAACTGAATGGGTGATGTCTATACACCAGAAAGGTATCAATTAGTGCAGCGATAGACAAGAAACATCCATGTCGCGCCTCTATAGCGTATGGAGACAAAGTAGACAATATTTGAACTGTTTTGCGGAGGGCAATGAGAATCGTTTTATAGCCTTCCTGTGCACCGAGCTTTCCAACAGAAGAAGCAGCTGTTCTTCTTGATTGCGGGTCTGAAGATTCAATTCCTCGCCAGCCTAACAATCCATCAAGAAGCGATTTCCAGTACACCATACCAAGTGATGCAGCATTTCGCGTAACATCATCCATTGCTTTTGTTCGGCGAGCAATGGCATGGTAATCAACAATCTGAACCAGAGAAATGCCTTCCGATATTGTATCCGGATGGCGACCAACCAATTCTTGCAGCGCGGCTGAAGCACCTCTACGTATATTCCCCGAAGGATCCAGACAAGCGGAACAAACAAGCTCCGTGGCCAGGATTTGCAGTACGCTCTCATCTATGTCAGGTCTGAGTTTAACTTCTTGAGCGTCTAATCCATGCAGTTCAAGTGTAGAATATTTCCGTGCGACAGACCAGATGCCGAAGCAAGAGGCGTCTCTAACACTGCCTCCAATTGAGCTTCCAGTGGAAGATTGCTTCTGAAAGTCAAGCCCAGCTATCAGAGATTGTAATACTTGATTTAGTTGGTTTAGAGGAAGCGCTCGACGGAAGAGCAGATGTCCTAACGTTAGAAGTAGCCCCTGCCACCTCTGAGAATCAACTGCGCTTGTATTTCGTTTGAAGGAAGCCGAGGTAGTTTGTTGCATTTGAAAATGGGAAACCATGGTACCATTGCAATTTTCAAAAAAGATATTTTCTTCCAATGCTTCCAAAATAGCGCCAACAATATCAGAAGCCATTCCAGGATCCAGCTTCAAAGTGATCATACTTAAAGCTTTGCTGGCAGCAAACCGGACAGGGGTATCTTTATCTGCGAGTGTAATAAGAAAATAATCTACTGAATCTTCCAAAATAGTAGATGTTGTACTTGAGTAATGTGCCTCGTTCGCCCTCTCGTCTAATGTAAGTGTAAGTATTGTCATGGACCGAAGAATTTTGGTCACGGCCTGTCGCGCAGATGCTGACGACAAAAGTCCTTTCGGAAAGTTTGAGCTATCTGAAGAAATTCTGGTAACCGTATCACATATGGATACAATGTACGGCGCAAGGTCATCTGCCCGAGACTGGACACCTAGTCGTGAAATAAACAACAATGCGGGTAATGCCGAAGTAACAGAATCTGAATTCAGTATTGCAAAAGCCCAGCTAATAAGTGCTTTCATAAGGCCCAGTTTCTGCATATCTGGCCTCAACGCAAGCCTTGCCAGAAGATTGATGGCGGCCTCACTCTCTTTTCCTGGAAGCATGGCATACTTCAGGGTAATCGAAAGTGCCGATAATGTCACTGAAGGAAGGTTGTCTAATAATCCAGCCACTGCAGACAAATTATCATACGGAATAGGAACGGTATCGGAAGAGATAGAAGCAAGGTCAAATGGGGCTAGGAATAAGTGAGACAGCCACAGGAGCATAACATATTTCTCTTCCCAGGTAAACGGAGATAATCCCGTGAGTTCACTTCTAGTATCATCGTCCCATGCAATGAATGCTCGAAGAATTGGCTCAAGATATTTTGGCTCATTGTTAAGAAACCTGGTAATCACTTTCACACCACGAACTTTACACAAAACATAAATAATCTTGCAGATTGATCTCGATAGAGGCTCCAAATCCTCATTTTTGGAAATGTAAGGTGAGGATGTGGATACGGATACTGATGCACACGTATCTCTATAGCAACGAAGATATATGAGGAATGCTTCAGTTAACTGGGACAAAATTCCATGAAGGTGGGGATCTAAAAGCTGCGGCCACTCTTGAAATGGCTCCAGCTAGTTTTACATGAGCAATATATTTATTCCACAGAAGAGAGGTTAGACCTACAAGAGATCTCAGTTTCTGTGTTTTGCCGCATTGGGCCCATTGGTGGAGTTGAGGTTTATTACCACTGGACTTCCACAGTAAGGGAGGTAATCTCGTATTAAACTCGTCTAAGAGATCTCCAGAGGCACGCTGTAGCTCTATATCTCTATCACCAGGCGCGTCCATGGCTGTGTACTTTCCGACCCATCAGCCCGCCATTGACGCGGGGCCTTTTAAAATAAACATAAAGATAGCGTAGCTATCTTTCGTAGTTACTAGCGCATACGATTGGAATGGTACCTGTGCGGTAACGAAAGATGGGTTGATTACTAAGCATATAGAGTGAGGCAAACACTGCAAACTAACTACCGAACTCTAATCAGCTTGGCCTCATTCTATTTTCAACCGCAACATTCCATTTCGCATCAAGACTACCGCGATAGCCACAGCTAAAGAATTCCACACATCTTGGTCCGGCTCACTGAAGTCAAATTGTGCAATGAACCTGGCAGATTTTGCGTCGTTTAAATGTCCTGGGTTCAAGTCTAGAGTGATGACAGACAGAGTGCACCCGCAAATCAAAAATCCGGTGAGAATAGGCAAATTTTTCTTACCATGCTTATTGTAATCATAAGGGCTCTCGTATTTTGAATTGTTCTTATCCGTCTGAGACATTGTCCATAAGCGCCGGTGCCGGTCACCTAATGCAATCAGGTCATCGACAACCGATATTACCGCAGTTTTGACTGATTGAAATTGTTTAACTGTGTATATAGTATGAAATGGGATCTTTTGCGGCTCTTTATACAGATTTGCGTCGCGAAGGCCCCAGCGGATATAAGATTTTAATATTCGCCTCAATACCGGCTCTGGCTGAAGATTAAAACGCTGACGGTCCCGTGAGCGAGGACCCAAGGTTATGAGAGCTTCAAGAGCCTTGATTGCTATTCTCATATTAGCGACCAAATCTATAAGGGCTCTTTCATCCATACCTCGAAATTCATGCCCGCTTAATGACTCTATCAAGCTTTCTCTCGCCCCGCATGGAGAGAATAATGCCTTAGGAAACGTAGGGAAGTCTCGTTCCCAAGAACTAGGCACTAATGGCTCAAGTCCTCGCATGGACAAGTGAGACAGGAGGTCCCGCTCGGCATCTGTCCACTCCCCAGGCGGCTGAGAGGTTGGACCTGTCCATATACCTGCTTTCTCCAAATCATTTTCGACTACAAACTTGTATCTCTCGCGTCTTCTTAATTGTTGCGGATTCGTACAGGTATGAAAGATGACGCTCTCGGTGCCTTGAGCAGGGGAAACTCTATGTGACTTTTTACCAGAGCCCTCCGGCGAAGAGGCCTCAAATTTGAGGTTGAATGGCTCTGCCGTTTTCAACAAGAGAGTTTTAACGTCGGGTTCAGCGCTAGATTTTGACCTGAAGCTATGAGAGACCTTCGAAGTATTGCTTTCACTTGCCAACACATACTCCTCCTCGTCACTGTTGTCGCGCGCACTTGGTGTCACAGGAATATCTGACTCCCTACTGGTCTGAACAAGCGTATCTTCTTGATAGAGCTCGAATTTCACGTTAGGAAGCGGTAGGTCGTCGAAGCTTTTCGCATCACCCAGGCGGCCAGAGTTCTCAATTAAAGTCGAACCGTCAATATCCCCACCAAGCTCGTGTTGGGCGCCGTTGTGCCCGTAACCAAGGGTATATACTGCATCCTCATCCAATATCTGTGGGCTAGTGTAACGAACCATCTTCCTAGAGGCACTGATTATTTTTCGTAACTTATTATTTCAGTTAATGCCACCCGTTTAGCCTGACTGAACTTAGGTAGAATAAGCATATTATATTCTTATTCAACCAAACTACGAGAAATATAGGATATTTGAAGTAGTATATCAACAAAATTGAGTGACTATTTCTGTGCCTTATCATTGTTGTGTCAAAGAATCTTCTTCGCTATGAGCTTTATGTTCAATAGAAAGGCATCCGGGAATGTCCTCGGATTCGGTTCGCAATGCAGCTGCCGGTTTGTTTTTCACAAGATAAAGGGAAACTTCAATGCCGCCAGTTCATGCTCTCATCCGAACCACTCTATTTTTATGGTACAACTAAACCATTGACCTATGTTTTTGTGCACAAAGATTGTCATCGAGACAACCAGCTTTATCTAGCTGGGGGAGATTGCAGGTTGTGAATATGATATTTCTGGGTAACTTTAGGTCTTCTGCCTGAATTTACAAGCATTTTCAAGATTGGGTAAAGATAGTTTGAAACCAACACCCCCAGTCATTAGCATAGAGAGATAATAGTTTCCAACTACCGATGCTTCGCAAAATTAAAGAGTAATATTGCCAGAAAACAGTATGTGATTTGAAGAAGGACGAGAAAGCCATTGCCGCCAAACCAACCTCCTCGAAGCCTTGCCAAAGTGTAAAGTAAAGTGAAACCCCACCTGCCGCCTCCTACTCACCGCTGATTTTGCTACCTTTTTGCTAACGAACTAAGGGGTATGGAAAACAATATTTTTGATTACAAAAATATGAAAAGCCGAGATAAGTGCATCGTCAAGTGTAGAGCAGGCCCAAAAATCCCGTTTATGCCTGATAAGAGGTCTAAACGAAGTCTGCAAAATAAGAAAAGCCACGGAATTCTTCTTGCATTGCTTGGGAGAGAACTTGAAGAAATGTTAGTACGTATACGTGGTCAGGGTGGGAAAGGCAATGCGCACCAGATTGCACGGGGGTGAGAACAGGAGTCACGCTCGTAAATTCTTGGTCAAAGTTGCTTGTATCCGTAGGACTTGTTATTGTTGGGAAGAATGGAGGACTTATTCGTTTATGATAGATATCCTCCCAGTTGATGTTGCGGAAAAATGCGTGTGACATGATTTCTTGTGCGTCAGTTGGGCCAGATCCTAATCGTAATTCCGGCTCACGGGTCAACAGTTTTTGCAATATGGAGACCGAATCTCGAGGCATATGGATAGGGTAAAGGGGTTCGTCTGCTAAAATGGCATCATATATTTCGTCCTCATCTTCTCCTCGGAAAGGCGACTGCTGAAGTAGCATTTGGTAAATGAGAACCCCAAAAGCCCACCAATCAACGGCCCGTCCATATTTCTTATCCAACAAAATCTAGTCAAGATCAGCAGACAAATCATAAATGGATGCATTGGAGAACTACATACCTCAGGAGCCATAAACTCCGGAGTGCCACAGAATGTGCTGGTCGTGGAACCATACCACATATTTTCCTTACACAGACCATAATCGGCAATTTTTATGTGCCCATCCAATGTTAGTAGAATGTTATCAAGTTTCAAGTCGCGATATATGACACCGTTCTCGTGAAAGTATTTAAGTGCCAAGCAAACCTCAGCAGCATAAAATCTATGTGGCGTTAGCTCTCTATCCATACTCAGGGGAGGGCGATAGTGCATACTGTGCTCGCTTCAATCCGAACTGTCCACGTTGAATATGCAACATTAAATCACCACCACTGATATATTCCATCACCAAATACACACGAGTCTCGGTTTGAAAACATGCGTGCAAATTAAGTAGGAATGGATGTCGTTCTTTATTCGCAACCAAGAATACTCGTTTCTCTGACTTTGTGCTCTCAACTTCATCGTTTTCGATGATAAACTCCTTTTTCAGCACTTTAATAGCGTAAAGCTTCTTGGTTGTTTTAGTCTCAGCAAGCATAACCTTTCCAAAATTACCCTTTCCTAGAACAGCCAAGAAGTTAAAATGATCTAATCCAACGCGCTTTGGTGGCTGCTGAGCTGCAGCAGAAGGCTGAATCTGCTCTTTCGAAGCAAATTGGCCTTGAGGTGGCTGGGTAGAAATGGGGGTTTGCTGAGACATCCCGTACTGAGGAGGAATTTGTTGAGACACTTGAATTGGGGGCAGCTGAGGTGGCTGTCCGAAAGCATTTACACTTGCGTACGCACTTGGATCGTAGTGCGCGTGAGCCGGAGGCATCGATTGGGCTTGAGACTCCAAATAAGACGGCCTCGAATTGGTGTAGTCTGTAGATGAGCGGTCATAAAGGCCTGTTTGCTGAGACGGAGGCCGCATTCCAGTTGCAGCCGCAGCCGCAGCAGCTGCAGCATTTGTAGCTGTAGTAGGGGGCCGGCCAGAAGGTCCGGATTGTGGGGTGGTGTAAGATGTATGGGCAGCACTAATGGCATCTGTAGATACAGGCTTTGCTTGGCTATATCTGGAGTCAGTGGGCCTTTGAGCCTCACTGGATTGCTTACTTCCAGGCCGAAGAGTTTTAGCAGCCATTGCACCGCCCGCTCTATTGTAATTTTTAGTCTTGATTAGTGTTTCGAGAATTTGGTTAGCGACTTCCATCGACATGCCACAAAAATCAGGAACAAGATGGGCGCATTGAGCATGGCAGGTGAGTCCACATTCTAATAATAGTCAGCAAACCGTAAGTGCCATGCCACCATGCATGATCTTACCGGAGCACTTTTTCGCGTTCTTTCTGCCAAAAGGAAGTAAAAGACCACAATGGCAGCACCAGTTCGCCGAAATGTTTGAAAAAAACTCGAATCTATGTGGTATACGGTGGTTGATTTTCTCTTCGTCAGGGTCTGTTTCATAATTTGCCTTGCTGATACACTTTGTCACCACTTTAGGGTAACATTTCCGATGACAAGTGTACTTGCAATCAGAACACTGCATGCCAGCAGCGTATTTCAAAAAGTCTCCACAAAGAGCACACCGCATGATATTGTAGAATTGCTGTGTGACGAATTTGTGTCCTTGCTTCTCATGAACCTCTTCTTTCTTTTGGCGGACAGCGCCTTGTCGATTGAGGCCGATATCAAAGGGTCTTCGATCTTTCAGCTGTTTGGCTAGGAGTAGGTTAGTAACGTATAAGTGCGGTAAGAAAACTGCAAAGTCCACATACCAAAACTCATGGTAAGATGGATCCTGCCGACAGGTTCTAGAGCAAACCAGGAGTCGATCATAACCGTTGCGCCTTGGCCAGTTTGATTTCCTTGGTTAGGATGAGGATCTGGAGGAAGACTACTCTGGAATAGGGAGTCTGGTCTCCCGCTCCCTTGTTCCATTTTATCGGCTGATACCCAACCCGAAGCATTGAATTCTGTCTCAATCTTTTTGCGACGCATCTCTTCGGCAATATCCGATAAACGTATCCAAAGCATACCAATTGGTGTTGGACGATCTCCACTTTTGTCATACACTGTAAGTTCTATTTCGTTGGCTTTATCGATGTCAATATTGAAGGTCTCTTCCGGCCATTTATCGGTACGGGTCGCCTTTGTCTTTGCCTTAATAGCATCTTCAACTTTCATGATAACGAATGTCTCCGGCCCTCTGGAGAACCTCGAGCCAGCAGCATGGTCAACATCTTTCACAGCATGGATACGCATTGCAAGATGGCCAGTTAGCGGTTTTCGGATATTGGGAGAATTCAAACTCTCATCTGCAAACGCATGAGAGTCAGTTTTCATACCAGAGTACAATAGTTCCACAATTGACTTGCCGTCAGGACTGTCTGCACTCTCAATATCCACATGTAAATCTTCGTATCTTTTCAAGGCTTGCTTTAATAGTTGAATCTTTTGGTTGCTTTCAATCCGCCTTCCCTCGGCATCAGCCCTGCTCTTTCGATCACCCTCGTCCTGATAAAGTCTAACCATTTTCTCAATTCCAGCTTTATATTGTTTTTCGACGCTCAATTTGAATTCTAGTTGAGAGAGCATAAGTTGAATCTTGGGGCCAAGGTAAGGGGTATCGTATTTGATCAAATCTAGATCAGAGGAAGTTAGTCAAATGTCAAAGGACATGGACTGAAGGTGGCTGCTTTTCGGCTTTGAGGAAAACAAAATACCTAGCTTGCTAAAATTTGGCCTTGCTTTTGGCGCGCCACCGGGTCTGGGGTCATGGAATTGGGCCTGACCGGCCATAGAGCCCGAACCGCCTTGGGTGTAACCCCTATCGGAAGGGTACTGAGCACCGTCTTTAGGGGGAGGAGGTGGGCCTCCACCAGGTTGCCACTGCTGGGTGGGAGAACCGGGTTGGTGGGCGCTTTCGCGGTTCATCTTCCGAATCTGAAGCTCTCTCATCTTCTCTTCTAGATATGCGATGTTTTTTCTCCCATCGCGGATATTGGCATCCACCCTCTGTTGAACAAGCGGATTATCAGTTGATTGACGCATGTTGGTGGCCGCATTTATAAGAGCCTTTTCCCGCTCGATCTTGCGGTAGACCTTGGCCATCAGGTCGTCGTCTCCGTCCATCTTTGCGGTCGTGTACTGGTAGCGGAACTTTCGGAGGAAGGGATCTGACAGGAAAAGAGATCAACTGTAGTAGAATTAGCAGAAATTTTGAGAATTGATGTTGTGTTCGTGGGATGTCTAGGGTTGTGACTAGTCCATAGAAGATGCCGGGCATCAGCTTGCTCGGCGCAGTACAAACCAAGCATTCACACAAAGAGGGCAAAGAGGGCCATGCAGCATTCAATCACCAGAAGTCACAGAAAGGAACAGGAGCCTCAGACACACCACTCCCACACGTACCTTAGCAACACCCTGGGTGGAAGGCAGATGTTGGGCAAACTGCACACGCTGGAGTGGGAAAAGAGGCTGAATGCCGTTGTCTAGTGGATCGAGCTGCGCGGCACCAAGCTGCTAGGTTCGCAGAATGGACGTCCGACTGGCCTGGTATGAACGCTGGACCATGGACGGGCTTGTCTGCGTGGTGGTCAGCTCACAGCGCGGCACTTTAATGTGTATGGTGATTAGTTAGTAAGTAGTTAGTTAGGGAGGGGAACTGCTAGAGTTGCCGCATCAACTTAGTGGGGATAAGATTTCTCAGATCTTGGCCTGCATGGTGACATCTTACGAAGGATCGACTACTTCGAAGGTCAATCGACCGCTAGCCAGCGCCGTGCCTCGATATTCATGTGCCGGGGCTCCGTTTCTTAGGTGGCGGATCGCTGAAGGGGCCGAAATCCTTTGCCATCAGCAAGGAGCACTGAAGGTGTCTCGACTTACTTCAAGAGTCAGTCACAATTAACTAACTACTGCTTAGTGGGAAGAGACGGCCATTGGATGAGCGATGCAGATGGTATGCCTACACTATTCATGTCATAGCTATATCACTTCTGTAATGGTACCTTTGCAGCCCCGGCCGTCGTTGCCTATAGACAGAACTGGTCCAGCATGCTGCATATGTATGCACCGTCCATACACCATGGCACTGCTCTGTTCCTGTCTGATACGCGCGATCAAACCATTCTCCCCAAAATAACTACATACACACTAATAAAAGCTGGAAACAAGGCGTTCCAGATGCGACCATTCTACCAGTGACCGATCCCGTGATTGAAAAGATCGAAGGTCGACTCTTTGGGACCACATCGGATGAAACTACTTAGATGTCCAGCTGACTATTGACATGCGTGTCTCCTATCGAAAATATCGCTGACGTGTAATGCTTACTAGAAGTGTGCGCCTTGTACATACTCCAGCTACGCCAGATACCTTGATAAGGTTCAATATGCCGATGTATGTACATATGTACATACATTCCAGTTCCGATTTGAACCACCATTTCCTAGAATTTTGTTCTATTGGTCTAGATACATATTTTTGCTTTGTCACCCCCAACGGATCGCGATGGCAACCTCCTCCGCTATGATTTCAAACGTACGCATGGATGTATGTACATACGTACATATGTTTGTACCTCCCAGTAATAAGACGTTTCACATAACGAGCCATACCTGAAGAAATTATAGGGTACCCTGCTGGAAAGAAATGCAAGGTGCATTCATGGTCCGCGGCTATCTGATTGGAAGTTCCTCGCTCCCAGCTACCTCAGCGACCGCATTATCGATTTGAACTGGTTTCGAGGCATCCGCTTCAATATCTGCCCTGGCTGCTCCGGGATAACGAGAACCTTTGTCTTTCACCTTCTTCTGCTTCTTTTGCACAACAGGTGGCGGGTAGGCCTTTAATGTGATCTCTTGCCATTCGGGCGAAGCTTCATAGGCGGCTTGAATGGGTGCCATGAGGCTGATTAATGCCGCCGCAACGGCAGGTTTAAGCATTTGAGGCGTCAACTAGTATATCGTTAGTTGGCAGGGGCTAAGAAAACGTTAAAACGCGAAGACGCGAAAATATAGCATACCACGTCGTTCACATAGTCCTCATGCAACTGTTTGATGTCAGTATAAATAAAAGGCTCTGCATCATGGCGCTCGACTCGAAATTCTTTGTTTCCCTTCAGAGCAGCGGCTGGTAATAGAATAAATTCTACTAATGCAACGACGCCATTCCCTTCGACAACTCGAGGAACCGCCTCTGCTTTGCGAATCTTCTTCGAAATACTATCAGCTGAGTCAAGGAGGTCGATCTTGCTTTCTGTTTAGACATGAGTATCGAGGGCTGTTAATATGTATGGAGGCCGTAGGATATACCTTGAACACTAGAGCTCATTTTGCCTCCACTAAGACCAGCAATCATTGGGTTGATAAGGTGGGCGCGCTGGATACAGGTCAGTCCATGGGGGCCAAGTCCGTGGTTAATTTTATCCCACCTCTCGATAACCCAGTTTAGGAAGCCATTCTTTTGCGGCTACAAATAGCTTTCTCTGATCAACTCCTAATATGGATTAGCCAAATCCAAATATAGTCTTATATGAGTAACACCATACCTCCTAATTGGGCATCGACTTTGAGGTGCTCTTCGTCTAGGACTTGAAGGATAGGGTAGAGCAAGCCACTTAAGGGGGCATTCGATGACTGCTTAACGATTTCCGCTCCGGCTTTCTTTGCGTCATGCTCTGAAACCAACGACGACAGCCGGTACACATCCATAACGTATTCGGGGCTCTTTTGGTAGGAGCTTCCTAAGACAAACTCGAGTTTCTCGATCGGAACACCTACGGATTCGAGGATTGCGGTGATAATTTTTCGGTAATATTTGGCGCGGCTCTCAACAAGTTCGATTGGCGCTTTAAGGTTGTCAAGAAATCCATGAATATCGGCAAGCAATATTACTACATCGCATCCTGAAGCTAGCAACTGCGCAATTTTCAATGCTGGAACGAAGTAGCCGGTGTGAGGTCGACCAGTTGTGGCAGTACCTGCATAAATATACAATGACACAGGTTAGCTATTTAATCTAAGCAAGTCGTATGCTCTGGGAGCAAACTTACCCCAATAAATTCGCGGGTTTCGCCCTTCGGCCAAAATGTTCTCAATCAGGCCAGCATCGAGAAACTCTGCAAGATTCTGGCTGATAAGATCGAATCTTTCTTTGGCAGCGGCATCCATTGCAACGGGAGGCAATAAATAAAGGTTTGGCACCAAGAAAGAGGTGGTGCAGTAGAGAAACGAAAAGCCCCCAGGGTGGGATGAACTTCGGCCTCCAAAACTCCCGCGATGACTGATATCAGCCGGGAGTTTATGCCAAGACGGTTAATTAGGTAAGCAGTGGCGGGGTAGTGTTTAACTACCCACAAACAAATCTGTGTTCCTTCAAGACAAGAGGCGGACAGCGAGAAAATGGGCCTGCCGAGGAGGAAGCTGTTGGCCACCGTGGAGGAGACACTCGTACCACCGCCTGCCCTACCCGAAAAGCACCTCATCGCTCGAGTCCTCCGGGCGACTGGCAATAATGTGTACTCGGTGGAGCTCCCTTCCAAAGACTCGATATTAGTGGAATTGCCTGCTCGATTCCGTTCAACTATCTGGATGAAGCGCGGGTCCTTTGTTGTGATCGATTCTAACGCGCTTGACGAAAGGGAGAATAAACTTTCAGGGCAAATAGTAAATATCGTGAGGGATGAGAAGGCGTGGCGCAAAGCGAGCTTCTGGTTTGTGGCCATAATGATACTGATTTTCGTATGTTAATCCATGGTAGGCCAAAAGAATTTATGAGGCAAGCCGTACCGGATGGCGATGATGAGGATTGCAACGTAGGCAAAATGCCTCCTTCGGACTCGGACGACGCGTAAAGGGTGGAAATGGATTAAAACGTCGACTAATGCCGCCCAACTATTTTTCCATAAAAGACAATAATTCCAACCTTTCAACCTAACTCAAAGCAGGCGCTAATACCTGCACCGCGAGGCAGGCTACAACCGTTAATGAACTCCCAGTCGTACTTGGAAAAACGTTCCAGGCATATTCTTGCGCTATACAGAGTATGAAAATCAGAAGAGGTGGAAAGTTCGATTCCCAGAGTAACAACGGCGTCGCCCACGCTAGGTACGAAAAAAACTGATAGTGCAAGCTTCTAGCGCAAAGCAGGCCGATAACAAGCGAACTCAACATAGTCTTACTGATAAAGCTGCTTGTCAGATCATATCGTGAAGAGTGTCCTTGGGCAATCTCTCGAACAAATCGGATTGTGGATTTTCCCGAGGGTGATAGCCAGACGGCGTAGAGAAAAAAGAAAAGAAGGGACGCATGAACGAGCAATAGCGATAATGAGAACGACGTTGAAAGAAACGTTTGCTCTCCGACAAACCTCCAATTGGTGGTCCATTTGAAAAGAAATTGTCTAGTCAATTCAAATGCCCTTGAGAAATATCCAATCGGATTTGCTTGTAAGAATGGGGTAGCGAGGAGAATCTAAATTCACTCGTGAGTATACCGATATAAATCAGATATTACCTCAAGCAATTGGCGTACCTGTATTAATAGTGACATTATTCCCAACCCAAACGCATTGGGGAAACCCAGAGCTAATGTAAGAATTACTGCAAGAGCAGGAGCAACGAGTAGGAGTGTCATTTTGATGCTGACTCCAGCAGACCATAGCACAACAGCTGTATGCCATCGGCGTCTTTGAAGCATAACAATCGTCGCCCAAAGAAACAACGTTGCAACTCCATCGTTAAACAAGCGCAACATGAAAATGCTGTGCAAGCGCTTCGATAGAATAAGAAGTGGAAATATATAAGGTGGCGCACTCGCCGATCGGTAGCTTGCCATAGCCAGCGCAAGTGTCGCCAGATATAGCCCTGCAAAAATGCACTGACCCAACGCGACGTTGTATCCTCCGTCTGTCACGTAGTGGAGAGCAGTGTAGACGTAAACGTGCCCTGCAGGATACACAAGGGGCCCCGTGGAGCCTTTTATCATTGTATAATCGCGTTCACCGGAAAGGAAGGACGAGACCTGTTGCATATACGTCGACCAATCGATCTCGGTGTCTGCGTTGAGTGAGTTCTCATCGGGCTGGTACTGGAAATGGGGGATAATCGTGGTATTCTTACATGCTATTTTCGACAGAATTCCATAACAGAGAATACTGTCTGCCAGTAGTAACAAAGGGCAGATCCATCGCGAATGTTTGGGGCTTGTGCAAATGTCAATGAAGAGCCGATAGGCTTCCATCACGGCAACAGTAAAAGAACCTGGGCAATATTAGCACACAGCCCAATGTATACACAACTATAAAGGTTCATCAAAAATAATGGAATCCAGCCGCAGCAGCAACTATAATAGTTGCATCTTCAGCAATTAAGCTGTTGTGAGTTTGGGCTTTGGACAACAAGATGTTTTGAGGTTGTCAACAAGCTCATCCATGTGCGTATGTAAGCTCAAATTTACATAGTTACTTATGCAAAGGGGCTACAGCTCTAAAAACTTCAAGCCCACTCCAAAGACTTTCAAATAATGAATTTGTAAAATATCTAGAGTTTAATATGGAACATCGACTCCTCTTATCACCAAGGTCAAGGCACATAGTTTTCCTGCCCTGCCACTAGAAATATATACACAGATCCACTACATAAGTAAACATAAGTCACAGCACAGCATGCTTCATTCAATGAACTGTCCGGGAACTGTGTTATCACTGCCTATTTAATGATACATGGTAATAACTAGATCCACGCATAGAGCTTTGTAAATATCTATCCAAGACCGAGTAGTGGCATTAACAAGTTCTCCGTATATCGAGGCAAATTTTGAAATCGGTTTCAGTCTCTAGACTGCAAGGGAAGGGAGAAATTGAAGTAAGAGCGCGGGTAGAAAGCGTAGGGCTAAAATAATCGCAAAACTGACCATAGATGCCGATAGTGAGCATTCAAACGAATCTCAGTCCAAAAAATGGATTAAGTGGGGCAAAATAATATCGTACAGGGAAATTGCTGAACGGGTGGGTGGTGACTATGCTGGCACCAAACGCTGTGGGTGCGGTTATGGGTGGTTTTCTGGAGTAGAGGTATTCGCTGGAAGAGTGCGGCCAGTCCCTTCGTTTTGGCCATCACATCCTAGGATTCGTCCCAGGATTCCTTTCGGTTTTGGAACTGGGCATTCCCTGGCCAATTTCCTTATCCGTCTTGCTTCCTCATCCATATGTTGAAATTCCACAACAGTGCTGCTCAATTGATAAGAGGGGTCAGGAAGCGGCCCCCCGGCGGCCGCTGAAATTTCATCCGGTTTTATTTGCCTGCGTCTTCGTACCATTTGCCTGCCATCCGGCAGTGTAATCGTTTCAGCATCCGCAAAGGTGCGTCGAGGTGCGGGACATGGGAAAAGATGCGGTATCCCAACAATCAGAAACGAAACGAGCAGAGTTGCCGTAAACAGTGACGTTGTAGAGCGCGACCGTGGATGGAGGTGAGGGGGCATCGTGTGGGACTCCAGGCGAGTGGATTCATCAAACCTGCAAGGCTCATTGAGTTATGTTTCTAAACAGCGCAAGTCAGACCAACTGCACAACCATCATGATATCTGGGTATGTACGTAAAGGTAGTAACATACACAAGAAATCCATACTAGTATGGTCTACCAATGGGCACGGAGGACGGTCGATTTGAGGGGTACGCTTTTCTCAACTTGCTTCTTCTTTCTCCGAAGTTTTCGTTGCTTCACATCCAACTGGGACGAAGTCGGCCAATCAGGGCACTGGTAAAGGCTCATTACGGAAGCTAGTACATATTAAGTTAGTGTATTATCCCCAATCAAAGATCCAGATGTGGTATAGCCTCGTCACTCTAATCTTATCAATCTACCGCGCTCCACGTCAAGACGGGAAATAGCTTGGCACCGCCGCTGGTATTTCACAAAGCTGGAGCTCGCCGCGTGCCATCGCGTTAATCTTCCACCTAGGATCGAATTCCTATGATTCGGATCGAATTGTTAACGCTTACTCGCCTGAATATATCCTAAACGATGAAGCAATCAGCGCCTTTGAACAGATAACTCCACATCATTGCGCTTCTGCTGAAGTGATACACGAGACATCACCTGTTCATTTCGGCTACTTCAGTTTGGCAGAATGAGCGATCTAGACCGGTCAGTTTACGAAGCCTTCCTCAAAAGAATTTCCAGTTTGAACTTGCGATTAATATTTCTTGTCGCCGTTGCGCAGAGCTATCGCGCAACTGCGTCAGTGTCGGCCTATCCCAGAGCCACAAGTCCGAGAACTCTGCTATAAAGCACGTGAACTACTTATAGAGGAGGGTAACGTGGTGACGGTTGACGCTCCTGTTACGATATGTGGAGACATTCACGGCCAGTTCCATGACCTGATGGAGTTGTTTCGCGTCGGCGGCGACGTTCCAGATACGAATTACCTTTTCATGGGCGACTTTGTTGATCGCGGATTTTACTCTCTTGAATCTTTTCTTTTGCTATTATGCTTGAAAGTGAGATATCCCGATCGGATTACCTTAATAAGAGGCAACCACGAGTCAAGGCAGATTACGACTGTCTATGGATTTTACGACGAATGTATTCGGAAGTACGGCAATGCAAATGTCTGGCGTTATTGTTGTGAGGTTTTTGACTACTTGGCTCTGGGTGCCTTGGTCTTGGGTGCAAGTTCTGAACTAGAGCCGACAGTACCTCTGTCATCAATGCTGCAGGATTCTATGGGTACTTCACAGTCCATTACCGGTTCCACCAGTGGTGAAGACGATGTCCTTGAAACCGAGATTTTAAATTCAAAAGGTGAGGTAACATACGCAACTTATCGCAGGAGAGACTATGGGTCGCATGAATTAGCCAGCGACATTCGGGATGTCTCTCCTCCTCGCGACATAGGCTCGGCTCCTACAAGTGCCCCTTTGAGACCGGGGCCTGCAGGAACAGGTGCAACATCGGATAGCCTAGGAAGCTTCTCAAGTAGTGCAGGCGCTGTTCTTTGCGTTCACGGGGGACTTTCTCCTCTTGTGGACAGCGTGGATAAGATCCGTCTCATTGACAGAAAACAAGAAGTACCTCACGAAGGAGCCATGTGCGATTTACTCTGGTCAGATCCAGACGAGATTGAAGGCTGGGGTTTGAGCCCTCGGGGTGCCGGGTTCTTGTTTGGTGCAGATATTGTGAAACATTTCAGCTACAAAAACGACCTTTCGTTAATTGCTCGTGCTCACCAACTCGTTATGGAAGGCTTTAAAGAGATGTTTGACGGAGGGATTGTCACAGTGTGGTCCGCCCCAAACTATTGTTACCGATGCGGAAACGTTGCTGCAATACTAGAGCTGGGTGAAGATGCAAGCAACGGGGGCACCATTTCCAGAAGTAATGGCGATTATAGCAGGAGTCTGGGTGGGGTGCGAGCAGGCCGTAGTGAGAGACGAGGTATGGTTGGGCCAGGTAGAAGGTATAGGGTTTTTGACGCTGCCCCTCAGGACACCAGGGGGATGCCGGCAAAGAAACCGGTTGCAGATTACTTTTTGGTGAGTTTTTTGATGGCTTTCCATTCATCTGGTGTGGTATGCTAACAATCATTTGCCATGAATAGTAACACAGTAATTTTTGATCTCTTATTCTTTTTATTTCTGCCCTTATTGCATGCATTGTATACCCCAATGAGCTAAGAAGAGTGTGTTTATCCATTAGATCCAAGCACCGTTGCAAAAAGTATGGAGATATACATACAAACACATATATGTACGTATGTCTAATTTAAAACCACTGTACGGAGTACACCAAGTGATCCAGAAACCTTTGGATATGCGCGTAGCATTGAAAACCAACCTGTAAAAGCTGCCCGCTCACCCAAGGCCGAGAAACCATGGTCCCACCTCCAGCGTAAAACAGGGGTAATATATATATGCCACCAGGAAGTGATCTTGACAACTCGCCTTTAAGTCAAGAGCGCCACAATGTAAGTTAAAAATCATACATCCTTTCTATTTAGAATAGGCCACCAATTTCAACAGAGAAGAAAAACCAATAGACAAGATTCTGATAACAAGCCAACCGCCATAGAATACTCCGTATATAGATTCGTGAGTCGTAGAGAACAGAATGACAGTGTGATATCTAATAATACAATTGGCCCGGCTTATGATCTTCGAGAGGGGGGGCAGTAAAGGGCCGCGGGCCATTAACTTCGGGTGCCGGCCCGGTCCCAAAATAGCTTTCAGTATAAGTATGGGGTGTAATAGGGACCCCTAGAGAAGAGCTAGCGACGGTGTTAACTTGATTGGGTGTGATATGATTGCTGTCGCTAAATGAAGGTGTCGATGTATTTGTCGATAGTATTTTTTGAACAACATCAATGTCTAGATCTGGATTGCCCCAAGGCCAGTTATCTATGCCCAAGGCGAGGGCACTTTGATCTTGAAGCCACCAATCTCGACTCTCTTCTACGAGATTATCAAGGGTTGGAAAACAAGAATATTGAGGGGCCTCTATATTAGAAGGTATAGTATTCGTGACTGGCAAGGTTACCGGAGCGTCCTCGCCTTGTAATTTTGCCCCCGCACTTACTTCTAAGAAAGGGTTGGTTGCCGTAGGTACCTGGGGTGAGTTGCTTTGTATGTGTTGGGATAGTATATGTGTAGACGTGAAATCTTCGCCTCGATGGTCTGACTGCGGATGATGTGCTATAACAGAATGTCTGGCCTGCACAGCCGGAGACTGGCTAGTAAATACAAGAGAAACCTGAGGGCTTTCTTCCGGGGTCGATCCACGGGTAGATGCGACAGACGGAGCCTCGCAACTTGTCAATTTAATTGATTCATCCGAAGTGGATGGAGAGTGTACTTGGTCCCAAGAGGCCCAGGAACCAAATTTGGCATGCGACCGCTCTAACACAGCAGCTGCCTCTGCAGGAAGAGCAACATTCCATTTCTGGGCAGATAAGTCTAATATCCGCAGCGTTCTGCGAGCGCAAGGCCAGCTATCTGCAATTTCCTCTAGATTTTTAAGGCCATATATAATATCGCGTTTGGCAGTTTTATCGGGAAGATTGAGGAGATGGATTGTGCAGGCAGAATGCACGATATACACCGCAACATTGCAGATTTGACGCAGGCCATAAGTCCGTTTATAGATTCGAAGAAGACGCGATATTGTGATGGCGCTTTGAGTACACAGTTTTCTTGGCGAGACATGTTGCGGGAGTGGAGAAGTGGCTTTTGTGTACTTCAAAAAGGGTCTGTACAAGTGTATGTACAGAAGTTGAAAGAACATACTACAGAGATGTAAGCAATCGAACATTGGCTCCACTTGCTTCAATGAATAATATTGACTTACTGCATTAGCAAGACCTGAGGTAGCTGGCCATCTTTTGGCTCCATTTCTTTGGGAAGGCACTTTTTCCATGCTTCTAATCTTGTGTGCAATTGGCTTAACCTTCGTAGCTCCTCTTGTTTCCCCATATGCCGGTTTACAGGGATAGGGTTGTAGAAGCTTGACATCAAATCGCTGCTTATTTCACACAGTTTGGAAATCTGCAAAGCAACAGCACGCGTTCGTGCAGGTTGAACATGCTCCCGTGAAACACCGGAATCAGTGTAGGGGGACCAATTTTCTGAATCTTCTTCTGGAAAAACTTCTGCTTTTGGTGCAGTAATCTGTGCGCCCGATAGTTGAGGTTGCCGACCTAAGTAATTTGACCAACATCTATGGTACTGTCAGAAAGTGAAAAACCTAAGAGGAGAAGTGAGGACAGACTTATCAAATAAATAGCACCCCCAGAATGTTATCCTACGAGCGTCGATGTCTTCATCTTTCAGTCGGTTGGAGCCAATTCCTGTCGCATCCACGTTTAAACCAAGGTCATACGCCATTCGAAAACTCATGCCACTGTATACCCAACCAGAACCTTCTCTGCCACAGCCTGCTTCCCGTACGGACATGAGTGCGAAAGCTTGCACATTGCAAAGCCTAGCTTTCTCGTGTTCATCATTTTCTAAAGTTAATCGCTTCGCTTCCCGAAAAAAATGGTCACCTGCAGTCCCCGAGTCGTTCGGGTCTTCACGCGCAGAAGGCCATGCGCTAAAATGACAGCCAAGTGCGAGCATGGAATTGACAAGTAATGCTGAACAGTGTTGGCTAGGCCGACCACGTACGTAATCTCGATAGAACAAGCTTTTCGACAGGGTAGTGAAATAGGGGTAATGCCACGTAAAGTACATTGTAAGAAGATGGCAAATCAACTCTTTATTTTTTGTAACTGTAGTCCAGCATGTAATAAGGTTATCGGAAGGATGCTGATTCTCTCCAGAACGGACCATGCCCGAATCAGAATCGTCAGGGTCGGGGCTCATCGGCAAGAATACTAGATTTGAGGTTCCTCCAACATATTTAACAGTTCCATCAAGTCGAAGTTCGCTCATTCTCCCTGCCAACTCCGATTCAAATTGCGGTACACTCGCTATTGCAGATTGATCATCCTCCTGAGGGAGAGGTTGTGGCTCAATGTCACATGGCTTAGACTGTCGTTTCAGGATGGACTCCGCTACAGCCTCCAGGTCATTACTCATGCGCATCTGCCGAACAAGGTCCCAGGCGTCATCTTCATCATAATTGAGAATAGCTTCCACTAGAGTCTGAAGAGTGGAGTTGCGGTTCTTCAAGTTGTCAATATGTTGCTTGTAAACCCCTTTTCGTCGATGGTCCGAGTTCGGGTCGTAAATGCCTTATATTAAATGTAAGTGATGAAGTTCTTTGAGCGGGTTGGGGCCCATACATGGCGTGTGGTAAACTGAAGAGCAAGCAGCACAACTAGGCGTGTTCCCGTCACACTTGGAATTCGTATTAGCAAAATCACAGCTCCAAAGCTAATAGCCCCAAACCAACCTTAGATTTACGTTTTCTGCATGCAATGCACGCTGTTGAAACGCATCTTCTTTTCGGAGCAGGTGTCTTATTCTGGTTCTTGGCGTTCGACTTTTGCTTTCCGGAGGCTCGAGGTTCAGGTGGTGCCGAAGCGCACAGAGCGTCACTTTCTGCCATCCCTAAGTCTATATGCTAGATAACATAAATTATGTTCTTAAATTATATCTTGCGCGGCGATTTGCACCCCATTCGCTGACTCGACAAAAGCTTCGATTGAGGACCGAGGACGACGGAGGGAGGTGCGCGCATAAATAATTTGTAGAGTGGTCAACTACTATCAGAATATAAGCACAAAAATGAGGATACCATCAAATAAGTCGAGAGATGGGCGAAATTGCGTGTATGTCACATACCCACCCAGCGGCTTTTTAAAGTCCCTTCGAAGGCTGAGAGTGTCTGCAAGGGAAATTCTTCGAGTTAAGGAATCAAAGAATATCCATGATGCATGGGCCACGACACATAATGGAAGGCTCTGGCAGCGTTCTGCAGTAATGCTCTGCCGCGGTGATAGTATCACAGTCGATCGACACAGATTCTGGGGACGATCAACCCCACGAGGCGGCTAACCGCGTTAGGATGGCGTTGCAGGGGAGCTCGCCGAGCCGACGCTAAAACCTGCCTGGGATTCTGGCCAATGGACTAACTACCAGTTAGTTAACCAAGTTCACGAAGAGCCACGCAGTACGGAGTACGGAGTACCTCTCTGTTCTCCTAGACAGAAAATAATCGAACCAGTGAAGGCAGCATGGGACAACTAGGATGGAATAGACCGAGGCGCCCACTTTCTGGAGTGTCTTAAGGTTTGGTTTTGCCAAAATTAGGTTTGATGTAGACGGACAATGATGATTTTTACCGGCTACAATAGATCATTCTGAGTTGCAACTTGGGAACGAAGTTCCTTGTCTATATCTCTTCCAGACCTATCATCTATTATAACCTTTCAGTATTGAATTTCTTTTTCTGTGATTTCTTTCTCCCAATAGCCGGTATTTATTCTCCTATCAACCATTATTTCAAGGGTTTTTTGGCGGCAAAGTTCCTCAAATCCAGGATATTTGTATGTACACACAGATCTTTAATATTACAACTAGATACATACATTTCAGTGCGGCAGTAGCTAGAACTCACTATCTCTTCAATGCGATGGAATCTCTCGACGTAGACTTTTTTTATATTAAGTCCTTCTGGGCTATGGAAAGGCAGGGAAGAAAAATTGTCAAGGATATGAGGAGATGATTGGAGGAAGGTAACTGCTTCCTTTACTCCCAGGACTTGATAGCTGTTTAATAGGCCTTACATTAAATGCTATTGCTCTCATTGGGAGAGGCAGTGATTGATCTCTAGGCCAAAAGCATACGGTATTAACACCAAGTAGCCTTAAGAAATATTTTTATTTTATAACAAGTTGTTCACCCTAATATCAATTAAATGAGTAAAAACAAACATTCATAACATGAGACAGGGAGTAAAAGGAGACTTAACATTTCAAACAGAACTCTCTGTGAGAACCACTCAGTCCATTCTTAATAAATACTGTATACAACGCAAGGGGTGGGTGGATATTTTGCTAGAATGACAGCAATCTTCTGTTTCAAGTAGCTTGTAGAAGAGTGCTCCGTATGAGAGGCATCAATGTTACATTGCAGCTCGGCCGAGGAGTAATTACTTTGTCAATACTCTGTACTATATACCCAGTTGGGCAAACACCCTTTTTAAATAAGCCTCATTCGGTTGGCTACTGTAGGTTAGGCAGTTACGCATATACGGAGTACTTCGTAGTTGACTAGGTAACTCGGCTACTCTAGGTGGTTTACGTATTTAACAAACTAGGTAGTTATTTATAGTTAGTTAAGGTTTAGCGTCTGGGGTTAAAAAGCTTGTTTCCATGCTGTCGAAAAAGTCGTGATACTAAATAGCAGAGCCGTCCAGCCCACTCGACTTACAGGAGATTCAAGGGCTCAGGCCACTCACAGTATGAGATGCCAGCCAAAATAACAAGAAATGTAATGGAGCTATTTATTTTATAGCTATCACAAGTGTGTATTTTAAGTGTCTAGCCCTTTTGCGCCCGTCCCACTACCAAACCTAGAATACAAAGGGGATATATACGGGAATACGAGAACAAAAGTAAGACAAGGGAAAAGAATGCAGAGACTGTTAGGGCGGACCGACGAGGTTCCGGATTTGCTGAAGCTAAGGTACCGTGATATTTACCGAATCAGGGTGACTATCTGAAGCATTAACCAGGGTGTGACTAGATATATTCTCAAGGGAATCACCAACGCCGCTCACTAAAGTAGAACTAGAGGTTTCGATCAGCTCGTAGAAGAGCATGAAAACACCGCCTTGAGACATTACCGAATCCTTGCTGACTGGATAGACATCGGCGTCGTTCATTTCAAACCATTGCTCTTTCCCATCAACATGCTTAGCACAATTCTCAATCAAGTCAGTGTTTGCTATTGGGATAGACATCTTCTTGTAACAAACATAGTGTCCATCATCATGTCTACCGTAATGTGTTATGGCCGCGCGTAACTCATACTTTCTGTTAGAGGACCGAAACTTTGCATCAGGAGAAGAAAGCATTGGTTTCGTAGGGTCGGTTTCCCAACTTTCAGCAGTAGGGTCACTCGATAGATCGTTTTCCTTACTACCGAGACACCATTCGTCTATATCCAAAATGTCTGGGAATATAACTCGGGCGTAGTTTTTTCTTAGTACACCAGTAAACTCATCAAACACGCTTCTATTTATGTGAATAACAAGTGACTCAGGCGCCCTCGCGATGACTGACTGCCTTGACTTCGTGGTGGAGACTCGGGCTTTTGAGTTTATGCGACATTTTTCAGAGAGTGTACTTTCCGAAAAATCTTCGTCTCGAAGAGCCTGTTGAACAATTTCGAGTCTAGATTTTGTAAGTGTATGGAAGACTTGTTTCTGTGTTTTTTGATCGAAGTCAAGTTCAGAATCTTGAGATTCTAGTTTCTCAACGAATTCTATTAAGGCATCCCTGGTTCGCAAAAGAGTGCACTTAGCACACTCAACCCCTTCAATAGGCTCGAGTGCAGTATAATCATCCAGACAATCTCTCAAGTCATACTCCGGACGCTGAGCGAGAGGAACTGTAAGGCATGTAAATGGAATCAGAGACAGGCCTTCGCAGTATCCGCAAGTCATACACCCTACTCGCTGAGCAGCGAGTCCTTCCAGGGGGCTATGATGGAGGCTAGTCACTTCCGAAGATACATTTTTGCTTGAAACATCTCGAGAATGAGCCTGGGGAAGAACAGAGGGCTTTTCAGATGGTTGAGATTCTAGTTTAAGCCCATGGCCGATAAGTCTCAGCTTAGACGCTTGGCATGCTTCTCTATCGATTTGCTCCATAACTTTCGAGTAATATTCCTGTGCATCTTGTTGTTGCCAGCTACACATAGACTTGAGTTCTTTTGGAAGCCATAGCATCCCACCGCGATATGAGAGCTGGTTGAGTTGAATGATCATCTCTGCTAGTGATAAATGTGTTGACATCTTCTGCGTTCCATATTCCTGTAAGTTGTACTCCAAGAAAAGCTTCAATCGACGAAGGGAAGCAAATCCCTGAATAACGCTGTTCTGATAACAAGAATTGTTGATATTCCCCAGTCCTTGAGGAGTCAGAACTTTAGGGCGAGAGTAAACCAAATCTGTAGCACCACCATTGACAGTTGGAGAAAAGAATGATGTATTTCCCAAATTCAGGACCCTTCTAATCGCTTCCTCCTTAGCTGCTTCCCGTGCAGGTCCTCGTAGCAGTTGAATATCGTTTAGCTTAGACTTCGCAGAAGGATTCTTATCCAAAGCAACAACAAGGGATGTAGGAGAAAGCATTACGATGAGTTTCCAAACTAGCCTAGAGAAGGCAAATGGCGGCAGGATCCTCAGGTAGAGGAGAAAGTGGTAGGCGAATATCACGGCCGCAAAAGCGTACGCTATCGAGGAGGCGTACGGTGCGCATTGGGTAACAGTAGTATCAGGATAGTCCTGGTCTTCAAACTTCGATGGAGTATAAGAAAGGCTTAGTTTGTATTGTGCGCTCATCGTTTACGGAAAACGGCAGGCGAGCGAGAGGTAGCCCGGAACGCATTGGGAAGGATCAGGAGGACAAACCCCACTGGTTGTTAGCCATTAGAAGACAATCGATGATAGATAAACGGTAATGGTTGGACCCGCCAATTGCTGGGGGTTAGTACGATGTTTAGCACAGGAGGCGGTAGTTCTGTTTGTGATTCTCGTCTTGTTGGAATAGATAAACGGGCATCACGATTACGCTTTCTGGCAATGAATTTATGTATCTGGGCTGCTACTAGCACTCATGCGGTATAGCGTTCATTTACTGTATTGTAATGTTCATTATGACGGTAGGTACCCAAATACCTATATGTACACGGGCAGAGCTCGCTCACTTCGTTCGCTGCTCATCCCTTGCTAGTAGCTGCTAATAAAAGTGCTCCTGCCAGAATTCTCTAAGCAAACTGCAAGTAAAAAGGGCACAGAGCTGCCCCAGGCTCTGTACCTGTTTGAGTTTTGAGTCCAGGATGAATAATAAAATTGTTTGCTGATTAAGCAGAATCTTACTTTGTCATGAATGATTAGTAAAGATGGGCATGGCTTTGGCCCAATCACAGTAGTAAGATGGACATTAGGGCTAGGGTTTTACGTAACTACATTTTCCGTACTCCGTACAGAGGAGCTAAGATAGCTAACTACGGAGTACCTACGGAGTTTACTTACCTCATCATCTCAGACGCGTGCTGTTAAGGTTCTTTAGCGCGAATTTAGTGTTTTGAACTAACCCATTCGGGTAATTCAGCCAGAACCTGACCAGCACAGCGTCTGAGCCGGTTTTCACAAAAATAGGAGGAACTCCAGAATTCCCATACAAATTTGGAATTTGCAATTTGAGCTGGTAATCTCAACATTGAATGTCTGATTTCAAGAACTTGATACAATATGAGTTACTATGGGCTCCCTTTATTACTTCAGATCTACAATATCTACTACATCTGGTTCAACCTGCTCCGCATCGCCAGATTTTTCTGTTTGGTTACCCAATTGGGAAATATAAGGTAGAGGATGATTACTCCATGGTTTTTCAAATAAATAAAAATTTTAAATTGGGTATAACTTTATATAACTATCAGCTACTCTCAGCTCTAGTATGAAGATTCTAAGAGCTGTGGTGGTTGAATGGTTGAGCAAAATGGAAATTTCAGACTGCACCCGTCACAAAATGGGTGGCCTTGGGAGAAGTCTTATACTAAAAGAATTAGTAAATTTTTTAATTTTTTTTTTGGACAAAGTGGTTGCTCACCTATTTCTGAACAATGATACGCATCGCTTTTGACAGTATTAAATGTGGTGGTTGAGTTATTGAATGGCCATAGTTGAAGAAAAGTGGTGTCGCAGCGATGAAAACTGGCTCAGACCTTCAATGGATGTTGAAGAGTAGTCTCAATTCAGCCTAGTGTATCTTGGCATAGCCCCACCCTAGTTAGTAGGAGACGGCTCTTCAACATACGGTGAAGGTCTGAGGTTATGAGGCAACTACGGAGTACTCCGTACGTATTGAAAGGCATACCATAACTAGATATGCTAACCTACTTTGGATTAGTTAACTACTAGCTAATTTACTGTTGCCTACGGGGAGGCAGCTACCATACAAAATATTTACTATCCGAAAACCACCTAAGAAAAGCAGCGCCGTTTGTAAATAACAGCCTATACGCAGAGTACATGGCCTCTTAACTATATAACCCGCAGATACTAAGCTATTGTTGGCCAAAATTGAGAATAATGGACAATTTAAATATACAGCAGGAGACGGAGACGGAGCTCGATGAGAAGTATGTGCGGAGTAGCTACATACAAAATACTCCTAATTAATGATATCTGAATATTGATCAACTTGCCTAGATACCCCAATCGCCCACATAACAAGCACCCAACCCTACCATTTCATGAACTGTTTACTAGTCTTTTCAATCCCCTAAATGAAAACAAGAAAAAGCCAACAGGTTCCACTGTAATGTGTCGAAAATTAGGGCCTAGGAGCAATACTGGCATGAAAAATCTTTCACCCCAAGAGTTGCGACGTGATATTATTCAGCGCTTTATTTCAAGGTGGAGAAATGAAGTTGGAGATGACATCTATCCCGCCTTTCGTTTAATCATCCCCGAGAAAGACCGGGATCGTGCAATGTATGGCCTTAAGGAGAAAACCATCGGAAAATTGTTTGTTAAGATTATGAAAATTGATAAAAATTCCGAAGATGGTTTTAGTTTACTGAATTGGAAATTGCCCAGCCAAAGTATGGCTAGTCGAATGGCTGGAGATTTTGCTGGCCGTTGCTATGAGGTAATCTCGAAGCGACCTATGAAATCAGATGTGGGCACTATGACGATTCAAGATGTCAATGACAAACTTGACAGGCTGGCTGCGGCAAGCAAAGAAGATGAACAGTTTCTCGTTTTAGAAGAATTTTATCGAAAAATGAATCCCGAAGAGTTGATGTGGCTTGTCAGGATCATTCTCCTCCAAATGAAAGTCGGTGCTACGGAGCGCACTTTTTTCGAAATTTGGCATCCAGATGCCGAGAGCCTGTACAGCATATCGAGTAGTCTTCGGCGCGTTTGCTGGGAGCTACATGATCCAAATGTTCGGCTTGAAGCCAACGAAGCGACCGTAACTCTTATGCAATGCTTTCAGCCCCAGCTAGCTCAATTTCAAATGCACTCATTCCAGCGAATGATTGACAAAATGAGGTTATCTCCCGAAGATCCCACCTTTTGGATTGAAGAGAAGCTAGATGGAGAGAGAATGCAGCTGCATATGGCTTCGGATGAATCAATACCTGGTGGTAAACGATTCAGATTTTGGTCTCGCAAAGCTAAGGATTATACCTATCTCTATGGAAATGGGTTGTTTGACAAAAATGGTGCATTAACGAGACACCTCCTAAACGCTTTTACAGATGGTGTTGTAAACATCATCCTGGATGGTGAAATGATTACCTGGGACCCAGAGCAAGATGCACCGGTGCCTTTCGGTACACTTAAAACTGCTGCGCTATCAGAGCAGAGAAATCCATTTTCGGCCACGGGACACAGGCCACTGTTTCGAATATTTGACATACTCTATTTAAATGACAAAGCATTGACGAGATATACGTTGCAAGACAGGAGAAAAGCCCTTGAAGCGAGTATAAACCCCGTTCATCGTCGTTTTGAAATTCATACCTATGAGGTGGGCCATTCTGCAGCTGATATAGAACCTCAACTCCGCAAAGTAGTCGCCGAAGCATCCGAGGGGCTCGTTCTAAAAAATCCAAATTCGCCTTATCGACTAAACGAGCGACATGATGATTGGATGAAAGTGAAGCCTGATTATATGACAGAATTCGGTGAGTCGCTAGACTGTGTTGTTGTGGGTGGCTACTTCGGGTCGGGGAAAAGAGGTGGCGCTTTGGCGACATTCCTCTGTGGCCTGAGAGTCGACGAAAGCCAGGTACGGCAAGGCGCAAATCCAATGAAATGCTACTCATTTTGCAAGGTGGGCGGGGGGTTTACAGCCGCTGATTATGCGAATATTCGTCATCATACTGATGGTAAATGGAAAGATTGGGACTCTAAAAACCCTCCAAAGGAGTTTCTCGAGCTGGCTGGCGGTGACGCACAGTATGAACGCCCTGATGTATGGATTAGACCTGATGATTCTGTCGTTTTATGTGTAAAAGCAGCAGCAGTCACCCCAAGCGATCAGTTTCGCTTGGGCCTGACAGTTCGATTTCCTCGGTTCAAACGTCTACGAATGGATAAAGACTGGCGTAGTGCTTTATCTATTCAAGAATTCATGGACTTAAAAGCAAATGCTGAACGAGAGCAACAAGAAAAGGAGTTTCGAATTGATAACTCTCGCAGAAAACGCCCCAAAAGAGCAACAAAAAAACCACTTATCATTGCCGGTTATGTTGAAGATGAACTGGCCACATACAGTGGACCCTCAGGCCATGTTTTTGACAGAATGAACTTTTGTAAATTCCCTTAATTCTGCTTTTCAATTACTTGTCTGACAATTGTTTTAGTTGTAATGACAGATGCCCTTGAGCCAAAAAAAGTGCCAAAAGTCGAACTCGAGCAGCTAATTAAAGCAAATGGCGGGAAAATTTACCAAACCAACACTGCAGCACCCAATACAGTTTGTATTGCAGAAAGAAGTATGTTAACTTACTGTAGGAGACTTGCGGTCCACAACCTAACAATACTTTAGGAACAGTTAAAGTGGCTTCTGTGCAAAAAACGGCAAAAGAAAATATAATTCGCCCGTTGTGGCTGTTTGACTGCCTCAAACAGAACGAGGTGGACAGGGGATTACCCGATTTATTGATGCCGTTAGAGCCGAGGTTGGATTTCTTGTTCCCCAAATTTGTGCTTAAATATATAGAACTGATGCTTCATTATAGGCATATGTATTATATATTAAAAGACCGAGAGCAGGAGGTAGCCGAAAATGTCGATAGGTTTTTGGACAGCTACGCCCGAGATACTTCAACGCCCGAGCTCAAAAAGGTAGCAGAGCAACCAAGGCCCTAATCGGATTGAGAAGTATATTCTGACGTTTGAAAGCTCCTGGATTCAATGCCTCGTCTCAAGAACCCTTCAACAGACCGCAGCTCGAAACTTGAGGATCAAGTCAAGTCTCGATTCGGTCTGGAAATTTCGTCCCATGAATTGCCATGTTGGCTTTTCCAAAATTGTGTCCTTTTTTTTTCAAAATACAATTTAGCAACAGCGTCCGCCCCCTTACTTGACATACAGCTCGCACTTAATCTTACGAGGTTTGCAGGGGCTGTCACAGCAGAAAGATTGGAGGATAGCGCCGTCACCCACGTTGTCACTGATCATCGTACAACTTCAAGAGACATATCCTCATTACGGTCAACAATATCGAAGAAGGTAGGAAATCGGATACCCCATCTTGTAACAATCGATTGGGTAAATGAAAGCTGGAAGGAGAAGACCCTGCTAGACGAGCAGCGTATGGAATCCCCCTCCCCACTTCGCTTTTTTTTTTTTTTTTTTTTCGCTCAAAGGAGCTATAGTAATGAAACCAGGCTGATAAAACTTCATAGGATTTGCACCAATTGCATGTTGACTCTTTGCACGCCTTGCTAACAAATATTCACCTCACATTGCTATATTTATTGCAAACCCCCAGTCGCCAAGCGAGAGATCCTCTAGGATCTGTTACAACAGCTTCGTAACTTGATACATATATACATACATGCCTACAAATTGGCACAGTATGTAGACGTTCAGGACATATTACCAAAGCCATTCTCTCCTCAACGGAACAAGTGAAGTTGCGAGGCAAGGGAGTCTGAACTTGTCTCAACAAGCTATACATAAGAACGGTGAAAATAGTCACTAGCAGAAGAATCTGGAGGTGGCTGGGTCACACCATTTCCTTCCGCTCTATCATCAGTAAAGACCTGTATAGAAAATTGAAGATTTCATTCAACTGGGATTCTGGATTTTTGTCTAACAAGGTGATAGCAACGGTCGCGTGGGCAGGAGCCGGCTCAACGGGTCCGGATGCAAGCAATGTACTCCGTAGCCACGGGACCTGGGAAACGGGCGACGTTGGCAGCGAATCGTTTGACGGGCCTAAAAATTCAAATTGCTAGGAATATTGCAGGCAAGCGTACACCTTGTCCATGATGGCTACTCATGCGCCACTGGGGAAGCAATCTCTGTTTCCATAGCGTTTTCAGGAACGTGGCGTGATAGAAGGGCGGTCTCCACCTTGCCATATTCTAGACCACTTCTTTTTTCTGGTGCTGTCTGATATTCCCCATTTGGGTTGCTCGAGCCGCTTGTGGTCTGGGGTGGCGATGACATTAGCGGGGGTGGGGACATGGATATGTTCTAACTGTATTTGGAGAGGCGCTATTTTAGCCTCCTTTAGTCAGCCCGGATCGGACATCGCGTTCTTGGCACATGACATCGGCTCGCATCCTACGGTCCTGAAGGCGAAATGTTCATTCCGCCGATCCAGAAACTGCAATGCCCCCAGTTGCAGACATCATTGTTCATGTACTCCGTTGCCCATTCGTTTCCTGTCTGTCACTGGTTGTAAGCTGAACTAGCACCTACGATCTGCACGCACGTTCGACCGATCAATCTCCTCCGTACTCCGCGCCGCGCCAATAATGGCTGACGACGACACACCTGAACTGTGCCTGGAAAAAACCTCGCTGGCGAGGGGAGCAAGGAAGAAATTCATGAAGCCGCCCGTAAAGGTTGCTTGTCTGTCATGGTAAGTGGGTTGCTGGGGCCTATCACACCCCCTAGTCGCAACCAATTGGCCGGCGCCACACTGTGCTGTAGCTGCCAATGCCTTGAAATCCAGATACTCTGACCGTTTTCTCTATATAAGTTGCGGCTAATAATGCAATGATCTATTTAGTCGTGCCTCCCGCATAAGATGCGACGGAAAGGACCCATGCTCGAGTGTATGTTTACCAATCACCCAGTGACGAAAAGAGTCGATCTCATGCTGATCACCTACAAGTGTATTCTGAAAGGGAAAGAATGCAGCTATTTACCAAGTAGACGTGGTGGCCCGAGAAAAAAGAAAGTCATTCCTGCGGCATCTGTTGCCTTGGATGTAGCGGGAAGCAAAATGTGGAGTGCTGTTCACCCCATCCCACCACTTGACGAAGGTAAGGACCAAAGACAGTCAAACTTGGATGGCTTCTAATGTTATATAGAGCTGTTTAACCAAGTTGATACCCTTGCTGTTCCTGGTGCTGGCTTGAGAGTGCTGGATTTTCCAACTGAGGTTCAGTCCATGTTTGAGGGTTTATTTATCCCTCAAGGCACGACGACCTACCCTCCCCTAGTCCAAGATACCGTTCCCATACACTCTCCTACCCCGACTCCTACTCGAGTAAGAGTCTACGGGACTGAGCAAGAAATGTCAGTGGATATCCATTTACAACATGTGTACTTAATTTCTCCTGTGCTTCAGCTAAACCAACCGCAGACTATCTGGTTACTACACATTCATTCATGACTATTTCCCCATATTTCCTCCCCCTGTCTCGCCACAACATGTCGATTCTCCTCTGGATTTTCAGCCGGCTTCTCAACTTAATTCCGATAATCCGCCGCTCATCTATCACCCTAAGTCTCCTATCACTCTCGCCATTTCTGCTATCCTCGCACGAATTCCACATCCAATGGATCCGGACCCATCTGCCCCGGAATCAGTGCTTTTAAGGCGGTCATACTCTCATAAATTCGCACGTAGTGCCCTTGAGAGCGTCGACGCAGAGTCAGAGTTGGCGGAATCCTGCGCCAGCCCTTCACAGGCGCTATCTAACGAAATATCCGTGCCTAAACGGTTACCAGTTCACATTCACACGCCTGTGGAGCTGGAGAGCATCCTTGCACTTCTTATCCTAAGTATTTACGAATATACACAACGCGGGAACCTGGTAAAAATGCGACTTCGCGCCGGCGAGGCTTATGTCCGGGCTATAAATATGTCACTTCATACCCTTGGTCGGGAAGATGACATATTTGCAGAAGGAAGACGCAGAGCTTGGTGGATGACGGTATGACAATGTTATCGATCTTTCATCTATATTCTAATACCCCATAGTTTTATTGCGTTTGTCAGGGTTCGATCGTTAGCACCACTGTAAGGCTGCAAACCCTATATTGACTCCTCGACCTGATTTTTCATGCTTACTTGTTATACAGCCTCCATCAATCCTTGCAACTGATCCTAGCTTCGTCACCCCGTATCCTAATTTTGCCGCCGATTCAGAGGTATTCTTATTCCCTTCCATAATTACGTTTTCTAAAACAGCTCTCCTAATAGCAAATTAGGCGTGGCCGATTCTGGTTCAGTCCCAACAGATCCTCGTTTCCGCCACACAGTATATATATGACCTTAACCGTGCAATACGAGGCCGACTGGATCTCGCTTGTATTTATGACAGAGTCAAGAAACTAGATGCCTGGGCATTTGCTGCCCTATCTCGAGCTGACATTCCACCTCCAACTAGTTCTCCCGGCATTGACACCTACCATTCGGAATTTATAACCGCGGATAGTATCAGGTCGATTGCACGAATAAAACTAAGCAGGTCCGTTGTGAACAGCTCAAATAACATCCTTCATTATCTTAAGTGCTGATAAAATCACCAGTGCTCGCATTAAACTACATCGGTTTCGCGCTTTTTTGGATATCCCGATATTCATTAAGAAACATTGCGATCTCACTTGCGCCAGCCTTGGTCCTACTGGAACCGAAAGAGCTTTTTCAGATTTGCCCCAAGGCAATTCCAAATTCTCATGCTGCGAATCACTCTCGCAGGTGCCAGTTCTTAGCGAGACGTCGTCTGTCTCCCCTGCCTCAAGTGTTTCAGCACAATCCTGGGTTTCCGAAGACACATTTCCATTCCCTACGTACGTATCGACGGAGATATGCCTAAAGTCGGCTCTTACTATTGCACAAATGTTTCATAGCCTGCCATACCCACAACCCATCTATGCTGATGTGTCATTTCGACCCTCCTGTGACCCTATGCCTCGCACAATGCCATCATTTGCGTGCTGTGCGATGCAGAGCAGCTATGCCATGCTTATGTTATATTATAAATCCCGTGTTATTAAATACGGATCAGAGAAGAATCCTTTGGATGATGCCGATCAGTTACACCAGAAACTTCAGCATGGCCTGGAATGTGTAATCGGTGCCGTTAAAAATTATTCCATTGCTTTTGAAGCTCTAGATGGAATGCGAGGTTCGCCTTTATGACTCTTGATATAAATTGATTTCTAACATTACTTCTAGATGAAATCGAAGGGGCTTTTTTGACTGCTTTCCCAGACTAACCTTTGGCCAACATTGCGAAGTGCAACGATCCCGATGACGCAATATGCCACTTTCCGTTGAGATACGGCGATACTGGTCCCGTAGTAACACCCTTGTCATGCAACAATGTTATTTAAGAGATAATGATGCAACGATCTCCCTTTGATTTCTTTTCTGTCACAAAATCTGAAGTTTATTCAAGTATCACGTACTTCTTTCTTTTCTGAGGTACTTGAAAGGTCTTGGAATATACCCTATACTTCTTTTCTTTCCTTTTCCTTTCTTTTCGGCACCGTTTTGACCTTTCACCTTTTTGTTTCTGGGTGGCAAGAACTAATTGCTCGTTATTTAAAGGCTAGAAGCGGATACTTACGGCACAGCATGTTCTAAATATTAGAATGGCGACTAAATTCTGTCTGCATATCATTCTCATAGTTTGCCTTTTTATATTTGTATACTGATACATACCTTTCAAAAATACAGCTGATATTGCCTCAAGGGGTTAGATTTTCCATGATTTCTAGCAGTTTAAATTTTGTGTCTATGCCTGTTTGGCAAAACAGAGCTATCCAATTGAAATCCATAGTTTGCTCACCACCATCTATACATATCTAGGATCAAATTACAACAAATAAAGGTAAGTTACTGACACCTGCAAACATGGATTTTACCACCCCAAGCGGGCAAAAAATGAGGTATATATGGCGTGACAAAAATGGCATTAAATAGGGACATCTTTCACCATATTTGTAAAAGTGGATCAGAGTTTGGACCGGATACCTTCCAATCGAAACTTCACATCTTTGAGCACTTTGGTAGATGGCTTCCAGTCATCAAACTGTTTCAAAAGTTGGGCGGTTTCTACAGATAATTTCCTCCGAACATATTCTTCTTCGAGAACACCGCGCATTGCGAAAGGAAGAATATAGGGGTTTGCGGAGGATGAAGTGCGAGGTGTATGTATTTTGAGCATGCAGTCAGGGATAGATGTCGTTTCAAGAGTAAACTGGATGCAGAGTCTGGTCGAAATAGGGTGAGAATTTATCTAATGATAGAGGAAGTAGAGTGGAAAGCTTACCGGTAGACCGCCTCATCGTCGTAGAGTCGAGAGTGGCCTTCTCCGGTATATAAGCTACCGGCTAGAGGGGAGCTAAGCTCGCGAATCAGACCGTGGTCGGATACTCCGAGATTACGAAGCTTCATTGAGAAGCCAACTAGGTGAGAAAGACTTCACACGCCCATGAACAGTAAGTCGTTGTTTCCAAAATGCAGAATACGGAAGGGTAACCTACAAACTTGGGGCATGAACTCTACCATCAACAAATACGGCGCGATAAATATGAGGATGAGAAACTGTAGCAAAAGTAGAAGACTATTTCTCTTGTTATTTCTGAATTTAACCTCAGTGTATAGGTCACATACCTCTAGCGATACTAACTGGTCGTCTATACTGCCAATGTACGTTATTCTGACACCATAATCAAGGACTTTCTCCAGAGCCATTGAATATGCTTGCGAAACCTTGCTGTTCGGGTTTGTAAAGTCAAAAAGCTCTCCAGCAGAGCCGCTAATCCATCTTGATCTATACTCTGGAAAAGGACCGAGATTAATCCCCGCCATTGCACAGATACCAATTCTTGTGGCATTAACACAACCAAAGGAAACCAATTTTGCAACCAGCATGGTGGCTACAGGTACCCCCTGACTATGGCAGGATATCATAATAAAATCGGCGGTCCGTATGTGATCGATCCAATTCAGAAGCAGCTTCCACAAAAGGTCGACTCGCTCAGAAATACGGCCCTCTCCTTCTAGGGCTATCTTTTCAACCTGACACGGCAAATTATTGCTTGATGCCCATTGTAAGATAGCCTTTTCTGCCATAGTAGCAAATTTTACAGACGTTCCAGTAGGCTGGCCAATTATATTTCGTATCAAAGGTGCAGGAAAATAGCCATGAATGCCAATTGACAACGCTTTCTTAATCTTCGGACGCTCTGGCGTGCGTAAAACATGGCTAGTATCCAGAGTCTTACCATAATATACCAGTCGCCCCAGTTGCTGAAAAATTCCAGGGCGTTCTTGCAAAGGAAACGTATGCTCAAAAGCAGGTAGAACTTCATTCGGTGGCAACAACTGTGACTGTTTTACGGCCAGGGCAGCCCCTTTTAGTTCAGGGTTTTCAGAAGAAAGCTCCGGAGAAACAAGGTCTTCAGCAACAGTCTGCGCTGAATCGGTTTTGGCAGTCTTTTTAGCCTTGGGTTTTGGCAAGGGTGGTGCAGCTTCAGAGCCGGCATTTTTGGGCGACAGTGTGTGCGGAGGTGTACTAGGGGTTGTTTCTAACGCGGTACCGGATGAATTCCGAGAATTAATTTGCACAACTTCTTGGTCTTTGTTTTCTCGTGACCAAAAGAGCCAACTCATAGATTTTGGGGCGTCGTTCTCGAGGCTGGCACTATCACACGATACATTTGCCCGCGGCGGTATATTTTCGTCCTGGTTTGGTGACGATTGGCTACGGGGCAATATTGGATTATTTTCATCCGGCTCACATGCCTCAGTTTGTTCTGTCGCCTTGGAGTCTTCTGGTTCTGTAGTTGTGGGGTTTCCGGCCCAAATGTACAACCAGGATTTTTTTGGCCGTATATTTCCTTCTGGAGAGTTTATGATGCCGGTATCTGCCTTAATGGCGCCCTGGGAAGAGTCCAGCTGGTCAATAGTATTACCTTCTGTGGGTGCTGGTTTAGGACGGTGATCGACATCTAATGTTGCCTGTTCCGCAGTTCCAGAATTAGTGTCAATATCCGCAGGGTCCGGATTGCGTAAAAGCCAGGTGAACCAGCCCGAGGACCGATCCAAGTTAGACTCTTGGAACTGTTTTTCTACGATGGAACCCGATGTCAGGGGCTCTTCATTTGTGGTGTCAATGGATTGTGGATTATTTTCGCTTTCAACTTCCTTTACTTTTTTCACATCTATCGACGTAACGAAAGCTTCATTTTTATTGCCATCTTTCCTGTTTCCAGATGTCACAATCAGAGGATGTTCTTCGACCCGATCTGAATCAGGAGCCGACCCTGTGGAGGAGATGTGTATTCGTGTAGTGGTTACCTCGGCGGGGAGAGATCTTGCTGATGCTTGTCCTTTCTTCATAAGGCCTATGGAGTAGGCTCTGGCCAATCGTGAAGAGGAAATGTGAGTTTGAAATCGTTTGGGTACTGTTGTGGCCGTTGCGGAAGCCGTCTCTTGGGCGACTTTGGCGACTTCAGTGACTGGTGGTGCTGTTATCTTCCGAAGCCAGGATTTCCAGTACCACACCTGATCCATATCAGCACGAATGTAGAGAGTAAGAATAGTATTGTCACCTACTGTGGCATCCTCTGTCTCTGTCACTGGAGAGCCCGACTGTCGCAGCCGTGTTTCCAAGAGTGGGCCAAGTTGTTGGTTTTGTTGCCGATTCGCCTGCTTCTGAGGCTCCATAAGCGTTATGAGATCCTAGAAACAGACATCACAAGAAAGTCGATGCTCCGTCAAAACCCGTCTAATTAACGAAGATCATCTTCTTGAGCCTGGAGCTGGCCGTCATTGGCATGGCCGAGGCGTTTTGCGTCATCTGATTGGCCCCTAGGCGTAGGGCCGGTAACGTGATGTCATCCGCTGAAGAACAATGCTTATATAATATCTTTGTCATGTGAATGGTGGCTTGCCTCCTAAGTTTGTGTGGCTGGTGAATTTCTTGGCATTTAAAGATTTCAGAACTTCGATGAAAACGATGGGTGAAAGCAACAAGGCAAGCTTTGCAGAACGTGGGAGGCAGGTTGCGCGCTAGGAGCATGGCAATCCAAAAGAAGGTGCAATTCTTTACTCTATGTTCCCTTGACCACAGCTGACTTAATACAGCATGGCAAAGGCCGCTTGGACAAGTGGTATAAACTCGCGAAAGAAAAGGGCTATAGAGCTCGTGCTGCGTTTAAATTGATACAACTCAATAAAAAGTATGGATTCTTAGAGAAGAGTAAAGTACTTCTAGATCTTTGTGCAGCACCCGGGGTAAGTGTGTTTACTTGTATGGTTCTCCACGCTCAAGGTTAACTAATCTGTTTGCCTCTAGTCCTGGTGTCAAGTTGCCGCAGAATGTATGCCGACGGAGTCTCTTATCGTTGGAGTTGACCTTTCGCCTATAAAAGCCATACCTCGAGTCATCACCTTCCAAAGCGATATAACAACGGACAAGTGTCGCGCCACAATTCGACAGCATCTGAAGACCTGGAAAGCTGATACTGTCCTACACGACGGAGCACCCAATGTCGGTACAGCGTGGATTCAAGACGCATTCTCTCAGGCTGAGTTAGTGTTACAATCTTTGAAGCTTGCAACTGAATTCTTGATCGTCGGTGGAACATTTGTCACAAAAGTGTTCAGATCAAAAGACTATAATTCGTTACTATGGGTATTTAAGCAGCTATTTACTTCTGTAGAAGCAACAAAGCCGCCATCGTCACGGAATGTTTCTGCCGAAATATTCGTTGTTTGTCGAGGATTCAAGGCTCCAAAACGTATCGATCCGAAATTTTTAGATCCTAGACATGTCTTCGCCGAGTTACAAGACCCTACACCAAATAACGAAGCCAAAGTGTTTAATCCCGAAAAAAAGAAGCGAAAGAGAGAAGGATATGAAGAAGGAGACTATACTCAGCATAAAGAGATCTCAGTCACAGAATATATCAACACAACAGACCCGATAGCAATTCTTGGAACGTATAATACCCTGAGCTTCCAACAGTCCCCCAATGGCGATCTCGCCTTAGCGACACTTGAACGTCTTCCTGAAACTACTGACGAGATTCGAAAGTGTTGTGAAGACCTGAAGGTTTTAGGTAAGAAAGAATTTCGGACCCTTCTGAGATGGCGTCTAAAGGTGCGAGAGCAATTTGGGCTTGCGGTTAAAAAGGGGGGTAAAAAAAATGAGGAGGCGGAAGAGGTTGCTGAAATCGAACCGATGGATGAGGAATTGGCCATCCAGGAACAATTGCAGCGATTACGAGATAATGAAACCGCAAGAAAGAAAAAGGAGCGCCGAAGGGGAAATGAACGCAAGAATAAGGAAGTTGTTAGAATGCAGCTACACATGATGACACCCACGGACATTGGAATAGAGCAAAGCGGGCCGATTGGCGAAGGGTCGATGTTCTCTATTACACCAATTACCCGAGAAGGTGCAACAAAAAACATAACCAAGGGTAAAATGGTTGATGTAGAGAGTGATCATGACGATGACAACACAAGCTCAGAGGATGCAGAAAGCGATGATGAGGAAGACCAACTTGAGCGAGAGCTTGATGCCATGTATGAAAAGTATCAGGAGAATCGCGAAGATCGGGATTCAAAACTAAGAGCAAAGAAAGCCCGCAAGGCCTTAGAAACAGAAGAATGGGAGGGCTTTTCAAATTCTGATAAAGACAATGACGAAACCGCCGGCGACTCAGATACCATTTCTGAGCAGCAGCTGGGTATTCTTGGGAAAGCTCAATCCATTGGTCTTTCGAACAAAGCAGCTCTATTTTTCGATCAAGATCTATTCGATGATTTAGGGGAGCTTGATGACGAGCAAGAACAAGGCAACGATGTAGATGACGATCCTTTATCACCTGCTAGCTCGAACGGCGACATTTCCGAAGGCTCAGATAATGAAAGCAACATGTCAACCGATTCATTCCCGACGAACCTAAAACTGTCCGATACCACGCCTTCTGCTGATGCAAAAACGGCGGGTTTTGATGAAGAAGGCGATGATCCTCGTAGAACGGATGGCAAACTGGGTATGTGACTACTCACCATCTCACGCAATGATTGGGGCACTAACATTTTAATAAGATATTGACATCATCACCGCCGAAGCCATGGCACTTGCCCAGCAAATAGCTACTGGGGAGAAAACCTCAACCGACGTCGTCGATGACGGGTTTAATAAATATTCCTTTCGGGACACGGACGGCCTCCCAGAGTGGTTTCTCGATGACGAGGGTAAGCATTCTAGGCCCCAGAGACCAATTACCGCCGCAGCTGCAGCTGCAATTCGCGAGAAGTTACGCGCCATCAACGCTCGGCCGATCAAGAAGGTGCGCGAAGCCAAGAGCAGAAAGAAATTCAAGCAAGGCCAGCGTCTAGAGAAGTTGAGAAAGAAATCGGCTCTCTTGGCAGAGGAAGAAGGGGTCAGCGAAAGAGATAAGGCTCAAAGTATTGCAAGGATGATGTCGCGAGCTATGAAAAAGAAGCCGAAACAGAATGTCAAGCTGGTTGTGGCCAGGGGAGGCAATAAGGGAGTCTCTGGTAGGCCAAAGGGAGTCAAGGGAAAATATAAGATTGTCGATTCAAGGCTGAAGAAAGACGTCAGAGCGCAGAAAAGGCTAGCAAAGAAGCAAAAGAAGTAGGTCTGCTACATCACACGGCCTGGGTAAACGGACCTATACTACTCCGTATTGCTGGCAGCTTCCTCTAAAAACATGACTTCAAGTGTCGGTCTACAAGTCCTGTTGCACTATAGTTGCCCAATGTGATTGCCCAATATGATACAAAAACCGAAACGCCAAAAGCTTGAATAACCCGAAATTTTGGCTGGTATTTGCCAATTAAAAAGAAAATTTATCAGGGGGTATCGGTCTACAAAGAATGCAAAGGGGCAGGTCAAACACCTATCCACTTCGGCTGCCTTGCTTCGCCTTGCTTTCCTGATTCACGAATATAAAAGAGAAAAAGACGACCGCAGCTCCAATCCAGTATAGAGGGCTTGAGTATTGTCCGTGGATGAAGATTTGCGCCACCAGTGACAAAGGGATTGTCATGCTCAATCCCACCGTAACAACCAAGGGTGTAGTAAGGAGCATAGCATAAGCCCAGCAAATGTCTGAGATCAAGGAGGTGGCGGCATTTACCTGGGTGTAACCTATTAGTATCTTGTACGTGGATTGTCTTGGGGATATAGATTTAAGGATACCCACCAAAATGATGGACCATATTAACCCTTTATCTGGCCATTCAAATGTCTCCAAGCCTGTAAAATGAAGAATAAGAAATCCGGGCCACATCAGGATCGTATTCCATAAACCAACTAGGCCAAAAAATAGAGGCATGCTAATTCTATTTTCGTCTCCGGCTTGCTTCTTCATCACGGTTGTATAAACACCATATAAGATGGCGCTGAGTGCTGCCATAGCATTGCCCACAGCGAGCTCCGTCGGCGATTTGTGAGGAAAGGATCCACGGTTCTTATCGCTGGAACCAGACAGGTCGACTCTTGATATAATAACAATACCTATTAGAGAGGCAACAACGCCGAGGAGTTTGCGTGTCGTGAATTTCTCCACTCCAAGCAAGGCCCCGAAAACCAAGGTCCATACGCCTAATACTACTGTCAATAAAGCGGATGTATTAAAAGAACTCTGAAGAACTCTGAGAAGCAAGCCGGACTCACCACTCGTCGATGTTAAAATTGTGGCACTTCCAAGGGTAGTATTCTCAAGACACGCAATTGCAAAGTAGTTTGCCTGTTATTCGAAGGAAAAAAAAATGAGAAATTCTGAAGGCACACAGTCAAACAGATTCACAAGATCAACCTACAAAAAACTGTGGCTCAAATTAGCTTAGGCATTGGAGACGAGGATGGAATTTTCTACTCACCCATAAGAGACAAAACTCGAGGCTCAGTCGAGAAGTCGTTCGAAGATCCAATTTTTCAGGGGCCACTGGCTTTCCATCTTCCAGCAACGAGTCTCCAGAAAGCCGTGCAGATGCCAGGCTGTCCCTCTCTGTAATATCATTTCCCTGTAAACCGAGAAAAGGGCGTGATTCATCCGGATTCAGAGGTGCATCCCCTCGCAGTGATTCCGGATTGGCAGCTCTTTTCCCAAAAAGACGTCTAGTAATGAATCTAAACAAGGCCAATGTGAAGAACGCAGTGTTAAAATATGTCACAAAGAACGGCTTTGGGAAAGTCTTGTCCGCAAGAATGGTCTACCGTTCCCCAGAAATATGTCAGTAGGCTATCTCAGAAGTAATTATCATAGACACCAGCAGTTCGTTTCATCTACTGTTAAACTAGGGGATGCACTTACGCTCATGAAAAGATTAGAAAGAGTCCAAAGGACCACAACAGCTAATAAGAGCAATACACCCAGTGTGTGCCTTGCAATCCCGGCGTACGAGCCATTGGCCGCCGTAACAGATGGAGGGGCTGTTCCCGGGGTCGAAGGTCTAGCACTTGCACCCCTTTCACAAGCAACTCCGTTTGGCTCGACATCGATAGATGCATCTGGGAGTGTGGACATAGTCTGCCAATATCCTGTGACACGTAACTAGTATGCCAAAGGGCCGGGATGACTGGACGCCCGCAAATCGACTAACTAGCTAAGCCAGAATCGTACAGATTATTGGGCCCCGAGAGAAAACATAGTATTAATATAAAGACAATCGGAGAATGTACCCCGAGTATAGGATTCCAACAGACAGGTCCGCGGGGGTCAAGCAATTCCGGTCTTGGTTAAAATCGTCATCACAGCCGAGTCAACTACAATGTACGGAGTACTCCACAGTTAACTACATAACTACTCAGTACCAAACCATACAATCCGAGATCTTCTCACTACATCGGAATACCAATTTTCCGAGCTTTTACGTAGTTAACACCAAACCACAGCATCCGTTTGGCTACAGTTACTACATTGAATCAAGAGTCCGGTAAAATGGACACCCGCTTTGGCTATTTTGACATCTCTTTAGACACTAAACCTTAATAAGCAATAGTTACACTAGCCTATTTTGGACTGATTAAATGCTCACCAGCAAGAGCTGTGCAGCGAACGGTTCTGAACTATGGCAATGAGACTATAAAGTTCCTCGAGAGATAAACTGGCCCATCAAAAACTACTACTAACTACCACCACCAACAAAAGCCCATTGATAGCTGTTTCTAGTTTATCCATAAATATAAAAAACGAAGAACCAGCGCCAGCTACAAAACTCCATGCAACCACAGTACAGAATTATACCAAACATTTGCATGCTTCTCGCATTAGTGCATGCTCCAAACAGTCAAAATTTAAAGGGAAGGAATCCTCCCTAACAATGGTATGGCGGAGCCCAAGCGAGGTCAGACAAGATAGAATTAGCAGGCACAAGCGTCACGATCGTTGTCAAGATGAATATTGATGGGGTCTGAAAAATCACCATTAAATTCTTCAGATTCTTCTTGCGTGAGAGCAACTTTTGCAATTGCTGTGCTCATTATTAGCCATTCCATGGGTTTATAGGTAGAGAGTGGATCAGCGTACTTTCAAATGCTTGCTCGACATTAATAGCCTCTTTAGCGCTAGTTTCGAAATATGGTATGTTCCCCTTGGATTGGCAATATGTCGAGGCGCGCTTCGTGGATATCATCCGTTTTGACTCATCAACATCGACTTTGTTTCCCAAAACCACCTTGTAGCGTGTCAATCGACTATCTTCATTACCTAGCAGCCATGAAACTTACAAATGGAAAGCTTTCGGGGTCCCGTGGACAAGCTTGGATAAGAAATTCATCGCGCCAGCTGTCAAGGTTCTCGAAGCTCTTCGAATTGTTAACATCATATACTAGTACGCAGCAGTCTGCTCCCCGATAAAAAGCGACTCCTAATGACTGAAATCTTTCTTGACCAGCAGTGTCCCAAAGCTACATTTGCTGTTAGCTGGTTTCCAGAAAGACGGTTCTGCACCCTAACGTACCTGCATGGTTACCAATCGATCATCGACCAGGACTTCTTTCGAAAGGTAATCTGCACCGATAGTGGCCTTGTAGCTGGCGCTATATTTTTTGTTTACCTAAAAAAAAATAGGAGCAATGAGTATTATTTCATAGCTTTCGTCGCCAGCTCCCCACTGACATATTGGTTCATAAGACTGGTCTTGCCGACCCCACTATCGCCGAGAATAATCACCTAAAGCAAAGACGTATTAGCCAGAAATATTCGATAGACAGAGTTCAGAAATAAAATAACCTTCAGAAGGACCTTCTTCCGTGAAGCCATCTCAGCGATCGGACTGCGACGGAGATACCGCCTTTCGAAGGTGAGAGAGATCTAGCGGGATGGGGGGCTGGAACGGAGCCTATGCGCAACGTTTTCTAACCGAAGATTCTGAATAGAGCGACCTGAAATAGGGAGGAGGATTGTACTAGTTCAGGAAGGGAGTTGGCGGGCAAGAGTTGGAGTGGTTGGATGGCGGGTGTAGTTCGAGAGTTAATACGGAGCAAGTTAACTAACTAAACTAGTGAGTCTGATGAAGCAGCATCATTGCCAAGACCGGGTATCTACTCCCTATCAACAACCTCAAGAGAGAATCGGCAACCAGCATTGGGGGGTGCCAATGCAACTTCTCTGCTTGCAGCATTGACTCTGAATGTCAGGCAAAGCTCTAACCCCCATTAGCATCCCCTCACCTCAGATGTCCACCTGACCGCCTTGGCCCGTCCTTGACCCTCTCACAGTGGCTTGTGGGAGCACCGTTTGTCTCAGCGGCTTGGAGAGACGCGCAAACACTACCTGGCCCCACCATGGCGAACTGGCGAGAAGAGTATTATGCTGCTCTAGGAGTCCGTGATGAATGCGAGAAATCGAATAAGCTGTTATATGATGCTTGTATGGCATACCTGGTTGAAGTAAGGACAAGCCTTTGACCGTCCTTTACTCACACTTTGATCTTCAGACACCCGCCTTGCCGACCGCACCAGCAACCTAGAAATCCGTCCGTCTACTGTCTCAGCTATATCCCCGAAAAAACCGTCGAGCAAACGCGATCCACTCCCAATAAGCCCTTCCGCGGCCGCGGACACGTTATCTGCTGCGCGCAAGGATCTCGCCGAAGCACAACGATCCCGTACCGAACTTTCATCGCGTTTGAAAAAAGCAACGGATGAACTCGAAACCGCAAAGAAAAAGGCCACAGTAGATACTAAAAAGATCATAGATATTTCAGTTGAACGGACACAGTTGCAGCAGCGTTTGAGAGATAGGGATGAGGAACTTCGAGGAAAGGCCAAGCTTTTAGACGTAAGCCTTTTACTCTCTTTCATCCTTTTATACAATTGATCCTATTTTACAAGAGACCTAGTCCCTGAATTGACGTTCGACGGATTACAGGATGTCCAGGACGAGCTTGTGTCGCTTAATTTACAGGTTAATATGTCCGAAGACCGGGCCAAAAGGTTAGAAAAGGAGAATAAAGAACTAATCGATCGGTGGATGGCTAAAGTAAGCCGGGAAGCCGATGCAATGAATAACGGATCCAAGTTCTCATGAAAACACTTGACATCACTTAAAATAATGTGACATCACTTAAAATAATGAATTGTTCTAACCAAGATAAAATGATTGAAGCATGCCATTGTGACAATTGGGCTATGCCACTACTTTAGTTTCACCGAGCTAGAAAGCATTAGCACAGCGCCTTGCTCCCGATTTTGCCCTCTCACTAAGCAGGGGGTAGGGTTCGAGGGAACGACACATTCCCATCGTTGAACTTGAGAAAATAATGCCCGAAAGGCATATAAGTTGGGATCAGTTGAGTGTCTCCGTACGGTCTGTCATCTATCTATATGACGGAAGATGCTGAAACTCATCGGTTCCTCCAACTGCACCAACTGCAGCTGCATGAGGTTCAGGCCACAAGACATGACTTAACTTTCCAATGGCACCTGGCAGGAAGTAATTGTCCTAACAGAAACAACAATATGTTGAAATCCTGTGTTGGCTTTCTCCACATACGCGCACAATAGTAATTTGTATGGGGAGATTCTAAGCAAAAAATTCGGCTTTCCAGGGCTTTAACAACCCAAATGCATGATTACGAAACAAAATAGTATTGTTGAACACGCTCGCACCGAGTACGCTATTATAACTAGATTAGTGATAATGAAGTTTTCAATGCCTTCTAAAACAGGACATTGTATTGGTTTACAACTGTATAACAGTCAAAAAAGGAAAGAGTATCCTCAAATAAACGGACAATCAATTTGTTGAAAAGGCTCTTTACACGGAAGAATTAAACAACTCGTTCAATCGTTTCCTTGGTTTTCTTTCAAATTTCAGCACACCAAAATAAAAGATAAACTCGTACGGAGTACTGAGCCTAACAATGAGTACCAAGCATAAAACTATCATAACGGTTCAAGTATGAACGAAGCCAAGTGGGCTTGGAGCCTATCCAAATAGCACAGACAACATTCTGTTGAGTAAAACATCAGGGGGTATTCCTTTATATACAAATCCAAAAGAATCTAATAGAAAACTAGTCAAAAGGCTCCCTTGAAAGGAAATGGTAAAACAGGGGGCGTGGTTCAAAGTTCATTCTGCTGGTGTAAGTGACAAAATCTCAGGACATACTTTCCAAGTAAGCCTTTAGCTGACTACTATCCTTTGTGGCAACGAAGTATGTCCCTCCGGCATTGGTCCAGCTGACACTGTCAGACCAGTAATGCTTCTTCTTAACCGATAGTAAGTTGATGGGTGAATTCAGGTTCCGGGATTGAATCCTATGCCCGGCAGGGACAAAAGATTTAAGCGAAACGATCCGACAGCCTTCTTTCATGTCAAGAAAATAATTGACCAATTTATTATTTAACTCAGGGGTGAAAGCCTGGTTATTGATTAGCACAACGTCGGCCTTGCGGAGAATAGAGGCAATTCCCTCCGCTTCAAGAAAATCACCCCTTATTAGCCTTGTCTTGCCAGGGGCGATGCCCCACAAGCGGCAGCGAGAAATAAACTCTTTTTCTTGAAGCTCCGCCAAGTCGCAGGCGTTCTGCATCATCTCACAACCCCAGCTCTCGCAGCCGACTTCCAGCGCCGCCTGCAGAACCACATTCCCAACACCAGAACCCAAGTCCACGAAGACTTGGTTCGATTTCAAGCGGGTATTTGCGAAAATCTCCGAGATGAGGCGCGGTAACAGCTCCCCATAGACATTGTCGGTACCATTTTCATACTGGCGAAGTGATTCAACTCGAGGTGAGACAGTCCTTGAATATACTTGGGTCAATATCCTTTCCACCAGTGGAAGTGCAACCACATGTGTCGTATCTAGATGCCGAGAGATTGATTCATCTTGCCGCAGTCGTTTTATAATCTTATTGTATGCCTCGATCGCATCGATAAATTTGGGGGCAGAGCCTTGAACAAGCGCACGCCGTAGGCGGCGTAATATCCCAGAAGCTTCGTCTTCAAAAGGCGCCCGACAGGTTTCGGGAACGTGATGCTGCGAGACTATGGTGATGACCTGAACTATATCGTCAAGGGGCTTAAAACCTTCATTATCATGAGGAACAACTAGTTGATATCTGCACAATAGAGAGAAATTAGTATATTAGGCAAGGAGGAAAACCCACAATCAAGAGCCAACATACTTCTCTTTCTGTAGCGCACCAGGATATCGTAGTGACACTGTAACCGCCTTCTCCTCTGATTCAAATGCACTCTGAAACTTTGCGGGCGCACCCAAGGATGCAACATCGGCGGCGTGCACAATCGAAAAGGATGTAGCCTGTTCCGAAAACGCATCTCGATCCCGAACGCAACGTTCTAAGTCCGGTTCAACACTCAAGCTAGTCTTTGACCGCTTTGCTATTCGAAAATCCAACGACGCATCTGTATCACTATCATCACTGCTGGTACTGAAGGTTTGTTCTGACAAATATCTCTTGCGCGAGGTCGACACTTTTGGTTTCGATGTCAGCGAAGTGGCGGGGTTTACAGCCGGCTTTGATACTGGCTCCGATCGCGGTCGTAAAGGCTTCGATTTGGGAGCAGAGGGCGACGCCTGGATAGGGGTTCTGCTCTCTACCTTTCGGATCTGGACCTTTTGCGCCTGGATTGCGCCAACTCCTTTCTGCTGGAGATGGTCGAAAAACCCCATCGGATAAAACAAAACTTAAATGAGAGTAAAAAAAGAATGATATTCCAAAAAGAGAGAATGCAGATAGCAATATCTAGAGGACTGTTAAAAAAGAATGTACGTCCCTTCAAGCATGCGTCTCGCTGAGCCGCGTGGACAACGGAAAACGGCAAAAACAGGCAAGCCGGTGGTGGCGCAATGCCAAGTCCTTAGCGCCGAGTTTATGACGGTTGCCTCGTGGTTGAATAACGTGATGCGGCTCGGGACAGACTAAACACACTACATTATTGTACAACCTTGGTACATTCACAAGGCGGAGAGAGGGAATATAACAAAATGAAAAGTTTCGTACGGAATAGTATACATGCAAGGGTATCAAAAGAAAAGTTTCACCGCCCTTGCAAAACCGAGATCAAGCACGCCTGAAACGAAGCTATTTACTATCCAACACGCTGCTTCAGCGCCAGAGGTGCGGCAGCCCAAAACGAGTTCAATTTAACTTCAAAAGGTGTAGGAAAAGTAACGAGTGACTAGTCGCTAAGATTATGAGGGAACTGTTTCCAGAAAGAAACAGAGTAACAGTAGTGTAGAAGAAACCTGTGTAAGGAGATAGGAAAATTGTTTGCGAGATGGTGTTATGACTGCACCCCAGATGATGAGTCACGCACGGTAGGACCACTTGGTTGAGAGCGCGGAGCTTCGTGATCCCTCATCAAGACGCTTTTCAAAGAACCAAGCCACTGATCAAGACTCTGCTCGTCAGGAGCACAAAATCTAAAAGCCTGCTCCTCGGTGATGAGCTGGAAGCAAAAGACCTTTGAGCGAGATATGGGATCGACATCCGCAGCATCAATCACCTGGCACAGGGGTATTATCTGCACCGCTGAATACTCTTGTTCATTTTTGTAAAATGATATTTTTTCCGCCCGCAAAACGGTCCAAAGCTTTTTCCACTGTCGAACCCCTTTTTTGCCCCTGAGGCACGAAAGGTAGCCACTGAATACCACCCGCTCTGGGTTTATTGCTGTGGAACCAATATCGCTATGGTGACTGGCATGGCGGTGAAGGGATGGACGATTGCCGTTATGCACAGCGGGAGATAGAGAGGGGCGTTGGTAACGTGGCAGAGATCCTGTGGAGCGGTGCCTTCCTGACTGTGGTGGCACATCTGAAAACTCTGAACAGGAGGTGATATCATTGCCTGAAACTTCCAAAAATTGAGACCTGCGGGGAGCAGTCGCAGTACGTCTGGTGGAGTGCCTAGTGTCAGGGCGGTGGCCATCATGATCTGACATCTCCCAAGCACTCTCCTCTCCATCTATCGCTGATACTCCTCGGACGCGATCGGACGCGAGGAAAGTATCTGGGTATTCAACGGAGCATTCCCGGCGAATGTGCTCTACCCAGCATTCTGCGTCATCTTTTGATGGAGCTTGAAACCTATAATTATTGGACGGCGAAAATATTCCAAACACGTTTGGACGATTCGACCTTGGAGCTTTCACATGCGCGACTGTCGATATATCGGATAGAGTAATTGATAGGCGAAGCTGGGCTTCGTCCTCGTCTTTGTAAAGCGAAAGGAGGTTTGGTCGCAGAACGAGATATCCCGGCTTCCACGATGCTTTGAAGGACTGAAAACCAATTTTGTCAGAAACGCTACAACAGGAAATGGATATGGTTTAAGGCCTCAATTCCCTGCGCTTGTTGCCACTTACATGTTTATTTTTGGACCTCCGTAATACTTTGCCCCTCTTCAGGACTCGATCGAATTCGAAGCTACCGTTTTCATTGACGGGGGAAAATGTGTCGGGGCTCAAAAACTCGCCTCGAGGCAAGGTAGGCTTCAATGTCCGCCCATCATTTGAGGCGGGCCCAGTCGAATGACCACTGTATTGGGGACGAATCCTTAGGGGCACGGCCATTGTGGAGGGAGACGGTTGGGAACGTGCTTCTCGATCCATCCGGGAGAACTCTGATAATCACATTTGGTATTTGAACGTCAAAAGGAAGGGAAATGCAGGCGTTACGGAGTATACGCACAGTGCAATGGCACATGGTAATCGATTTAAAACGCCCTGCTAATATTTAGTCCAAACCCCATGACGGCGTTAGTAAGGGGGCGAAGGTGTCAGGTTAGAAGCGCGACACTACGGAGTAGTTAGTATGTACTTGGTACCCCGTAGTTAGCCTGACTTGGGCGAGGCCAGGTCGTCGATCCTCGCGTGCTTGGCTACAACAGCAACACTCGGGTGGGCAGCATGCTCACAACAGTGATATCATCCTCCACCCTCAGCGAGGCAAGTTTAGTATTACATCGTCCAGTCTTGTGGCAAACTTCGGTATGATGATTATATACCACGTGTTATCCGTTACAGCTGCGCCTGGATGAGGCTCAGTACTCTATTTTAAGCTTGCTCAAGACACCAAGCCAACTGCAGAAATTCAGAACTATGATCAAGCGCGCTGTGGTCATACATGTGAAAATCTGCTTCTTTTCTCTTATCTAGATCATATTACTGCACGGCGTTCTCCACAGGCCTGATGGGAAATACACGACCTGCACCTTTTCGTGGATTCAGGGCTGTCATGATTCCGTCTCTTATTGCCTGCATGAAAATTGCCAACAGTTCAGCCTCCCTATATGCCAAATCATTTGGATAATCCGAGGGTATTTTGGTGGGGGCTGTATCGTATTGTACCCTACCCAACATTCAGTTCAAGTTATTGCCACATCGCATCCGAGAGCCTTCTACGGAGTACATCGAACAATATATAAATAATGCCGCCTCCGCATCTATTCCGCCTATCCAAGAAAAACAAGAACAAACCGCCTGCTGGGATCATAGCATTTCAAAATCGTACGCCAATTCGTAAGGGCAGAAACCACCGGGGTAAATGAGCCGACACTGTTGTCTCCGGCAACGCAAGTGCAAGGGATAGCCTGGGTGCTAGAGTTAATTTGTTTTGTCCTCCATTTCCTAGCTACCCATCCCCTAAATATCGGGCTCTCTCTCCAATTCCGTCATCAATTGTATGCAAGCTTTTTCCAGGGCTTCTAAACAGCTAGCTCCATCTTAGAGCTTTCACTGTTTGACGTCCATACCAGGTACACTCCTGTAGTCTTACCTCTATGAGTAGTTTTAGGCGGAACAGATCCTTTTCCACTGCGACTCCAGCGATGAGCGACACTCTGTGTTCGGATAACAAATGAGCTGGAGCTATAGAACAGGAATACGGGTACCCTGCTGCTTAATGTCAAAGAATAATCACGTAGCTCCGCTAAAACGAGTACCCAGGAAGGCGACCATGCCACACAAAGATATGCTATCCATTCTCTTACTATAAGGCGGCTCCGTTAGTATCCTCAGGCAAATGCCGGATGCTCAGACGCCAAGATCGCCAATTCCAGTTTGCCTTGTTTGCCAACTACCTTGGCGTTCTTGTCAAAGCGGCTTGCGCTGACTCAGCGGAGTGCTCTTGCCGTGTTTGTTCTGTTTGCTAGCGCTCCAGCTCTCCAGCAGCGTCCCGCGCGAAACAGGGCAATAGCCTGCAAAAATCTCAGAGCAAGCATAATATGCTATTATTAAGTATCAATTCTACCGCTTTTTTTTGCAGATGTGGTGCTGGAACAGAGGTGATGTTCTAGACTGGCTAGTTAGGTGTTGGATGGTCTCCATCTGTTGTGGTTAGAATCAGGCTTGGCACTGGGCTCTCCCCTGCTAAATTTCTCCCTGCAAGAACGCCAACCAGGAGAAGCGACCTCAGACCTCTCAACGATTTTTCACCACAGTCAACCAGCATCACCTCTCCTGCTGTTGCTGTGAAGTCAATGCTTCTCACCGGAACTCAGGCTTGCCACTCCACAGTCGGATTTTGGTCCTTTGGATGCCTGTCATTGGCTGTGGTTCCGGGAGGGTAAGAAGTTCTCCGGGTTGAATAGCCTGACACCCCCAAAAGTTGAACAGAATTTGCCCTTACTACCAGTCGCTCGTTACCCTTCGAAAGGTGCCCTTTTCGCGTCGAACTTGTTATCCTCTGATGACCCTATCCACTACCGTCATCCTCCGATTCCAACGTACAGATCGCCGAGGCCGAGCTATTCGATAAAGGGGCGCCTATTCATCTCCAAACTGCCTGCTTTCATCACCGGAAGCTAGGCGATTTGAAGATCACGCCGCTTCCATGGGCATCATTCATCGGCTCGCTAAGCGAGTATCCTTTCCGGTCGCGTCGTCCCTCGATAATGTCAATAACGAGAAGAGCTCCGTAATACCACGATTTGCATTCTTCAAACGCCGAATACGATTGAGAAGAAACTCGGCCATTTCAATTCCTTTAGGATTTGTTTTATTATTTCCATGCATTGTAATTATTCTCATTGTTCTTCTGATTGTCACCCACCCTTCTTCATCTGGTGGCATTTTATTACCAGCCGGCACTCCTCCATCAATAAGGTACCTCTTTGGGCTCTCTACTTTCTAGCTACCTTCGCGCTCATACTAATGTGTTATACAGAAAGATTAGTGAGAAATATGACAAAGTCTTCGCGACCGGTTGTCTTGAGATCGATACCTCGACGCCCAGAGCCAACGCCGCCTTCGTAGTTCTGGCCCGAAACAAAGAGCTAGAGGGTGTGATTCAATCGATCAAATCAATCGAGAGGCATTTTAACAGATTCTGGCATTACCCATATGTTTTTCTAAACGATGGAGACTTCGAGGAATCTTTTAAAGCCACTGTACGAAACTACACCAGCGCCCCGGTTGAGTTTGGGAAAATCGAACACAGTATGTGGGGCTTTCCTGATTGGATAAGCCCTGAGGTAGCGAAAGAGGGTATTCGAAAACAGGGAGATGCCGCCATCATGTATGGTGGGATGGAGAGCTATCACCACATGTGTCGTTTTTATTCAGGGTATGGCCAAGTTATTTCTTCCATGGTCTGCGCATCCCTTACTGACAATTGGATAGTTTTTTCTATAAACATCCCTTGCTAATGAACTACGAATGGTATTGGCGTCTTGAGCCCGATATCAAATACTTTTGTGACATTACCTAGTATGTGACTTCAAAACGATATACGCCCCCCTGTACTTACTTTGTTGCAGCGACCCCTTTCTTAAAATGATAGAACAGAACAAGACTTATGGGTTTACCATTGCTGTCAAAGAACTCCGAGAAACCGTACCCAATATTTTCCGATATGCCTCCGCCTATAAACGAAGCAAGAATTTGAAGTCAAAAGGGCTCTGGGAAATGTTTTTGGAAGAGCCAGAAGAACCAGAAGTGCCGAAGAGAAAGCCTGCAGAGGACTCGCTGCCAGACGAAATCTTGCAGACATCACCCGGTGATCGTGGCATTCGAGATATTGACCCAGAAGCGATGGAAGGTGAAAAATACAACATGTGCCATTTTTGGAGTAATTTCGAAATTGCGCGACTCGATTGGTTCCGGAGTAAAGAGTACGAAGACTTCTTCACAATGATGGACCGAAGTGGAGGCTTCTGGATGGAAAGAGTAAGATATCTAGTCGTATCTCTAAATTTGCATTTTGCTAATTCATATCACAGTGGGGTGATGCTCCTATTCATTCACTTGCTGCTGGTGCGTTGTTGTCTCCCAGCGACATACATTACTTCCGAGACTTTGGATACCGGCATACGACAATTCAACATTGCCCTGCAAACGCCCCCGCTCGTCAACGTGATCGCACTCCGTGGTTGGAAATGACTACGGAGGATGAAAAGAAACGTCAAGAGGAAGATGAATACTGGGATACCCCAGATCCTCCAAAAGAAAATGGGGTTGGCTGCAGGTGCAGATGTGATACCGATATCGATGACGTCGAGGGCAAGCAAGGTAGCTGTTTGGCCGATTGGGTCAAGGTCGCCGGCGGCTGGGCTTCGCCATAATACCAACTCCCTGGCGCGTGCATGCAATTTTTATTTCAGTTGAAGGTGTTCTGACGACCTCAATGGCAGCTTTGGGCATATTCAGTTTGTTGGCCCTACATATCTTGTTGGTCATAGGATAATTGGAAGACGGCGTTTCGTGGGAATCATCATATAAAGTCTCTTATTGCTTCAACCACGATGCACGCAGTGTCTCTTTACCCAAAATCATCTACGCTTCTAATTAAACAGTCGCCCTTTTTGGATTAGCAAATAATACTGAGCCCTGTATATTACTGGTGCCCTGAGTATTGCTATTTCTCACTGTGACTGACTTCCGCTTCGCTTGGTTCCCGCTGTTGACACGCGAAATCAAGTATTGGTCACGATCCAAAAAACCTACAACTTCCTGGCCAGCTACAAACTCTCCAGGGGCCGAACTGAGTGAAAAGCATAGTCACTCCGCTCATGGCCCGGAAATATGTAAACGATGAGAACAAAATCTCGTTTGCGATATCTTCCTGTAATTCATCAGCCCTGTAGGACTTTGGCACTTTTATCTGGCTGTGACTTGCATTTTTTGTCGTTCTCATTTTCATTGTTTCATAGTCTCGGTGTACATAGGGGCTATTTCTGTTTCCCTCCCATTTACTATCGCCTTCGACTTGCCACATGTGTAGACCCTTGGCTCTGTTCATTTCATAAAATTCCAAGTATTAAGCGAGTTTACTCTGTTCAAGGTTTGCTTTCTATGCATCTGTGCACACACAGTTGACAGGAATGAGATCATATATCAGGCAATGCGACACGTGTGGCAAACGGTCGTAGCAGTAGATTCTCACACAAGATAAGACTGGACTACCCTCTACGCTTGGCTAACCCTTCAACATCTCGTATACGGAGTACAGGCATTCAAGCTCGAGCTCCTTCATGCTCCGTAAGCGCGGCTGCCTGCTTGATGGACCCGCCGTAGGCACAGACGCTGCCTAACTTTAGCGCTAAAGCTTAAGCGCGCTTCCAAGACAATCGCCCCCCCCCCCCCCCGACCCCACTTTCCCGTCTACATTCGTCAACGGCATTTCGCCAGCTCATCGTTTCAGCCAGCATCCACAACAACACATGCTTAAGCATATTTCGTGGATATATCCTTTGTGCCTGTCCCTTGGGAAGAACCGCATAACTACATCGCCGGTTTGGCATGGTTACTTGACATTCCCACTCCTCTAAACTTGATCAATCTCGCCTTTAAAATACTTATAGCTTAGCAAGGCCCAAAGTTTTCATCCTACTACACCGTTGAGAGGTCTTAAGTGAAGGCCTGATATTAGTTTTTTTAATCTCAAAGTTCAAGCAAACGAGTTGGGCTCCGAGGTCAACCGTTTCCTCGCGGTATCTTAAACTCCTGGCCCGAATATCTTCGCCTCTTTTCATATATAAAAGACGACTGATTCGCTATAACTTATGCAGCTGCTCTGCCAACGTCCCCTTCCCCAATCTTGCCCTCAAACCGCCTTTGTTGACTCGTGAAATTCGAAATGGACAGTATGACGTCAGAGTCTCTAGATCGGCCGGCAAGTTCCTTGAGCGAGAGTTGGGCCTCTATCAGCAACCCAGACATGAACTCGGAAGATGATTGTCCCTCTGAGGCCACAGATAACCTGTCTCTCGTTGGCCACAGTGTTGCAGATGACGTTACAAGCCTCGATGGCAGAGACCTGGAAAGTGATGTCGATACAGATGATACCGAAAGCCGCTGCTCAGAAGCACAAAGCTACCTACCATCCGTATATTGTGAGGATGAGAACACTTCTGAAGATGCGGAAATTATGGGTGCAAGCTTCTCGTCTCACTCTGACTTGATTGTTTTCAACGAACCCAAAGTCTGGCCGTCCACAGGAGTTGTGAAAGTAAAGCATACCATCCGCGAGCTTGACCAAGTCGAAGTCTCCGAAGTTGCCCCTCGGGGTTTCAGTCAGAAAATATATATGTCCATTCAACAGTCTATTTCCCGGAACCCTGTCAATGTGCAACAGCCATTTCGCGTACTTTATCTAGGGGATCCAAAATTCAAATCCCGCGTTCTGGAGATACTAGGTGACGCCTTAGTTGCCAGCCCAGAAAATAGCTTATATGCAAACCCTGCAAACTCGTCGAAGTTCCATGTTGTTCCTGCTTCCTTTGGCCCAGATGCAACGCCCAACTATGCCGAACTACTACCTCTTCATGTTCAGCTAGGTGTGGAAGAATGCATTTTCACTAACTTCTGCGCCCTTCAAGATAAAATACAGATCTATTTAAAGAGTAATGAGGTTATAGTATCTAGAAAGATGGGCTCAGTTTATCAGCTAGAGTCGCGCACCCCGAATATCACCATATTCGTCATTGGAGACAACGACAGTGAAGTAACCCAAGCCACTCGCCGCAATACCTATAGGTTGGTAACAAGACACAATTTGCCATTTATGGTCATTTCCGAATCTTCTTATTCGAACCAGCTATATAAATCTACCTTGACTATTGACCCGCGCTCCCCCCATATCTGTTTGGAATGGAACGGCGAGAAGTCTGACGCTTCCTGTGTTGTAAAACGATATCCTATCGATCTCGATATATTTGGGCACATTTCTCCGGCTCAGCTCAATCGTAATCTTGCGTGTCTCGCTGGAGCTCGGTCCAAATCGCGAATCAAATTAGATCCGATCTCAGGAGAGGCCAAGGACAATCAAGCCACCCGCTCACCCCGCCCGCACCATATCATTATGTCGACTGACAAAGAATCCAAGATTGCCGCAATTATCTTTGTCATTATCATAATTCTCTGTTTCACTGGCCTACGGACTATTCTCATGAGTGTGCTTAACATATGTACTGGCTTTACTGGAGTTTCACTTCTTGCTACCAACGGAAATCCTGCTCACAATAATTCCATGGAACGTGTACCAATCACAATGGAGACACCAATGCTACCACAGCAAATTGCAGTGGTTGCGTCAGATCCTACTATGGAAAAGTCTTTGAGCATAAGTGATGACCTACTAAAATTAACGCAGCCAGATCCCAACAAGCCTAATTATACAGAAAACTTCCAAGTGTATGTTGTTGGAGACTGTCACGTTATTGTCAAAGCACCAGCTCGCTTCATGACATTAAAGAAGACTGCCAAATTTCTAGTGTTTGTCACAAAAGAAGACACACCCATCAACTTCCAGTTTACTAGGCTCTTTGATTATGTGTTTACCATACGCCTAGCTCGTGAGGATGCCCACGGGCTCATGAATGTAACAATATCCTCACGCCCGAACCTTACTATAGAACAAATCACTGAGATTGATTTTGGTACCCCCTGGCTAAAAATTGTGATCTGGAAAAAAGCTGCACAGTCCCTTTCAAACCAGGTGAGAAAGGATCTGAGCGCTGCACAAGCGGGGCTTTCAGAAGCATACAACCGAGTTTTACTCGATGTTCAAGTTATTAGTGATGCTCTGATGGGAGACATTCGACCCGATTGTCCAAACCCAATACAGCACTTGTTAGACGCGGCAATAAAAGCAAGCGGCGAGTCAAAGCGACGCTGTAATATATATGCGCGGAGAACAGTCGAGAAAATCATTACATCTCTTCCGCATCTCCAGCAGCGAGCAACGGTCCTTGCCGGTCAACTACAGTCCAAAATGTTACAGCATGGCGCGAAAGCTCATAAATCTGCCCTAAGCATAGATCTAACTCGGTTATTGCAGGTTACGCAAAGAGTAAAGAGATCTGGATTCCTTGCAGGAGCTCAGAAACAAGCAATTCGCCTGACACAAGATGCTCGGAATCAATGGAAAAATTTCAGAGATTTGTGCTACCAAGCGTCTCGGTAAAGAAGCCAAGAGAAATACGACTTGCCTCTGGCGCCCCTTTAACCTCTTCATGTTAATATTATTTTTTTCTTCTAGGAGGCATATCAAGGACAGGCTCATGGTGTTGGTCCTTTAGTTCAGGCGCATATTTGCCTGTCTGCTAAGGCTGTTGATTTGCTGCATTGTTGCTCTCATGTTTATCATACATATCTTCATCTTGTTCTGGGTAGCTAGTCATATGTCAGTCTTAATTCTATGCAGATGTGTGTTGAGGGGTGGAAAAGGGTACTAATTGACCATAATTATCCTGAAGTATCATCTCATAGGCGTCACTGTTGATTACAGACCCTCCCCAACAAGCCGGGGGCCTGACTACCCCGTGCATTTTGCCCCTTGTTGCAGGTGGAGTGGAAGATTGGGCGCTAAGTTGCCTACTGGGACTAATCTTTATCAACCCACAGTTTTCTCTTACCGACTAACAACAAACACCCGCACATCCAAGAAGCCCGGGCAGCTGATTTCCCTGCTTAATCCACCAGACAGCTTTTCATTTACTCTGATTCCTCATCTTCGTTGCATTTACATAAATACTGCTGCCCGCGATGTCTGACACACCCGAGACAAAGGCTGACCCCACCACAGCCCCTCCTGAGGAACAGAAGGAAAACGCCCCAACCACCACAGAAGCCGCAACAGCCGAATCGGGGTCTAAGAAAGGCGAGACTACAGAGATGGCCCCTACTGAGCAGGCAGCAAAACCAGCTACGTCCGATAGTGTGTTTTCGATGTTTGGTGGTGGACCCAAGAAAGAGAAAAAGGAGGCCGAGGAGGAAGGAGAAGCATCTGGCGCATCAAAGAAAAAGGAGGGCGAGGAGGGTGTAAGTGGTTTTTTTTGTATTTGGCTGTTCTTTAATCGCCGTGTTGACGATTTCTCGCGTTTTGCCGGGCGTCCGTTGCTGTCATAGTGGCTTACCACTTATCTTTTTGGACTGAACTTGAGGTCATTAGATGGATTTTTTACTATTTCCAAGAGCTAATAGTGTCTATTCTACCACAGGACGTTGAAGCCGAACCTGATGTTGAGTTCGAGCCCGTCATCCGCCTGACTGAGAAAGTTGAAACCAAAACAAACGAAGAGCTGGAAGAACAGACTTTCAAGATGCGCGCGAAGCTTTTTAAGTTCGATCGCGATACTAGAGAGTGGAAAGAGCGTGGAACTGGCGATGTGCGATTGTTGAAACATAAGGAGAATCAGAAGACTCGTCTTGTTATGCGAAGAGACAAAACATTGAAGGTGTGCGCAAATCACTACAGTATGTATCCATGTATCCATATCTTCTATTTATATGAGAATGTGGATGTAAGGCTAATAATACTCCACAATAATTCAGTTGTTCCTGATATGAAACTGTCGCCAAATGTCGGTAGTGACCGGAGCTGGGTGTGGAATGCTGCAGCGGATGTTAGTGAGGGTGAACCAGAGGCGCAGACCCTGGCTATTCGTTTTGCCAACAGTGAGAGTGAGTGAAGCAGCAAACTACTAAACAAATTGAGTATTAGGAAGCTAATGGGATTCACTTGCAGATGCCAATCTCTTCAAAGACGCCTTCGAAAAGGCTCAAGAGGAAAATGAAAAATTGTTCGGCCAGCAGTAAATGCAATGTCCTACAAGGAATCTCTGCTACTGCAATCCCTATTAGTTAAGTTGGCGAAATTCGTTAAGATATAACATCTGTTATTCTGTTTCGATCCCATCTGCACCCCCCTTCGAGATTCGTTGGAATATCAAATGCCGCCCCGATGCCCTTACCTAAACGCCCTTGTTGAATTCGCATCTCCCCGCCCCCCCATTAAGCATTGTTCTGTGCTCTGGCGCGTTCTGCTTGGCCAGAACTTAGAAAAGACGCCCGGCTGAGATGCACGATGATGACAGTGCTGGAGAATAGCCCTAGTTGTTCGGAGCAATATCCTATTTCAAGGTCCCAATGAACTCGTAAATAGATCAGTCAATCGATAGCATTCTAATACCGAGTGACTCGCAGCATGTTGTGTATTTCTTCGGCCCCCGTTGTGGTGACGGTAGTCTGGCGACTGCGACTGCAACTCCAACTTCTTTCGCGTAGAGATCAAAAACACTTCCAACTTCGCGCCTCACAGTCAACTTCATTGATCATTACATCGAAATTCCTCTTCGCATCGACACGTGGCAAATTTTATTTGCGCTTCTTATACCTCTTGATTCCGTATTTCCTCTCTTCCTTTACCCACTCCAACCCGACTGAACCTTCTGGGCGACTGGTCAGCCCGCCTACTGCGCAAACACCTCCTGCGAGCTTCTTAGAAGCCACGAGCCACACGCCACGACCGCGAAAATGCCGGATGTAAGCCCGTTTTTATTCTTGTCGCAAACTCCTGCACTCTCTAGACACTGCCATTTCCCGCTGCGCTACGCTCCACCACGTCGTCGCGTGCTGCTCGAGTCCGTAATGGAGCGAGCCCCTCACTTCCGCCAGCATACCTTGACGGACTGTGGCTAATACAAAGCATCCTCCAGGTCAAACGCACAGTGAAGCTCGTTACAGAGCAGAATCCTACGTACGTATCCTTCGTCTCGCTGTCGTTGCAGGCCCGGTTCCCTAGAGTTTCGCGTCCTCATATCATCCCCGCCCCGCTCTTCCCTATCACCTCCCAGCAGGCATACTACATTGCGATCAATGGATGGTTATTGTTGACACACTATATCATTTAATCAACGTAAAGCCTGATATGTAGGTCTTATCTGTGCTAACGCTGGTTCTCGGTGACCATAGGGACAAGGCTTCTGAGTATGAGGGCTTGCCGGTTCGTCGGTGGTCTATTGAGGTTTTCCTCTTGAACGAACACGGAGAGGAGATTCCCGCGACTTTATTTAATGAAGTCACATACACCCTGCACCCGAGTTTTGGCGAAAGGGCCGTACAGAGTGAGTTAAAACCTCGGCCACTTAGATTACGCGAAAATACTTGTTCATGGTATAAAGGGCCCCGACATTTAAGTGATAGAAGCTGACTGATTTTGTTCGCCTACCAGCGTTCAAAACGCCGCCTTTCCGGATTGAAGAAGAAGGGTGGGGAGAGTTTGATCTCCAAGTTGGCCTTGGAGCGCCGGATAAAGAGCACACCGTCCCCCATGATCTGAACTTCCAGCAAAACAGATACGAGTCAAAACATGTAATTGTGAGTTTGGTTTTCGTATTCCGACTATTGTCTTGGAGCAAATGTTTAGCTAACCGTGAGCGTATATAGACATTCAAGAACCCAAAGCCAGCTGTTCTTGCGGCTCTCAGAGAATCTGGGCCAGTCCCTGGTGATGAAAATGGTCTCAAGTCGAAACGTGCTCAAGATGAGAGTTCGAAAAAGAAAAAGAGGATCGACAAAAATGTAGGTTTTGCTATGTGGCCGAGGATTCGGAAATAATTGCTGACCTCGCGTGAGCAGATTGACATGGAGAGACTAGCAGACGGCTTGCAAAAACTGGGCGAAGATGATCTTCTTCAAGTGGTTCAAATGGTCCATGATAATAAGTCTGCTGACTCATATACCAAAAATGATATCGAGCGTGAGTGTCTTGATATTGTTTCCTAACTTATGTTCTAACTATTTGATAGAGGGCGAATTTCATGTCGATCTCTACACACTGCCCGACACCCTGATCAAGATGCTATGGGATTTTTCTCAAGAGAAAGGGGTAGTATAGACAGTACGGATGCCTGGACTTTCAAAAATCCTAAATAGGCCATCTTGCATACTGGAACAAATGTAAACTAGACCGGAGCTATTACGCTTCTTTCTTTTGACGGCCTTTGGTTTATTATAATTTTGCTGTGGAGTAGGGCATCAGGGCTTTTTATGTGTGTTGCAACATCCTCATTGCCCTTACTATGAAATCTGCAAAATTTAGGTGACATTATAGTTATTTTTTAGGCCATCAGGGTCTGATCCATCCGGCATCTGCCCTGCAACGTCTGTTAAAATTTCCTTGGAGGTCGTTGTTGCTTAGCTAGAACTAGGGTTAGGTTTATATGGATTTAGGTAAATTCAAGGAAGCTGACGATATGATCGCCGCAGTTGTAATATTGTTAATACACAGGTAGTAGGATTTATGGGGAAAATTGGCTCTTTCTATTCACACAGCATCCACTCCCAACATCGTGTGGGAGGTCATTTCACGCAATCCTCATCATCAAAGCGCAGCCATTAAATTAAAACATTAAATGTGAGGCCTTTTATAGGAAAAGGCGATCTCGTTGATAGAATATAATATTTAAGAGAAGAGCCAATTATGTAAGTTGGGGTGAAGGAGAGACGGAGAGGAAGATATTTGCTCGGTGGCTTCGTGCCTGGAGGGAGAGAGGCGAGGACATAGGCTATAGGCTATAAAAGCTCGGATCTATGAAGAAGTTGTTTGCTTCTTGGGCTTGCAAACGCCTATTCGATGTCGACATGTGAGGACAAGAAGTGTCTGATGGGATTGGGAAATATGGGCTTACCTTTGCCTGGTGTCTTAATTGGGGGCTTCCCAGGAATCACTGGGGGCAATCCAGGAATAACCGGGGGCTTTCCGGGGGTAATGACAGTTGGGGGGTGTCCAGGCTCGATTTCTGGAATAGGTTTGCAGATCTTAGGGCATTGGATTGGGAAGTTCTGAACAGGTAAAATGTTAGTAAACTTGTCTCTATATGTAGGTAGCGAAAGTGAAAACATACCAAGAGCGGGATCTTGAAAATGGGAGTTTGCTTGTTTTGCCAAACACCAAAGTCCAATTTAAGAGCAGCACCAGCAGAAACTGTTACGCCAGTCTTGGTAGCGTTACCAGGGCACCATCCTTTCTCATCTGTAGTATTAAGAAGAGCCAGCAGTTAGTTACGGTGAAAAAAGGTAGTAGGAACTTGCAAAAAAAAGGGCGCTTACTGTTGCCGGTGGTGACATTTAAGTCAATAGGCACGCCAAACTTGACGCCAGCTTCGATAGAAACACCGCCACCCAGGATTGCGAAGCCATAAGTGATGCTAGACTCAGGAACAGTCGTGGTGTCAAGCTCAACTTTGCCCTTGTTGAATGTGATGTCTGGCTTAGCCTCGATTTTGTCCAGACCGACGACGCCGCATTTACCATTGCCAACTAGAACAAGAGTGATCTTGCCGCCATTTGGAAGCTTGGTGGTGCAGCCGAAGTTGATGCTGGCGGTACCGCTGAATTTAATATTACCGTGAATCAACAAGCCAACCTTGGCGCCAACAGACAAAATTCCGGGGATTTCAATTCCAGTGTAGGGGATCACGCTTTCAAAAATAGTTTGAGAGTACTTGAAATCCTTCTTAACGTTGACAAGGTCAAGTTGGAACTCAGCAGCAGTACTGAAGTCCTTGGGCTCGATCTCGAGCTTGAAGTCGGTGGTTACGTAGTTGACGACCTAATGCGAATTAGTCTTTGGAACGTTCTTGAGCAAGACAAATTTACATACCTTGATATATCCAACGGTGAGGAAGTTGCCCTTGACGTAGCAGTTTTTGCAAGTAAGATCGACTTCGGAGGGGTTTCTGCAATTATCAGGTCAGGTTTTGATTCCCACGCTATAAAGTATGTTCTACGTACTCAGGGCTCTTGTAGATAGGTACTGGGGTATTTGGCGTGAAGATCTTGATGGGAAGGTTAACTGGAAGGCAGACTTCACTGTTCCCATCATCGACAATGTCAACGATGGCGTCGGTTCCGCCTTTGAGGCCTGCTTGGAATCCAGCGGTGATTTTATCGATGGCTTCACCGATAAATTCGATGACACCCTTCGATTGAAGAGCAAGGAGAGCCTTAGTAGCAATCTTGTAGTTACCAAAGTCAATGTCGAAATTGCCAGCAAACTGCTTCCAGGCAACAGCTTGGGCCTCGAGTGTAACGGTAAGTTTGGCAGCTACATTAACAACTTTGGTAATCCTAAAATGCATTAGCATTCATTAATTATGTGGATTGTTATAATCGACTTACTTATAGGCTTGACGACGTCCCTTGAGACCGCAGCCAGCATGGTTAGCAACCAGAACAAATTCTTTTTCCTTATTCGCATTAACATAGGACCATGACTTGATGGCAAAGTCATATGCCTCCTGAGATTTGAAGGTCAAGGCCATCTGTCCATCGTCGCCCTTGCAGTCAACGGTAGAAGTAAGACTCTCAAATTCCTCCATCAGAACAACTGGAAGGTTTTCGGGGGCATGAAGAGTCATGTTTGCCATAAAAAGCTTTCCGGCAGCTTAGATAAAAGTAAGCATGATGATCAAATAAAGGCAGAGTTATAGATCATACCACCGAGGCCACCGAAGAGGAAGTTGGCGGTTTGTGTCGGTTTAAAACAAGAGAGGTCGGGTAAGGTGCGCGCCTCAAGGCCATCATGTGCCTCAAGGTCGGCCAGCTTAATGGGCCTCAAGAAATTAGTAGCTGAAGATGGATCAAAAGCCTCCGCATTTGGCGAGGCGGCTGGACCGGGAAAAGGAGCGGCAGCTGTGGTCGCCGTAAAGGCGGCCACAAGTGCAGTGAAAAAGAACGAACGCATGCTTCAAAACAGCCCTGACTGGAACGAATGACAGGTATAAAAAATAGAAAAGAGTGGCTTGGGCTGGTACAGCTTGACAAGAACCAAAACAAGACGACGGCGGGAGGAGCAGATTATATAGCCATCCTCAGTGTTAGTGATTCGATAAGAAGCTCACGATGGGGCCGGAGCCCAACATGAATTGCCGGGAAATCCGACAAGCAAGGGTTGCTTGGATACCAGTGCGTGTCCGCAGTGGCCACCACTGATGATACCTAAGGAGTACTCCGTACAGGTGGTAGAACTAACTAGTAGTAAGCAGAGCATACTCCGTAGGTATCTTTGCCTGCAGCTTAACGTGATGGCCATGTAACGTTCTGCAGCTTTTGAAACATGGCTTCCTCTTGGCCCAAAGAAATGTTTATCGTTCCTGAGAGCTCCCCAGTCATGGGTTCACACGGTATTCTTCCCATTGGGCCGAGAAGGACGGAGTAGACGGAGTCCCAACCTTCGTGCTCAGGGACGAACGGCCCACATGGCTTCGCTTTGTTCGAGACCGGCTGCCTAGGCATCTGGAGTTCGACACATGCCTCGGCGGGCCGGTAACTAGCTGAGGAGCTAGGCTTCTAGACACTATTGAAAAGGAGGCCGAACGAAGATTCTGTGATCATCCACTAACAGAGCAAGGCCTCTTTAGCGTTGACAGCAAAGGAAACAAATTGTTTCCAGAATGACAAAACATGATTTTGCCTGAAAATCCAGATGGCGTCAACGCGAGGAGCGATTGTTTAGTCACTCAGGGTGGAAGGATTGCGTGACCAAGGGCGTGCTGCGGATCTTTGGTGAAGCAGAAGATCCATAGCAACACTTTTTTTGAGGTTGAGGTGAAGAGGGTCAAAGCGTTCGATCCTGCAAACCTTGACAACCCACAGAGCAACAAGGGTGACCCTTTTAAAACGTTGAGAAAGATTTTGTTTCCCCTTTTCTTAGCAAAAGGAAGTGAAACAGCATGTCGTTCTACCCCTGCAAGCATCATGTGAAGCTTGGAAAAGGGGTAGCCAGCGACTAAAGGGGCTGCAGCGACGAGGAGACTTGCAGACCGCAGTAATCTTAAGCAGATCAGTTTGACAGATGTGTAGAATGCACTACTTGCGGCTCTTCATCGGCCTTAAAAAGAACGGCGTCTCTATCTGTGGGCGGTTGTGGTGGGCGCCGCACGAGCCGCGTTGGGGCAGGATCGAGTCAAAGCGTGGCCCGTGCCCGTTTCGGCGGTTTTAGCGCGCCACAAGTGCCACTGCTGAGTCACTCTGATAAGATAAGGAGGGGGCTAAAGCAATGAGTCAGCATGATGCTTACTAAGACTCCTGGTGGGCGATGGGTTTTTGGCATTTGCTCAAAACAAACGCAGCGGAATCGAGTGGTAGTCGCAGCGACGAAAGACGAGGACTGAGGGCGCGACATGTCGCTTTACTTTGATGCAGTCGCTGTTCTGGCGGCATCGCCGGCTTCCGGTGGCTCGCTGAAGTCTCGGATATACAACTCCCGTTTGAAGTCGTCGCCACCTCAAATATATGCTCTGATCACGGAGACGACCAAATGGAACGCGGTGCTGAAAGAGGTTGTAGACAAGTCGGGGATTCTTGCGCACGAACCGAAGGTGGGTTTTCTCATTTTCACCCCTCTTTGCTGATCGTTAGTATAATGTCCTCGTGCAGGCTGAACGTGAGCGTACCTAAAAGGAAAAGAATATCATCTAACCAATGCAACTCAGGCAGAATAGCTCACCCCCCTTCTCTCGTTGCTCTTAAGCCATGATCTCCTGCTGTCGAAACGGGGAATTGCTGCTCCTTCGAGTCATCCTCTCCGCCTTGCTGTTGAGCGGCACAAAACCAGGTTAAACGCTGAACTGACGAAATTACGGGTTCGTCGAGGACACGCAACGGTAGATGAGCTGCGCTCTGCTCTCAATGCGAATCCAGGGAGCACTGAATTTCCCAATCTTAGATGGGTTCGAATTAATAATGCGCGAACAACATTGGACCAAGAATTAAAAGATACCTTCCGTGATTATCATCAAGTGACCTCGATCTCAGAACTTGCAACATGTGAAGGGAAAGGGTATTATTTAGATAAGCATATTCCTGATTTGCTCGCAGTCGCGTCTACCTCCCAATTACTTTCTTACCCCGCATACAAGGAGGGAAGGATAATTTTCCAGGACAAGGCATCCTGTTTTCCAGCGTTCCTGCTACTCGGAAGCGAGGCAAGGACCTGGCATGGAAAGCTAATCGATGGCTGTGCCGCACCAGGAAACAAGACTACGCATCTAGCGTCGCTACTCTCCGCGGCTGGCAACAAGAGGACTAAGATTTACTCCCTTGATGCATCGCCTGCGCGATCCAAAATCCTACAAAAAATGGTTGCAGTTGCAGGAGTTGATAACCGGGTGGCCATCCTTGCGGGACAGGACTTCCTGGCCTTAGACCCACAAGATGCTCGATTTACAGACGTGACGGCCCTTCTTTTGGACCCAAGCTGCTCAGGGAGCGGTATACTCAAACGGGAAGATGTCCCGCAACTAGATTTACCGGAGCCGCGATCTCGAGGCTCGGCTGCCGCCGCCACCATCAATCGCAAAAGAAAACGAAAAGCCGAGCCCCCACCAGCTCCGCTCAAAACATCGTCATCGCCTGACGACGATGAGAGCGCGGTGGCTGCCGAGCATGAACTAGAGGATGGCGACATCGACCTGGAGCGGCTTACGAAGCTATCGAACCTCCAGGTTCAAATCGTCGAGCATGCATTCAAATTCCCGGCCGCGACCAGAATCACCTACAGCACCTGCTCCATCCATGCGCAGGAAAACGAGAACGTCGTGGCGCGTCTCCTAGCCTCATCCATCGCGCAAGGCCGTGGTTGGAAACTCCTACCGCGAGCCGAGCAGGTGGAAGGGCTAAGGAGATGGGAGCATCGAGGGTGGACGTCGGGGGCGGAGGAACAGCGGCGTGACCCCCGCGTGGGCGAAGACGAGCCGTGGCGGTTGACCCATGCGGAGAGTCAAGCGTGCTTGCGATGCGCGCCTGGAGATGGTGAGGGCACCGGCGGGTTCTTTGTTGCCGCATTTACAAGAGATCGGAACCATAGTGGTGGCCAGAATAGCAGTGGCGTAGCGGCTGGTTCCGACGGCTTGCGGGGGCAGCGGCGGCGCAAAGAAGACCGGCAAAGTGACGACGATTGCGTCTACGAGGAGTGGGAAGGATTCGAGACCGATTAAGAAGATTTGCGGAGTAGCGGAGAATAGCTCTAGAACGGATCGTAGAATTTCTTTTGTTCTTCCTCCGGAAACCCAAAATAGCCACCGCAGTCCCCGTGCGCGCACGCCATGTGAAAAAAAAAGGGAGAGACCCAGCATTACATATCATGCGCAAATCCTTCGCATTATTGCTATTCCCAGCGCGCCGGGCTTTGCACAACATTTGATAAATTCCGTTGACAAATCCGGGCCCGGGGTTGGTGTCCCCGATCCCTGCATACAACGTGGCTTTGCCTCCTCCTCCCCCTCAAGGCCAGCGCCAACGCCGCGCTTCAGCCGAGTTTCAGATTCGAATCTTGACAGGTCAAACTCGTGCCCAGGGGGAGGTATCCACCGCGGCGCGCGCATGTACCAGATCTTCAGAAGAACCGGCAAGCAATCTTTTGTTCGATTCTCCTTCCTAGACGGGGTTAACTTGCTTCGGTGCGACAGGAACCGAAGGCTATTTTTATTTTTAAACACCTGTGGCTGAAAAAAAGGGCGCTGGTTGTCGCAAGAAATACGGGGGCATGAAGGCGCTCGCGTGCCTAGAACCAGAAAGCTGCAGTCACAGAATTGTGGGATGCAGCAGGATACGAAGGAATCATGTTGAGAATTGCCACTCTTGTGGTGCAATTTCATTAAATTAGTTTTCCAATGCAAAAAACAAAGGGTTCCAAGATGTACTGTGTATCTCCAAAATAACAGAAAAAGAGGTAACTAGTTTAAGAGCCAGAGCAAAAAAGAAAAAAGACCGCCGGTAAATCAAAAAGCCCCCAAAACTTGCCAGAAAAACAAAGGATATCCGAAACAATGCAGTGTAGCCGAACCAATCTAGCGCGAGAACACCATGGCGAATGCTTAAGAGAAATAGGAGATGGAGAACAACTGCGGTCAGTGGGCGGCCAGATCCACCCGCCGGGTCCAGCGGCGGGTTTTCGTAGAAAGGAGAGGAATGAACGCCGGGTTCTCTGTTGATATTAATGGTCTATAGGGAGGAATATTGAGCGTCATGATAAGCATAGAAAACTAGACAACATGGTTTCTAGATACGGTATATTAGAACTAGCTTCCTTCGCATATAGAGTAGAGGACATGGTCAATGACTTACTGCATTAAAAGGGCTTCCAGGCTGGACGAGCTGCAATCACGGCCGTCTGGCAGCTGCTTGAAGATATCGACGATGGTCGCAAAGACGTCGCCGTTGCGATAGGCCAGCAGGGCGGGGGCCTCGATGTGGTCCATCTCGGCGATCTCATGGTGCAACTTGACAAAATGCACGGTGACGTGTTTGCGGGCGACGGTGTTGAGGCAGTCCTCGACGATCGAGCTTTCCGACGACTACACAACAGCACTGTTAGACCTTGAATACAACCTAAGATGAAAACCTCCGACTGACCTGCGGATCGTATATGCACACCACCACAACTGTGTCCGCCGTGACCTTTTCGACGGCATCTAGGTACCCGTTCGCATTAACCGCATCGACAGTACCGTAGCAGCGCTTGCTGGGGCTGGAGCGGCGGGCGGTCTTGTTCTGCAGCTCGCGCATGCGGGCCTCGCGCCATTCGCGCATGAAGCGATCGTCGTCGTCACCGCTCTCGTCAGGCGGTGTGCGCGCACCGGCAGCGGGGCTTTGTGTTCGCTGGCGAGGGGCCGCAGCAGCAGTCGCAGTGCCGGCAGCGGTCACGGAGGCATCCTGAGCGTAGACGGGCGAGTCTAGGCCGGCAGCGCTCATAAGCACACGGCGGAAAGACCTCTTTTTGGCGCGCTCGTAGGACTGGGCGTCGGCGATGACGCCCTTGGGGCCGGTGTTGGCGTCGTAGACAGTGGTCGGGATGTGGTAGGCGGGGGGCTTTGAGACCATCATGGCGTCGTCGGTATCGTCGTCGTCGTCTTCGTCTTCAGAAGGGACGTATCGCAGCCTGCTGGCCCGGGTGTTGCGGTGGGAATTGAGGTCGTCGTCGTTGTTGTTGTTGTCGTCAAGGCTAGAGAGAGTGATATCAGGCTGGCAGTCTTCGGGGTGGGCAGCAGGCGGGCGGGGGGAGTCCAAGAGACGGTCGATTTCGTCGCGGGCGGCAGACATGGTGCAGGAGGGGAAGGGGGGGGGAGCGGGCGGCAGATATAGGCAGAGACAGCGGGCGCCAGGATGCGAGAGAAACAATAGTGTCGAAGCCGCGATCCTCGCCGGGGCGGAGGGGCGGGGATGGGCTGCGGTTGTTTCAGGCCGCTAACGGGCGCAGCCCCTGTTAGAAGCAGCTGAGTCAGCGGACGGGCGACTTTAGCCCGGTGGTTGTGAGAGCGCGGTTGGAGTACATACGGCGGACCAGGCTATTTTGGACACTCTTGCGACACCAACCTGCCCTCGCTCTCATGCGGTGAAACCGCGGCAAGACATAGCCAAACAGCCATCGCATTCTCTCGCCCACGCTGTCTGACTCGTGAACTGACTAACTAACTAACTAGTTACCCAACCTGCTGCTGCTGCCACTCCTGACCGACCGCAGCCCGGGAGATGATCCTGTTGATCTGCGCCGGCGACGCGGTCATCTGAGCCTGGTGGAGCGCCGCCATCCTAGTCGCCAGCCGTGTCAGTCCGCGCGCTGAGGCCGGATATTCTTGGGCGCTGCACGCAAAGGATGCGCCGGGAACCCTGCTGGTGTGTACGGCTTAGTTAGTAGTGTGTTGTAACTAACTAACTAACCCTCGTCCCACCCCTGGCTCCTCACACATGGTCGCTTAGGTATGTACACACGTCAGCCCTATGCTCGCCAGCCCGGCCCACTTGAAGCACAGACAGGGAGGCCTGGACGGCCGCGGCAGAGCCCAATAGAAAATAATGCATCCGCTTCTTGCAGATACACTGCTCGACTTCCCATCCGGTGAGCCAGCCGGCTCGCCCGCCGTCTCTACCTCCCCGGCACAGGCACTTTCTCCCAGTTCTTCTCCCCCCGCCGGTTCGCCGCCTGCACGTCCGACTTCATCAGGAACATGCGTCGCTGCCCACAGAACCCCCCCAGGCCCGCTCGTCGCTCGACCGTGTGGAACGACCCACTGCTGCGGCCGCCGCGTCCTGCGTGTACGACGCCTCCACCCCCGGCCGCGCCGGTCGTCCACACGCGATGCTGCACCAGCTGCCCCGGCTCGTCCCGCCGGCGAGGGTTGTATTCCGGGTACCCAATCCTGCTGACAAGGTACTGAAGATTGCGAAAGGCGCGCTCGAACCGCCGGAAGAACCCTAGCCACCGCCAGGTGCCCGCCGTGTACGACACCCGCACAAACGGGTTCACATAGACCCCCGAGCCGCCTGCCGCCAGCGCTGACCCGTGGGCCTGCTCCATCGTTGCAAAGATCAGGCAGCACTCCGCCGCCTCCCAGAATGCTTCCGCTGTGTATGAGAACTGTAGCGCTAGCGCATACCCGCCCCGCTGAGCATCTGCGGTCTGGAACATTGCGGCGTCAAATGCCGCCAGTCCGCCCCAGCAGCTGCGAACCGGCACTGCATCCTCCCCCGCCAAGACTGCTCGCCGGCTCTGGGCAGACCCTGACGACGAGAACCACGGATAAAACATCAGACCCATCCCATATCCCTCCTTGTCCCGTACCACAAACGTGTCGTAAAACATCACCTTGGATACAAAGTCCACCGCACAGGCCGCGCGATATTGTCCATGATTGGTTGAGAATATTAGCTGTGCGGCCTCCTCCGCCGAGAAGAAGATGTCGTTCAAAAATAGGACCCGGTCAAACTTTGTGCTCGTGTGCCGGAAGCCCACTTGCCTGCTGTCAGGCACGTAGCTGCCGTTGAGCGGCCGAAGCGCTCGGTTGCGCACCTCCGCAAGATATGCAATCCTCTTGACGCGATGTTCACCGGACGGTGTTGTGACCTTGGGCAATTCTGATAGCGAGAGGTGGTCGCCTGCTACAACGGATGAGTTGCCTGCATGATATCCCGGGCCGCGTTAATTAAACATCATAAATGAATGCTATGGGTGAATACTTACATGGTAGTTTTTTCTGTAACTCGCGCAGCGCATTGCGCGTTCCAATCCCACTGTCGTTCTCGTAGATGCTAACAAAAACATTCTGCTCCCCCAGTATGTCAATCAGCTCCAGCAAGGACGTGCCCCATGGCCCTCGGATGAGCTCTTCATTGATAATATTTGCAGCAATAAATATCTTCTCATTTTCTTGATTCCCTCGACCCGATCGCGTCGACGCAAGTATCGCTTGGCGTAGTTCGTGGTAGTGCCGTGGCGGTCGCTGATACGACGGGAAGAGTACGCCCTCGAGAAGCGAGACGAGGACAAATCCTCCAACTAGCAGCGCTGTGAACCGGAGCGCGCGTCGATAGCCAGATCTTCTCTTTTTCGCGCCTCGCGACTTGACGCAGGGCCGGATATAGGAGAGTAGCGCGTTGCTACACCAGACGCAGGATCTCAGCCAGGAAGGCGTTCGGGCAGGCTCGGCTCCATACCGAGGGCATGTCGGAGTAGTATCGGAAGACTTGCGCAGCAGTGCCGCCTGGTGTTCGAGCTCAAAGGTTTCATCCGAGTCTATCGGTTGCCGCCAGCGAACCATTTTGCCTGAGAAGGCACCAGCAAGGGTGGTGAACATGTTGCCCAAAACAAAGAAGAAGAGGAAGCAGAACACCCAGCATTGCGCAGCAAAAGGGAATGCACGGAGTGATCGGGGCTTTCCGCGCCTAGCGAGCAACACATTCTCGCAAAGAAGGGCGAAAGAGCCAACATAAATCACAGCAACCCCACGAGTAGAGGGAGGGAGGGATACGGGAGGGGAACGGAAGGTCGTAGTAGACGGGCTACGTAAGCCGGAATGGCTTCGACAGCTGGGAGATCAGCAACGAAGATAAAAAACTGGGTTTTTTTCGTTGGTTCACTACTGGACTGCACAAGTGGAGCGGAGCTGCACACAAGTGGGAGTTTCACTTTCAAGCGACGCGGACGCGTGCCCTGCTAACGTACGTATTATAGCTTCTGCATTAAGAACTAGACATGTAGACTTTCTTATTCGTTTGTTCGTGGTCGAGAATGGGCTTTAATGCCGTTAAGCTTTCCTGCTGGGTCCCACGAAGTTCCGTCAGCCCCCCCTTTTTCCCCCTTCACACGATTTTAATGGCATGACCGGTGCTCTATTCTCCAGCATAAAGCCCCCGTAGTAATAGTAACTCGAGAGCTTCATACCAACGGGGTCCTCTCATCCGGCCTGACTGTGGACTAAACCGGAAACACGACGTGTCGTCATCGCGGCGGGATCGCCAAGACCAAGATTTTCGTCAGCAAAATGCGGCTCCGCCACTCACAACAGATTGTCAGCGGTGACAACAGGATCCAGCTGGAAGAAAAAGTTCAGGAGAAAAAAAAAAGGTTAGTGTCATCATGACGGGACGTGTGCAATATTGCGCCCCTGACTTGTCCTTTTTGTAATCCCTCCGTCGCAAATGGCATGCCGTGTAAAAAAAAAAAAAAAAAATCAATTAATATGTGTATTCAATATTGCTCTGGTAGGATCTTCTCTCCGGGGCGCCATTCTTTTTTTTTTTTTTTTTTTTTTTTAGTATACGGAGTAATTTCTTCCCGTTTCCATTCATTGCGCCGCCCCGCTGCGGGCCGGAATGCGCCTGATTTGCTGACGACGGAAAAAGGCTTCACGGCATGGCGCGGGCCCACTGCACCCCAGGATCCAAGTGTCGCAAATACATACCTGTTTTGGGAGTTAGTGTGTAGAGTCGGATTTCTTTGCAAATGATGATGGCCTGTCGTCGTCGCCGTCGTTATCGTCGGGCTGGTTGGATGCGGAGTCTAGTTTCGGAGTGAATGTGTAGCAAGACAGGGGCTGGAGAAACAGCATCCCAGCCATCACAGTTCCTGTCCAACATTCGGAATATGCATAGACGGTTAACCAGTATGACCAAGAAGAAAAGGGAAAAAAAAAAGGAATGATAGAAATATCACCAAAAATGAACAAGAAAACAGATAATGGATTTTTGATACTAACATAACAACTGTCTCCCTACATACATTCAGGCACATTCTCATACGCAAGTTACATACACAAAAGGAGATGATGAAGAAGACGAATTAAAGATATATGTCAGCCCAAATCACCAATCTTAGAAGAAAAACCATGTGATGCAGTTTTCCCCCAAAAGAAAAGAAAAAAAAGAAAAGGAAGCTGTCGGCCAGGATGATGGTATGTAATCCCATGACAAAAAAAAATTATAATAGAATAGAAAAGAGAACTCGGCGACAAAGGGTGCCGAGAATGGTAGAAAATCATGTCATGTCCGAAGAAAAAAACAAAGGAAAAAAGAAATGAAAAACAAAAAACACAGCATTGTAGCAAGGGGAATAGAGAGAAAAGGAAAGGTCAAGGGAAAGCGAATCACGGGTAGTCTTGGGTACGGGACGAAGCATCACATACTCCGTACAGCTAAGCACAGAACTCGACTAAATGGGGGGGAAAGGACGAGGCGAGGCAAAGGCGAGAGGGAACCATCGAATAGATAGCGGAATAACAAGGTGTAGATCACTCCATACGAAGGCTGAACACACACACGATCCATCCAAACACGTCAAAGAGTAAAAAAAAGGATTCGAGGAAATCCCAATGGCCTAAGGAGGTGCAAGCAAATGCGACAATATCGGCTAGGGGGAAAGTAGAGCAAAACGGACCAAAATGAATACACGAGAAGGGAGAAAAGCACAAGAGGGGGGGGGGGGGGGGTAAAATTATCTGCGGAATCTGGGTTTAACGGCTTTTAGGCGAAAAGGGACCCGACATGTACCAAGCACCAAGTTAACCAACAATAGACACTTAAAAAAAAGTCAGGATTATGCAATTCAAATCCAAGAGCTTTCTGAGAGCCTAAAGCAAATGCGAAATCCTGAGAGATAACCCCCTGACTGGCCCTGCAATCGCGCTTCATATCTCGATAGCAGGTGTATCTTTGTCTATCGCGCTGGAGGCGGAAAATACGGTTATATCGTCCATGTATAGCATGAAAGTCACTTTTTCGCGAAGAGGGCCAGCACCGATTCAGCAATCGAAAACGTGTATGCGAATAACTGGGTGATTTCAAGGGGTATGCTGCGTAGGAATTGAAATTCGGGTGTAAGAACATGCGGATAGTGAGAATTATGTGGCGGATGTTTGTCGAAAGGCGTATTGTACAGTACAAATAAAGCCCTCGAGGGTCGAGAGAGAAAATAGGGCAAAAAGACAAAAGGGATCGCTATGGTATGATGCGGTGAATTGGTCTACCAGGCCCAGATTTTGAGCTAAGCAAGAAGATATAAGCAAATGGCCAAATCACGCTATAGAGGAGGAGGAATGTTGCAAGGCTTACGAGAGAATCCCAAGAACCAGTGCACAAACTTATTCCATCATTGCTGACACCAAGGCAGCTGACGCGATTTCCGTGCCCGCTTAATGAGCCAACCTTGTCTCCACGCAGGACATCCCAAACCTGAATGCCACTTTGTTAGCCTGCTTACCCCAACCAACAGCTTGCGGGAAGACCTTATCATACCTTGCACTCGAAATCATCGTAACCAGCAAATAAGAGTCGGCCGGAGACTGAGAAGGCAACCGATGTGATGCCACAGAGTACTTGATCGCTCTGAAATAAAAGAAAACAAAAAAGAATTAGCATTACGAATCACTCTGCATAAACAAAATTCAACGCCATATAAAAACGAACCTGGTAGATATTGAGTTCACGATCGGCACGGATGTCAAACAACCGACAGGACGTATCGTCAGATCCGGTTCCAAAGGCGTTGCCATCAGGGAAAAATTGAATGGCGTTGATATCAGACTCGTGCCCAGAAAACGTCTGCACGGCCTTACCCATTCTGATATCCCACAACTTGGCAAAAGCGTCGCAAGCCCCTGAGACAAAAATGTTGTTGTTGGTTGGGTTGATGCTGATGCTCATCACGTCGCCAAGGTGGTCGGCAAATTCTGTCACCTTTGTGCCGGTTTCGATATCCCACAACATACATGTCATGTCCCCTGAGGAGGTGATGATCCGGCGGTCGTTGATAAATCTGCAGCAGGACAGATAACCTGAATGACCGGACAATTCTCTGGCGACACGGGTCGGTCCTTCTCGTGATGACAGGTTGTAGATGGAGCAGATGTTATCAAGACCACCGCAGGCAACGTAGTTGCCACTGGGGGCATAAGCACAGGTCATCACCCAGGACGACCGGAGCGGAATGGCATGGACTTTATTTGTGGTGTAGGCATCCCAGATTATCAGCTTGCCGTCCTGGGAGGCAGAGACGAGGTGTCGTCGGTCGGTCGACCAGTGCATGGCGTAGATTTTGGCAAGGTGGCCCTTGAGGTTTCGACGAGGCCTCATGCCGATCCGTGGGAGAGCATCTGTGTTGTTCTGTGAAACTTGACGAACTGGCATAGAGAAGCACAGGTTAGTTCCAGCTTGTCCAAAACAGCATTGACTGGCGGCACGCTTTAACGTGCAGGCGTCCTCCCAGAGGACCGCGGCGCTGGGTCCATGGTTGCGCGCGTGAAACAGCCAACATAGCCCTGGCGAACCGCAGCCCACCCAGAACAGTGGCAAGAAGAGGGAAGCGCAAAAAGGGTGGGGGGAAGGGAGGTCTCACGAGTGGTATCGGCCAATTCATCTTTCCTGCGCTTGATGCGATCCTTCAACCCCTCGGCCTCACGCCTGGCAGCCGTTATCTTGGCCTGCAATTGCTCGCTGTCCATGATGGGTTACGTCAGGGGGGAGGGGGGGCGAGACGACGCAGCAGCGGACACAATGGGGATGGGAGGGAGAGAGGGAGGGAGGAGAGCGAGCACGGGAAGGGCCAGCGATAAATTTCTGGAATGCAGGTCGATGGTGCACGAACGCGAAGACGACCGAGCCGGGGGGGGGTAGTTGAACCGAAGCGGACTACGGAGAAGCTGGTCCCCACGGGCCGTTTCGGAGGAGGGGGGGCCTAACGCTTGTCGACTGGGGGAGAGAGAGAACGGAGCCCGACTGGCAGAGGACGAGACTGTTTCAACGACGGGCTGAAACAAAGCGTCACGGCCGTGATTGGGGAGCGGTGTGCGTCGGGGCGAGCGAAGGGATCACTGAAGATTGGTGGTGGGAAGGGCGAGCAGACGTTACGACAGGCGTATTTGATCCCTTTTTTGGGGGTTGGACTGTCTGGCTAATGATACGATACCCGTTACGACCGTACGCCGCTTACATACCGTACATACCGTACGCCTGGTCGTGGTGGTGGTGGTGGTGGTGGTGGTGGTGGTGGAGGCCGGGAACCGAGTTCCAGGTTCGCATAAGCTTCAGCGCTGGGCGAAGACTGGGTGGTGCAGAATGCCGGTTCGGGCTTTTTGCGACGAACCTTCGCGCGTCTGGCACTGGCTGCTCCCAGGCCTGCGCGAGCTCCTGGTGGATGTGGTCGTTGGATTAGAGCTGGGCCTTCGGGTGGAGAGCGACGGTGGTGTAAGCTATGGTGTATGGCGTACAGGGCCCAATTTAAGCAAAACGGTAATTTGACGGTGTTCAATGTAACTTATACAGGTATTTTAGGCGCGCCTCGCCTGCGAGCAGCAGGGCGAGGGGGAGCGGTACGGTGGTACGGAGTACTCCGTACCGGGACTGACATTACGCGGAATACATGGGCAACGTTACCTGCCAGCCGCTCTCGTCAGCACGAGTGCCACAGTGGGCGAGGGTTTAAACGCTCAGAAACTACGAAGTACAGAGCGAGCTTCGCGTTCTTCCGGCGAGTCAGGGTATACAAACAACACTACTCGCGTCGCAGGCACCCAACCACCTCGCTTCAAACAACGAACGAGAACGGCCACGGGGAGATTTGCCATCGGGGGGTGCAGCAGCTGCGGCCCAATGACAGCGCTTGCATACGGTACGGTACCGGCTATACCGATACCACCGACGACGGGCGCATCTCATTGGCGCCAGGCTGAAAACAATCGGGGCTTGCCGCCGCTGATTGGCCACCGCCGGCTGGGCTGGGAGCATTGCAGGCCAATCAGCGTGGCGGCCGCGGGGCTTGGCGCTTGGGGCGCGCGGGCTTGTCGACGCCAAGGCAGGGCTTCGCGGCGGCGAGCGGGCGGCGGGGGGGTACGGGGAGGGCATGTCGGGCCCCCGGCGGACCGGGCGGGCGCGTCTGGCGTGAGTTGGTGGTGGTGGTGGCGGCGCGACGGGCAAAAGGGAGGGCGCGGCGACGGCGTGCGGGCGGAGTCCAAGGGCCCCTTTCAGGCGGAGAATCTTCGAGCTGCAGGTCATTCGCAGATCCAACTCCCGCCGCCGCCGCGGCTGATGCGCTCGGTCAGTCGCCTGGCATCCTCGCTCACACCCGCGCGGCGCGCCGTCGACCAGAGCTTGCTCGAGCTCCAGCGACACGCACCGAGACTCTCCCCGTGCGCCGGACCGAGCCTCGCAGGGAGAACACGCTGGTGGGCGCTGGCGGAGGCCAATAATACTGGCTGGGGCAGCCCCAAGCACCCCTGACAAGCGTTGGCGGAACGGCGCTCAGCTCTTGGGGAGAGGTGTGTCGCGAGGACGAGGCTTGGACAATGCGCTCACGGTGGCTCGGGGGGGTCTCCCGCACAGCATCTTGACGCGGATAGATTGCCGGCGGAGGATGCTGCAAGTCACCGCACGCAACGCCCAGGAGTTTTGTGTGTGGCATAGCCTGGTAGGAAGAATCATGGCCGGGATACCGCTGGTGCTGTGTCTCGCGTCGTTGGCCGGGGGGCTGGGCCTGCAATTATAGCAGGGCGCATCCCGGGCGACGTCTGGCACAGCGCTTAGGGAGTGATATGTATGGCGTTCGCGGGCGGGTGGCCTCTGCGGGCAGCAAAGCTCATCCCGGCGCGGACTATTGGCGTGCAGCGGGCCATACGTACATAATAAGGGAGTCCATGGGCCGCACGACCCTGGCCAGCGTGTCGTCAGGCATCGCTGGCTGTCAAACGATCCTTTCGCCCACCGACAAGAAACGCCGTGGGCGAATGCAAAACCTCCTAAAACATCGCGTCGCGGGCACTGGATGGCTGGACAGTCTGCGACCGCCGGTCCAGACTCCCCCGGGCGCGTGCTAGACGCCCTGGAGCAGCGACAGCAACAGCGTAGAACAGTTGTTAATCAACTTGACACCCGCAAGGCAAGGCGTGCGAGGCGGGCAGCGGGCTTGGCCTGGCTTGGGGGGGCAAAAAGCGTCCGGGCGACAGACAGAGCCTTTCGAGGGCCCCTGTAACACCATCGCCAATCCAACCCTTCGACGCTGCGAAAGCGACTCGCTCGCCCATCGCTCACTCACCTGCTGCTACTGCTGCTTCGCTCGCTGCTTCACCCCGCTGCTGCTCGTGCAACGAGCACATTCCCTTCGCCGCGCCTGAGGACCCGCGCCGCTTGACTTTTTTTCGCCCCGTCCGTCGTGCTACACGCCCGTCCAGCCGCCCGCCGCCCGCATCGGTTTCGCCCCCCCTGGGTTTCAAACAGTCTCTCATTACCACCACCTCTCACCTCCGCCCACCGCACGCTTCGCTTCTTCGCTGCCTCGACTGTCGACCTGCCCATCGCTCTCGCGTCTCTCGCTCCCTCTGCGTCCGCCCTCGCCCTGTCCGTCCTGCCCGCCCCCCCCTTCGGTGATGTGCCTCTGAGTGTTGCCGCCAGCCAAGCCAAGGCTTTTCCCTCAGGCAATCTCCCTTGACACGTCGAACTCCAGATCCATCCTCCGTGTCCCCCCCTTTCTGCCCTTATAATATGTCCCTGGACCGTGACATTTGAGCCTCTGCCTCTTTTTGACGCTCGCTAGGCCGACCCGCTGTGATTCGACTTCTGACGGCCTCGGCGGCTAGCCCTCGAAAATTGATTGACTAGATTTCTTCGATATATACTGTCTGCGTCGTTTTCGCTGCAAGACTTCTTTCAGCTTTCTGTTTCATCATCTCTTTCAAGATTTCCCTGCAGGTGAGTCTCCCATGAAGAATTCTCATCGTCGATGACCGTCAGGCTAATCTATCCAGTTGATTGTTTTCCAGACATACACGCTTTAAACCCCTTTTATTAGTACCCAGCGACCATGCGGGAAGTTAATTTCAGCATCCCGAGCGTCAATAAAGCGGCTGTCAGCATCACCACTACTCTATACGATCGACGTGCCCTCGATTGCACCTCCACTCTCCCACTGATCAACTCCCTGAATCATCTGGCATACCTCACCACTTCATCCGCTCGTATCCGAGATATTCTTACCGTCGATGGAGGCATTGAGCGTTTGGTCTGCATCCTCAAGGAGGGCCGCAGTCGAGATCAGATGGAGATGTGGAAATGGAATCTTGCCTTCCAGTGCATCGTGAACATCGGCGTCCGAGGCTCTGAAAATGTGAGGACTCGCGTCGTTGAGGCCGACATGGTGCCTGTCATTGCCACCATCCTCGATAACTACATCCGAGTTGTGGATAAAATACGTAATTCGAATGAACCCGAGTCCCAACGACATTCCAAGGCACACAAATCTCGCACTCGAGAGCAGCCAACCAGACCGACCTTCGAACGTGCTGCCACTTCGATCTCAGACCACCACCGCAGTACGCGTCGACAGGCTCCTCCACCTTCCATCGAAATCCCCCAACCGTACTCCCAACAAGAGACCCGACAGACTGAGAGTGGAGTCGTGGACGCCACTCCGTCGCCGCAGATGGTTTTGACCTCTCCTCCAGAACGGACGACTTTCCCGCGCGAGACCCACTCGCACCGGGCGATGCAGCCCAGCAGCCATCGCCATCGGATCGTTACGCCGCTTGCCACGGCCGTTCCCTCCACAGGCACTGCCGATGGATTCTATTTACGCCCCATTCGTGACATCGATCGGTTACCGTCACAGCTTCCAGGCCTGCAGAACGGCCTCAACTCTCAACCGGAATCGCCCACTACCCCCCACACGGCTGTCGAGCCGCAATCTATCTCCCAATACAGTGGGAGGGCAAGACGGCGACCGTCTGTTCGCCAACAGCGGTCGACGTTTGGAGATTCCGATGATGGAAACGGTGACGATGTGGTCATGGCTGATGACCCAGTTGAGCCCGATGTGTCCGAGTCAATCGTTGGGCTGCAAAGCACCATGGACATCGAAAACGTCGGTGATCAAGATGCCATCATGGATGATGGCGCCGAATCACATGGAATCGCCCTTCCAAATCCTTCAGAGCAAGTCGATGCTGAAACGTTTAATATCACACACCGCTCCGTTCCTGATGGGAGTTTAATGAGCCCAGCCACCCAGCATGCCAATGGTGCCATCGCAATTTCTCCCAATCGTGCTGCTGTCGCTGCAACAGTTCCTCCGACTGTTCACCCAACACCGTATCCTAATTATCTCAGGGATCATTCCGTATCACCTGCTGTTTTAACGGCGATGCCACGGGACGAAGATGTCCTCATGGCCCTTCAACTCCTTGCCTACGTTTCCAAGTATTGCAGCTTACGCTCATACTTTCAGAACACTCATCTCGTTCCCAGGCTGAAGATCGGAAAGGACATTCATATGCTTGACGATCCTAATTGCCAGCTGGTATCGCCGATCGACCCCAAGGAGGAAACGGAAGAGTACTTGCTACCAGATGATTTCAACATCTTCCCGCTGGTGGAGAAATTCACCGTTCGGCACCACACCAAGGACATGCAATACTGGGCTTGCGTTGTGATGCGGAACCTTTGCCGAAAGGACGATGCCCGCGGCGGCATCCGGCAGTGCGCCTACTACAAGTGCGGGAAATGGGAAGAATTCCAGCGACAATTCGCCAAATGCCGCCGCTGCCGCCGGACCAAATACTGCAGCAAGGAATGCCAGAAGAACGCTTGGGTCTATCATCGGCACTGGTGCCACAGCTCTCCTTGACACACGAAAGGGTGCCCCCCCCCCCTCAATCTCGTGCCGTCTCTTGCCGTTTTATATCAGATATCGCTGTTTAGTCGCCCTAGCTTTGCATCCGCGAACCGGGCCCCCGAGCCGGGTCGCGCTGGCGCTATAGTGCATTCCCCCCATCCAGCCTGCTTTCGGAAAACCCAGCCTGCTTTCGGAAAACTGTGATTCCCCCTCACCCTTCAAGCCTTATATCATGACCCCCCTGGAAAAAAGTCCAACCTTTCACGATTCTCCTTTGTGATAACCTTAATCGACGTTTTTGCTCATGAACTCCAGTATAATGACGTTAACTCTATCCTCTCCTCCCACTTATTTTGCGGATTTATCGGTTGTTTTTTTTTTTCCTTTCTCTTTTCCCCTTCTCGCTTGGCATAAACCCACAGATTGCATATTTTCGCACCTCATATTGGTATTTCCTCCCAAGGCCACCTTTCGCTGCTTGAAAGCCTGATTCGATGTCGATATGCCCTTCGTTTTTATTCCAACATTGTCCAATCTACTTTCTTTGCAGGCCATTCTTTCGCTTTTTTTTTTTTTTTTTTTTTTTTTTTGTGCTACCTGAAGCATCTGGCTGATAGCGTTCACTCACAGCTTCTTTGTGACTAAACCGTAATTTCATATGTTCATTTGGCTTTTCTGTCTACTAGTTTGATACCTTATTAGTACATAGCACTTATATATCTCACCTTTTATCTGTACTTTGGGCTATTTGCCTGAACTATATTTCGTCTCAACTGACTGTCGTCAAAGATAGAGGCTTTCAACATATCAAATGCACATTATTGTGGTAAATCATACTTCCAAGGCATGGCAGCCTTGGCCAACTATGGCATAACTAGTTGTATAAAGTGTAGTTTTCTTAATTGATCTAACCTTGTCATAAGACAAGACATCCCTAAATTCCGCACATATTATTCTCCGCCCGGAATATATATTTCGCCAATGTATTTGTGGAGATATTGGCTTCCAAGCAATTTTATTCCTTGTCATTACTTCTTGTTCGTCCATATGTCACCTCCAGTCTATGAGCAAGATGCATACCAGCCGTGATATTATCCCCCGTGGGACCGGGCAGGGCTTCTGTCCGTTTATGCTCTTCCACCAGCCGGCTGGGCACCGGAGTAAGTTCCGTGTCATCCAGAGGATGGCAGAAATACGCGATACTATACCTATCCCTACCAGACGCAGACATCTGCTCGTCGATCGGGAAAATAACCCGGTGCACGGTGGACTTGAGCAAGCCGTTCGTCCAGAAACTCAGGATGTCCCCTATATTGACCAAAATTGGCGGGAAGCCGGTCGTCGTTGGCTGCTGCTGCTGCTTTGGTCGAATGGGGACAGGGCACCATTCGCCATTTGACGCCAGAATCTCGAGTCCTGGCTGCCCGTCGCGCTGGAAGAGGAGCGTCACGCTGCCGTAGTCGCTGTGTGCGCCTGCTCGAACGTCAACGCCGTGTTGGAATGAGGAGACAGATGGGGCTTTGATGGACGGGTAGAAGAGGAAGCGGAGGATGTCCGCATTGGGGCCTTTGGATTTGTCGTGGCGTACGGTGAACCAATCCGCCGGGATCTATTGCGGAAGATAACTACTCAATAAAAACGGCCAATAGGGGGTAACTGACAGGCTCCGAAATACGCACTTCTAGTCCCAGGGCAAGTAGAGTCAGAATACGGTTGCACGTCTGTTGGCATAGTGCGATGAATTGATTCACTTCGGCTTCACGAGGTGCTAGAGATCGAGGCAACTTCTGGATCGGCTTGCCATCCTTGAAGGCGCCAATATTTATAACTCTGGATTGCAAGTTAACGCCTTGTATCATCAGACTAAACCGCGTATCAAAGAAGCTTACTCTTTGAAATCACCTCTCTAGGCGTGGGACCATTCGATTAGTTTTCGCAGGTCATTCTATTAAATTTCTTTTACAAAATCGTACCTGTTGATGCTCCGGATCTAGGGTCTCGCTATGCATGCCAGACCAGCCTTTGTTCTACCCCATCTTGAGTCAATTATCGAGACAAGATACTCCATGGTGGCATACATCACTCTGCATCTCAACCTCTGATTTCTCTTCAAGGGGCGACGCAAAGAATTTCCTTGACTACACAAAGCCATGGCCAGTTAGTGATACAGTAAGACATCGGTAATCGCCCTGTCTTGGATAGATGTGCACACTGCATTTATGTATGACCATACATATGTGCAACAATAAACTTTCAGGCGCAGCTAAGCGCAGTGCAGGTCATGGGGGGGTTCAATTTGCACACACCATCTCAAAAGCAGATTCCACATCCTCGTTTGAGAAATCACTACTAGCGCCATCAACATACAGAAATCCGTATTTTGTAGCTGCATCTAGCATGGCCCTCCCCACTTCCGGGGTAGCCTTCGAAATATCAATGATTGGGAGCTCGATAGGAAGCCCAGTGGCAGCGGAGGGTGCATCTGACATGGCGGGCAATAATGTATTGGCTCTGATCTTTAAAAGGCCTGACAAAGACGTCTCCTGATTCTGGACCTAGAGAATTATTTGATATCCGGGAGCACAGGATTGCAACCCCGCCTTTTTTCTCAGATAGATGTGTGGTACCAGACTGGCTAGCTAGCAGGAGTTAGTGGCGAATCAAGCGTTCGACATTTGGATAGCGATCCACCCAGCCTGGATCCTTCAGCCGGCTGCACATCCCAGGTGTAGAGACATGCACTGTCTGGGGGGCTTCTCCTAGCGGTGGTCCTTCCCTTGGTGAGCGCTTGTTTCCTGCACCAATTCAGTGAATATTACCAGGCGGAACAGGTAATACCGTTACTCTGTGTATATACAGGCCCGTGACCGCTGCTGATTCAGCAGATGGGGCATCACAAGTGAAACCTTAACGGCACGTCCGCCCAAGCCTTACAAACGCTGCGTGCCTGCTCTGAAGCTGTCTGTGCTGGCTGAGCATTGCTCGCCCCAATTGTTATTACTAGGCCCTGGAAGGGCATCTAGTTTCTCCACTCACTAGTTTCACGCCTGCCTCTGCTCTGCCCAGGCGCTTGTCTTGGCACGTTTCTCATGACGGTTGAAGCTCTGCTGTTGCTTATTCTTCCCTGTTGACGACGACGACGATAACAACAATGCCTAGTGAGTTGCGTTCCTACTTACACTCTGTAGCACGTACCTGACCGACAATTTATCATCTAGTCCCTGTATTTGATGAGTGGGCCAGCTCCCGCAGCCAGACCCTCTCCCTCTCGGCCTTAAAAGGCGCTGTGATTGGTATTCATGCCTCTCACTACCTTGACCTCCATCTCAACCATAATCTCACCAAAGAACCTCTTTTGATTGCCTTGGGAGGGTTTCCCTTCGCCCTGAAAGCACATATCGAAAAGGAGCTCCAGGCCCTTAAAAATGCTGGGATCACTTGTGTTTTTGTTTTTGATGGATTGGAAATTGGGAAGCCGGAACAGGACATTGCGGCCCAGAATCAGTCTACTCGAGCTTTGAGACAGGCTTGGGAATATTATGACCAACAACAAGCCGACCAGGTGGTAGATGCATTCAGCACTGCTGGTAAAACCTGCTTTGTTTTTTGGAGTGGGAAGTGAGATAGCTAACTTGTCCTACAGGAAGTGCAAAGCCTGAATCACTTTACAAATTTCTTCAGCGAATTTTATTTGCAGAAGGCATTGAGTTTATCGTCGCCCCCTATGCGGCTGCGCCCCAGGTACGCTTCACCTACCCATTGATATTCTTTGCTTTTTGGCCTATTGATTTTTTTCTAATCCGCGACAAATAGCTTGCCTATCTTGAAAAAGGTCCAAAGCAATTTATTGATGCGATTTTCGGACCATCCGACCTTTTCCTCTTCGACGTTGATAAGGTCATAACCAAGCTTGACACGGAAAGCTTCCATTTCAACTGGATTACTAGACAAGCATGCACAAATGATCTAAGCCACCTTACAAACGACCAATTCATCGAATTCTGTCTACTTCTTGGCTCTCCCTACCTGCGCACTTTCCCTCCTTTTGAGAGCCACCCGTTCCCAGGGAAGGCGCTGAACATTCGTGATGCGTTAAACTTGTTCAACAACTTAGGAAGGAATGCCATTGCCTTATGTACACAGTTTGAAGACGATCAGCGCGTTCATGAACTGCAGTATTTGGATCGCTTTAAACGTGCATTCGTCACTTTGAAACACCACATAATTATAGATGTTGATGGAAAAGTGGGACCTATTAACCCAGAAAATGCACCTTCTGATCTGCATGAATTGGTGGGACAGCGATTACCAGAAGAGCTCTACTTCTATATGTCTAAGGGAATCATTGGACCAAATGTTCCGAATTGGCTAACATCCGGTGAAATTCCGGTCAACCTTCCGCTTGGCGCAGAGGAATCAGACGTGTATCGCCGCCTTGTATCTGACATGCTCACCCCTGCCCGCACTCAGTCTATTTGTCTTCTTTCTAACTCACTCCATCGATTCTATCAGACCAAGGCCATTCATATTCGCCCTTGGTATGATAACAAGTCTGATCGAATAATTAACCTGAAAACATTGCCGTCTGTTAGGGAAGTGCTTATTCCATGGCGTCTTCGCCAATCTCAGCTCCCGGAGAAATTACGAGAACTCCAGGTATTACACCAGAAACATCATTGGTAATACCAGTGTCTAATATTAGTCTTAGGGCTCCTCCCCGCTCATTACTTCATCCTTAACGATCGCGAAAGACCCAGACTTTGTATCAAAGTCATTTGTGGCTAAGGATGCGCCTGTAAGGTTATCTAACCTCTTGCCAATTCGAATGCTAACTATTAAAAGCAACTCTCAACGAAAGCAGAAATTCTTTCAAATGTTATGTGGCGATTCCTTCAGCTTCGTGGTTATATCGACGACAAACACCAACTTACAGCGTGGGGTCTAGCTCTGGAAAAGGGACTCTCTTGTTTGAATCCATATGAGCAGGAAAACCTAGAAGAGCCTACCTTTCTGGCAGTAGAAATGCTACGTCTGGGGATTCTTAATTCAAAGGAATTATTTGTTAACACGTCCGGAGGCCCAATGAGAGGCAGTGGTAAGCCGTTGACTACTTGAATCTGGCAATTTTAGATGTAATACTAACGAGCCGATAGCGGAAGAAAGATCTTTCAATTTATTAATATCCCGTGTTGCATGTTTCGGAAAAATTCGCCATAAATCCATTGGCTATTCTGGACCATTGAGCAGACAGCTCCTCTCCTTTCATTCTTTAGTTTATGCAATTCGCTCAACTCTTCGAGATTTGATCGAGGTGATACTGGCTGGCCTTCTCCTTGGAGGAGAGGCTGATCGTGAGCGAAGCGATTGGTCTAGTTTAGGCCTCAGGTACGTGACTATTAGCCAAATCTAATCAGAAAATGGCATTGACAAAACTTCCAGTTTACCGTTTATTGATGATAATGACTGCGGCCTTGGTATTGCCATGCGCACGTACCTCGATGACTTACCACAACAAACTGACCCCACATCGGCATCCGTCCGGGCAGAAGTCAAAGCGAAAGGAAAAGACTGGTTCCAGCATAGCCATAGCTTTGTTGAGAATCTGGATATCGCCTGTCACCTCTGGGATGCGGTACGTTGTTTGCGGCACCCCGAGATAAAGACCTATCTACTAACTGCTTATTTAGGTGTATACGGTCTCTCAGAAAGCGCCTACGAAAGATTTTAAGGATGCCAAAGTATGGAGCGACACGAACAAGTGGCTAGAAGAGCGAAGGTAACCAGGGGTCCTATACACTCTGTTATATCCCCTATTACTTTGCAGTCATTATCTAGCAAATACTTTAGCTTCACAGCTCAAACAATATCAAAATATGAGGGCTGTTCCATCGTATACCGTAGTGGCTTGACTGCACAATTGCGCGTATATAGTCTCGTATTAGGAGTTGTAAAGTCCAGCGCCCTATAGTTGGTAATCGTAAATCCGGAACCCGGCTATAATCATTAGTAAAATCTGGGGTGCAGAAAAGTTTGGCGTGCATAACTACTTCACTAGTTAAGATTCATCGCCGAGTGTTTCTAACCACCACTACATTATTCCACCTATCTGCTGGATTCAATGGTTATATGTACTCCGTATGTCCCTTACATAACGATCTTGACTTCCCTAGTCTTCGTGAAATTCCTAGGCTTGCATGGCATATCCCTGTACCTAACCGTTCCTAAAGACGCTTTGGGACTCCGATGCCCCAATACGGAGATTGGAGACATGACTCACGTTTGGCGAGCCCTGCAGTATTCAAAAGCACTTAATCTGCTCTGGCAGAAACGAAATATTCTGCAGCTTCGACCTTGCCACGAGGAGGCAAAGTGCAGGACCGCGGTATTTGACGATTGAGGAGCGAGTATTGTTTCGCCCCCTTTCACCTAGTTATAAAGCCGTACTGAGGTTATATACTACTGGAAACATGCATATCCGCCGCCTCCAGCGGCCAGACTGGAATGAGGCAGCTGACATCAACAGCAGGGCGATGATGGACGATGACCTGATGGAAGTGCTGTGTCCGCGTCGAAAGGAGTACCCCGAGCATTTCCGTAAGGAGTTTCTACGGAGGATAAGAGGCGGGAGTGTGCAGCCTGGGATGGTTTGTTTTGTTGCGGTTACGGATCCTGGGGATGATAAGGATGGTGGTAATGCGGGCAAGATTGTTGGGTATTGTGTGTGGAAACGAAGGGGTAGCGGACCCGATGCGAGAAAGTGGCAGAAGGAGAATGAAGGGGCCATGAATAGTAAGTCACTGAACACGAAATTATCTTGCTGTTTTACTAATATTGACATGTAGAAATCTACGCCCGGTATTATAGTCTCCTGAAATGGGCTGTTGACCATTTCAAGCTGGATAAAAGTGTCGACCCTGAAATGCTTGCAAAATATGTCTCGTCTACGGGTGATCACTTCTCTTCACCAATCTTCTCCGAAATGTGGTATATCGCCGCGCTCGCCGTCGACCCAGTGTATCAGCGTCGTGGCATAGGCAAGCTGCTTGTCAAATGGGGCATCGAGCAGGCTCGGCGCGAGAAAGTGCCGATAGGATTAGAAGCGAGTCCCAAAGGAAAGGGGTTGTACGAGAAGTTGGGCTTCAGGACGGTGAAGGTAACGGAGTGGATGCCAGGGATGACGGACCCGGTGATGGTATGGGAGCCGGAAGGCCTAAGCGCGGAGGAAAGCTGGTTTGCGCGGGCCAGAAAGCAGGCGGAGCGGGCGAGCGGTGGAGCTAAGGCGTAGACAGCGTGGTAAAGGCGGACGTCTTTTGAATAGTCAAGTATGGTGGTGTTAGGACAAGCCGTGGATTGGAGGTATGGCTTCACGCGAGGATCGGTTCCTAGATTTGTTACAGTATTATAATCTCATTAATTTTCAGTCCCAGCTGATGACAAGGAGCTGGGAGTCCAAGCTCTCTGGCTGGCAGCCCTCTCCAGAGCAGCTCAAGCAGCTCGTGCCTAGGACCCAAGAAAGCTAGCAAATGAGCGGTACCGCAGCATTTCTCTGGCAACCTGTCTGCGCGGACAGTTATCCAGCCATGCCCGCCGTGTTCCTAGGCCGGGTGGTTGAAATCTCAAGTCGCCGGCCGGCGCCAACCAACGTTTTCGTCATGCCAAGCCATTTGGGTTTGGGGCCGGAAGTTAACACGATATGCAACAAACCAACTATAAAGCTGCCGGAGCTGCCATTGACTGCCTTGTATTTTAGCTACTACAACGCCCCCTTTAGCTACGTCTTGTCTTGAATAATCCTCCCCTTCATAGCAGGTCTCACACAAGCTTTCCAAATGGCTCGATTGAGCGCCCTCCTCGTGGCTTCGCTGGCCTTAGCTACTAAAGTTCTCAGTGCCGACTCCGCCGTTCTCGATCTCATCCCCTCGAATTTCGACAAAGTTGTGTTAAAATCTGGGAAGGCTGGTCTAGTCGAATTCTTCGCCCCTTGGTGCGGCCATTGCCGAACCCTCGCCCCCGTATATGAGGAGCTCGGCCATGCCTTCGCCCATGCTAGCGACAAGGTACATATTAGCAAAGTTAACGCAGATGAGCACAAGTCCCTAGGAAAGAAATATGGAGTCCAAGGATTCCCGACGCTGAAGTGGTTTGATGGCAAGAAATCAGATCCTGAAGAGTATGACGGCGAAAGGGACTTGGAGAGCTTAGCCAAATTCATAACCGAGAAGACGGGTGTCAGGCCTAGAGGTTTGAAGAAGAGCGGGGAGAGTTTTGTCACGATGTTGACGGACCAGACATTTTCTAAAACGATTGGTGGTGAAAAGGACGTTCTAGTGGCCTTTACGGCACCGTGGTGTGGCCGTATGTTCTATTCATCCCATGTTTCTGTTTCTTCGCGCCCAAGACATGTGCTAGATACATGATACTGACTTATTGGATGTGTAGATTGTAAAACTCTAGCTCCTATCTGGGAATCCCTTGCCGGCGATTTTATTCGTGAACCTGGAGTTGTGATCGCAAAGGTTGATGCAGAAGCAGAACAGTCGAAGGCGACCGCTCAGGAACAGGGGGTCTCAGGATATCCTACAATCAAATTCTTTCCAAAGGGCTCTACTGAGGCTGTGTCATACTCTGGCAGCCGATCAGCAGAGGCTTTTGTCGAGTTCCTGAACGAGAAGTGCGGTACACACCGTATTGTTGGAGGAAAATTGAACGCTAAGGGCGGTACCATTGACGCCCTTGATGCGATTGCGACAAAATTCAGCGCAGGAGAGGCTATTGCGAATATCGCTAAGGATATTGAAGCAGCTGCGAGCTCCCTGAAGCAGGCATATGCGGCGTATTATGTCAAGGTCGCTAAGAAGCTGTCAGCAAACTCCGACTATGCCACTAAGGAACTATCTAGATTGGAGAAGATGATGAGCAAAAGTAGCATCACCCCCGAGAAGCTCGATGACCTCACGTCGAGATCTAACATTCTTCGAAGCTTCATTCAGGGGGAGAAGAAAGAAGCAAAGGATGAACTTTAAGGACCCCGAGACATATATATGTATATTTCAGATTCTCAGCTGTTTAATAGCTATCCAATATTTCAGTCACTCTTTAAAAGATTGGAACAGCTTCAACTCGGAATCCTCCCTGCCTCATGGGACAATGCGCAAGTACGATGGCATGAGCAGGAAAATGTAATGTTATCAATTCCGGCGCTAATAGGGGACGGAAAAAAATACGCTGCAGGGCTGGATCCTCTATTTACACCTCGATGGGCTAGGGATTATCACCCTATTCGCAGTAATATATAATCATGCGCGGTAAAAAAAAATTCATAATTCATCAAAAAGTACTTATTGTCCGGCTTAATCAAGAGGGTATCAATTGTCGTAACCGCGGGGAAGAATGATGTTCTCGCCTATTGCGTCGTCTCTTCGTACATCACTTTTCCAACAGGCATGGGGCCTGGAAAACAGTGCCCATTTCCAGATATGTATATCAGTAGTCAGGTTCCACGATCTGCGTCGTTTGTAGCGCTCAGTGAAGCTTCAAGTTCGTCGAGTCTTCGGGTCATATCGTCCACTACCAGTGAGCAACAGGTCAGCATCATGGGCAATACACTGTGAGAGAATTTTACGCGCAAAAGTATCAAGGGCCTCACATTTCCCCAGGATCTCATTCGAAACATTGGTAAAGCGATGCTGCAACTGGTCTAACAGGTCGTCAACCGCGACAGTGAGTTGTTGCGCGCCATTGTCTTCAGCGGATGCCTGCAGATTTTGCATGAAGCCGTCAGCTCATCGTCTTTCCATAACCACTTCTTATAGCCATGTCCGTCTTATTATCGGCGATGGACTCGAAGGTATGAGGGAGTGAACACAGGGAATGGTGGCGCGCAACAAACGCACCTCTTTGCTGGGCGAGGAGACTTGGCTGACAGGCCGGCTTGGGGCTTTGCTCATCTTCGCGCGAGATTCGGGGTTCCGAGAGTGACCTTGTGCCTGGTCGGGCGAAGATGAGTAGCAAAGAGTCTTGCGACGATCCGGAGGCTCTATACTAGGCTTGGTGCTAATATTAATCTAGTTGCTAGGCAGCGAACCAAGCAAGGGCAACACATGCTAGTCAATCACCACCGTCTGGTAATAAACCCGGGGACAGAGCGGGCGCAACTGCGATGAAATACGGAGTACTCTTATCTGGTAAGCCGGGCGGAGTCGTGAACGGTGTCCGTTGGTCCCCTCTCTTTGACCCCTCGCCTGCAGTGGACGGGGATCCGGTGGGAAACTTACCGGCTCACGCGACACACGCATGGCTGCAATCCTCAACTACGGAGTCATTTCCTGCGACAATGTCCACAGCAGCCCTGCAGTATCTAGGCGCCGTGATGCTTTGCGTGCAGTTGATATAACTAATCCAGAGTTTGAACCGCAATGGCCGAAATATTGATGGAAAGATAAGGTTTACGCTAAGTTATCTTAAGCTTAGCTCCAAAGACTCCAAAAAATTACTGAAGCCAAAGAATTGTAGAGCTTCGGAGAGCAGTTGGCTGGGAAAATCCACGGCTGTTTGGAATTGACTGCTGTGCAGGTCGGATTTTCGGTTTCTCATATCCTGCAATTTATACAAAATGGTGAAGAAAAGCAAGCTGCTCAATGCCCTTGATGCCCACAAGGGACGAGATTACGACAAAGAGCGCCAGAAAAAGTTACAGAAAGCTGCGGAGAAGAAGAAAAGATCGAGGGCGGAGACCGAAGAAGGACAAGAACAAGATGATGTAGAAAATGCAGAGGTACTGTACAATGCTCTTGCGAAGTGGAATTGCGTCTCTAATGTAATCTTCTTTGCAGGAAGAGAATGCGCCAGACAGTATAATCCCCGAGAAACGGAAGACCACTAAAGCCGATAAAAAGAAGAAAGGGAAGAAGGGAGACATACCAGCAGAAAAAGTAGAACATATACAAGGCGATGCTGAAGCCTCGGAAGGCGACGAGGAAAACGAGAATGAAGTTGAGGACGAAGAAGTCGATTCAGACGAGGATATCCCCCTTTCGGACCTTTCAGAAGACGATAGAGCAGACGTAATACCTCACCAACGACTGACGATAAACAACTCTGCGGCCATAGGAGCTTCGCTGAAACGGATATCATTTATCCATGAGAACACACCTTTCTCAGAACACAACTCCCTAACATCTACCGAAAGCATGGATATACCTGATGCGAATGACGATCTTAATCGAGAACTTGCATTCTATAAAGTTTGCGTATCCGCCGTGACAGCGGCACGAGGCCTACTCAAGAAAGAAGGCATTCCATTTACCCGGCCTACGGATTACTTCGCTGAGATGGTCAAGAGTGATGAGCATATGGGCAAGATAAAGAAGAAGCTGTTCGACGAGGCTGCCGCGAAGAAAGCCAGTGCTGAAGCGAAGAAGCAGCGCGAATTGAAGAAGTTTGGAAAACAAGTGCAGGTTGCGAAACTGCAGCAGAGGCAAAAGGAGAAAAAGGAGACTCTAGAGAAGATCAACAGCCTGAAGCGAAGTATGCTTCCTCCTCCCTTTATTTCTGAATATAGACCCAATTTATGCCCCTGTACTTGTATAGTATCTAACTGTTTTGTGTAGAGCGCAAGGCCGATGGTGGAGCTCCCACTGAAGACGACGACCTCTTTGACATCGCCCTCGAAGATGCCAGCAAGTCTGATCGCAAGAGATCGGGCCCCGCAAGCGGATCGAATACCAAACGGCAGAAGAAGAACGAGAAATTCGGATTTGGCGGTAAAAAGCGTTTTGCTAAGAGCGGAGATGCCGTTTCGAGTGGTGACCTGAAGGGCTTTTCTGTTAGCAAGATGAAGGGGAAGAAACCTGGCGGTGCCGCAAAAAGGCCGGGCAAGAGTAGAAGAGCGGCGGCAAAAAGATGAAATTCACCCATTTGCTTTGTTTTTATATGCCCTTCGGGAGAGTTTACCTTCTAGCCTATGGTTCATCTCATCGATTAGGAAAATCTAAAAGCATAGCTGAAGAGCTAAATTACTTCTATTGCTGCCGCGATTCAAATTATAGAAGCTGGAAAGCAGGTCTTGTGTCCAAGTTGACGGTATCGTGGATAAATTCCTCCCAGAGGCTTATTCGTAAAGTCAGAACACGGCTTTAACTTGGAGTATACTGGTGATGAACCTTGGACAAAATTAAGTATATAGTAAAAAACGCTTAATGATTCCCATAAAATGGAACATTTAAACTTTAATAGGAGCTCAGGGACATCCCAAAGTGATCATATAATCATATTCTATATACTAGGTATCGTATCAATTGGTATCGGAAATCCTCATTATTAAGATTTGATTCTTTTTGAATCATGACCATCATGTTCATCTAAGAGCGATTCACTGGCGCCTTCCTGGTGAGAGCCGAAATCCCTAATTTTGTCCAGAAGGTGACTAACGCACGCATTGACATTCAAGCGTTGCTCCGAAACGACGAGATTCAATTTCGTTTGCGTATCTTCTGCGTGGACGAGCGAGTGATCGAAGATCGCGTCTTTCGACCTCTTCGAGCTGGCCTTGTAGATCGTTTTGTTGCACCCAAGTGCAGGACAAACCCAAGTGTCTGGAGGTAACTCAGTATCAGGTTCTTTGGAGGGGGGGAGAGAAGTAGTAATGTCGCCTCTGGCTGGGAGGATATTGTTGGATGACTCGTCGGACCTAACTCCATTAGGTTCGGGGGTAGGGGGGTTGGACGGAGTAGCAGTTGTGTCCATGACTATAAGGGCTGAGTTCTGTATTAATTGATGGCCTCCAGGCTTGGTTGGAGTGTCGTCTTTTTCCATGTTGTCCATCTCAAGGTCTGAGCTCGATGATTCGCTGGCTGGGTTTTTGCTAGATTTACCACCAGTGCGTTTCGAGGGAGCAGAGCTGAGTTTTGGTCGCAGTATCGACATTTGGGCTCGTCTCCTTCTCGGTAATTCATCTTCTTCGCTTCCCTCAGCAGAAGATGGGGAATCTTCTTGGGCATTTGTCGACCGAGGATGTAAAGGGGTATTGCGAATATCCGGTAAGGGTGTTGAGGGTTTAATTGTTTTCAGTTGTTTATAGATCCTTTTTCGCGACCAGTCAACAGTTGACAAAGACCGGGCATTGTCCATCATCTGTATTAAGTATCCCGCTCGTGCCTTCATCAGATTTATAGCATAATCCAAGGAATCCATCTCAAACCGTGTCATTAAGTATTCTGCCGTGGTTTTCAGTGTCATGAAACCTTTATACGTCCGTCCAGACTCGTTCATATCCAAAATAGCCTCAAATATTGTATCCGCCTGGGCCTTTTCGTCAGCTTCATCATCATCATCATCATCACTCTCTTCTTCATTCTCCGATTCAGGGCTGCTTGCAGCCTCTGCTGCTCCCGAATCTTCAAAGAGCTCCTGGAGTGATATTAGCAATTGCTAAGTGGTATAAGCCGGTTGTAGAGATGTCCTACTTTGTGCTTCTCCTCGAAGTATCTATATATGGGAGTTGGCGCCCAATCAACGTTTTCTTTCCCTAGTAGCATTTGTGAAATGAGGAAAGCATGATGTTTTTCAAGCACTTCCTCGACGTCATCTGCATCCTCACAGGCTCCGTGGGTATGTCTCACATACTAGAAGGTGTAAGTTGCTGCGCACGGCGCGACCGGGGCGGACCGAAACTGACCTGGTTGAAAATGTGATCCATGGTAGGTTGCAATTGCTTTCGTTTTCGACCCCTCGCTCGGTGTTTGTCTGCTAGAAAGTACAGGAGGTCCACCGCCTCGGCCATATCACTGTATATCGGCCTGAATGCCCTGGCAGGAGAAATAGCGAACCATCCCGGCGCACCCGCAACCCAAATTCCGACTTCACCGTCGTCATGCTGGCCATAGGCATAATGTGTCACATTTTCGATAATCACTCGTTTGGTAGGGTAGTCATCATCCAGTACTAGAGAGAGAGAAACGCAGGATGTCAGCAGACACCCAGACCCTGGCACAAAGTGTCAATGACATACCAAGGGACTCTTGAGCACTTTCTACCAATTCCAAAAGGCCAGTGACTGTAACAGGATTCTTAGGGGAGGCCGATAGCAGATTTGCAAAGCGAGATTTCCCGGGGACCCTGACTTTGACGTCTGTCAGGGCGAACTCCTCCCAGTCGTTTTCATCAGTCAAGGAGGGCTTTCTGGCTGCGAGCACGCTCTCGATTCGGGCAGTCATATCTTGCTGATTGTCATGATGAATAGGGAAATAAGAAAGGAGTGAAGATCGCGTAGGAAATGAGGCATTGAATGAGCTGTCCAGTGGTTTCTTTATCAACAGAAGCTTTGGTTCTAGGGAGACCGGTTTGATCCATTAGCTAAACGGCTCTCCAAGTAACTACCAGCCAAGTGGCAAAACATTATCCCGTGGTAATTATCCGGGGAGCTCAAAGCTTCAATGTATAGATATTTTGATTTACAGATTATAGCAGTAATGGTAGGCTTTGTCAAACGGATCATATTCATTAAGTCTAAAACTACAGAAGCTAGGTCTGAAATCCAAACACAGCACCAGTCCCATTCTAAAATACACGACCATCCGAAATATGTACATTGATAGCGCATTGGGACGAAGTCGGTTGCAATTTCACGGAACTTGACATCAGAAGACCTGTAGTCCTTTGTCCAGAGCTGGATATCATCAATACCAAAAATGATTTCACTTCACCTTGATCTTGACTATTTCGCAACTGACGATACTCTTTGATAGCGATACTGCGATATCCGTCCAAATCGACCAGAAACTCGAAGCTCAACCTTTCTCCCGTTATTGAAATGCTCTGCATTCTTCAATACTAATCAGGCCCCGATAATATACCCGATTATCCAAATAATGTGAGTCTTCAGCGTTGGCCAGGAAGTCTAGCGAGTTTACGAGTTATGGAAGGATTAACGCCTGTCGCTTGAGTACATGGCACTCTGTGAGGTTCCGTTGGCGGCATATTTCGAGCAGGGTCAAGACTAGGTTTGGGCTTTCAGTTAGTGGCCCTCGACCAAATACCTAAAATCACTGTCAGTATTGCTATATCGCATTGTCTTCCGCGAAATGTATAATAAAGTAAGCCATTGCTCATTGCTGTAATGTGAGATAGTCTGTGTTGTTGAAGGGCGAGTTTTGGATCCTAGACTTGAAAGCTTACATAACGCAGATCATCTATAGTTATCTGCTTAGTAATCATAGTTATTTGTACTTCACAGCTCGACGGATAAAATTGGGTTTCGCTTGGAGCTTCTGGCGGAGACCGATGTGTACGAGTATCCGAGAAGCTGCCGCTTTCTTTCCATGTTAATTCGCAAGTGTCCTTCCAAAGTCAGGCCCATCATGTCGCGGGCATGGAATCTAGACGGGGTATTTGGTTAGTGTTCACAAACCATTATCCCGTACTTCGGCCATGCTATCTGTCTACCTGTTACTGAATACTAACGAGGAATATCTCTCTTCAGCCGTCCATAAGCCCGGCGGAATCTCCTCGGCAGACGTCCTCCGGGATCTCCAGCGGCACTTCAACCCGTCGGAATTCTTCAAGCCCGTGCTCGAGGCCGAACGGCAACGGCGGCGCGAAGAGCCCCGGAACCAGCTTCGCAGACGCCGAGACAAGCGCATACAGGTGAAGCTCGGACACGGCGGCACCCTCGACCCAATCGCCACGGGCGTGCTCATCACGGGCGTGGGGAAGGGGACGAAACAGCTGAACAATTTCCTCGCGTGCACCAAATCGTACGAAGCAGTGGTTTTGTTCGGCGCCGCCACGGACACGTACGACCGGGTGGGCAAAGTTGTTAGCCGCGCGCCGTATGAGCATGTTACTAGGGAAAAAGTGGAGGAGGCCTTGAAAGGGTTTCGGGGGAAGATCATGCAGCGGCCTTCGATCTTCTCGGCGCTGAAGGTACAGGGCAAGAAGCTGTACGAGTATGCTAGGGAAGGAAAAGAACCCCCCGTCGAGATTGCAGAGAGGCCCGTGGAAGTGTCGAATTTGGAGATCGTCGAGTGGTACGAGCCCGGAACGCACAGCTGGACCTGGCCAACCGAAGAGGCGGGCGGGGCGGAGAAAGATATCGCTACGAAATTAATCACCAAAGAGAAAAACATCATCGAGACGGAACAAGATCATGTTTCGGAAGAGAACGACCTGAAGCGCAAGGCCCCGCCCGAGTCCGTACACGGCCAGGACGAACCACCTGCATCAAAGCGTAAGAAAGGAGAAGAAGACCCTTCACCCGACAGCACTACCACCACCACCACCACGACGGCCTCCTCCTCCCCGCCCGCCGTGAAACTCACCATGACCGTCTCCTCAGGCTTCTACGTACGATCGCTCTCGCACGATCTCGGCTTGGCGCTGGGCAGCAACGCGCTGATGAGCGAGCTCGTGCGCACGCGGCAGGGGGACTTCGTGCTGGCGCCGCCGGATCGGGTGCTGGAGTATGCGGATCTGGACGCGGGCGAGGCCGTGTGGGCGCCCAAGGTGCAGCGGTTCTTGGATGAGTGGTGCGAGAAGATGGAGGCGCAGGGGAGGGAGGGAGGAGGAGGAGGAGGAGGGGGGAAGAGCGGGTGAGTGTGAGGATGGGGGGGAAGGGGGATATGTTTGTTCTGCGTGAGGTTGGATGGATGGCCATGGTTTCAATGCCTGCTGTAATACTAGCTTCTGCAATTCCGATTACAATAATGGATTTGCAAAGGAGAGAGACTCTGACTACGGAAGAGGTTGCACATAGCACTACCCGGACGGGAGAATCAAAAAAACACGAAAGGCGCAACCAGTTTTAGATTTCCTCTGTTCAGCTCCAACCGATTCAAACCCCGCTAAAAAAAAACAAAAAACGAAAAAGAAAAAGGACCCATGGCCCCAAGAGCCCCCCGTAATACCACCCAGTCAAAATGTGAGGGGGTAAATTTGGAGGGAGAATGGCAAAGAAAAGAGGTTTGAAAGGAAAAAATGGATTAGAACTTAGATATGGCTGCAGATCTATTTGGTGGTCGATCGTAAGGGCGAGGGAGGCGGGACGCCGATATGGGTAGATAGATTTGGTTGGGGAGGATAGGAAATGATAATGGGGGAGGGGGTATCGAGAGGGACATTTGTCTGCGAAGCAGGAGAAACAAAAGGGAGGCGGGAATTAAAAAGAAAGAAGATTAGACAATAGAAGAAAATACGAGATATTACATAGAAAAAATTATATGTAGTCGAACATGGGTCAAATAAGAAAGCAGGGTAGTAATAATGGGAAGTGGAACACGAGAGAGAAAGCTAGATGGCAAAAAGAAGACCAAAGGGCGTGTATCCTGAAGCGATTCCAGGAGAAGTGTCAAAAAAAAAAAAAAAAAAAAAAAAATGGGGGGGAGGGCTGGACAATTACATTAAACAAAGAGAATCAACGGGAAATTGTATCACTGGTATCTAAGCAGGTCGAAGGAAGGCAAAAAAAAAAAAATCAAAAATCAAAAGAAGGATAAAATTAGCCAAGGTGTTCATTGAATTCCACAATAATGAATTGAAAAAGTTGAGGGGAGTTGACAACCCTGCAGGAGGAGAAAAGTGAGACTCGACTAGACACCAACCATCTAGCGATGCCAGTTCGAGCTATGAGCCTCGAGAAGCGCTACATATCAATACTCCAATTAGCCATTGAGTCTCGGCCAAAAACCAAGTACAAAATATATTCAAACTTACTCTGAAGAACGGCCCTCTGGCCCTGGCGCGACTCGCACGCGCACTGCAGCGTGCTGCCGTTCTTGAAATCCAGCACGATGCTGTTGGGCAACTCCTGGCGGTCGAGGTCGGGCAGCGACGGCGTGCGGAACTCCGACAGGTGGTATCGCTTGACGGCGGTATTATTATTGTTGTTGTTGTTGTGGCGCGCGGAGCCGTCGAGCGTGCCGGGCGTCAGCGTGAGGTAGCCGTGGTCGTCGAGGCGCAGGAACCGGCGCTTCCACAGCAGCGTGTCGGGAAATTGCACGTTGACCTCGCCGATGTCGACGGTCTGCGGCGGAGCTGACGCTGGTGCCGATGCTGGTGGTGCCGGTGATAGTGGGCTGGGGAGGTGGTGGTGGTGGTGGTGCGATGGCGGCGCGTCTTCTTTCGGCGGTGGTGTGGGCGGGTCTTCCTCCCTGACGGTCGGGCTGAGGGCGTTGATGATGCCGCGGCGGGAATTGGTGGTGATGGTGGAGATGCGGTGCATCAGCCGTGATTTTCGCGACTCTTTCTTGTCCTCCTGCGCCTCGTCGACGATGTCCAGGTGAGAATGCGTGTCCATGGACGAGCGCGACAGCGGGCCGTCGTATTTCGACCGCGACGACGTCGACGGTTTGCTCGCCGTAGAGTCGGACCGTCGCACCTGCGCCGCGTCCGGGACGTGTTTCGAGCCGATGGACGAGATCGACCAGCGTTTCCTTTCCTGCTTGGGCGCAGGCGCAGGCGACGTCGGCGGCGGCGGCGGCGTGGACGGGCGCGCCCGTTCCTCGTTGCTGCCCTCGTGCTCAACGGTCAACTGGCTGCGCTGCAGGTTCAACACGCTCGGCTCCGACGGATCTGCACTGGGATCCGCGGGCGGAACGGACACATCGCGAATAATCCTCGCCGTGACGCACACGGAGTTGGTCTTGTTCTTCATCGAACTGACCGTAGACAGCGAATCGCGGCGTTGCTGGAGGACCTGCGCCGGCTTGTCGGGCACCACCACCGCCGCCGGCGGCGGCGCGGCGGGCGGCTTGGACGACTTTGAAGGCGTGCTCGACGTCGAAAGCGTGCTGGCTGGCGCCGCGGCAGCCGTTCGCTTGCGAAACTTCTCAAACGGCGATGTCGACGACGTCGTCGGTGCCGGCAGCACGGGCACATTGCTCGGACTGGACTCGCGGCTCGAGAACATCTCCAGGGCTTTGATGCGTTTGGAGATGCCAGAAGACACATTGACCTTCTTCGCGACCAGGACGGGAACGGCCTGGCCGTCGTAGTACGTCGCGGACACCGATCGGCCCACGGGCAGCGCTTGCACGTCCGACCCGCTGCTGGGGCTCGGATTGGAGACCAGGCGGGGACTCTTCCACCTGTCGTCGCCGTTGGTGGACAAGGCGGAGAGAGGGGTTTTGGGCACGGCCACGGGCTTCGCCTCCTGGAGAGTGGCGGATTTCAATTCTTCCATGAGCGAGTCGTCGGACAACAAGTTGTCGTCGTCCAAATCGTCGGTGCGCTGGGGGATGCGGATGGGCTCGAGCATGGCACGGCGTTTCTCCTTGCGGTTTTGTTTGGGTGCTGAGGCGTCGTCACTTGAGAGGACCTGTTCTGGAACGGATTCTATATCAGAAGTAACATTCAGTTCAGGTACGGGCTTCTGCTGCGCAACAGCGTCTTCTTGCTTCTCTGAAAGCCTGTTGGATTCAGGTTCATCTTTGACATCCTGTAAAAAGTCTGCTGCTCGTGGAGTGGGTGTATCCGGGCGTTCAAGCTCGGAGGGTATCTCTATATCACAGGGCTGAATATCTGCTTGTTCAATCGAGGGTATGGGCGTTTCTAATTTGCTTGGGGCGTCTAGTTTATCCGATGTATCTTCTTCTGTATCACCATTTATAGAGCTGGAAACCGGTGTTTCCTGGTCCTCGACTTCCGGTTTTACGCTATCGGCGTCCGAAGCTGGGACGACATCTGATGATGGATCTGGCAATGGCGATTCTTCTTTGCAGTCTAATATTACCGATGGGACGGACACATCGGCTTGGGGAATCTCGTTTATAGACAGATCCACGGCCGAGTCGGGTTTGGACTGATCAGCAGCCGGCGGTTTAACGCCATTCGTCACAATCGAGGTCGGATCCGTCTGAGCTGGCGCTGGCGCCGTTGCAACCGCAGCCGGCACCTTTTCCACCTCTTCAGAGGCATCCGTTTTGTCAAGCACAGTGCCGGACTCCTCCTGCTCCTCCTCGACTTCCGGCAATGGCACTTTTTGCTCCTGTTTAATCACCTTCTCGGCCGCTTGCCGCGCCTGCTTCTCCATCTGCTTCTTCCGCAGCTCCAAGGCCCTCATCAAGCGCTGCTTCTCCGGCGTGACGCCGATGGACGACGCCATGCTGCGGATCGAGCGCGGCGACGCGGGCGGGTTTCTCGCAAACGAGCCGACGAGAGGCGGTGGCGGAGGCAGCAGCGCCGGCACGGGAGGGGCGGCGGCGGCAGGGAGAGCGGGCAGGTCGAGGTTGGGCTGGGACTTGGGTCGGAGCGCATTGGTTTTGCGCGTGGTGAGGCGGACGCCGGCGGGTAGTGCCGCGACAGGACGTCGTTCGCGCGACCGGCCGATGGAGCCGGCGGTGCGGGGCCGGCCGTTGACATCGACGGACGGGCGAGGGCCCAGCTTCACCTTCGGGCGGTGCAGGCTGGCCTGGTCTAAATCGCGGGTCGACGGGCGTGACGACTGCGTGGAGTTCCTGGGTTCGCTGGGTTCGATGAGGTGGTTCTGGGCGGACCCCCCGTTGACATGGGCGTACTCCTGGGGCACCGACGGCAGCGGTTTTTCGTGCCTGCTGGGGTCGGTGAAATCCTTGGAGCGTATGGAGGCCGTGTCGGCGACGGATCCAACTCGCGATCGGCCGGGTTTGTAGTCGTCCGGCACGGCGGTGGCTTCAGAGAGTCGGCTATACATGCTTTCTCTGCGGCTGCTGACGTCCAGGGTGCCTGACACGGACTGGTCGGCGATCGAGGCGCTGTCTTCGACCTCTGCATCCTCGGTGATCTCTCCCAATTGGCAGCGGCGTATGGAATTGGACGACGAGGTCATGGAGCGGGTGGCGGCGTGCAGGAGACAGGCGGACGAGAGGGCATTCTCGGTGAGCTCGGAGGAGACGGCGAGCGAGAAGACGGTGTCGTGGGGGGAGAATTTATCTAGGACGGACTGGAACTGCACGGAGATTCGGGCTAATATATATATATATATCCATCAGCGGTGTGTCCAACAACGAAAAAGGCAGGTGATTGCACCTTGTAGGATGCGTGATATGCCGTCGGGGACGTATCTCAAGATGACCTTGCGGCGGCGGTACTGCAGGAAGCCGTAGAGGGGAGATTTTTCCTCGTAGCTGTCGATGGTGATGCGGATCTCGGCGACGCCTCCGGAGCCCCTGGCCAGCAGCGCGATGACGTCTCGGGAGACATACTTGAGCAGGAACCTAGACGGGCGCAGCAGCAAGGCGGGTTAGCGAGGCGGACGCGCAGGAGTTTGTAGGCAGACAGACCATCCTCCCGGCTCGGACAGGGCAGATTGGTAGGCGTCGATGATGGGGGGATCATCTAAACCATTGAGCGACATGTCGAGCAGGCGTCCCACATTGGAGCAGCGAAAAGGAAAGGAAGGGAAGGGGAGGGAAGAGAAAAGAAAGGAAGAAAAGAAAGAAAGAAAGAGAGGGAGAGAGGGAAGAGGGTCGGCAAGCGAATGACGGGAGAAGAGTAAGAAGAACAATAATGACAGAGCGAACGAAAGAAAGAAAAAACACGACAGGGATGGAGAGAGGCAGAGAGAGGGCGGGCGAGCCAGGCGCCGGCGTGTTTGAGCGAAGGTTAGTCAGTTGGAGTAGTGAGTTAGTTAAGCAGGACGGAGTCGTTAGTTGAAGCACAGAATAATAACCTGACACGTCACAGCTCGAGGATCGCTGGGGGCGGCGGTGGCAATTGGCATAGGCTCGAGTACGGAGTAACTATGTATATCTTGTATGTCTATGTGTACGGAGTATGTCTATTGTATGTCTATGATTCTATAGCTCTGAATGGCCGGTCGCGGAGGCTGCGGCAGGCATGTAGGGATGCTTATAACTAATGGACGCTGGCGCTGGCGCTGTGGCGGACGAGCGAGTAAGAGGAGAATGAACAGAGAGAATAACCGCTATTCTGTCCTTCGTAGATGATTCTTCTTCTTCTTCTTCTTCTTCTTCTTCTTCTATTCTCTTACTACCACCACTCGGGCCCGGCGGCGATCCCGGCGGAATCCTGCGCCCCGGCTGCGAGCTTGCTAGGCTCTTGGGCTGCTCTTCTATTCTTCTTCTCTTCTTCTCTTCTTCTCTTCTTCTCTTCTTCTCTTCTCTCCTCTCCTCTTCTCCTCTTCTCCTCTCCTCTTCTCTCCAGGCAACCTTTCACGCGCTGCTCTGCTCCTCGCTGCCATGGCGCTCCAGCCCACCCGCTGACCAGCCAGCCCGCCCGCCCATGCCGTCCTCACCAGCGCCCGCGCCGCTCCCCGTCCCCGTCCCCGTCCCCGTCCCTCTCGCTCTCTCTCTATCACCGCCCTCGCCGCCGTCCTCGTCGTCCGCCCTCTCCTTCACCGCCCGCCTGCGCCGTCTCAGCCAGCTGCACGCCCGCCCCCGCCTGGCGCGCGCCGTCGGGCTGGCCCTGTCGCCGCACGCGCCCGTCTTCGACCCAGCTGCTGCCGCCGACCCCTTCGCCCTCGACCCGCGCGCCTCCACGGCCCCTACAAATCCTAATCCTAATCCTAATACTGCTGCTGCTGCTGCTGCTGCTTCTCGCGCCCGTTGCTCCTCGTCTGCGTCCTCGTCCTCATCCTCCTCCTCGTCCTCCTCGTCGTCGTCGTCTGCCTTCTCGTCCGACGCCCGCTCCGCCCGCTGCCGCAGCTCCTCGCGCTCCTCGCCCGCCGCCGCCATGCCCTTCGCCGCCCAGCCGCCGCCTCCCGACGACGCCCCCGTCGCTACGCCCACCACCACCACCACCACCACCACACCAGCAACCACTGCAATCGCTCCCACAGCGACAATGACAGCGGCAGCTGCCTCGCCCGCCAGCGACCTGCACCGCATGGCCGTGTCGTCCATCGCCAGCAGCGCCGACTCGCCCGCAAAGCAGCCCACCACCACCACCACCAATCCCCCCTCCAGCGCCCTCGCCGGCCTGCCCACGATCCGCCTGTTCCCGCACCACGCCCAGGCCGCGCGCCCGGCGCTGCCCTTCACGCCCGTGGCCCGCACGCTGCCCGACGAAGCCTGCGTCATCCGCGTGGGCCGCTACTCCGAGCGCGACGGCGTGCCCGTCGCCAACCCCGGCGGCCCGTCCGCCGCGCCCATCGGCTTCAAGTCCAAGGTCGTCAGCCGCAAGCACTGCGAGTTCTCCGTCGTCGCCGGCCAGTGGCACGTCAAGGACGTCGGCAGCTCGTCCGGCACCTTTCTCAACCACATGCGCCTCAGCCAGCCCAACACCGCCTCGCGCCTGTACGCCGTGCACGACGGCGACGTCGTGCAGCTCGGCATCGACTTCCGCGGCGGCGAGGAGCTCATCTTCCGCTGCGTGCGCATCCGCATCGAGTGCAACCGCCTGTGGCAGCGCGGCCTCAACGAGTTCAAGTGCGCTATCCCAATTACCCTGTCTGTTGTTCTTCCTGGCTGACCAGCTTTCCCTCCGCAGCAAAAACACCGAACGCCTGATCAACAGCCTGGGCAAAGGCATCGACGACGACTACAAGGGCTGCCGGGAGTGCTCCATCTGCCTGAACTCCGTGCTGGTTCGTTGCCCTATACCGCCGTATAGTGATACTGATATTGACCCCCCGGCCAGCGCCCCTACCAGTGCCTGTTCATGGCCGCCTGCGCCCACGTCTGGCACTACAAATGCATCCGCCGCCTGATCCACACGCCCGAATACCCCATGTTCCAATGTCCCAACTGCCGCGCGTACACCGATCTCAGCGCCGACGTCGACGACTCCAACGACCTTGAAGCCGACGTCGTCGCCGCCGCCGCCGCCGCCCCAGCCCACAGTCCGGACCTGGCCCCCGAGGCCCTGACACCGGCGCCTCTCCGCCTCGCCCCTGAACCCGCCGCCGCCCGCGAGCCTCCCTTACCCGAACCAGACGCGCCGCCCAATAACCACCACCATCACCATCACCACCAACGCCCCGACGCCGACGCCGACGACACGCAGGTCGCCCAGGCCCTCCACCTACTGCACATCGCTGCCGACGACCAGCAACAACAACAACAACAGGACCACCAGCAAGACGGCGCTCCGGAGGACTACTCCGACAATCCCACGTCGCACCGGCCCACGCCCATGCCGTCGCTCGACGACATCCCGCGCAGCCGCAACATCGACATCCCGCGGCGCGACGCGGCGAGCGCGAGAGAAGAAGGAGAAGTAACGGCCACGACGGCAACAATGACCACGACGGTGACGACGATCCCGCCGGCGCGCCTGGCCGTGACCAACACCGGGTCGCCGTTCGTGCTCAACAACTTCGACGAGTGCCCCCTGACGCCGAGAAACGATCTAGGCCCCCTGGCCCTGGACGGCCGCGCGGGGAGGTTATTATAAGAAACAAAAAGAAGAACTATAATTATCTATCCATTGCTTACCCCGTGCATCGTGATTTGTTCGGATCTTTTTTTTTTCCACTTGCGAGCCCGGCACATAACTATATCTTTTGCATCAAGGGACATCTCTTTTTTTTTTTTGTTTTGTTTTGTTTTTGTTGCTTCCACTGGAAAAAAACGATAATAGGATACTACTATTGCCCCCAGTCACCCATCCCATCTGCATCATCTGCTCCCATGTTTTGGTGTTTCTGAAGTACAGCTACCTAGCTACATATCCCACCCATCTCCACGAATCTCATTACTCTCTCTCTCTCTCTCTTTTTTTTTCCCTTCTTTTTGGGTAACCCGGGGCGCATCCTGCTTGCTCAAACGGCCGTCTCTCTCTGTGTGTGTGTATCCTGTCTGCATGTGTGAGAGCGTCCTCCGTCTGAGGGCTCGAAGCACTTCCCCAGTGCAGTCTGCATCTGACCTCTCTCCATCAGCCACATCTCTCCCTCCCTCTGTCAGTTCTTTTCTTGTTCCTTTTCTTCTTTGGCGTTCCCACGGGAAGACAGCATTTCCTAAAGGTACGCTCCGTACCCTCTTCCCCTGTCGCATTTTCTGCGTATCCATGCATCACTAAATGTAACTACCTCCCTCGTACATAATTATATGTAGTAGTCATCTGAACCCCCATCTCCAGCCAAACCCCACCAACAATAATACCTCCCAGCCAAGCGGGCAGCCAGCTTTTGCGTTTTGCGGAATAGCTTCATCCCTGGCCCGGTTTTGGGGAGAAAGGGAAGCGCGGCTCCACTTTCTCCGCAAGCCGGGCCGTTTCAGCTTCTTTCGCGTGATGCCGATCGTGGGGCCGGCAGGAGGGAAAGAAAATAAGAAGAAGAAAGCGGAAGTTCAATTCGATTTGGTAGTGAAATATGAGAAAACAGGGGGCCGGTCTGAGTAGTTAGAGCAGAGCAAGAAACTCAGGACGGGCTCGCTGGTTAGCTGCTCAGAGCGACCAACCTGCGCGACGACGGCTCGCTCTCTTGTCTCTGCGATTGAATTCTTCAGTCTTTTCTCCTTGCTTACTCCCCTTCCTGATACATAGTTCTTCACCGTCGTATCGCGTGCCAGCAGCATGCACCAGAACGGCTCGTCGACGCCCGTGTTCGGCAACGGCGGCGGCGGCCAGCAGCATCATGCCCGCCGCGACACGTACCCCTTCAAGAAGTCTCACCGGTCGAAGCCTCGACGGTAGGTAGCGATACCTACTTAACACATATCTTCGTTGCTTGAGAGCTGACTGGCTGTCCAGATGGCCGCTCGTGCTGCGCTTCATCAAAGGCGCCATCCACAGCGCCATTCTGATTCCGCTCATCTGCCACGCGCTGTTCACGGTCTTGATTGTCTGCCTGGATAAATATGTCTACGACAGCCTGGGCCTGCCGCCCACCATCGTGAGAGCAATCCGCGGGTCATCCTATCCTTCAAACCACCGCTCACGCGAAAGCTCTGTTCTAGATCCCCTCCCTCTCCATCGTCGTCGGCCTCATCCTCGTGTTCCGCAACCAGACCTCGTACAATCGCTTCTGGGACGGCCGCAACGCGCTGACCTCCATCAACACCGCCGTGCGCAACCTGACCCGCACCATCCTCGTCAACTCCTTCTACCCCAACCGCCCGCTCACCAGCTCCGAGCGCCACGACATCGAGCGCACCGTCCGCGTGCTGATCGCCTTCCCGTTCGCCGTCAAGAACTACCTGCGCGCCGAATGGACCTCCAGCTGGCCCGACCAACTGCAGCAGCCGCCCTACCTGGACACCGCCGCCGCCGAGAGCGCCTCCGATAACGGCTGCCCCTCGCCCAAGGTCGAGTATCTTGGCCTGCTGCCTTCTGGCTTCGAGTTCCTGGAGTCTGACGGCCTGTCCGTGCCGCTGCAGCTGAGCTTCTTCGTCGAGGGCTTCATCAAGCGCGGTTTGGAACGGGGCTGGTACGACGCCCCCGGCGCCAGCCAGATGGGCAACCAGGTCTCTGCCCTGACCGACGCCTACGGCAAGATGGAAACCATCAAACTGACCCCCATCCCCATTGCTCACCTGTACGTGGGGGCGCGCGTCCCGCCCCTCCCCCTCCCCCTCCCTCTCCCCGGCGCTGTCCAATCAGCCGTCCAAATATGTATAGACCACCCCTGCTAACCGCCCCCGGGTGTTCACCAGCATCCACCAAAAGCAAGTTCTCGCGCTGTTCGGGTGCGTGCTGCCGTTCGCCATGGTCGACGACATGGGCTGGTGGGCCGTGCCCATCGTCAGCCTGGTCATCTTCACGCTGTACGGCATCGAGGGCATCGGCTCGCAGCTCGAAGACCCCTTCGGCTACGACCGGAACGACATCAAGATGGACGCCATCGTGGACGACGAGCGAACCGAGATCGAAGCCATCTTGAACGAGTGGAGACGCGTCACCGAGGTGTCGGACGAGGGGGTTGATGTGAACGGCAATAGCAACGAGGTCGGCCGTACCGCCGTGTTTAGAAGGAGAGAGATGTTTATTGGCAAGTAATGCCTGCCGGAGTGGTGGTGGGGGGGGGGCTGCGCCTGCGTTCATCAGAGCACAAAAAGATTGACATTGTATTTCAACTGCTTCAGTGTCTTTAAGTATCTGTTTCTTCACTGATTCAGTAATGAATTCAGAGTGATGAACATGCATGGTGGAGGCTGGTTTTTTGAGTTCTTTGGAAGGTGGCAGTCTTGCTGGTCTCGCCTATCTTGTTCTGCACTGGGAATTCGGTTTGCTCGCACATACTAACTATCTTGCCGGCGACATTTGGCTCATTCACATATATACAACTACTTTTTGTTTGCGATATACCCTGAGTATCATCTGACTTATCGCGACTCGTCTCACCTGCTTCTGTTTTAGAGCCCCTGGAGTACGTTTACCTTGCAGAGTTCAGACATTCTGAACGGATTGAATGTTTCTTGTTTTCTTCCTTGCTTTGATGCATCTTATGCGATAGGAGCCAATCTTTTATATATAGTTCCGGAGTTCGACTTCTCCGCCCATCAAAGGTATACATTCATTTCAGTGAAGCTGCATAACCTCGAAATCCCCGTCATAGCCATCACAGTGCTGCCAACCTGCAGGTATGAGCCCTGATATTTGAACTCGGATACTCGAAGATTGTATATGGATATCAATGAGAATCTGATTATACTGTACTGTATTGCGGGGGATTGAAAATATTACAGTACATATAATACACTTTACTGTTCTCACCCGTGCATCAGCAGTGCGCTCGTCCTTACATTACAACCCTTCAAGTCCAATGTACATACATAAATACATATATTTATGACCGGATCCACATTCGATGGCATAATCTGAATCGCAGAAGGCGGGGGTACACTTGGACCAAGGCCTGAAAACCATCAAGCTGCTTATTTGTTTTTTTTATTTTTATAATCCACCCCTTCTCCAGGCGGAAGGGTGTGTATTTGATTCCATACCCGACCACATTAAAACATTAGTTTTTTCCTCCCCTCCCAGCAAAGCAAGCCAAGCCTGGCATATATTAGTATCATTTTATACTCAACAGTAAGCTTCCAGCCTTCAATTCTGAAGCCCCCCGTCCTCAGCGGGCACGGAAGGCGTGTGGGATGCAGTATTCACGTCCAGCATCGCCGTATCGGGATCCCTGGGCTCGCTCCCTTGGGTTGCGGCATCATCCGCTTCTTTTTGGGACGCTGAAATTCTCCTTGCACGAATAGAAGGCCTCGGAGGCACCCCTTGGAGGATGTTCGTCAGGTGCGCGTAGGTATCCGGCCGCGTCCACAGGTCTTGCTTTATCAGACGCAGGATTTCTAATTCAAGTCGCGGCAGCGTGTTTGCTGCAAGCTGAATATCGATGTTGTAGGACATCTTGGCCCGGCATACCATGACTCCTAGCTTGTAGGTCGTGACTTTTAGAGCGTCGGTGATCCAGGCGTGGGAAAAATCAAACTGATCTCCTTCCCAGTTCCGTAGGCCATGTTCGCACCAAAAGCCATACGCAGCTCTGATGTTCTCTAGAGTCCGTAGCTCAGGCTGCCCGAGCTGTACATTCCACAGATGGCGGAGTAAAGTTTTAAGGTGAAGTAAGTGCCGGAATTTGGGAAGTAGGGCCTCAGGAAGCCCATTTAAACAGGCACTTTCGGTAGTGACTCTAGGTATCTGTTTGAAAATAAGTTGTCAGGAGCTTTAAGAAGTCTTAAGGCTTTAGCGATACTGGAATAGTAAAACAGAAGAGTATACCACAAAAATAGGACACTGGGCATTGTTAGATTCCGAAATCTCCATCAATGAGAGCTCAGGCATATAGCCGTTGGGCGTCCCTGCAGGTGCCTGGTTATCCATCACTAAATATTTCAACCGCAAATAGGTGGGCAAATAGCAATAGATCTGGATGTGCTAGACTTATCACCGCCTCAAGTGTGAGGATAGTAGCGTAGGCACGAAAAGATCCACGAGGTTGTAGTTAAAGTTGCCATCCAACTCAGCCGGTAGCCCCTTACCAACGGCGAACTCATCTTATTTATCAAGCAGGAAGTATCACCAACTATTTTCAAAAACCTTGTTTTAGGGCACACTTTCCATAGCATCGAGCATGTTCAGGCTTTTTTTTAATCATAAATTCTGTAGAGGGTCCCGTGAGAAATATTCCTTCTATAATTTTGTTCGTGAATCTATATCATTATAATGGTGCTTCGACCTCTACTAAGGTTTCTTCAATAATGTCCTCCGGAGTAAGGCCGGTGAGAACATATTTAGCTGCCTCTAGACTGCTTTCATAGAGAAGACTGCGGTCATCTCTCGGACCAGCAACAATAATCCGGTGTCGATATGTCTTTTTAGCAGCAATGGCAATTAATGATGGAATCAAAAGGTCTAAGTGCTGGAAAGCTGCTAAACATCTACCAACCGATTAATTAATAAGCCATAGAGGAAAAGTAGGTCTGGGGCTTACTAACCTAGCTAGGAGTCGAAAATGACGAGTTGCAACAGGAGACACGCCACCCGCTACTCCACGATGTAGCCTTAAGAATACAACAAAATTCTGCAAATAGCAATTCACGTCGGCTGAGGCAGATACATTGTTACTAAGCTGCTGGAGTATATCGATGTCCTATGAAGCATGAATGAGAAAAGATATTTTTCACGCGGTATGATATCATACCTCTTTGGTGATATACGATTTTTGGAAAGAACGCGGTGAGCTAGGAGCCGGTCGGAGAACTGAGGCTTCAGAGGCGGCCTCATCAGAAATCCAATCAGAAGCTTCCTCAAGGTTTGTAAAGCGATCTGCTCTGCCATGGTGGTGTGAGAGGTAAATGTGATCGTTCTATTAGATTAATTAATATCAGTGGTTTACTTTGGGGACATTTTTGAGGCCACATACCAAGTGTTTATTCAGGAGTGTGGAGAATGGCTTTCTGCTTATAGAGAGTAATGGAATTAAAAGAAATATTTCTGGTGCATTGTAAACCAATGCCTTTATAAAAATGCGTTTTGATTGTATCAGCTATACTCCGTATAACACTTGATTGTTAGTATTCTGTGGATTGTAAGCTACATGACGATTTTTTTGAATTACCTCTAGAACTTGGATCTGAACCGTCTCAGGTGCTTGGTTAAGGTTCTTTGCGATAACAACATTGACAAGTGTCCTTTCATCTTTATTACGGGATCCATGCTGCTCCCTAAATGCCCTCTCACTATGAAAAGACCCTGATTCTCTATGCTACTAATGTGTCAGAAGGTACAGAGTGATTCAAAAGGCACGAAAGATAAGCGCGTTGGGAAGCACAGCAAATAAACACAACTCACAACATCAACATTGAGTTTTGAGTGTGACGATTGCAATTGTTGGTTTGCATAGGCATCTCTGCGCGGAATTAAGATTGCGTTGCTGAATTCTTCCCATGAAGTACCCGGAGAACAATCTACAACTGCCTTTGATAACTTAAATGTGTTTTCAACAATCTGATCTCAAGTATCAGAATCCTAGGCTATCAATATCGATAACAGAACAGCTGCATACCAGGCTCAATTCGTTCTCCAAGTCATCCAGGTGGTCTGCATCCGTATCGATGATACCATGTTCCCTGGCAACAAGGCAGAGTAAAATCGCAATTTCGAGATCAGCCAAATCATCAAGCTTATCGAAAAGCGCGGTATTATCTACCATTGCTTCGATATGACTCTCCTCTGTGGAATCCAAGACCGTCGATGCTGGTTATTTTCTTTCTGTCGTCAGCGAGGCGCAGGGGTAACAATACGCGCTTGTAATATTACCGTATTACTTTATTGACATGTAGTTTAACTAGTTAATTACGTTACCAGCCACTGTTGATACACGAATGACGGCAATGTCAACTTAGAGTCACGTCTGACAGACGTACCTTATTCAGCTGTGTGGACGACTTATGACTATCTTGATGCAATGAACACTGGGCAGAAGGCTCCCATGTTGTCTAATGGCTCCTACAAACCCCCGTGCCGACTGGGAAAAGGTTGGTGATCAGCTGTATCGCAAGGTCCGTATCTACGATGATGTTTTCGATGAGGACTTAGAATTGGAACACTATATTGCTGTTGGTGCGCCGTATGGTGGTGCAATAGGTATGGATTCTTCAGGTGTGACATATATTTGTGCTGAATGTATCTTAGCCCTTTATCGTGATGAAAACAAGCTACAGAGATATCGCGATGCACAAACTGCAAAATCCAGTATAGACATCTACTCGTATTCTGGGCAACGCATAAGCAGAATCAATGTTAGTTTACTTTCTGGCGTGCTATGTCAACCATTAACATTACTTAGTGGGATCATGGATCTATTCGTGGACTCGGCTGGTCTGAGGATGAAAAGCTCCTAGTCATCACTGAAGACGGCACCGTGCGATGTTATTACGGCTTGAATGGGGATTTTTCACCTTTTTCTCTAGGAAATGTATGAAATTCATTGGTGTTTTAGCTACGCTATTATTCTAATCCGGGCTTAGGTTGCAGAAGAGCATGGTGTGAAGGAATGCCGCTTTTGGTCAAGCGGGTTTGTAGCTCTTCTACAAAATAATCAACTTATATCGGTGGCTAGGTATGATGAGCCACGGCCAAAGATACTTGCATATCCGCCAGAAGGCCAGATCCATTCATGGTCCCTAATTCCACCGAGCTATACCCTTTCCCGTTCAGTGGAAGTTCTTCTCTCAATCAATCAAACCATCTATGTGGTAGATGCTACAGACGCCGAAGATCGTGTACTGCAAAATGGTCCCTTTAAGCATATTGATGTCTCCCCAAATGGCCGCTTCGTTGCATTGTTCACACAAGAAGGAAAACTCTGGGTTGTTAGTAGTGATTTTCAAAACAAGTTCAGTGAATATGATTCGGGTGCAAAAACTCCACCTATAGGGGTCACATGGTGTGGAAATGACTCTGTGATTCTCTCATGGGAGGATGAAGTTCATAATGTCGGCCCTAATGGGGCATCTGCAAGGTACTTTCCTTCCCATTGTCTGTTATATTAGTACTTGGACTAAACTTTTGTTGAAGATATTTCTATGACGGCCATGTTCATGTTATTCCTGACCTTGATGGCGCCAGATTATTTACAAATGAGGCCTGTGAGTTTCTACAGAAGGTTCCAGGTAATACTCAGCACTCCATTTCAAACCCTAAACATATCTGACCACGACCACATAATAGAAGTAACAGAAGAAGTGTTCCGACTTGGTTCGAACTCACCAGCTGCCGTATTGCTTGATTCTGTTGAACAACTTGAAAAGAAATCACCGGCTGCGGATGAAAATGTTCAACGCATCAGGCAGGACCTTGTGGAGGCAGTGGATATCTGCGTTAAGGCGGCCGGGCAGGAGTACAGCGCTTATTGGCAGAAACAACTACTCAAAGCTGCATCTTTTGGAAAATCCATCCTTGACCTCTATAACAGTGACGAATTTGTAGACATGTGTGAGAGGCTGCGTGTTCTCAATGCCGTCCGGGATTATCGAGTCGGAATCCCGATTTCCTATGACCAGTACATTCACCTAACACCGGAGAAGCTGATTCAAAGGCTGGTAAATCGGCGTGAATATCTACTTGCAATCCGTGTGTCCGAGTACCTGCGACTCTCTGCAGACAAAATCTACGTCCATTGGGCTAGCCAAAAGGTAAAAGTATCCAGCGAGGACGACGAAACAGTTTGCCATTTAATAGTCCAGAAACTACGCGGAAAGCATGGCATATCTTTTGAATCCATTGCGCAGGCAGCATTCGATGAAGGTCGCGCACACTTAGCAACACAACTTCTAAATTTTGAACCTCGTGCTGGAAAGCAAGTGCCATTACTCCTAAATATGGAGGAAGATACGGTTGCATTGGACAAGGCTATAGAAAGTGGGGACTCGGATCTCATTTTTTTTGTGCTATTTCACTTGAAGCGGAAACTTCCTTTGGCAACATTCTTCCGGGCGATAAATAATAGACCTGTCGCTGCGGCTCTCGTTGAGGCATCAGCTTGGGACAAAGACATGGATCTATTGAAAGATTTATTTTACCAAGATGATAGACCCATCGACGGGTCGAACTTACTATTTAAAGAGGCTCTAAGACAGCACACCTTGCAAGAAAAATTGGACAAGGTGCGGATTGCATCCCGACTACTTTCCGATGCAAAAGACCCCAGTGTTCAGTTGCACTTAAAATCAATGACTGAAGCCTCTCAGCTCCTGAAAATCCAGGAGGGACTGGACAAGGATTTGTCTGACGGAGCCAAATTCGTGGGGCTAAGTTTAAATGAGACTATATACAGGCTGATTCGATCCGGCTACGGAAAACGCGCCAGCAAGATTCAAAATGAATTTAAGGTATCAGACAAAACTTATTGGTGGCTCAGGTTGCGGGGGCTGGTCGCCAAACGAGACTGGGGCGAGCTTGAAGACCTAGGCAAAGCCAAAAAGTCTCCAATTGGATGGGAGGTATGTGCTCATTATCCCACAAAGCGACATATCCCTCTATTACCTACGTTAGCAGAAGCTAATAAGCAGTAGCCATTTTTCAACGAAATCCTTGGCGCCGGAAACACGAAGCTGGCGTCCACGTTTATTGCTAAGTGTACTTCGCTGAATACCTCCGAGAGGATCGAAATGTGGATGAAATGTGGGATGCCAGTCAAGGCTGGAGAGGAGGCCCTCAAAGCGAAAGATATTGGTAGTCTTGAACGGCTCAGGAACCGAGCTACTGGGAATGCGGTGATGGAGATAGACCGCATGATTTCCCAACTCAGGCCTAAAAAATGATACCGACGTGAGGTATAGGCTCAACAGAAACAAACTTTATTCTTGTTTTTTTAGCTTATCTCTCCGTCGAGCTCGAAATCAAATTTTTCTTGTTGCATAGGCTCAGTCGGCGGCATTTGGCGAACGGAAGATGCTGTTTTTTTAGCCGGATCTGCTTGCCCATCATTCTGCTCCGTGTCCATTGAGTCAGCGGTTTGAGCTTGCAGGACCTTGTACGACTTGGAGCCGGGCTTGTTCAAGTCATCCCACGCAGCCTATTCCATTTAATTAGTATTATGCCGAAGGTATTTAAATAACAACAAGTTTAAGCTGTCTCACCCTGCGTGCTTTAACAACTTTTCCTTTCTTTAAGCTTTTCGCAACCTTTTTCTCGGTTTTGTCCATTACAACCTCCGCTCGCTCCAACCCTTTCTCCTGCCGTAAACGTTGAGCGCGGGTCTGGCGCTTTTGCTTCTTCTTAGATACGGAAGAGTCATGTCGTGCCCCAAGGACAGAATGTGTGGTTGTAGAGGTTCGTTCGGCACGCGGAAGCGAGGATAAGGAATTGTCGATATCAACACCGGGAGAGGTATCTCGTCTGGCGGCGCGAGATCGAGTGGATGCTGCAGCAGACTTCATTAGAACATGTGACAAAAAATGGCACTCTCAGGTGCTAGAACTTACCGCCTTTTGATTTTAATCTTGGGGTTTTCATGATTGCAAGTTGGCCCTCTTGTTTCTGCTGTACGGAGTAGTTTCGATGTTTTTTTTCCTGATAAGGTAGCTGACTAAGCATAACTAACCAAACTCATGAGGCTCTGCCGCAAGCTCACAAAGCTAAACTATAACAGGAAAAGCCCGTCTCCTACTCCGTACATTCAAGTTCTACGTTGTGAATAGGTTTATGGATATTCATTTCCCTGCTAAATATATGCTACGAATCCTCTCTCTCCTTCTCAAATAATCTCCATGCCCAGGCCACAACTAAGATTTGATGACTTCCCATTTCCAAAACTGTCGTGAGATATCTTTCCACAAGTCGATCAACATGGTTGCTACTTGGCTGGTATGCGTTTCCTGGAAGGACTTTTTATTTAGGGTAGACTCTCGCCCTTCAACTCCACACAATAGCTGGCCAAACCTTTCCCCCAGCTCAATGGTATCTGCTAGCCCCTCGCACCGCCCGCATTGGGATTTGGGATGGAGGTGCTCTAGATGAAATTCCTTCATTACATGCGATTCATCTGCAGTTACTGACAGCAATCCGAATATGGAACAGATGAGCTCTAATTGCATGTCTGTAGTCAGGGCCAGAATTGCAAGTGCGATCATTCTAACTCGTCCCGCTAAAGAAAATGGGACATTAGATAAGTAATCCTTTCGGCCCGGATCGTAAAGGCAGTTTGCATGCAAAAATCGATTTGTATATATTTTTTCTAGTGCATGGTATAAGCGCATGGATCCTAGAATGCCTCCCGGAAGTTCTGCGAGGAACTGCTTAAGCACTGTCGAAATGACGTGCATATAATCATCGTTCTTGCCATGTCGACGTGTATTGATATACACTAGCGGGAGATCAATTGATCTCATGGTTCTGCTGATCTTGCGTTTAAGTCTTTCGGCGCCAAGGACTTGACCAGCGTAATGGCTGTATAAGGTACTAACAAGCTCCTGGCTTCCAAGCTCACTGTGAATAAAAGGAACTGCAGTGCCTGTTCCGTGGTTATTCGTAATTTCAATATATATAAGAAGGGTGGTTTATATTACCATGGTTGAGCAACCCGCTCACAGTAGCAGCAATGCAGGTTGGAAGTTTCAAGGCTCCTGGAAAATACCTCGGAGGTAACTTTGATAATATACTTTCCCCACCCAGCCTCGACAGGTCCTCTAACCCTTTGCCTATCAGCGATCCTGCAGGGTATTGTGCCGCTAAATTGGTGAATGTTTTCATGTGTCGAAGTTTTTGCTTGACAGTGTAATTTTTCCCCATTGTCAAAGATGATTTTGCCTTCCGGATTCGGAGAAAAAAAGACGAGCGAGGCTTCAAGGTCGGTTTATCTAAAGGAAAAATCTTAATGAAAATAAGTAATTTGACAAGAGAGTTGAAACTCACCGATGTTTTGTATTACGTTCCTAGGCGGAACCAATGCTTCTAGATCAAAGTATGGAGCAGATGAATTAAATGCTAGAAATGCTCTGGATCTCGCAAATTCGCGACGTGCAATGTCAGTGCCCTCTAAGATTCTCCGTGAAGCCATGTCGGAGGAGTTGCTCGATAGCCTGGAATCCACCCGAATTCCGTTCTGCGTAGTAGGCATTGCGGCTGACTTTTTGATATCGTGCCTGACACCAGGGCCCGGGCAGTCCTCAGAGCTTCCTATTTCTGTTCTATTGCTTCGGCAAGGCACGCTATGAGAAGACTTGTTTGACATTCGGCGAATCGCATGGCTATCAGAAAATGGATTTGAGGAGCTCTCAGAAAGAACTGCACCCAGCGCAATTGGGCTCTCACATCGCTTTGATGGGTCGTGATGAACAGTAATGTTGGACTTTTCTGAGACACGACTCTGATTACTTAAGTTTCTCAAGGCTGAAGAGTCGTCCTGTTTTGTTTCGGGAAACAAAGCGCTGGCTTGAGGTGATCGTCGAAACCTTTTAGCTGGAACCAACTCATATGCCTTTGGTGTTTCGAACACGGGCGTAACGGGCACGGCAGAATCAGGGTAAGCGTCGCCGTGCGGTCCGAGTCTGAGGCTGCGTTGTCTTGTGTCGTTTGGAAGGTAGTCAACATCATTGATCAAGGTTATTGTTCCTACTTTGCTCTGATTCTTAGCCTGATCGGAACCAGTGCTTTTATTTCGGGGGCACTGTGAAAGTAATCGATCCGTAACATTCATATCGAGCATATCCGGTACAGGGGGGGGGCGCTTTGAACTTCCTGTTAGACCATCACCTACCAGAGGGATATACAGGTGCAATTCAGAGTCGATTCTTTGTTCCCCATGTATGGCGTTCTTGGAAGGCCGTTTATATAGACGTGACAAAAGAAGTCGGGCGTAAGCTAATCCCATCGTCCACTACCACCTTAACAAGATTAAATTCTCCTTATCGGCGGTGCTGCTTGACGCACTAGTAGGCGATCAGTGGGAGGAATATTAAGATGCTCGTTAGTTTGAGAATGGAAACAGCTGGCCAGCAAATTTTGTAGGAAAGTGCAGTCCAGCAAGCAATATTAACATCAAAAGGTTGGCATAAGGTCAAATCGGCAGATATTCTGAAAAAGAAGATTTATTTATCTTCCATCCATTATGCCCCGATGACGGTTCCCCGGCTATTATAGTCAATCAGAGCGGTAAAAGGATGCATTTCGAGAAAAGGGACTGCTACTCAAAAGTCTCCCAAGCCTCCAATTTTTTTTAAAAAAAAAGAAAGAAAAAAGAAAAAAGATGCAGGATGCAAGATATCAACTAAAATGGAATCGAATGAAGACCCATGGGCTTCCATGTCATCTAGAGCGCGCATTAGAAAATAGTTACTTTACCATAAGAATCTTGTGTTCAAAGGCGTGTTTCTGGTTCCCAACTGCCCTCTTTTGTATCATAAAACAAAATCTCGAATTCAAAGTCGACCAGTCCATGAATATTCCCAACCCAACTCCGTTCCTCTCCAAACTCCTGTATTCTGTGCCTGGATCATGTCACTGAGGTTCATCTTGCTCACCATCAATGATTAGATAATGAAGGATATCACTAAGTGTCAGAACGCCTTTTAGTCGGAAATATTCGTCTACCACTATGAAACGGTGAACTCTAGATTTTCGTAAGGTGTCAAGAATGGTATCAAGCCCATCTTCAGTAGAGCACGTATAGATACCGGGAAAGTCCTGCTAAACCATTAGCTTACAGTGGATTACAGACCATGTGAGTGAGCATACGGCTGATCGTTTTCTAAGCACCTCCCCAACCGGCAGATTAAGGTCATCGTACACGCCCCCTTTTATTAATGTGATCACATCCACGGCTTCAAAAACGTTGTAGACGACGCCTACGAGAATACAAGGTAAGAAAAGGACTGCAGCATTTCGTAAAGCCTTGCTGGATACTCACCTTCGGAATTGACAATAGGAACACTGGAAATGCTGCGCTCGACCAGCTTGTGGATAATATTTATAACAGGGGTATCAATCGACGCGGTGACTATATTCTTGTATGTTCCTAGTCCAATCTCTCTCAATGGTTTCCGTAAATTCTGAGTTTGTGGTACATTGACAGCCATAAACTTGAGGATTCGATATTGTGTGACAACGCTGACGACGGTGGGCCTATCGGTCTGGCTGTCATGAGATACTAGCGGTATCCTACGCGCTCTCGAAGACAACATATACCGACACGCTTCATACAGAGGCTTCTCGGGGTCGATCGAGATTGTTTCTGGCGGCGCAACTCCTAGAGCCCGTTCGATTTCTAAAAACAAAGCAATCATTAGTCCATGATAGAGGGTGATGGAATAAGGAAAGGGCATATCAATACCTCGAAGATTACTCAGACGAAATTGATCTATTTTTGCCAGTGCTGCTGGATTTTGAAAGTAATATTGGATCACGTTTATATAGTCCGACGTCGTAAGCAACCCTGCAAAAGTGGAAGTACTTGAATCCCAGAGGGGTGCAGAAACAATCCCTAGGAATAGGAGAAATATAAATCAGCTAAGGTACAACACGTTTAAATCTCGATGCCTTATTGTTGCTTACCATTCTGGATAAGGATATTTAAACTCTCTTTTACCGATAAGGAAGTATCAAATACGATAAGCCGAAAGCTGAGCGGCAAGACATCATAACTTGCATGATTTTTCAAGAAATCCCGAATATGCCACTGATGTAATGACGGAACTATTAGCAGGTGTCTAGTTGGCGTGAAAGGTACCAAATAAAGTGTGAATCCCACCAACAGCGCAAGAAAGACTGCCCAGCCATTCCAGAACAGAACTCCAAACGAATTGAATTCAGCAAGGACGGTTTAAAGCAGGCTGTTACGGCTTACCAGTGCTTGTCTTTCATCGTGGTCGAGCGATTTGTCAGGGGTAGAGGCAGACCGAGACATGGTCCTTGGTCGGAGATATGATGATGGGTGTACAAAGCCAGCGTCTTGCTCGCTTCTGGGTGTAGTATGATGTGGAGAGCCTGGATTTGAGGGGGATGTTGTTGCAGAATGAGATCGGGCTGCTGGGGCATCATCCGGCATCATTGCGAGTCTCGAGAGAAACTAATCGGCGCGGGCGGGCGAGGAGACATAAACGATTCAGTGGTCAGATAAGAGTATCAGGTTGCGACAGAGGTGGTAATGGTATAGGGCAGAGGATCAAGGCGCTGCGCGTGGCCCGCTATAACATGAATACGGGTTATAATTCTGGTAGCTCCAGAGCTTCACACCGAGCCCAGAACTGCCATTCAACCGGGCACTTGTCGAAGGTACACTCAGCACGTTGGCTTAGAGTTACCGGGCAGGACCAGAATGTAGGATTGCCACGCATCAATTCAAGTGGAGTATCGGTCTTCCTGCGCATCACTCGACGTTATGCCTGGTTCGAGTCGTTCACCGACGATCAGGAAGAAGTGGGATGCTCTTATCGGGCCGGAAATTCTTTGTTCCGCAGACCGAAAGCCCTTTCAGGGTAAACGCCATTATCCCGCAAGGGTACGATACTAAATTGTTATACCTGCGGAGGCAGATCGGGCCGCTCGGTGTTCGGAGGTAGGCAGCTGGCTACAAGCAAAACGAACTAGAATATGCTATGCTGCACCAATGTTGTAGAGGGTATCTATCTCATCGTGTAGCCATAATCAACGCTTCACGGATACTGCAAGAATCACACCCATTAATCGAGGCCGCCTCGAATGGAAAAAATCCCGAAAAGAAAATGCACTTTGCAAGATATGCTACACTATTCTCTCATGCCACTATCGCTTGGTTCGGTATAACTGGAGCGCTAACCTCCAATTGCTCCAATTTCTCCTCAACCTCAACTGAGTTTGCGGCCTCTGTCTCTGAACGGCTTTTTCCGAGTCCGCCTTTGAGGTAGTTTTCGTGCTCGCCAACAAGTTTACCACCCGCCACCCACTTGCTGTGGTACTCCTCACGGCGTTGAGCAGCTAAGGCGTTGAGTGCGGGCCAATAAAGTGAATGATCATACTCAAATTCAACATCACCATTAACAGCCTTCCACAGATGAGCCGGAGGAACATGCAATCGAAGATCCTCGTTAAACTTAAGCTTTTCTCTTGTTTGAGGATCGATGAACGGCGTAATTAACTTCATGAATCCTAGAATAACAAGTGGCACTGGGGCAAAGATTTAGGTTCAGCTCGCTAAGAGTTATGTTTTAATCCCAAGAAAGTACATACTGTTGATCACCATGGCCCTGCCCAAGCGTTCCGGGTAGTGGTTCTGGAGAATATTCAGCGTCTGTCTACCTTGACCGATAGTCGCATTTTGTCCAGATCGCGTCTGCTTAAAGTTGACTAGCAAAGCAAGCGACTCTTGGTCGGGTCCCATCAAATCAATCACCCGCTCAATCATGAAGACAAGGTGTTGGATTTGGCGATCACTGTGTTCAGTGTTCTGCTGGGCTGGGTTCAAATAAAGGCACGGTCTACCGCTATTATCAAAGCCAAGAATCACTTGTTTCCCAGTTTCATTCTCCACGGAGATGTACTCCGGGGTGTGCTCCTTTACACCATATTCTCGCCGCCATGTCAATGTTGCCTGAAGGCGTTGTGTAGCATCGGCCAGGTTCCATTTCGTAGCACGAAGGTAGCGAAGCAGGCATTCGCGAGTGAGGAACATACGTTCATCATCTGTAACAGGTGCCGTTGGCGAGTTTTTGGCGGAAGTAGTCTGAACCGTTGTCCACTCAGAAACAGTTTTCAAGAGAGTATTGTATTTTGTTTGCTGTTCGGGGGTCAGTTCAGCGGGAGGTGAGGGCGTGCAGTGGTCAAGAGGCCGGGGAAAGAGTGTTTTAACAAGACCATCTGCAGCGGATAGAGGAAGCGTGTCAGCAAAGGACGACAGTTCAGCCGTTGGTTCTGTGCTTGGTGGTGGTTCGACTACTGCCTTCTCGTCATCTAGTTTCGGAACTTCCACAGCCGGAGCTGTATCCTCCTTTGCAGGTTCCATTGTTGTGAACATGCAGCGATGAGCGGAAGAGTAAAGCAATATTCCGTACGCAGTAGAACAGAACAAAGCAAAGGGGAATTCGCTGGTGTGCGGTTCACTATTCCGACAAGGATGATCCTCCTTTTGTGTTTTGACGCGCAAGACCGCTGGACGGGCGGTGGATACCAAGCCTTCTTGGCACCGCGGCAGAAAATAAACTCCGTTTAGTTAGTTAGTTAGCGGCAGAGGTTTAATCCGTAAACCACTAAACGCGTCGAGGCGCGTCTCACGGGCAGCCAGCGGTGGGTCGATGCACTTTTGCGCCATCTTCAGAGTACGGAGAAAGCACACGGACAGCGGTGATAAAACGCTTCAAATATGGACGATGCTACGAGTGAACTCAACGAGCGCTTTGCGGGAAGTAACCCCGATGGGCTTCCTGAGGATGTTCTCGTCGAATTCCGGTCAATTCTGAACCTCCATGCGATGACTGCGCAAGAATTGTTTTACAAGTGGGAGTCATATTCCATTAAGATGGGCTCGGAGGAGACAAAACTGACTTTGGAGTCTGCTCGAGCGCTGAAGAGGGATATTCAAGATGCGCTAGAACGAGAAGCAAGGGGGAAATCACAGCTGAAATCAACAGAAAAGCGTTCAGGGCTTGGGGTTGGTCAGCGTGCAACAGGGCATCAAGATGTATTTGATATGTATGTTATACTCTTGCTAGTTTACTTGGTTAGATGTTAATCATTTCACAGGCTTGACGACTTGGTTCCCATTACACCACATCGAGCAGCTGGGAGTGGCCCTATCAAACGAAAAGCTGGCTTTGACTCCCCTATGGTCTCTAAGGCAAGCAGAGGAGGGAATATAACTTCTCCAGGAAATAGCCGAACACCTATAAAATCCCTCAATGTACAATCCGAAACCCTTCCGTACGTTCAACCTTTGACCCATACCCTACTGCAATATTTTAACCGTTACAAAGGCAAACTCCTTTTTCTGAACGCAAAAATAGCGGGCAAGTACTAGAAACCCTGAATTCAAATTTAGAAATGGCCCAGGCACCAATAGCACCATACTCAGATCCTCGCGTCAAATTAACAGCGAATACGGACTTGAAAAAGTTCGCATATAAACCAATGGCAATGAAATTATCGGAAGCTTCTGAGGTACTCGACGATAGGATAGACGAATTTGCAGAGATTTACCAGAAGCAATACAGTTCAGACGATACACCATTTGGAAATGCCGCCAGCCAGAGCACGAAGACTATAATTGCTGTGGGGAGAATAGTTTCTGATAGCCTAGAAGGGAAACTCAATACAGCGTCATTGCTTCTCGAAATGTCACGACGGACCGGAGCCGGCTTACGAGTGCCATTGAATGTAACCTCATTACCCTCGGTTCAATTCTTTCCTGGACAAATCGTCGCGATTAAAGGAATTAATGCCTCTGGAAATTATTTTTCGGCCTTGGAGGTTCTAGCACCACCCTTGCTTCCACCTGCCGCTTCTCCGCCTGAAACAATAACAGCGATAAATGACCGGCTCAGTCAATCGGGCACGCAACCTTTAAGTACATTTCTAGCATCGGGCCCATACACAACCGATGACAATCTAAATTTTGAGCCTTTAAATGCGCTATGTGCCAAGGCAGCGGAAAAATTTGTTGATACAGTAATACTAACAGGGCCGTTCCTAGATATTGAACACCCACTAATAGCATCCGGCAATTTTGAGCTGCCTGAAATAACAGGAGTTGATCCAGACACCGCAACGTTATCCACGCTCTTCAGATACTGCATTTCTCAGCCCCTTCATCAACTTGCTATAGCTGTGCCTAACATAACTATCATTTTGATCCCTTCAGTGCGTGATTCTGTCAGTAAACACGTTTCCTGGCCACAGGAGATGTTGATAAAACGAGAGCTTGGACTTCCAAAGCAAGCACGAATGTTGCCCAATCCAGCCGCCATATCACTAAATGAATGCGTGCTCGGGCTCTGTTCCTACGATATTCTATATGAATTGAGAAATGAAGAGGTTTTAAGCGGAACTTTAACTGAAGGAAATCTACTGACAAGGTTGCCACGATACCTCATTGAACAACGGCATTTCTCCCCTGTCTTCCCACCCTCCTCAAGGCAGAGATTGCCAAAGTTAGACGGGGAGGAAAGGACATCAGTTGGCGCTGCTATTGATCTTCGATACTTGAAACTGGGGGAATGGTGGAACGTGCGACCGGACATACTTATTACTCCAAGCATACTACCCCCATTCGTCAAGGTACTTTAAACGACGTCTTTTTGCTATATTTTGAAGCGGGAGCTGATGTGATTTTCCAGGTTGTTGACAGTGTTCTGGTCATCAATCCGGGAACTTTATCCAAAGCGAGAGGTCCTGGGACATACGTACAGATTGCAATGCATCCACGGTTAGTCTCGGATCAGGAACAAAGTGCCAAAACTATTCGTCACCATATATTCGAAAGAGCTAGGGTTGACGTGATTAGAATTTAACAGTCTTTTAATATGATAAATTCTGGATCAGAAAAGGCATTGAAATATTATCACGTCGTGCATATATCGAATATCTAATTTAAACAGTACACCATTTCATAATTCCGCCGCGGGTGCGCCTGAAATGCAAAAATGTGGTCTAATTCCACTATGTCAGAAGCCTTCGCTTGTAACACCAAGTAGCATGCCGCCAATAGTTTCATCTCAAGCAAATAATCTTTCTCATTCTCCTCGCACGGCTTCCAACAAGATCAGCTTCCGCAGCACTTTTGCCCCTAGCTCCTGGAGCCTCCCCACCATCCGGTCCTAACCTAACGCCTCTCATCAAGTCCTCCAGGCCCAGATCTCTCCAGACAAGCTCTCTTCGTCCATCCATGGCTCTTGTGATTCCAAATGCCGCGTGCTGATCTGGCACCACATCATCCTCGTCTTCAGGGTTGACTGGTTGGTACTGCGGAAGAACGAAGATGTCTTCTATTGGGAGGAAAGAGGGAGCTTGGGGCTGTGAGATTGCTTGGTTGTGAGAAGTATTGGGAGTATTGGTCATAAAGGAGGAGTTAGTGGTGGAAGAGTTTGCAGCGGCAGAAGTATATGGACGGTTAAAATCCTCAAATAAGTCGGCCAACCGGGGATGGTGGAAGTGGACGTAGGTTGGGGAGGAATCTTTGGACTGTTGTTGGTTAGCCCAAATTCGAAAGCAACGGAATTGTGATAAATACCATTATGGCTTATAAGGAGAGTATTTGCTTGCTTCTCTTTTCTAAGCTGCTTATAAGTACACATCTGACCCGTAGAAGCTGGCCTGCTATGTGTACTCCGTATAGCATTCATTGCACGCCTACGGAGTACAGAGTATCAACGTAATTATTGAAGCCCAGGAGGCAGGATACCTGATTGGTGGGAAATCTAAGCAATTCACGTGCTTATCGAACTTTATCTTCAAGAGCAACTCCCATACTGACTAAGCGCGTCTAATTTGGTGGATTTAGAGTTTAAGATAATTATTAGCACTCATAAGTAGTAATAAAAAAGGTTTTACCCAAGAAGCCCATATGGCTTAGTTGGTAAAGCGCATCACTAGTAATGATGAGATCCTCAGTTCGACTCTGAGTGTGGGCATTTTTTTTTTATTTTGATTTCTTGTTCTTTTACACTCCAAAGCTCCCCCATTTATGGAGTAAACACCATCAAGAAGGGTGATCAGTCTCTTGTAGTCCAACCCTGCAGGCTTGTTATGTGGGGAGGCTTCGTATCACTTAAACGAAACATGCAGCACCTTTTTTAGGAGCGAGAGCAAGTAATAACTACAAGTTTTTGTATTGTTCCCATAATATTGCTTATCCGTCTAGAAAGTCCCCGCAAAAGAAACAACGCTATCACAAACGCCGGACTTTTGAATAGAGCTACATAGACACATGCAACATGCTGCAGAAAAGTACATGAAAGTTATTCATTAATGTCCGGATCATAAGAAATGGCGACAGCCAAATGGATTACGGAAAGATGCGCTATGGTAAAGAAACAAACCCCAAAATGATATCTCAAACGCATTTAATATGACCTGGAATCTTTCTCTGCACAAAACATGATTAGCATTGAGTGGGATAATATGATTTCATGCAAAGAAATACTGACCTTCAGATTCAGTGCTCATCCGATGTACAATTGGTACCGCACTCGGTGGTAAACTTCCCATCTCCGTGATAACCATGTCAATGTACTGTGCTGGAGTGACATCATGCATGATGCTCAGCAGTTGAAGATTCTTCATTTCCCGCCAATTCTGAAGCGGACTATCTGGATCGATGACAGGTGTGGCTCCGTCTAGGGATGCGGCTAGCGAGCTGATTTCCGCATTAGCAACGGAAGTTTTGGATGCCCCTTTGCTCGCTGGAGCAGGTGCTGGGGGCGACAGCTGTGTGACTTGCTCAGAGGGTTCGATGGCTACGAGCTCGTCTGCATCTGCAATTTCATTGACAACGATACTATCGAGGGCGACGCGATCGGTGAACTTAGCAGTCTCGCAGCATACAATAACTGGAATATTGATGCCTCCGGCTCTCTCCTTCGCCGACATGGCAACAAGTGCAGTACCAACTCTTGAAAAAAGGCATCCATTGCTGGTCATAGCGTGGGCTCCTAGAAATACTTTCGTTGCTTCTCTTATAGCATAGGTGATCCCATTGATGAGGGAATATTGAACTTCGACACCTGCCTTGGAAAGTGTACGTGCCAGATTCTTTCCCTCAAACAGTGGCCGACTATCAATGATAGAGACACGGAATTTCTTTTCTTGTGCATGGGCGGTAAGTAAGGCCTTTTGAACAACGCTGCTGCTCGCGTAGCAAAGAATAACGTCTCCATCTTTAATCTTTTCCGCAGCGCTATTGGCAATTACTTGAGAGGCGACGGTGTATTTTTCGCAGATATAATTGTCAATAAAATCATAAATTTTATGCTTCGCATCATCTTCCGAGTCACTTGGGTCTATAGTTGTAATTTCAAGTTTTAGCGCGCGGATGGCATTCCCCTGGCTGATTGAAAGAGGCCGACAAGTGGTAAGGTAGTTGATCTGATGGGAGAGATACGTAGTCAAATGGCGAGAAAGGGACGTCCCAACGGGAGTGATATAGGCTTGGACAACCTAGGGTAAAGCGTCCCTTGTTAGCAATATTGTTGGTCCCTAACCTATAGACGGAGCATACACATACCCGTTTGAGAGCTAATAACGTCGCAACGCATCTTGCGCTACTTCCGCAGATCACATAATCCCGTAACTGCATCCCAAGTGCCACAACTGCGGGGTGAATCTCCTTGCCCACTCCGGCGATTCCAGCGCGCCGCGAATGCCATGGTAGGTGGCCAAATACAGCAACAGTATTCTCATCATCGGTCTTCTTCTTCTTTTTCGCCTCTGCAGCAGGAATATGGATCGATCCTCGGCGTTGGACGCTGATCTGTTTGGCGGCAACCGTCCCACTCTGTTTCAGGCCACCTTTCGCATCTCCCTTCTTCTGCGATTGCTTGCTATCCTGCTTTCCAGCACCTCCTTTCTTCGCGCCTCCAGCTTGTTGACCCGCCTGTAAATCCGGAGCCCCGCCGCCACCCGCCCCAGCCTGCTGTTCTCTCTCCTGCTTCTCCTTTGCGCGTCTCGCAGCCTTCTCGGCTTTGGCTCTCTTTTTCAACTCTGCATTAGACAGTTTTGGCTCACTCTCTGGCTGGCTAGGCTTGTCCATGTTTTGTTTTATCCCTGTCTCATTCTCCTGGGTCCCACTGTTCATTGTTGGCGCTGGAGCGGTGCTCGTGGTCGTGGCGAGCGTAGCAGACTCCGTCACGGATGACTCGCTTGGTTTCAAGGGTGGTTGTGGTTGCGCGGGGTCGGAAGAGAGTGGGCGCGAAGTTGCGATTTCCTGAGGAGGAACTGACATTTTGAACAAATCTCCCTTCGCTCTTCCATTCGCTTTGTCGTGAGGTGGGCTGGCGGCGTCGGTGTTGTGGGATGGCGCTTGAGTCATCGGCGGAGTTGACTTTTTGACTTTCTGGCGCAACTTCTTCCATCCCGTCGCCCATGCAGCTATCCTGCGGCCCCCTGTTCGCTTCGCAGATTCCGCCATTATTCTCAACGTCCATGGGAAGAGACACCATGCGAGAAGAGCGAATAGAACGCCCGCTATATATGTTTCGCCTCCGACGGCCATTCTGTTTTGACTGCTTTGATGCTTCACTGTAGTTCGTTATTGGCGCTCCCTTCACTAAATTGTGTATGATTCACACCTGCGACAGGGCATGCGGACATTGGCTCCTTCAATTCCGCGATAGGCTACATATAATACCCGTCCTCCAATGGTTTGGCCGGTTGGCGAGCCTAACTTACCAGCATCATATGTCTGTGACCAGCCAGATGCTTACCTATGGTCGAAAACAGCCTAGGACTTTTCGAAATCTACGCAGAATTAACTACAACACCAGGCAGATACCAGTTGTCATGCAAAATTCTAGCATTATTTCTTTTCGTGATCATACAACATTCAAAACATTGCTCGCTACACAAACAAATTACGCCCATGAAGGGTGCCAGAAGAATAATAATATCCCATTCAGTCATCCGAATAAGGCCATGTATGCTCACTTCCTGCCAAACGCCCGTTCCCTGGGACTCCGTGAAAATTCGTGCTGAATCAGATATTCACTGATACCTCCGAAAGCATTTTTCGATCCCCTCGGCATGGTCGTTTCACTCCAAATCGTTCACAGTCATCAGCCAGCTTGCGCCGGAAGAAGCTCAAATCAGATAGGAGATCCTCCATTTCAGATTGAACCTCAACGTCAAAATCATTGAAGGGATCTTCCCAAATACCATCTGCTTGTTCTTGCGGCGCAGTGTTTTCCTTTTCAAAACACCTCTCACTTTCAGCATCTTGACTTTCTGTTGCCGTAGTAAAGCTGCTGTTTCTCGTGCGCCGCTTGGCAACCTCGACGGGCGGTATCGGATTTTTCAAACTGTCAAGCGCAAGGCGTAAATGGAGTCGCAAGGCTTCATTCTCGGTTTGAAGTTGGCGAATTTTATTCTCGCTAACCATCTTGGTCTCTTCCATCAACCGCTGAAGTTTGGTGACTTGTTTTTGGTATTCCTCGAGCTTTTCGTTTTGCATCTCCATATCACGCTTTGAGACAGTGTATTGGCTGACACTAAGCTGCAGCGTGCGTATAGTTTCGGCCATTTCTGCAATCTGCGCGTCCCGCTCCGCAGCTGAGACATGATCCTGGTTGATGACAGCTCTAGTTCGAATGCGCTTGGCTTGATCTGCGTAACGGAGGGTCGATAAAGTTTCCTCGTAATCCGACGGAGCTATGCAAGCAATCATGGCCGTCTTGGAATTTCCTCCCAAGCTGTCTTTCAGTAGCCAGGTTAGAATTGAGTCGCGATACGGGACAATATCTCTATTTTTTCGGCCACGTCCAGGTTTGTTATCAGCCAGGGCAGCTATAACACGGCCAAGAGTCGTCAAAGATTTGTTAATGTTCGAACCTTCCCTTAAGCGCTGGCCTGTGGCCTCGGTGGCTTTTGCTCGTTCTGAACCCGCGAGATCCACTAATCGAATTCGAGCCGTTCTCTCGATAGTTTCATCCGTAGCCAAATCGTGATGTATCTGTTTTAGCATAATTGTGAAAACAGCATGAGATCTTGAACTAGTATCATTCATTTTTGTACTTGCTGTAGTTCGAGATGCATCCCCTTTTCTCATATAGCGCATCACTTCCTCAAAATTTCGGACTGGAACATCAGTGAGATCCTTCACATACGGCCCATCTGTAGGCGATTCCCGAATCTTAAGATAGTAGGGCGGGTCGGTCCTTGGAACTAATAAATCACGAACATGTTCATTGTATACTTCAAAATATGACACTCGAACATGATACGTCACGTCGGGAGATTCACTGTTCTCGATTCTTTGGAAGAGATCCTCAAGAGTTCGCGGTATGAGGCCCGGATTATCAGGTGTACCCATCATTGTATAACTTTTTCCCGAACCTGTTTGGCCGTAAGCAAATATACATGTATGGTAGCCTTCAAAATTGTGATCAAGAAACTCTTCCCCCAAACAGTTGTACACGTCTTCTTGAGTTGCATAATGGGAATCGTCTTCATCATGGGACCAAAAGGAGTTGTCAAATGTAAAAGTCTTATCTTCAGTCACTTTGCTGCGAGTTTGCGCTTTGGAGTTCTGATCTTGATTAGGGGCCAATAGTGTTGTGCACTGGGTTGCAGGATTCATGCGAATCAAACATTGTACACTACGTTGAAGCTCTATCGGCAACAAAAGAGTTAGATAAGAGCAACTGTCAGAGTGCTTGGCAGGAATACCTCTCTGCAAGAATGCTCTAACTCTCACAACAACTTTCACGTTTCCACCACCAGTGCAGCTGCCTACCGGGGTGCCAGGCCTCGTCGTTGGTGCTACAACTCTCTCTTTGGCTCGTAGGGATGGACTGGAAGCGGTAGATCGGACTCCAGCAACGGATGCGGACGTGAAGGATGCCATGCTAGGAGTAAACCCTCCATAATCGGCGGGGTAGTTCGACGAGGAATGCGACAGAGAGGGTCTCGGTGGGAGCTGAGCAATACTATTGTAGAACCGTGGGTCCAAAGACATGTTCTTTGTGTTTTTTAGCATCCAGTCAATTTGTAGGGCAACGTCGCGGTGTCGGTAAAGATAATTTAAAAACATAACATACGATCGATAAGGTACTGGCAAGGGCTAAGGGTTCATTATCCAATCCTTCCGTAGTTCTGACGCTGCAGAGTAGAATCTCTCGCTCGATGTTTGCGCGGGGCTCAAAAAATCAAGAATTTTGGTGGCAGCAGTGAGCAGTGCCCTCAAAAGGCTGTGGGACCCTTCAAAAAGAGCATCTATTGCATCATTGATATGCTTCAACGACTGTTCAGATTGATGTGTCTGTTGCTGGAGGTCTTGGGCGGCCCAGGCCCGTTGTTTTGAAACTACCCAATACGGTTAGCATACACCTTTGGGGGTTGTCGCAGAATTGGCCCGAGCGCAGCTGGACAGGAGATAGCGCGGGGGGGGAGGGGGGGGGGAAGAGACTGACAGAATAGCTATAGAGATTGATGGATGTAGAAGCTGGCTCGAGTACTGGCATTTTGCGTTAGCTTTGTTGTTGGTGTGTCGAATGTCGATAAGAGCAAACTGACTGATTACGACGCCCTACAAATGTCACAGCAAGGATGAAATCCTTAGCTACAATAAAAATGTTGAAGAACAGAAAAATCATCCCTACAATACGGGGCTTGCCTAAAGACAGCAATAGGACAACTCTTTTCGGTACTTCCCGCCTGCAGTTCAGCATAACAACGGAAAGTACCATACGCAAGCTACACATACGGAGTACTCCGTATAATGTACCCCTCATATATGTATCTACCATACTGCGCAATTCCCAATTAAATATTGATTCACGCTTAATCCGCATCTTTGTGTTTTTGATACACATTCTAGCGACGGACATTGGGGTAAAAAACCCTTGAAAATTCCCGAAACACTTCAACCCATAAAATGACATCATATCATTTTATGTTCTGTTTCCACAGCAACGAGTAGCCTGTTTGCACTGTTTGACTTTCTCATCCTTAAGTTGGTGGTGAGTCGATTAAGTATGAACATGTTTCTATTGTATGGAGTAAGCTTACCTATGCTTCTTGGTCATCTTCGAAGGCCTAGAAAATCTTTAGCAAAAAAATTCAAATGGTGGGAGGGAGTGAATATACCATATTGCTTTGCCAAGTCTTTTCCTAGAGGGGGCATGATAATCAAGATCTATGTCAAAGGCTGCCAAACATGAATCCAAAAGATAGCAAGATTGAAAGTGAGACGGTTTGGCTGAGTTTCTCCCCATGGAATTGAAACCACTTCAAGCGTCGCCTCATTGACGTCAGGGTTTCCATTGTCAGTATACACCAAAAGGGAGGAGTCGACAGAACACCAGATAAGATGTGCACGTTATTAACTGAATGCCTAAGTCAGCTGACACCAGTAACATCAAGGGAAGAGATCAAGATTGTAGGAGAGCTACGAAGGGGAAACATCTGGCTCATTCAGGCACAAGGGACTGCTGGGGATTTTGCTGTGGCGGTTAGCGTCGAATCACTACTTGAACGGGGGAGCTACTAGGGAATGTAAAAGGCGTCTCCGGAGTCTGCTCTGGGGTCTAGTAAGTGGGTGAAGTGGGAGACGAATGCTATTATGTAATCACGGCGAAGGCGCGTTTGAGCGAGCGGAGTTCCCTTATACCCAATACTTCTTCGCAGGCAAAGAATCTCTTTGCCAGAGATAATATACGCATGCCTGGTATTGAACATCTTAGCATAGTGTACCACTTGACGTATTGGTATTCATCTTTTGCCCAATTTTCCTCAAATTCCATTTCTGTGGCATAGGACAACATCAGGAATATCTTCAACTGTACAATCATGCCGAGGCCGTTCAACCCACTTCCAGCATGTCCAATTCCAATCCAATGGGATGTTAATTCTCGCATCCAAGAGCTCCAGGCCATGATTGAAGATTCAACTACCATTGAGGAGCAGAAAGTTAATCTGTATGCTGCCATTGATCTCTACAACAAACATGTGCTCCCAGGGCCCTACAGGTTCATCCAAGGTGGCAAGGTTGTTAAACTCCAGGATGTTGATTTTCACCGTGCTTGGTGGTCAGAAGTGTGTTGTGTCTAGACCGCCCCCCCCCCCCCCCCCCCTTCTTCCCCCCCCCCCCCTCTACACCCCCCCCCCCTTCCCTATGTCAATGCTCCTCTTTACCCTTATATTTTCTCTCTCCCTTTTCTTTTTTCTTTGTCCTTCCTTGTGCTCTCTGTTTTCTCTTTGTCTCTTTTC